TTTTTTTTTATCCTTTTCCTTTTGTTTATATGCGCTTGGGTCTGCATGGCGTCGGGAAACAAGTTATCCTACTTCTTCTATCTTGTCACATTCGGACGCGTCATGAAACGGGTTTGGTATCTCCCTGGCAGGCACTAACAAAGTGGCTATATGGGATCAGTCTGTGTTCATTTTGGTATCTTGGGAAATGGAAAGGCTCTGAGAAAAAAATGCAGAGCAGTGCATTAGTACGGCGTTTGTTCTTCTTTTTATCTAGCCAAGGGCTAAGGAAACTGAGGCGAAATTCTGAGAAATGGAAGAATTTCATGTATATAGAACCACACAATCAAATCTCGCGGGAGATTATTTTTTACGTTTTTGACGATGCCTCTCTTGTTTTCCGCCTTTTCTCCCTTGTGCCGAAAGTGACTGACTCGTTTGATTGACATGAAGTTGATTGTTCCTTGTTCCTGGTGCCATCTCCCGGCCGCATGTCTCACATTTTCTCCGCCACTGAACACAGAGCCAAACGGTGTCTGGAGCTATTGAGCTCCCTCTTGCTCCCTCACTGTAGTAGCATTGGTTATAATTAGTTATAGCCGATGGATTCCCCACTCTACACCGATCTGCCTCCTTTTGGGGGGGGGACGGCGACCTACTGTAGTAACACGCCGGAGTTTTGTAGACATGTATACAAGTACAAGTAATGTACAGTAGCACCACCCCAAGTCAAGTTGCGACAAGCGTCGTATACCTGCATCGGCTTTTTACGCGAGGGGCCCCCCGAAGCCTGTTGCACCAAAAAGACTACTGTTCCTTTCCCCCATGTCGATCGCTCTCTTTCGTTGACCCTTTTGCTACCAATGAGTCGAGTTGTCCAAACGCTTGTGTCTTTTTGAATGAACGGGTAAAGCGGGAAGGAAGAGGAACTGGGCGTTGAAAATCCGTGGGACCGTGCGACGGCACTTGAAACGGCGGGTAACCGAAGGCGAAGGGGTGGGGAGGGAAACTTGAACTGATTACATATACAACTAACTGCTGCTGCTACTGTAACTCTTGCGGCTGTTGTGAAATATATCTACAAGTATGGAATAGTATGGGGGAAGAGGCGTTGGCCCTACTGTACTGATAGCAGGTATAAGTGGGGTTGGTTTTCAGTGAGGGGGATGCAGTGAGAGTAATGCATCCCCGTATACCTTGATACTGCCTAGTTCTACTGCCTAGTTGTGAGAGCAGTGTAAAGAATGGGATTGGAGGGCAGTTGAGGATGTTTCCTGTAGGCAGTTGGTTGTGAGTGTCCAAAAACTTGTCCATGCTGTGTGTGCGTTAACATGTCATATGTTATTTACTACTTGTATCAGTATTGCAACTACCGAGTATTGATCCTGGAAAAGAGAAGCGAGTTTTTTTTTTTTTTTCCCTTGTCCTTTTACGAGAGCTGCGTAATAGAAATACGACGGAGCCATCTCCGGTGGTTTAGTGTTTAGAACCCCGTACAAAAAAAAAAGGACTGATTAACAAAGCCACATGTGTTATCGCCATCTGTTTAAATCACAAAGTTAAAAGCTTAATTCCTTTCGATATTCTTGAGTCATCATTTGTAATAGCTGATGGCAAAGAAGAAAAAAAAAAAGGCTGCTGCTGGCACACAAGTACGTACTGCTAGTAGCAGTGTTGCTTTGATTCAAGAAACACTAGTTACATACGAACTATTGGTGAGAGATATGAATCACGAAACGATGCAGCTAGGATGTAGGCGCCATGTATCATTTGAACAACAGCAACAACAAGGTGCTGCAAAGGACGAATTAACACAAGAAGAAACAACAGGGGTAGTCCCCCAATTCGCGGCAAGCGGGGAATCCTTTCGAGATGCAGCAGACATGGGGGTTTAACAAAAAGAAAAGACGAAACGCAGCAATTTTACTGGCAAATGTCGGCCTATGGTGCATGTATACTGTATGTTTGCGGTAGGGGGAGCCGATTCCCGACCTTTCCGAACGAGGAAATATCCGCGCGGGCTGGAGAAGGGGCAAAAAAAGAGAGAGAGAGTGAGAGAGATTTGCATGGGGTGTGTGTGTGTGGAGGGGGGGGGGGGGGCAGGATGATCCTACAGGCGCCCCTGTCGCGGAAAGAATGATGATCTCGCGCGACTCTAGACCAATCTTTTTTTCTTTTCTTTTTTTTTCTTTTTTCAATATTTGTGTGTTTGATTCGAATGATAGAGGGGGAAAAGGACACGCTATACTCTGAAAAAGCAAAGAGGAGGTCATCGAGATTCCCCCTTTTGCCAAGAAGCGAGTTGGCGAGTTACGCGGCTTGGCTGGGAAAAGCCACCAAAGGATAACAAAACGATGCTTTGTTATCTCATCTTACACTGCCTCATGAAGGGGCATTACTAAGGGAGGAAAAAAAAAAAACTTTGGTGGTGTACTCCATCAATCTTGCTTTTTTGTTAGTTGGTTTGCTTCAACTTGTCAACTCTTCTCTCTATACGACGTCTACTTGATGTAAGGTTGCTGCTATCTGATACTTGGGGCGGTAGGGGCCATGGGTGCCTGCTCGTATATTATAACCTAAAACAAGCTGAAGCGGCTGATCCTCCGACTAACGCGAGAGAGAGAGAGAGGGAGAGAGAGATGGAGGGAGACAAAAAAAGACTTGGCAAGGCAACAATTCTGGAGGCGTGCAGAACGTATTTTACCCTCGCCCTTTTGGGGGCTTGGGGTCTACAAAGGATTCTCGGTTCTCTCTCTCTCTCTCTTTTCTTAATTCATTTGCTTGCTTGGTTGATGGACTTGCATTTGTTCTCCCTGGCCCTGTGCTGCGCCTATCAGCTTATGTTGACAGCTGGAAGTAGGTAGTAGTGAGTACCGTCGAATCCAGCAGCAAACGTACCTCGTCGATACTCCATCCTGCCTGCTGGGCTAGCATATAGGCGCGGCGTTTGAGCTGACAGATGGGCTAAGCCGCCTTGAGAAGGGAACTAAACGTTTGAGCCCAGGCCCCAGCCCAGGCCCAGGGCCAGGGTGTTGGGGAAGAGCTAAATATGGAGCACCCTTGGGACCTACGGCCGGTCAAAAGCTGAGGAATAGCAGCGGGCGTTAGTAACAACGCTATGGATCACGATACGCCTTTTTTTGGGGCTGTTGGTCACTGCGTACGTACTTGTACATGTGTATTGCAAGTGCCGATGTGCTGCTCGGAATGGTTTGGTAAACACGGATTGCCTGTATCGTTGAGACTGCAGAGGCAACAGTTTGCAGCTGAACTACTAGTCTGGTACTATCAAGACTCAAACTGTAAGATACCACTGTTTGTATCAGGTATCTCTACAAGCACTCCGTAGTGGTGTGTGTTCAAATCTCAGCCGGCCTAAATCAACCACGCTTCCAACTTGTACTGTAGGCACAAGGACACAAAACACGCACAGAGGGAGCAGAGCAGCAAGGGCAAGGGGGCGTGTCCCAGACAAGACTCCAGTTTTGATGTGCAACACGGATAGGCTACGCCTTAGATCGACAGAGTGCATGCGTTGGCGCCAAAGGGGAGGTCTCGGGATTTGCTCCAAGCCAAGAGCGCTACTGGGCTAAGCAAAGTCCAGCACGAGATTGGATGGGCGGCAGAGGCAGAGAGGGTGGAAAACGAAAAAGAGGCCAAAGTAAAGCAGACTATCGATGCAGGACTAGCACAAGCCCAGCCGGTCCTTCAGCCGTACATCCAAACGCTGCTGCAAGGAGGTAACAAAAGCCCGAAGGCGCGAATCAGAGCGCCTAGTATATACATGGTGCCGGCAAGGGGGAAACCAACTTTCTGGGCTAATTGGGTAGAAAAACGAGAGGGAGGGGGGAAAAAGGAAAGGAAGAACAAGAAAAAAAATCAGGCCACATCGGACGAATCATCAGGGCCGGATCTTGTTTAGAGTCGTCGATGGCTGCGCGCTGGTGGCTTGTTAGTTGTTAGTGGCACATTCTTTTGGTGTTGACGGAGACCCGGGGTTAAGGATGTGGCTTTCCGGAGCCCCATCCTTTTTCTCTTGTATCTCTTCTTTTGAATATTTGGATTCCGATGCTCATCTTGTTTTCCGTTTAACTGCTTGCGGTATTTGCCCTTTTAGCGATGGCCCGCTTGCCGTGGGAAGGGGGAAGTATATGCGAGCGTGTCGATGGATTCAAATGTTCCTAGGCTCTGCTAGTTCGCAAACTTAGGTTCCTTACTCTGACAATTAATAATCCCGGTGCCTGAGTTTGTGCGCCCTCCAAAACGGAACGAGGTGACTATACCGCATTGCGCCGTCCAGAGTGCAATTGCCGACGCTTTTCGTCAACTTCTGTTGGTCGTGTCCGTTGTGATAGATAACTCGTCGTCAAGTTTGCCTCACGAAGAGAAGAGCGGTCGGCCTCATCGACCTGTCTTCGGTTCCGTTGCTGGAGCAGCTTTCCCAGTGGCAGCCCGTTAGTTTCAACGAGGCGCACATCATATCAGCAGCAACATGTAATCAATCCATCAGCTATCGTCATCATCGCCATCACAGTCTGAACAATCAACCCAACTGGCGTGTGAAAGCTTGCGGAATACCGCAACCAGCTGGGGGGGTTGCCAAGTAGCCGCCGTCGCAAGCAGATTTTTTGGACCGCGCATCCGGAAACTGCGGAACTTCTAGAAGTCGTGATTTGACACCATGAATCGGGGGCTGCGCCAGCCAAGATGCGGCGTTGACTCGGGCTGCACCGTTTCTCTGCGTGCTCTTCATGATTCCAATGGCGTCTGAGTGCCGCGGGGCGTGGAGATGGCCTCGTTTGGGGCCTTGCCTCGCACGTGGTGCCCGCGAGATTTGATGGGACAGTTTTAGGTTTAGATGAGCCCATGTTGGCGTACCGTCAGGCTGGTAGCGGCTATTATGGGAATGAGGAGGGGGGCCAGCTCTTAATGCCGTAGCTTTCTGAGACAATTTGGCAGAAGCGTTTAATACGGTGCCCCTCTTGATAATCGACGTCCAGGTAGATTCGTGCTACTCCAAAGTCTGATTTCGCCTATGTAATGGCGCTTGAACAAACGCACTGGGGGGGTGTTTTCTCTGCTTTTGCTTGCTGCATGGCCCTCCATGGAGCCCATGGATGGATTGACTGCCAAGGTGCTTATTTACTTGATATGGAGCATGATCCCGATGGAGATGGCAAGGGGATTGTACCGCCGCCGCCACTAATTGACAAACTCAAGCGAGACTTCCGAGCTGCGGCTGAACGATTTGCTCGGAACTCGGATGCCGTGGCCAGGACCGCCCGTCTCTTCCAAGCAGCCGCCCTACTTGTAATAGAGAGCGTGGATGAGTGTGGCTCCCCTTTTTTGCAGAGATGATCAAGATCTCTTGGATTTGGAGGCTGAGGAAGCCTACAGAGTCAAGCCAGCCAACTACTAGTCATGTAGAGTTAAAATTAAGAAGAGCAACAAGATCCAAGATCAAGGAGAATCAGCACGCAGCTACAAGCCCTTGCTATAAACACCTCTCCATCACAAAGCTGGAGCCCAGGAACTTTGGGGCGAATCGAAATATCAACCACCCCCTCAGCTTCAGCCCTGGCATGGCATCGCCAGAAGGCGCACTCACTACACCTGACTCAACGAGACCCTGTATTTGATTTTTCAGCTCTGCGTCGCTTGCTAATTAGCGAGGCATTACACATCACAGGACCGCCCAGGTGCCGATGGGTTTGAAAATAGCATCGCCAACGTCCGGATGATCTGTTGGCTAGGTATACCTCAAATATCGCATAGAATACGAAGCGTCGAATCAGAGCTCGCCATTGTCATTGCGGCTCTCGAAATGGGTAATCCCAGCTGCAAAGCAGAGAGAAACTATACTAACCCAGTAGCTTAGAGCAAGGGGAGTCGAAAAGAGAGAGAAAAAAAGAAAGATCTGACAGAAACCCCAGCGCCTGGTCGCTTTTGCGGGCGCTCGTCTGCCGTTTATTCCTCGCACATCTTGTACTCGTCGTAATTTTTCCATCTAAACCCTCCCACACCGTTTATTAGCTGAAGATCTGTAAATTGACTCATCTCCGTCCCAGCATTCGTGCACCCATGCAGCCCTAAATCTAAAAGCTCCACAGGCCTTTTTTGTGTCAAAGAAGAAATATATGTCGGAATTGGGCAGTACCTCACGCACACCCCCTCCCCTATTCCCGAAGGAATAGGAATAGGCCGACAAGGAACCACTTCGAGGAGGGCGCACTGGGAATAATAACAAAGCAACACGCCAAAAAAAAAAAAAAAACTTTGGCTGAGAGAAATGGGACATTTACTAGTAAGATGGAGAAAAGAGCGGTGATTTGCACCCCCGGTGCTCGTTCGCTCGACGGGCCGCGCGAGAATCCTCGTGGCATTCCGTCTCCATATTGTATTTTCATCCTCGGTAATTCCACATTTTTTTTTTAGGGTAGTTTCTTTCCTTTTGGAAAAAAAAGCAGTAGCGGTAGTAACGAATTACAGCACGAGTAATTCCGCCGGCTAGTTGGGATGGGATCTGATTCGCCTTTGGGGCTAATGAAACCGCAAACTTGGACTTACACGCACTTGACTTGGCCCTAAAACATGAGCCGCAAATTGTGGATAGTCGGCGAATGGGGCATGGAGATCCGGAGTTGAGGCTTTGGCCCTGTCCTGGACTCCGTAGTTCGTGGTTCGTGTAAAGCCCGAGACACGGACGAGGCCGGACGCGGTTCTGAGTTTTGAAGTGGTTCTTGCTACTGCTAGTAGGAGCCGTAGTAGCTGCGATGGCTGTTTGAGCAGCATGTAAAGCATATCCACCATCGGGCGCGCCCTTGAATGGTGTCTTTGCTTGCCAGTTTGGTAGGACTTTTGACAAGATGAAAATTGAAAATAAAGATGTAAATCACATTAGACGCCGGCGGGCGTACCGTTGTAAGCTGGACGACGTTACGGTTGCAGTATATTGCTGTGATGTTAAATTGCCGTGCCCTCTTTTGTCGTTGTAAACGTAATCAAAGGCTGGCACTCATGGCAAAAAGGCTAAAGGCCGGCTCCGCCTCCAAGTAATCATAAATACAACTATGTATCAAACTGCTGACTCTGCCACACACACCTCCCAGCGGAAGATACTTACCGTACTGCTACTCCAGACGCATGGCGGAGGCAGGGATAAGGGAATCATCGAGCCCTCCAAGAGTGTCATGACTGTTCTGTAACGCTAGTTTCCTGCGGCTAAAGCGAGAACGCCCCCTCCCCTTTCCCCCCCTTTGCGTCAATGACATGAATGACAAGAAAAACACCCCGATCATCATACAAGCTAGAGAGGCAGCAGTTCATGGTGCTACGGGTCGCTTCGCTGTCCCGGCGGTGCCTGGAGCTGCGCTATGAGATGGACCCGCGCCGCGGAGCAGGTTCCCGAATCTGTCTAAAGCCATTGGGCCTTCACTAGCAAGTATTGGAAGGGGGTGCGGTCGAACCGCATAGCTGGGAACGGCAAATCGACATTAGGGAAACAAGAGAAAACCGTCTATGCACCTGATCCGTCGGATTCGAGACGCCCCAGTGCTGTGATTCCACGGCGTATGGGAGCGTATTGCCATCGCCATCAGTGGTTAATACATGTGTACGTATGGATATGGAGTAAAGGAATGGTGATGATGGGACAGATCTAAACGACTGCCCAATCAGACATGCAGATGCTACTGTTGCAGCCGGCAGTCGTCCTCTATCTCCCCCGGAGCAGCCTTACTGACGCTGCATGTCCTTGTCAAAGCGTGACGCTGGACGTCCATCCCACTGAGCTCCGCCAACTGCCACAGTAGCAGTGCTAGTACGTGATTGCATCTACCGCTCTTTCAGCAGCATGGCTCTCGTTTGTTTCGGCAGCGTCGTATTTGCCACGGCTGTTGTGCGGTTGTCAAAGTTGTTAAACCCGAGGTTATGAGATGTCAATTTGTTATCTCCTGTGCTCTATACTACCTTCCCTTCGTTTCGTTTCCTTCCGGGATCGGGTTACAGCCACAGCGCCATAATGTATCAACTTGATGGAATGCCAGCGCGAAACCCGCAGCATTACGAGCTCCAGGGTTTCATATACTCATCACATCTTGTTGGATACATTGGTGCTGTTGATGCTGTTGATCTCGGGCTTCGGCATAGCGCGCACCGCAGTTGCTGGCATGAATTAATTCATCGACTGCAACGCATTGTTAGGCAGCGCAGCGTTGCACATGTTCCCATGATCCTGCGACTTTCGGTCAGTAGTCAGCCCAGAAGATCCTTTGAGACATCAATATACGGCCCCGGACAGGCTCAGCTCAGACCTCATTACAAACGGCACGTCGCCCCTGGCCTTGTACTTTACCACTTGCTCACATGGATAAAAGTCTTTTTGTTTTTGTTTTTTCTTCTTTAATTTAGAACCTGCAATTCACTGTTGCCGCAGCCGGAGTACCTATTTCCCCAAACAGCTCCTCATCCCCCATGCCACACCTGACACATATTACGGAGCAAGACCCTTTAGGCATAAAAGGCTAAGAGACAAAACAAAAAAAGAAGACGAACGAAAAATAGCAATTCTCGCGCCGAACGTCAAGTTACGCCCTGGCGTTGCTTCTGCCCTGCCCTGGTTCGGCACGCTTTCCCCGTTTCCCTTCTCCATCATCCCTGCCCTTCAAAGCCTCAGGTCTGGCACACCCCCCCTAGGCAAACCGCCCGGCCGAAATCCTATCAGCCTCTCAGCTCCTCCGATGGCCAGGTACAGCGGCAGCGCAAATGGCGTGTTTTTGCCAGCAGCTGGCTGGCTTGTTGATCCCTCATGCGGGGGGGGGCTGGCCGCTTCCCCGAGCCTGGACGAAGCAGATACGAGCAGCATCGCTGCATGCAAGCACATATACGTGTTGGTATTGCATTCAACATACCTGCCTACTTGCTAGACTTTCATCGCTGCAGAGAGCCATTGCAAGTTCAATGTTAGGGACGGGTAAAAGGGACTAGCATGCCGCAACAAGGGGACTTTTGCCCCAGCGCTCTCCGCTGAAAACCCATGCCCGGGCGATCACCTACCAAGCTATTGGGAGGAAATCAAGTGGTCACAATTGGGGAGAAAGGAAGGGGGGGCCCTTACCATGGAGCCCTGAGGCCGGACCCGAATGGACAGGGACACGCGTTCTTCCAGGACAAGGCCTCATTTTCAAGGATAGGCTGGCTATTAGACCCGCCGTCAAGGTGGGAGACACAGCCCTAGCTTATATTCTCCATGATCATCATAAACCCCTCTCCCCGGCTCTCGACACGCCCCCTTGCCGTTCTCTTTTGCCTTCTTTCAGAGCGTGCACACACGCCCTCGCCCTGGCCTGGCCTGGTCTGGCTTGTTCTGATCTGATTTCACGGCCTGTCAAATAGCATTTCGTCAATGAGTTGCAAGGCAAAACTCCGCTCAAAATTATGGGGACTCCTCCGCCTGGTCCTTGAAGGAGATCACGGCTGCCAAGTTTGCTTTCATAACAGGTATGTGGTCCTGCGGTCCTGCGTTCGACTAATAGTGATATACGGCTAGGCCGAGACAATCAGATGCCGCTCGCAATTGCCGACACAGTTTTTTTTTCCCTAGGATTGAGTAAAAGGAAAAGAGAAGAAGAAGAGAAAGAAAACTCTCTGCTGGGCATATATTCCACATGCGAGAATATGCACTGGCCGCTCTACAGTGCCTTCTATACACGTAGCCCTACGACCACGGATGTAGGTAGTAATACTACCGCCAAAGCAACATCAAAACTCCGCTTGACAGGTCTCGTGGGCAAGGGGTAGTCTTCGCACAAGGTTTGGCGTACGAGTAAGTCTTCTGCTGAACAGAAAGTAATCCAGGTTGACTGCAACTGGCATTCGTGTGCCTTGACAGATCTAGCTAGTAGCTGAGACGAGTCTAAGGAAGCATCCGTCTGCTGCTAAGTGGGGAGGAGATGGATCACTTACAAGGCATTGTAGGCTGTAGAAAACGGTCGGTAGAGGCTGCCTAAAAGGGTATAAGACTTGCTTTATGCTCACGAACAGACAGCCCAAAAAGGCGGGCTGATTATTTATTTTAAAGGGGAGCATTCGAGGACTCTCACACTAGGCGATACTGGTTGGCATTTAACCTCCTGCTCTATAACATCTACCTATGTATATGTATAAATAGGTATGTGTGCGTGTATAGGTAGGTATATAGGGAGACTATCATGTAAGATACCTACTCAAAGTTTATAGGTATTTGTATATGCTCCGTGTCTCTCTCGTAATTCGTATACGCCCAATGCCGCTCGATATTTCCACTAGCAGTGCTAGCAGTAGAGACACGCATATGCCACATCCATGTCAAGGTCCATGACTCAGGCTCGGGGAACACAGCATGCTCCAGAACGGACCGGTCTTGAGTTGAGGCGGACATTGCTGAGTTGCGGTGAAATCCAATGCCATGCGTGTGCAAACTAGCATACCGCCAACTCGACTCTCAAACTCATGCTACAGTACAGTATGTAGGGGAGGGTGGTGATGGCAAGGAGGGGTTGGGACGGGATCCCCAGACGATGAGATTCGCGCGTGTGTGAGGATATTCCCCGATACCACTCTACAATTGGTATATACGTCTAGAATACCCTTTTTCCCGTTTAGTAGTGCGCGTAAACGCATGTTTTCTGTATGGCACCATCACATGAAGCTCTGCGGCTAGATACCCGCCATGTGACGATGGAACCCTGAAATCAGAGCGACGCTTAAGATGAGTGCATGACTCCCCTTTGCATGTCTTGGCGGCCGTATATCCGACGGGGCCTGGGCCTTGTTCCTTTGCAATGCCAGCCGCGGCTGCGCTGCAAGAGAAGTAAGAGATTCGTATCATTCGCGCAGCCTCTTTGGTCCTTTGGCTGCGCGTATTCATCTAGGATTGTCCCCCCAGATTCTGATTCGTGAAAGCCGCAGCCGCCAAAGTAGCATTCCGTGTACTATTACACTATTACAACCCTGCGCCGGCGTGTTCAACGCGGTAGCACTCGGTACTTGTCCGCTGGAATCATACCAGTTCCATGCTATTGGTGAGAAATAGAAGGCCTTGGAGGTTGTGGGTGTATTGGACGACATGTGTGTGCTGCGGCTTGCTTGCTTGCTCGCTTGCTGCAGTCCAATCCTCCTACACTATGCCGCTTACAAGCCTTGTTCCCCGGCGCGAGGATTTTGAAAAAAAAAAAAAGAAGAAGAAAAGAGGGTGCCCCAGTGATATCCGCGCGTGCCTCATCTCCCAATACTGCAAAAATGGCCGTTTAGATGCTTTCCTCGTTGAGAAGCGCTGCGCTGTTTCTGCGGGATCCACTGCCCTTATTCGGATTCTGCTAGATGATCATATAGTAACCCGCGGCCTAAGATTGGAGCTTATTTTCTAAATCGGATGGTACATCTCACGCCCTCACGCGTACTATTGCCGCTATACGTATACGTTATGCGTCAAAAAAGACAAAAAGAAACAGCCGATCCCTGCGGTCAGATCGGAGCCGATATAGGGATGTAGACCTGCCTAACAACATGGCGGGTTTAACGGCGGAAACAGTGCTGTTACAGGGCCCGGCCAATACATTCCTTCGGATAGGGAACGTGTCCAGGCAATCCCAGGATGGCGGTGCCTCCGTCATATGTGATAGGGGAGTTTTCAGGGTGCATGTCCTTGTAATGTTGTAGGTATGCATCTGTAGTTGACAGCTCGTATCTAGCAATAACTGTGACAGATTATATAACAAAAGGGACAAAAAGGTTATACATCTATAATACAACGTTGCAGCATCTAATAATAAGCCAGCTATACAACAACTGACGCAAAACTTATCAATCATGCAGCCTCTCCTTCAATCTCGGAAGCAGATCATCGCTCAATTCAGTTCTGCGCAAGTAAATCGGAAATGAGCCAACCCTCTTTGTCCGCTTCCAGGCTTCAGCCCCCAATCACAGAGACAGCCACCGCAACAAACACCACTCCCCACCAACTCCAGTATGCATAAATACTACCGTATTCGACCGGGTAATTTACAGCGTCGGAAATACTTGTAGTACCTACCAAGGAGTGCACAATCGCAATGGCAAAGAACACTTGGAAATTTGTTCCCCCACAGAGTGAGTGGTCGCCCATGTCATGACTCTCTTGTGCATGTCACAAGGAGCGGCGAAAGTCTATCATCTCCCATAAGAAGAGCAACAAGATCCACGTATTGGTTGTGTAAGCTATTGCGCGAGCACGAAAGACGTCATGGTAGGAAGGTGAGTAGGCAGTGTTGCAGTTGCAGCCTGCATGTAGGTTTCATTCTCCAAAGCCGAAGATGGCGATAGTCAAGGAGCCGAGAACGCAACCGACCATGAAGATACCGTAGACAACCATGTCAAGCATGAATTCGGGAGTCAATATGCCGTAAAGAAGCTGTGACAGTGTTTTATATACATAAATACCATTGAGCCTATACGAGAGTGGAACATACACCCTATGGAGGGCAGTTGAGGATATCTGGAACAGCAGTTTCGAAGCCGAGACTTGTTTCGCGGATAATACCTGTGCTGAGACGCATCCATGTGATATCAGCACTTGACAAAAATACTGATACATCTGAGTCGTCTTTAACTACCATACCAGTGAGAAGGAAACGAAGCCGGCATTGGCTGCTACAGGAGGTTGGTTTTCATGCGCCGTCCAAAGGCTTCTCATGTCCCCATCATACGCTCTACTACATCCTGTTATAAAGACGTCAGATATAAAGGATGTATAACTTTTTGATGCTAAAGCTTTACGTCGTAAAACTGTGCGCTTGCTGCATAGACACAGCATCTTTTCACGTCGGAGTCAAAGGGAAACTCTTCGATATAGCTCATTTTGCTTCTAGTTCTCGTGATAACTGACTGCTGAAGTCGAATCCAGCCAAAACGAGATGCGAATACTTTAATAGCAATATTTGTCAGGGCATCTCACGCTGAACCATCTTTCTCCTATCGCCAAAATGGTCAGAGGCGTAACGTTTGAGTAGTCTTGTAGGAACTGATTCCCAGAGGTCTTATAGTACGAAGAATATGCTCTTCGATGGAGATTTCTCAGTTACGTCTAATGTCACCGAGCTGCATCTGGCTGAAAATCGCAGGGCGACAAACTTTCTTTGCCATCTTGACCGAGTAGGTTCCATAGCTCAGCAAACCAGACTTTCACGGGCAATTATTCGACTTTGAGTAATCCTTTCGGTCTCGTAAGGGTAAATGAATATATAACTATTGACTTACTGTGATCTAAAAAGGATGTCAAGTCGAAGAGAGATATTGTACAGATATTCAAGAATGCAGCAAGTCATCTACTTAGTCGTCATTACTCCAAAGGCCTCTGAACTGGACAGAATGTGAACAAACACATGTCTTTCCAGCATATTTTCCGTCCCAGCTGCTGTGGTAACTGCCAGGACGAGAAGTAGAAAAGCCGCCGTTGTGCTCATGACGTTTTCGTGGGTTTCAAACTTGTTGGCAGGCAGCACAATGATTGCAGAAAATTGTAAAGGTGAGAAATCACAAGAACAGCTGCACAAGCTTCTGCTAAAGTGTAGCACCAACAGTGATACTAAGAAGTTTCTACCAGCCAACGCGACTCTTTGGCCACACCGTGGCCACAGAAGCATGTTGAAGAGCCTTAAACTACCATTCAAGGCCAGCGTTGCCATCAGTAGAACCTATACAAGCCTCACGTACTGCTCTACTAGAGCCATAAATTTGAAAACCTGCTCTACAAATACCCTCAGCGGCTGAACGCCATTTTGCCTCTCCATCTCATAAGCCCGAGCTTTTTGAGTCGCCTCAGTAGCTTCGTCTGCATTGAGACGATTCGCCAGGTTAGCTTCACGCTCTTTCAAGACTTGAGTGAGTATCTGCCGGCTGAAACAGTAGCCTGTTGGATATCCCAGAGTCAAGATGTATCGCGAGAACGTCGAATTGAGGTTTTGTCACGATCAACAAATAGGGTGTGAATTCATAATACAATGGTGTATTTCAGTATCTGGAAGATGCAGCTAACATATACTGCGATTAAGAGGGTAGCCTATTGAAATCGTGGCTAAACTCAAGACAACGAGCCGGATCAACATCAATAATCTCTCGGCAATGGCAAGACTAAAGTAGGCCTCTACGATATGCATTGTAGCGCCCTTCTTTCTAAGACGCATGATGTTGGATGATCGCGTGTAATGCTCTATCAGCGCAAGTTCCTACGGATATCTTCGTCCCAAATTACACGTATCTGGCTTTTATGCTTGCGAAACGACTTGACTTTATCACAGCTATCTCAGAAAATCTACACAATTCATGATCCATTATATACTAATCACAGTAGCGCCGAGTCTTCATATTTGATTGGTATTAGCTTTGCACTTTCTCATCAACCGGTGATTTTCCTGGAGAGCACTCTTTACTGAAGATCGAGAAGCATGAGACGGTTGCGATAATCAGCACGTAGGACGCATCAACGAGAAGAAAATTGAGGGTATCAAAGTCGCATGGCTATATTGCGGAACGCACATATTGGTTGTAAAATATTCGAATCTTGCAAGTTTGATATGTTCTCCACTGACTTTTCTAGACATGATGTAACAATGGCTGAGAAACGGAACAAGCGACAGTATGAGTGATTTAGTTACTTCTTCCATTGAGAACAATCCGAAAAGTTAGACGAGAGAGCGCAGGTTGATTCGAAACTCTTTTTATTTCGTCTCTACGGAAGTACCTCTTCATTCACTGACAAGTTGTTGAAACCTCCAAACATAAAATACCCTATCCAGCCAGCCAAACATTTTTACTCGTACCAACAGGGCATCATCGGTTCTTTATCATGATTCTTCTTGCTACAAGTTTTAATTGTCATAGATCTTCTCATCAAGGGCATCTTTCCAACATTCAAGAGGCCAGCCTATCATCACCCATACTCTCATGAAACAGGACATACGACACAAACCTTTCCAATGGCGTTTCTTCAAGCCGCACACCAAAACGACGTGGAATGGCAGTATCCGTTCAAAATGTCTACAAATATGTAGTTCAAATCCGATTCCAGCCTTGGATGGTTTCTTTCCATCGCTATCTGGCAGCTTCTACTGAGTCGAATCTACGGTTATATACTTAGATAAGCAAACAAGAAGAACAAAGACAAGTTTTTTTACATGACTCCTTGTATTTATCAATCTTGTATCCGTACATCTCATTACTGAAATTGCAAGCACCCTATTGCGTGCCTTGCCTTTATATCCAAAGCCCTCTGACGAGGTATCTTTCACTGCTGGCACCCCAGCAGCAACATTATTATTACAAACATGAGGATCCCTTACTTCGCAATGCATTACCAACCCGTTTTATTTGAGGGAATTCCATAAATAATAACAACTTAATATCCTACATAGACATTATTCGGTATGTGGTATTAGCACCAGTCATCATGATCCATGGGACTTGCCGGTCGTTGGATTCCCATACACGCTTGTGAAAACAGCATAGTGCACTATAAAGGACTCGCTACTTGGAAACCCCAGCGATGAGAACCACCAGGAATATATTCTCATCTTTATCTTTGAGATACAATTGACTCGGCGATTTTTATCTTTGAACAACACCAATTAAGACCATCTTTTTGGCGCATATAAGCGTAAGGTCACAGGAATTCTTCTGGGCAAATCTTCGTCGCACGCTCGTAGCTGACAACCATGTCACTTATACGAATAAATATTATGCCGGAGCATGTCTTACTGGCGCGCTACCTACATGCCCTTGATGATTGGGGCATTCAGTAGACGGACGATGGAGGGCAAACTGTGGTCTGTATCCTGAAGCTGAGATGAAGACCAACGTCGCACCAGTCACTGGAAGTATATAACGCGACATTTCACAACAGCACTTGACTAACTTTCCACGTCACAGCCTCGGCTCATATAAATGACAGCCGTCAGTGGCGTGCTTGCTTTGCTACGTGCTTCTCAGGTGCATGACGCAACATGCCGCAGCGTAAACGAAGAGAGAGGTGCTGTGTCGCAAAGGTGCAATATAGGATGGCGTAGCGCCAAAGCACAAAGACAGGGCAGTTTCGATAGGCTCGGATTCATGATTCAGTAACGCAAGATACAAACTCTAGTCACATGTAGAAGCGCCGCTGTCACACAGCAGCTCTGTGAGCGATCGGTTGCTATGGTCTCAGTGGCGGTCATTTGACTGGTTGATATTTGAAACGGATCAAGTACTTCAAGTAGCTCTCAGGAGGGTGTCTTGGACCAACGAGAAGCGATTCCATAGAATTTGAGGCCGAAGAAGTTCCATCCAGAGAGGGTGTGAAGCCTTGTTCTGGAATAGCCTGACGAAATCACCCGGGGTACGTAGTTTAAGGTAGCGAATACGAAGAATCAATATGTAGAATGCCTAGTAGAAGCGAGTCATTTTTAGCAGCTCTCGCACCTTGTCCAATCTGAGCGGCCATGCACGTATATATTACTGGGGATGCTCGACGCACATGGTAGATCTTTTTCTTTTTGCTCTTGTCAGGCCTGTGGAAAACGTAAAGCTAAAAGAGAGAAAAGGCTGTCATGAGGCTTTCCTGTGGTTACATGGCGTTACCAATGGGATCAAACCTCCTGCAAGCTGCTGCAGGCCGGAGGGTGGTTTGCATAAGGGCCGCTGCAGAAGATCCCGCGTGCACATCCGATGCAAGGCGGGACGGAACAGATATGGCTGTGAGGCTTGATGCAGTGTTACTCGGTACGCGAAGAAGGGCTATAACCTTTGTTGCGTGCAATGCAGAATGATATACCTATTTTGTATTTTGCATCATATTAGCATAGCAGAGAATGGAACAAATGTCTCGTCCCCCAGAGAGATGTTTGCATGTTCATCCCATAAACGCTGGCGGGGAAATACAACCATGGAACACCGCCGCCAGCCAGAGGAGTAGGCGAGTAAATTCAGACATGTCAGATGTGACGATCGATGAGGGACCAGATCCCAGCGCCGCGGAGAGGAAAGGCAGGGGATTCTATGAGAAGAGGAGAACCTCGGACAAACGGGGGAGGGTAGAGCGCATCTCAGACAGGCTCTTGCATGTGTCTGCGCACACCCGTCGCATCCAAGATTCTCGCGCGTGGGTCAAGGCACGGCACTGAGCTGAGAGGCATCTTGGTGTATAGCCATCGTTTGACGGATTGATAACATGGCAAGGCCTTGCAAGGGCTTCAGGTCGTACCGCGGAACGGGCGATACCGCCTTTCCGTGGCAGGCGTAACATGATGAGTCGTTGTTGGAGGCTTTGGAGTAATATATTGGAGATGGAGGTGAGGGGCGGCCTTTTGCACTTGTGGCTGGGGATAGAAGAATGGGTGGTTGGACAAAATATCGCGGCGGCCAGAGGCGGCGCTTTCTGGCGTCTTGAGGGCTTGGGGGCACGAATGTGGCGTCTGGTAAGCGAAGTCGTTGGAGACGGGAGAAGTTGAGTCCGGCCTGTAGTACAGGATGTTGAACGTTGGAAGCCATCGTGATGGAAAGTAGAAGCACATGTGCCAGTGGTCGTAGAAGACGATGGAAGATGCGCCAGCTACTATGGCAAGAGGGGAGACGCTCTTTCCCCAGTGCTGCGGAGGGGCCCTCGTGATCGCCTCGACTTTTCCACTGCCCTCGATCTTTCTTCCTCCTGCCTTCTCTCTTTTGGCCTGTCTGCTCGTAATTAATTCTCCCTCCCAGCAGCGCTAGGCGCTGACCGGCACACACCATCTTTTGGCCGTTTGCTTTCTGTCCTGGCTCGATACTGGGCTCATTCCCAGCTGCCTTTCCGGTCGACGATAATCGGTGTCTTAATAACGTTGGTTCCGGCCTGTTCCGCCCCTGCTCCCAAGAAAGACGCTGACGGGCGCTTTGCAGCGCCTCGGATTGACCAAGAGCAGTTCCGCATCTCGCAGACTGATCTGATACGACCGCCATCTCCAGCCAAGTGAGCGTCAATAAGCCGACAAGTCTCGGGGAACTTCAGCTGCGCTTCAGCTTCAAGCAACGACAAAGCTCGAGCACTGTCTTTACATTGCTGACAACCCGGGATCAGCATCCTGCGATACTTCAGCTTAAAGTTTCAGCCTTCTAGCTCGGCCCCCCTTGTCCAGCTTCTTATCGATGATCAAGAGAAACACGGTGCCAGGCCAAGTCCATCTCGATGGGCGGAGTTCAAAACAGCCCCCAAAAACTTATTACCCGGCGTGCAGCGGTTACCCCTGCAGTGAATGCATGCTGGCAGCCGTCACCGATCAAACGGCTTGGAGCTAGATATTCGACGACGCTTCTAGAGCCATGTGATTGGTAGCCATTCACAGCCATTTGAACTCTGAATCCAAGCCGCATAAACATGATAAAGTAGCTCCCGCGGCATAAAGCCGGCATGCTTCAAAAGGGGTCCAAGATTTGATACTGGCTGGCTTCATTCACCAGCTGCTTTGCGGCTGCTTGACCTTGACGTTGCAGGCTGCTTAACCACAGACTTGCACTTACAGAGATTAGTGGAACGTGGGGTGGCTACAGTGAGGTACAGGTTGTACCGCTCATTCACCCTGGCACAGATATTTGGCCGCCCGCGCCGCTGGAATCGGGGGCAGCTTTCAAACGGACCATGGGCCTAGTCGAGCCGCCGCCGTGAGCATCCGTTTGATCAAACGGAGAATGCAGGCCCGGTGAATGCGTTTCTTTCCATCGCCATCATCGCCATCATCGCCGTCGCAGAGTTGCGGCCTCTTGACTGTTGCGGCTCTAGCAGTGACGACGCCCACCAGCCGCCGGCCGAAAACAACGACCGCCTTTCCCCCCCACGATCCTAATTCTCCAATCACAAGCTCCTTGCTGCACCAGACAGATCCCAGGATTAAAGGCCCGCGCCAAAACCTGGCCACGCCGGGGGCTCGGTCTCAAACCACTCGCGCGCCGCCAGCTCTCAATCCAACCTGCGGCGTTATGCACATCACTGCCGTCATCATCCCGAGACCATGAGCCTCTGTGCATTGGACTTGCCGAACCAGACGCTGCCGTCACTGCAACCTTCATGCACAATATTATCCTCTCCCTCCTTTGCAGCCCTCGCCGTCTCGCGAAACAGTCCATCTACCGTCCTTTATCACCCTCGCTACCGACACCACCGCCGTCCACTGCGTCAGCCCCGACTCCAACACTACAGATCTCCATCTCTACATCTCTCCACCGCTGCTGACCTCGTTACGGCCACGGGTGGCTCTCTCTGTCCAAGAGGCGCCGTAGCGCCTCGCTCGACAGCCAGCCATGGCCACTTCCAATACAATACCAGATACGCAGTTAGGGCTCAGTGCCGAAGAGATCCAGCTACTTCGGCAAGGTCAGGCCGCGTTGGGAGGCGGCGCAGGTTCAGCAAGCTCTCGGGCCGCCAGCAGAGCTAGCAGCCAGGGCCTCTTGATGCTAGACAGCTCATCACTTTCAGCTCTGGGGCGATACTTTGACCGATTAATGGCTGGCATCGAGCAGAACATCCGCTACCTCAGCGAGCAGGCCCAAATGTTTACACAAGTTCAGTACGACCGAGCCGGTAACATCATTGATGGCGCCGACGCCGAAATCGCACGATATGCCGACATCTTACGGCAACTCGACGAGCTCGAGGTTGATTTCGATAGGATAGCCCATATTAAAGAAATCGTCAAGGGATACAGATCAAGGGTTGAAACACTGGAAAAGGATTTAGAGAGTAGCGGTGGCGGCTCGTCAAATCGACACAAACATTCGTCTTCACATCACCACAAACACTCTCACAAGCACACTTCATCTCGCCACAAGTGAGGCAAGATTGAAATGCCACCACCTTCTTTTTATCCACCAGGCTGGAGCTAGCGCCGGCCTTACAGACAAATATCATCAATGTCGAACCATACGCTGTGTGCGGGTGTCTGCCGCTTGGTCACCGACGAGTTGTCAAGGGAGGTCCTATCACCACACAACAATCTCGGTACAGGGTTATCAATGGAAAGGGAAAACGGATATTGCAAAAAGGGAACAAAAAACTCGTCTTGAGATGCCTAAGCAGGCAGGATGCAGTTGTTGTAGAGGGGGATTTGTATATTCTCGAGGTTGCGGGACTACAGCCGCGAAATTTCCTCAAGATGGGTGAGGCCTCGCGGCTAGGCAAGAAAGGAAAAAGCCTCACGGCTCGTCATTTCAGTATTGGGTTTGGGCATTCTTGGCTTTGAGGCGTTGAGACCTGCGATTTCTGCTTATTTTGATGTTTTTTTTTTTTCCTTTGCTCTTTTCTTCACTACCATTCAATCGCTCACTCCACACGCTTGGATTTTTTTCTGGATCTACCAATTGTTTTATTTATGCTTTTTTAAATGGGATAGGGGAGCTGAGAATATTGCATTGATGTACGTTTGGGAGCAAATTTGTTTACCAGGAGCGAAGAAGCAACAGGAATCTTTTTCTCTATGATACCGGAATACGGCGTTTGTGGTCATTTTACAATCTGCTCTTTATACCCTTTGGAAAGATTTGGAAGGATGCTGTTTTCTTGCCAGGTATCGGCAGAAACAGAGAGACACGAGCCTGCTTGGACCATGCCTATGGTGCTTGGATTGCGGCACGAGCAACAGCGCAGCGACCCGGACGTGATGCAATGCATTCGCCTCCCCGTGGAGAGAGACCGCCTCTCGGCCATGCAAGCAGGCGAGGCGGTATGCATCAAACACGCAGCTCCAGAGCCGTGCGCTGTGAATCATTAGCATTAGCAGGATTATTAAGACGTAATACGAGTTGGCGCAATGGATCCCGTATATGGGCGACAGCGCAACTTTTTCTCATTCTCTCCTTCCTGTGCCCCCTCTTCAGTTGGTGACTGTCAATTTCGGTGTAGACCAGGTTACTGGTTGGTTGTGGAGATTCGGTCACCGCATCAATAGCTGCATGAATCACTCGAGCCGACCCAATGGACTAGGTAGAAGACGTGTCTCTGTTGACTGGAGCTGGGAAAGCTGGCTAAATGGATTGGACGGATGTTTCGCGGTGACCAGTGATTGGGCATTGAATGGGCAATGTCAGAGCATCTGGTTCGTTCGTTCGTCGTGCTTCACTTATCTTTTGCTTTCTTTTCAAAGAGGAGGCGTGGGATGCATTCTGCATGTCCTAAAGACTGCTGATAGCCTTGACTTTATATCTAGCCACCCATCCATCCATGATGATTCAGCATGGCTAATCCAATCCCTTTTGCAGTTCATATCTCTCACACACACTCAATCTGCCTCGATTCAACTCTTGCATAAAGTACAAGATAAAAAGCGTATCGTTGATTCGTCATTGTCCGATACCAGAAATTTGAAGTATGTAAAATAACCAATGAAAAATCGTCTACTAGGTCTTGTTTTCATTCCATTCAAGGAGTTTATATGTGCGTTCTATCTAAACCCATCCGCCAAGCTAAAAAAAAAAAAAAAAAAAAAAAAGTCATAGACATGTTTCGTGATATCTGAGGTACCTACATCAAACACCTAAAAAAAAAGCAAACAAAAAAATAAAGCACAGGCAGCGATATGACAAAAACAGATATCACAAATACTCCCCTAAGTTTTTGTAGAATGATGTTTGTGGATTGTTTCTCTCTCTCTCTTCTGTCTGTCATGCCTCTCCTGAAAAACGCCCAAGCCAAAAACTCAAAAAGATCAAACCAAAAAAGAAAAAGAAAAAACCAAAAGCCAGCCAAAAACAGAAAAGAAAGCATACGCCAGCTAATAAACCAGCCAGCTTGACAAAATTCGGACCCTCGCGCCACATTTCTTCATAACGGGATACAGGAAAAAGAGGGGAAAACACACAAGATACAAAGTTTACATGAGAAGAAGAAAAGGGGGGAAGAGAAGTGAAGAGAAGAAAGAGAAGGGGAACAAATTGAACTCCAATCCCTGGGGAATGTACTGTCCGCTGAATAGCTTCTGCGTCTAATGCGTCTTTTCACTTCTCGCGAAGATGGAAAAGTATAATGAAAGAACCAAGTCAAACGCTTTTGTTTGGATTGTGGCTCTGGCTCGTGTCCTCGAACTCGTCTTGGCGCAAAAAAGACAAGAATGAATACAAAGAGCGACCAAAAAGAAAGAAGAAGGAGCTAGTGATTAAACGAGGTAACACACGGGTTATGAACTCGTGTTGATGCAGGCTTTTAGCATGGTAAATGGTTCCGTGCTAGAAGAGGTGGAAATATGCGTGTCCCGTCGTTGCTATTGTTATCAAGTGTCGCAACACGATGCATCAGCCGCGGCAGCGGCAGGAGCAACAATAAACGAGGTCAAAGGTAATGTACGGTATCCATATATGTGTAGTTTGGGGTATGATGTCGATGATCAATCAGTGTTGTGCAATGCCATGCATGAGAAAGAATCCTGAAAAGCAACCCCCCGACCAAATAGGGGGTTCAAAGCAGATCCAAAGCAAAACAAGAAAATCCAACCAGTCGTTATGAAAAAAAAAAAAGTAGCAAAAGCAAGAAATGTCTTTTTCACCTTTTCCTTGCCCCTCTTTTTTTTTTTATCTTTTTTGTAAATCCTTCACCACCGCCAAGCTGCCTAAACCTGCGCGATGCGTCGGGTCCGAACCAAGAAGGGACTCGGCATCTCGTCTCGCTCCGGGTCCCACACGGCCACCGGCTCGTGTCCGGAGCTGACTACACGATCTCGGTGCGGCTTCGTCGAGGCCGCGGCCCTCTTGGAGCTCACGTTCTCGCCCAGCGGTATGCCCGGGACGCTCAGGGGACGGCCTCCAGCGCGTGCCTGCTGCAGCTCGACCAGTGTCCGGCCCTTGACGTGGTTCTTGGTGGCTGCCACCTTGCTATGCGCAGAGCCGTCCTTCTTAGATGACAACCTGCGAGACGTGCTGGACGACGCGGACGTGGGCGACGGCGTGTTAGCCTCGCTGACATTTTTCGTCCCCGTGAGGTTAGCGACGGAGGGAATCTTAGTCAACCGGCTGACTGGAGAGCGCGATCGCGTGGTTGGAACAGAGGTGGCGGCGGCCTTGGAGACGAAGCCACTTGACTTGGTTCCGCTGGTTCTCAGACGAGAGGTAATGTTAGAAGCCTTCTGCGAGGAGAGAACCGGTCGATCTTTGTTCGTAAAGGGATTGTTAATCGATGAACTGTTTGTTGATCTATGTCGCGTCGGCGAAGAAGGAATAACATCATCGTCGTCTGAGTCTTCAAAGGCTTCTCGCAGATCCCAGTTTTCCGCTCTAGAAGCCGAGTTCGCCGCAAAGATGTTACCTTGGTGCGTCGGGACCTTGCCGCGGCGGCGCGGAGACAGTGATAGCGACGCAATGGCCACGGGGGGCGAGTCCATCTCGATATCCATGGGAGTGCCGTGGGGGCCGGCATACGTCTGGGCTCTGCTATAGGGTGTCCGCGCTGTTCGCTTGACTTCCTTGTTAAAATCTGGGCTTTCGGCAGAGTAAGAAAGCTCTGTGATGTCGGTGGTGGAAGGGAAATCGTCGCCGCTCCCGTCAGCAGACGATGTTTGCGGCTGGTCAGATCTCGCGGCGGGGGAGTCGATAATTTGCACATCCTCTGTCGGTGGTGATGGTGCTCTCTTGCGGATTTTTTCCAGTTCTCTCTCCACGCGGCTCTTGACTTCTTCGTCGAACTGCTTCTTCAGCCTCTCTACTTCGGCGTTAATCTGTCGATCAATTTCCAGTCGTGCTTTGACCTCCCACTCTCTTCGTATAGAGGCGTCCAGCTCCTCACGCATTACGTGCTTCTCCTTATCCATGCTGACCAGTCGCAAGTTCAGTGTCGCCTCCTTTTCGCGTAAAATCTCTTCGCGCGCCTTAAGCGCTCTGTTCAGATCAACGACCTCTTTCTCTTTCCTCATAAGCTTCACAATTGGGTTGTTGAGCAGCTGTGCGGTGTCCGGTCTCCTATCGGGGTTGACCTTGAGGCAGTCTTTGATGACGTGGTTGAGTTCGGCAGAGTACATGTCCGGCAGGGGATTAATTCTGCCATCCTTGATCTTCTGAATGAGTTGGAAATGCGTCTTTGCGTTGAACGGGGGCTCGCGAGCGCAGAGTTCGTAGATGATGCAGCCCAGTGACCAAATGTCTGACTTGAGCGTGTATTTTTCGGCTGCGCAGATCTCGGGCGACATGTAGAACGGGGTGCCGACATAAGTGGAAGCAAAGTCCTGCGACTTGATCATCTTTGACAGGCCAAAGTCACCCAGCTTGACAGAGTTGTCTTCGCCCAGAAACACTATTTTACAGAACGGTCATATCAGTTAAATGCTGACCTCCAACCTTTGCAACAAGCTTATCATCTGCTCTCACCGTTTTCAGGCTTCAAATCTCGGTGTAGGATCGTCACGGCCCCCGCCGGCGGCTTCGGAGCACCGGTTCCAGACGGATCGAGGACATTGCCGCCAACCTCCGGAGGGTCGATTCCGTAATGACAGCGATACAGCGCCAGAACCAGCTGGCTAAAGATGCTCCAGACGAAGCTCTCCTGCGCCCGCTGGCCCTTTAGCTGCAGATCCTTGATGACGCGCCCAAGATCGCCGTTGCCGCAGTATTCCATGTATAGGTGCAGGTCCTGGCTCGCCTTGAGGTGCTCGCGGTGGTAGTAGGCGACGATGTGCGGATGGCGGAGATGCGACAGGATCTGGAACTCGGCGTGGAGCTGCTCGCGCTCTTTCTGCGACATGCGGAGGTAGGAGATTTCCTTGCGGCACATGATAAAGCCATCGGCCTTGCGCCGGACCTTGCGAATGATGCCAAAGGAGCCATGGCCTGGATAATGACGCAATCTTAGCTGGGGGCTCTCAACAGTCAAACGCAGCGGATGCTTGTATTCATTCGTCCTCGGAGCCACTCACCAATCTTCTCCAACGTCTCGTACTTGTCCTCGTATGACATGGTGAGCGGTTCTCACGGTGGTACCAGCGATGGTTATCTGTATTCGAGCCCCATAAAGGAACCGTTCTCGACCACACGACCGGGAGAGGAGAGAGAGGAGAAGAGAATAGAGGGGTGGGATGGAATAGAGAGAGTATAAAAGAAGCCAAAAAAAAGAAAGAAAAAAGTATGATGTTGCTATTGTTCTTCCTCGTACTGCTAGGTTAGTTGGTACCAAAAGCAAAGATGCTAAGTGGAGGGGGGCAAAGCTTGTTCTGGTGATGCTGTTTCAAAGGCGGAGGGAAAAGTTTACAAGGGAAAAGGTTAACACAATGAATGGACAACAGAGCAACGAGGCTTGAACCACCTAAATGGGGCGTCTTCCAGCTTAGCCTCTCGTACAGTAAGAAAAAAAGGGTTCCAAACCCAAAAGAGCTGGAGCGGAACCACCAGTTGCTGCTCTGGCTGTGCTGAAAACAAAAGGCAGCGCTCGTGCGTGCGCTTTTGCTTTGGATGCGCCCAAAAAGGGACCCTGGTTCCGCCAATTCGTCGACGCTAAAGGACTGGGGGCCCAAGTCAGTTGATGTAAACAGTGGACGCCGGTGCCATGGCAACGGGCCCAAAGAGGAAAGACCCGCGATATAGCCGCCTATCGATAATGCAGAGCCAAAGTCGCGGCGCCACCTGCCCCGTCGTGTGGCTTGTCAGCCAGAACGTGGCGCAATTATATGAGATGCTGTGAAGCGGTCTACGAGACGACGGGAAATTCAATGAGCTTTAGGGTAAGGCAGGCAAAGACGACGTGGTTGTATGGGCTATAACCAGCATTATTCTATAAGAAGAGTAAGAATATGTAATTGATGCAAAAAACAGACATGTCTTATACCAAAGACCGGTGGGCCCTTCCTTGTTGGCAGCTCCGATGACATCCAAGATAAGCGGCAAAATTATCTCCGTCGAGAAGCATTTCGCCTTTTTTAGCCACTTTACATAATCCTCACCTCTTATTTCAAACTGCTTCTTATAACACTCAAAGCGACATTGAAATCACTTTCCATATCATCCAAGTCTCTCCTTGCGTTGCCCCCTTTTTTCTTCTTCTTCTCGGTTTTCCCTTTTTTTTCTTCTCAGGCATAAAAAAAGTAGTAAAAGATGGTGCTGGGAAAGCATGAGCTGGAAGGCAAACTGGGCGAAGAGAGCCTGCTGATAAAAAGCGGCGTGCTGCGAGACGAGAACCCCCTCGACACGAGTGCGCAGTTTCACGATTTCCTGCTGGCATGTCGGCAGGGCGATTTGCAGAAATGCCAGCAACTCATCTCCATGGGCGTCAATATCAACGGCAAAGACAAGTTTGATTACACGCCGTTGATTCTGGTGAGTTTTGCGTCTTGTCGGAGTTAACGGCGGGGAGAAGTTGACGATGAGGAACACTTAGGCTAGCTTGTGTGGGCATTATGAGTTGGTTCAGGTTTTATTAGAAGCAGGTACGTCTTATTTCATCTTTATTTGCCTTGTCCTGTTTTTTTGTTAATAATCAATATCTCGTCAATGCTCCTCATAACATATCCACCGAACCCCTCCTCAAGCATTGAACTCAACACCATGAAGAGCTCACTCACTCATACATCTCACCCACTACAGGCGCCCTCGCCGAGAGAAACACATTCCAGGGCGAGCGCTGCATCTACAACGCCCTCAACGACCGAATCCGCAATCTCCTCCTGCAGTACGACTTTTCCAAGAGCTCAGATCCCTATGTGTATTGGTCATCACACATTTCCACTCTCTTAGGCCGGCCGGCTCCGCAGACGGCCGACATCTCGCTCGACGCCGGCAACCGGTCCTTCAACCTGCACAAGTTCCTGCTGGCCTCCCGGACGCCGTATTTCCGCCGGAAACTGGAGGTAGCACCGGAGACCACGCTGTATAAACTGTCGTCGTCTATTCCAGTGGAGGCGTTCCAGATTGCCGTTCGCTACATCTACTTGGGCGATCTACCCAAGGATCTTGCTCCGCCGGGAAGCGCCACCACCGAGGAAGAGGTTGCCAAGGGCTTGGATAAGATCAGCAAGCTGCTTGAAATCGAACAGCTCTGGGAGGCCATCTTGGTGGGCAATGATCGCAGATTGGCGCGGCAGCGGTACGAGGATGAGGTTGAGAGAGCAAGGAATCAGATAGGAGACTTTTTCCAGCGGAGCATTGTTGGGCACAAGATGGTTGTGGACATTGACAGGGTCGACGAGGTCCGATGGAAATACGACAACTCCATCTTTGCAGACATATTGCTGCGAGCTGATGAGCCTGATACCGCGGACGAACAAGCCGGTGACCACAAGGATTCAACATCAAATGGCTACATCAGCGCCGGCATACCCATTGGCCCGTCACAAACAACCAACGACACCAAGAAGACGCGCAAGTCAGTGCTATATCCCGCCCATAAGGCCATGCTCATCCGCAGCGAATACTTTGACAAGATGTTCTCGGGCGACTTCGTCGAGTCCCAAAAGTCCAACCATCTTCACGTCGTCACCGTCGACTGCCCGCCCGCCGTCCTGGAGCTCATCCTCTCATTTCTCTACACCGAAACAGCCACATGCCCCCTCGAACACGCCTTGGATCTTCTCTACGCTGCCGACATGCTCTTCCTCGACAGCCTCAAGAACAAGGCCGCCGTCGCCATCAGCACCCTCGGCAGCGGCTCCAAAAACGCCCTCATCGACCGCACGCACATTGGCAATGGTGAGAATGGTGAAATCGTAGAGGTAGAGCCCATCAATATCTACGACGTGATCCACGCGGCTTGGGACCTGAGAGTCCAGCGCCTGGAGGAGTTTGCGGCGCGATACCTGGCGCACCGTCTAGAGTACTACATTGACGAGCCAGATTTCCACGAGCTCATCAGAGAGAGCGCAGAGCGTATCCAGAAGCGTGAAGAGACGGATACCATTGAATTGCTAGACGACATCCGGTACTACCTCTCAGAACGCTTCCGCCTGCGCTTCGAAGACGCCGGCCTCGAAGACATGATGGACGAAGAAGGCGAGATTAACGCGCAACTGGCCGCGGCGCTGGCAGACGGTGCACCAGATGCTCAGCCCGAAGAAGCAAAGAACGGGTTGGAAACTGATGCCGCCGTCAATGGCGAAGCGACAACTCCTCATCACGCTGCTGAAACAAAGAAGAGCGAGGATGACAGCACCCAGACTGGAGAAGGGGGAGATGCCATGCGAACGTTGGACGGAGAGACGGCAGAAGATGAATTTGCGTCGGATGCGATTAATTATCAGATTCTGCTGCAAAAGATTGATGCCATGCTGGAGGGCTTGAAGCTGGATGCATGAGTGGGACACGGGCGCACGCGTGCATGATTGTATTTATACATGGGATACCGAGTCGATTCATGCAATGCATATATACACATCGTTTTCTCAATCTACCTTTTGACTCTCTTGCTGCTCACGTCTCTATATGTCAAAATGATCTACATGTAGAATCTGTATACTTCAACTTTACACTTGAAAAGAGCGCCACACCGCCTATCGCTAATCATCAAAATCACAGGCATCTAATAATACATCTCAGTAAAAAAAAAAAAAGCCTCGCTCGTAATTCCACTATACGTCTACACACTAGATAGCAAAACAGACTTGCTTTAATACTTGACAAGCTTCACCCTCGCCTGCAACCCCTCCGGCAAATCCTCCAACTTCACCAACCCCAGCTGCACACAATCACCCCAGAAAAACATGGCCCGCTCCTGCGCATAGCTCAGGTAATCAAACTCGTCCGCGCCAGGCTCCTCGTCAGCCGGGTTCCCATCAAGACCAGGCACTTTGGCCTGCACGATGCCCCAGGCAATCCACTGCGCGCTGTTCGCCGGCTGCCACAGCCGGGCCTCGTCAATGAGCTCCCGAACCTGCTGGTCAATCTGCTCCTCGCGCGCCTTTTCGACGGCGCTCCAGTCCCCGCCGGGGTAGCGAGCATCGAGCATAAAGTCGACAATGGAGCTGCTGGACGCCGTCGGCTGGAGAGATGGCGTGGCCGTGCCGCTGGGAGCGCCGCTGTCGACTGGCGTCATGCGAGGTGTCGAGCTGGCGAGCGGGAACTGGGGGCGGTGGTCTACATATGCCCTGATGAATCGCTTCTGCTCTTCTAAGCTCGGATAACGATCGGCGTGGCAGGCAAAGGGAGCCACGGGGTCGTGGTAGTTGTACATCCACTCTGTGAAATGATTGGCAAATTCGTGTCCAGCTGTGTTGGGGCCTGCGTACTCAAAGTCAATGACGACGAGCTGTTTGTGCTTGTTGGCAGGCTGAAGGAGTGGTGATTTTTCATCATCAGGGCGGATCCTCAGAATATTGCCGTATTGAGTCTGGAAAATTGAGTCAGCTTTGGCAAGTATATATATAGATGGATGAAAGAAAAAAGAAGGAATCCTTACATCGTTGTGCGCAAAAATAAGCCGGTCCTTGAGAGCCCTCTTATCCTTGTAGCAGCCGTTCAAATAAGCTCTGTATCTCATCACTACATCTTTAAACTGTTCCCAAGGCACTCCGCACACATAACCATTAGCTTTCCAAGCTTGCGCAGCAGAGATTCTTCTCTCTCCTTCCGGGGTATTGTCCAACTCCTTATCCAAGAAACTGGTGATGCGGCCGACATTATCCAGCCACTGGTCCCAGTTCTTCCAGACAGAAGGACCATTCTCCCTTTCGTGCACCAGCACTTCGATTCCCTCGTGCAGCTCCCTCATACGCTTCGCAATCTGCCTCGATGTCTCCGGCTCTCGCAAATTCAGCGGGGTCAGCGTAAAGGCATTGAAAAACTGCTCGAACCGGCCATTCTTAAAGGTTCCCAGCAGGCGCGGACCAATCTTCTTGCGCGCAAGTCGCTGCAACACTTGCAGCTCATTCTCTCGGTCAATGAGATGCTCCACCTGTGGCCCATACACTCGAAGTAAGACTTTTGTCGGAGGCTTCCTTCCATCAAGCTGTGGGAGCCCAGCCGGCGGAGTGACGACATATACGGCGTTTGTCAGAGCACCGCTCAGTCGCTCCACCGCCATGGCCTCGCCGCTGCCAAGAGGAATACGGCGCCAGCCTTTGAGCCTCAACGTGTGAGCTATCCGCAGGATCTCATTCTTGAAAGTAGTCCATGCCTCCTTCTCTTTTTCAACCTTGACCGAAAGATCCTCCGCGCTGGCGCTCCCTCCAGTGTAGCTCATGGTCTTGGAGTTATCAAGCCAAGCGTCACAGCTGGGAACGATAGCATCGCCATCAACATAGTCGGTGTCGGAAGAGGCCGTGCGGTGCAAAGACGTGCGCGAACCTGGTCGGCGGTGCTTGGGACCGATTCGCGGGCTGTATTTCGGTAGCGAAGTAAGTCCTATGGAAGCCATTGACGTCTCCAAGATATGCTGCAAGCCGTCAAAAGAGATGTCGCTCGACTGTGAGCTCGTGGAATTCGATCTTTCGCGCGAAGGCTGGCCAGGAGACTCAGCCGCAGCCTTATCTGTAGCCGCAATGATCTGGTCGGATGGCGGTGATTTCGACTTGCGCCGACGAGGCTTCAGCTTCCTCGTGGCCATCTTCTTGCGCTCACGCTCCAGCCATTCTCCAACCTGCGCCAATATCCTCTCGCTCTGGTGGTTTCGACGGTGGTTATGGTGATGCGACGTCAGTGCCGAATCCTCCACGGGCCGCAAAGCTGGCGAGGCGCTCGCAGAAAGCCGGCCGCTGAGTCGACGAGTGGGGGCCGTCTGCAGGCTACGGCGCTGCTTGCCGTGATGCGAATCATCTTCAATGTAGTCCTCGGGGACGGGGTCGGCAATCTGCACTGCTGTGACGTGTGTAAGCCCAGGGCCGGCAAAGTCTTCCACATCTCCGTCTCCCGATTTTACCTCATCGGCCTATGATAACACGACGAGAAAGGCGCCCAAAGGAAATCGCACGCAGAGGTCCATAACGTATTCACCCCACCAGCTTGAACCCCGCTGCATCAGGCGAGCTTGTCATGATAGTCGCAGCATCGCAGCACCCAAAAGCCACCCAAAGTCCCCCTTGAGGCATTGTCCAGTCTAAAAACGAATATTTCCTCGAGCGCCCAAATTCGTAGATCAAGGCAACGTAGTTTCCTTCGATTCTACTGGCTGCGAAATCATATTGTCCACGTACCTTTGAGAGTGCCGCTGGCAGGCGGAGTTCGAACTGCTTCGTCGTCGGCCTTGAGAGCCGAGCGCAAAGGCGTCGGAGGGTGCGTGCCTGGCGTTTCGGCCATTGGAGCGAATGCAAGGGAGGAATTTCCTGCAAAGGTCGCGAGAGAGGAATGTGGCAGCTGTGTGTCTTGGGCTTCGCAAAGGTTCTAAGCGAGGACGCAAACGAGTCGTCGGTCGTGGGGGTCTCAGAAAAGAGAGGGTCGGAGAGAAAGTTGCAAGTGGCAACAAGTCGTTACTTCTAGATGACCGCTAGATTCACAATGAATATCACCTGAATGGCAATAACAGAAAGAGAATAAAATCAAGACTGCGTCTAAGAGAAAACGAGAAAAGAGAAAGAAGGGGGAAAATAATGAAAGTGTGGAAAAGAAAAAAAGGCCTGGGAGCGTACGACAGCAGCGCTCGTGACCAGTGACGGTAATTTTTGGCTGGGGGTTAAACAAGCTCGACAAAAGGCCTAGGACGGTCTATGCGAACGCCACGTTATTCTGTGTTACCCAAAAAAAAAGTCCTGATAAGGGATCCAGGATTCGAACTAGGCCTGACTGTTAGAGGAGGGATCCTCAGGAGGCTAAAGCGCGAAGGGACCAACCAAATGACGTACGGGCAGCACCGTGGCTTTGTCTCTGCGCCAACTTGCTCACACACGGCTCTCTTTTTCACGTTTACTACTGGCTTCCACGTTGTTTGCACGTTATGACGATATAATGTTTCCATCTAGAGAGTTTGAGGCGTCGTACCCCGGCCCGTTGCGCTGCCAAACTGCCAGTATAGGTTCAAATGGTGGCAGGCCAACAAACTTGAACTAGTAATAGAGTACACACAGGTAATCCGTACATGTACGTAAATGCATCCAGCTGCAGACATGTGATTTTGGGGGTCTCTCTACATGGACCTACCCAAGACGGATAGAATCGTCCAATAGTAGCACCACTAACTCTCACTTGATCCCAACAAAACACAAACCCAGCCTCCTTTTCCCTCTCTTCTGTTGCACAATGCATGTTCAATCAGCAAATAGCCCTGACGGCCTCTTGTCTCTCTCGGTCGCCGCAAGAGGAAATCTCGTGCGTGCCTCCAAGGCGCTGAGGCCTGTCCCCCAAACCCACTTTTTCTTATCTCGGCAAGGGACGGTTTTGCTGCTCGCGTGCGCACTTAATCCCACGCCAGCCCATCAGTTCTATTTCGTTCTATTGGCTCTCATGCTGTGACGGCTCTAATTAGGCGTAGCAAACAGTAATCGTCTACACCGAGACAAAGAAAAAGCGACAAAGCGAGCTGCCTTCAGACCCAGTCCTCCTCGCTAGCAGCCAACCAGTCCCTCGTCACCTCCACTCCCTCGTTCCTCATGGCCCATGCAATCGCCTCAACAACATCGTCGACAACCACCGCGGGCTTGTACCTCGGCTCTCTCTGCGCCGCCGTCTCTTTCCACACTCCAGTCTTGACCAGAATCGAGATCCATTGCGTGCCGTCGTCGGGCGCAAACTCGTTGGCGCCGCGGATGTCGCTTTCCGGGTTGTCGCCAATCATGTACACTCTCTTCAGCGGGCGCTTCTTGTCGCCTTGGCCGCGGTGATTCAGCAGCCTGTCGTGTGCGTATTGGTAAGTGTGTCGGAATGGCTTGCCCAGCGCGCTGAACTGCAGCTCGGCGCCACCCGTCGATGCGGCCCACACGCCCTTGAGCGCCTCGACAAAGGCGCCAGTGCCGAAGCGGTTGACGGGGTATTCCGTCTTCCACAGCAAATCCAGGTTGGAGATCCAGATGGGTGGCTGGCCGTCTTGCTGCCATCCATTGTTGGGGAGTGACGAGTTGCCGTTCTTGTCGGAGATGGTGCCCAGATAGCCGCGATGCGAGATGAGCAGATCGTGGATCACCTGGATGTCCAGGGACCAGTCCCTCGGGTCGTTCCAGACAAGGATCTGGTCAATCTTGAGCGCATTTGCCGGTACGTCCTTGCTGTAGGGATCGATTGTGTTTGATACAATCTTGCCGTCGGGAAGAGGCCTTGATTCCTTGTGAAGACTCTCTCTCAAGTTGTCAAACGGATATACCTTGTCATTGGCTTCGATGATGTCTGCAGGTGTCACGGCCCTTTCAAACCCGTATCTGCGCCCGCCTTTGTGTCAGTAATGTATGTATAGCTCTTCTACCCAAGACGTCACAAGGGGGGCATGGGTTGGCACCGACTCATTGGCTACCCTGCGAGCAGTCTCTGGGTGAGATCCCGTAATCAGCACCGTCCCCTGCTTCTTCATCTGCTCATCCCACCCTCGCATCGGCGTATGCGACAGGATGATCCTGTTGCGGATGACGTCCTCGTCCTCCGACATCCCAAGCCGCTTAGACAAGGATCTGAACTTGGCGTCTTCATGACTGCCGCCGCCATTGGTGAGGAAAACATATCGAGCATCATGCGCCCTAATCTTCCTCAGCATCTCGCGAGCTCCTGGAATTGGCCTTGAGCCCTGGTACAAAACTCCATCGATGCTGTGAATCCGCTATGATTAGTTATAAGCCTGCAATTAGGTACTCTGTATGACCATTTGGACCATGACGGGGGTAAAGCATATTAGATGGGGGGTTTTTGGAGAGCTTCATACTCAAAGGCAAAGGCAATCTCCGATAACGCCTTGTGCGCATCGCCATTCACTGCGCCCTGTTTCACAGTTGAAGGCGATTGAATCTTTTCGCGTAATGATGATGCAACGTGAAATCCTCGCTTGCTTGTGCTTGATCGAGTTGCACTCACGCGGAAGCTGCTGAAAGCCGGCGATGGCTGGGCGACAAAGCCAAGCTGCGACCCAGGGATCAGCCGGCATCGGCTCAACATCCTCGCGCGCGACATTTTTGGTGTATAAAACCGCTCAATCTCGATCGCAAAGATATCAGTAACAGGTGCTAGAGTAGAGTTGCCGCTGAAACTGTGCCAAAGACCCGGCGCTGTTAATCACAGAATCTCAGTTGTAATTGAAGCAGGTTTGAGAAGCCGCAAAGTCGCAGCCGCCCGATGCTGGCCGGGGAGCTCCGTATCTCCACAGTCTAAATCTCCCCGCGATAGTATAGATAATCCACGCCCGGCGTGACTCAACTTGACGAGACTTTTTCCATATTTCTTTGGGTAATTCGTCTAATATTCACTTTTGCCAAGAATAATAGCATGTTCGTTGTATCAAGATTGAGTGGTTAATTGCTAGACAGGCATCCTTCACCCTTCTATGGCTTAGTGGTACACTACTTTTACAAGTCCTTTTATATTGCGCTTTTCCTTTCCTTCATGGCATCAGTCGTTTTAATGGCTTCTCTTCCAGTCATTCAAGTGATCGGTCAACAGCTTCGCACCCTCTTCCGGTGAGTGCTGTCGTCCCAGAGCCTCCACAAAGTCGCCATCGGGGTCCATCAGGTAAAAGTAGATGCTGTGATCGACCAAGTAGTCCTGTCCAGGCTTGACGTCTCGCGGCGTGCTAAAGTACACTCTGTATTTCTTGCACATCTCTTTGATTTCATCGTAGGTGCCTGTCAGGCCAATCAGGTTGGGGCTGAATTCAGCAAGGTAGTCCTTGAGCGCTGCAGGGTCGTCGCGCGCCGGGTCGCAGGTCACGAAGATGGGGAGCAGTCCGTTGTTGGGGATCTTGGCATCGACAATCTCCAGCATGCGGGCCATCTTGTCGAGCTCTTCCGGGCAGATATCGGGGCAGCGTGTGAATCCAAAGTAAACCTGTCAAGATAAAATCAAGTTAGAATCTCGTCACATGTTGTACTTGCTCATTGTTTGCTTGCTTACCAGTGAATGCTTGCCGCGCATCATTTCGTCGGTAAACTTCTCGCCGTTCTGATCAATAAGCTCGAAGGGCCCTCCGACTTTGGGACGGCCAACGCCCTTGGTTGTCTCTGCCACTCTCTTTCGCTGCATGCGCTCTTTTTCAAATTCAAAGTACCACACCAGTCCACCACATGTAGCCACAAACAAGATGGCTGCCTTCCACGAGAAGGGCTGCGCAAGAAGTCAGCACTTTGTAGCTCACATCGTTGGCTTGAAGCCGCCGAGGCTGCTCCAGAGCCTTTAAAAACCAAGAGATTTCTCATACCCCTGTGCTATACCGACTCTTTGCTTGCTCGATTGTCTTGTATTTCGTTCGCTTCTGTGTAATCGGCTGTCGGGACTGAACTGGCACTCGCGGGAGGACAGGCCGAAGCTGCTTCGGCTGGAATGCGCTGCTGGAGATGCATCGCTGGCATTGTTGCGCAGGCAGCTTTCGCAGGGCGCCTTGAAGGGCCCTTGACGAGGCAAACATTGAGTGCGACATGGTTTCTGCTCTGATTGTCGCTCTGCGCAGCTTCAGTGTAGAGACTGAGGCCGAGGAATCCTGCGCCAGCTTCCTAAATATCGTCAGATGCTGCCCCACCAACGCTGCAATTGAGCAAGTTGTTTAATAATGCGACTAAGGTCTGCTGCCGCCGGATATCTGCCGAAGTCGATCCAAGATGCCCATCGTGGCGCTTAGTCAGGCCGAAATTCCATCTACACGCAGTATACGGCTTTTGCTATACATTGTCCCCTTCACATATCTCAAAAACACTAATGTGAGGCGATTGTTGTAAATTTCTGCGGTCATATATTTCTGATTCAAAGATCAACGTGGTTTGATTGTCCGTGTCAATTTTATTGTGTACCTATTGTACAAAGGCCAGGGTGACGCAGCAATTGTTTGTTGGCTAGGGGACAATTCATCCAAAGGCGGCCGTGTTCTCATTTACAAAGCCTGAACAATGGAGCCCTCCCGGGGAAGCACGGGGCCCTACATCATGGAAACGCGATTCGAGCTCATCGATGAGGATATCAAAAGCGAGAGCGCGGTGAATTCACCGATGCCGCCTTTTTCTGAGACCATCCCGGCGTTTAAATCCTCGACTCCCTTGCCTTCCACAGAAACAGCAGAAATGACAGATGCACCACCACCAATGGCTGGCCCAACCTCCGCTGCTAAAAAGAAGAAGGGGACGGCCTCAACCGTTAAAAAGGCCCCCAAGCGCCCCAAATCAGTGCGGGAGCCTAAAAAGCCAAAATCTGCAAAGTCGACGGAAGCCAACAGTACCGCGGCAGAGGATGCATCTGATGAAGACGACGAGTCTGATAATGGGCCATACTGCCTCTGTAGAGGACCGGACGACCACCGCTGGATGATTTGCTGCGAGAGGTGTGAAGACTGGTTTCACGGAGAGTGCGTGCATATCGCCAAGGACGTCGGCGAGAGTCTGATTGAGAAGTTCATCTGCCCAAACTGCACGACGGACAACCTCATGACACTCTACAAGAAGACTTGCACTCTAGGCTCGTGCCGCAAAGCAGCTCGCCTCAATCACAGCCCACCAAGCGTGTTTTGCTCGGACGAACATGCTCAGACATGGTGGGAGCGCATGCTGGCCAGACTACCCAAAGCGAAAGCCAGAGCCGCGCTCAGCGATGAGCTCTCTCAAGAAGAATTCATGGCACTGCTGAGCAGCGATCTTGCGACAATTGATGGGGATGGATCCTGGACTCTGAGAGCTCCCTTTTCAGGCCAAAAGTCAGAAATGAATGGCGATGAGATTGGTATGTGTTTGTATAGCTTGTGCCATCGAGACTTTCTTCTCTTACTAACAACTTTCACAGGGATTGAAGAACGTCTGGCTCAAATATTAACAGAAGAAGAGAAGGACTACTTGGCTAAAAAAGCACATGCTAGATTCAAGCTGGCCGAAGAGACACTTCTCTGCCAAAAGATGATTACCCTCGTCGAACTGGTCCAAGATCGCCGTCGAGCCGCCATCAACGCGGGCTTATTTGCGGAGGATATTTGCGGCTACGATCAGAGACTTGATACCATTTGCGCACGAGACGCTTTTGCCGCTTTTGTCAAGTCGCCCGAAGGTGAGGCCATCTTCCAGGCATCAAAAGTTGGAGATCCTCTCGGAGAGGGCGACGAGGTCAGGGGCATGTGCGAGCGCAAGCGGTGCAAGATCCATAGCGGCTGGCATAAGATGCTAGTGCAGGCTGTGAAGTACCAGATTAAGGAGTTGGCAGACCAGGCGGCGGAAGTTGGCGAAGATGAGAGAATTCTGAGAGAGGCCGCTGAGGAGAGATGGAGAAGACGGCAGGCCGAGCAGAATTGGGTCGAGGTGCTTGATGGATGAGGACGTGCCTCTATATGCCTTTAATGAAGGGAAACTTGGTCTGGTATAGGAGTTTTGGGGTTTTAAGCGAGATTTAAAAAGAAAAGGGCTCTTAATGAAGCCTTTTTACTTGTTTTTATATAGGTATATAATACTACCTACGGCGTGCCATGATGCACCAAAAAGATAGACATTCGAGTTCGAGTTATCATGACGTGATATCCCTGTGGCCGATGAATACACCCATAAATGCACTCGACACTATGAATATTCTTGCGATCATATAGAACACTTTTTTTCAAGTAAAAAACAAAAAAAGGCATTTGCCAACTGAGAATAAAAGAAATTTGTACTTTACAGTATTCAAGATCATGTCGACTGGCAGGGAATGAGCCCACCAGCTAGAGCAGCCAAATTTGGTGGGGTTCTGAAGCCTTACGTCGGTACTGGACCTTTGGCGGGGGAGGGGTCGATGGCGAAAAAAAAAAAAACCGAACCAGCATCAGGAAGCCGAAAGATTCTGCTTATCAAGCAGGAAGCAACAGGGCAACTCCTTCCGGAAACCGAAACACTCGCGTTTGGTTCTCCTTTCGCCGCTGGCATTATTGTTCGAATATTTATATCCTCTGCCAGATTCCGCCCTCGTTCATCTTCGATTCCTCACAGCTCACGATCGCATCGCAGCGCATCGCATCGCAGCGCATCGCATCGCAAACATGTCTGCTTCCAACCACCCCGAAGATGAGATGGACGACGACCTTCTCGACGCTGAGGAAGTAGGCGAGGAGATTGCCAACGAAGATGATCTCGCCATGGACTCAGACAACGAGGAGCTCATCCTCCACAACGACTCCATTGCCTTCTTCGACCTGGCCCAGGACTCGCTCTTTACCATTGCGCAGCACCCTGTCCACCCTTCTCTGATCGCTGTCGGCGGTTCTGCTGGCGAGGCCGAAGATGCCCCTGGCGCCGGCTGGCTATTCGACTCTTCGGCCGCTCAGTCACGGCCCGTCCTTCCTGCGAGCTACGCCAGCGATCCCTCAGCCCAGCAGCCCCAGACGACTCAGCTCGAGAGCCTGTATTCTCTACAGGGCCACACAGACTCCATCAATACCTTGGCCTGGACGCTCCCTCAGGGCGAGGTCCTAGTCAGTGGCGGCCTGGACGGCAGAATAAAAGCCTGGAAGACCGACGTTCAGCCATCTGCGGGTCTCAAGGTCACTCTACTCGGAGAAGCGCAAGAGGTTGAGGAGATCAACTGGATCGCGCCCTGCCCATCGGCCTCAAATCCCAACACCATCGCCCTGGGCGCCAACGACGGCTCTGTCTGGGTCTACACAATTGATCCTTCCGATTCCTCCAACCCTCTTCAGATTGTCCAGTCTTATTTCCTGCACACGGCCTCTTGCACGGCCGGAGCGTGGACTGCTGATGGCCAGTTCCTGGCTACAGTTTCCGAAGACAGCAGCTTATACGTATGGGATGTATGGGGGCAAGCCGCCGCCCAGGGCCTCGCCAACGACAATGGCATGACGGTAGTATCACTTACGGGCGAGGATCAGCGTTTCGAGGTTGAGGGCGGCTTGTACTCCATCGCCATCGACCCCAAGGGCAATTTCGTCGCAGCTGGTGGTGCTGGCGGTGCCATCAGGATTGTTTCTCTTCCCCGCCTTACAACTGCGGCTCCGGCCAGATCACAAGGCCGAGGCGGCAAATCTGCCGCTGACCCCAGCACTGGAGGACAAATTCTTGCCGCACTGCACGCCCAGACCGACAGCGTTGAGTCACTTGCTATATCAGTTGCTTCAACGAACCCACCCACTATCCTGCTCGCTGCCGGCTCTGTTGATGGCTCGATCACCGTCTTCGACGCCACACGTCGTTTTGCCATCAGAAAGAACCTCGTCGGAGCGCATGAAGAGCACTCCGTTGTCAAGCTCGAGTTTGTGCCCAACTCATGGCTACTCACAAGCTGTGGCATGGATGGCGTTGTACGAAGATGGGACCTTCGCGTCAGTGGAACAACGGGCAATGCTGAAGGAGGCGCTTCTGGCTTGTTGAAGGAGTGGAGAGGCCACAGAGGTGATGGCGAGGGAGGTGGTGTCCTGGGATTCGTGCAGGGACAGACTGGCGAGAGAGTGGTGACTGCTGGTGATGATGGTGTTTCATTGGTTTTCGAGGCATAATTGGAATGGATATATACACCTGGTGGACGTGGATAGGATATGAATTAATGCGTGCCATTTATACTGGCAGCTTTGATGACAGATAACTTTTTTCTCCTTATAAACAAGTAATGATTTCTTCAAACTTTTTTTTCTAGATTGAAAGACTTAAGACGCTTAAAAAGCTAATTTTAAAGAATCTTCAATATTCAACGTGCAGCGACAGTTTGTTTGCATCTAATGACTGTTTTTGTTGCAATAAGTGATCTCATATGTTTACAGAGCACATAAAGGCAGATGCGCGCTTATCGATTGTGTCCGGGGTTACTTTCTTCCCACAGCTGCGCAGGTGGGGTCAACAAGCTAGGCCAGGATTACATACGCTGAGGACGTCAGGCAGGTGCCTCTTGCGTTACCCACAGCAGCCTTGCTAAGTCGCATCAACTGAACAATCACCATCTCCATTCAGGCCGGCCAATCCCAATTCTCGACAAAAGGCGCTATATCCTGAACACCACAACTCCCTCTCGAAATCGTTTCTCTTCTTGTCGCCCAGTCAACGCCACAAGCCACCACGATGTCGGAGGCAACCCTCAAGCCCGAGAAGGACTTCTCCAAGGAAGTTGATCAGCAGCTTCCAGAGGCCGAGACTCTAGCCAAGGTACGACCTCTCAGCTGAAGATTGATATGTGTCTGCTATGAGCTGACATTATTTGTGTAGACCAACCTCCAGGGCGCAATCGAGAAGCTTGCCGCTCTTGAGAAGCAAACCCGTCAAGTAAGCCAACTTTACCACTGCCAATCCAAGCTCCCAAATAGCTTCCCTGACACACCGACAGGCTTCGGATCTTGCCTCGACATCACGGATCCTTGTGGCAATTGTCACACTATGCAAAAATGCCAACGACTGGAGCTTAATGAACGACCAAACGCTGGTCCTGTCGAAGAAGCACAGCCAGCTCAAGCAGGCCATCACCAAGATGGTCCAGACCGTCGTCGGCTTCCTCGATGAAACTCCCGACATCAAGACCAAGCTGTCTGTTATCGAAACGCTGCGAACGGTTACCGAGGGAAAGATCTTTGTCGAGGTTGAGCGCGCTCGAGTCACCAAGATCCTCTCCGACATCAAGAAGCAGCAGGGCGATATCAAGGCTGCCGCAGAGATTCTATGCGAGCTCCAGGTAGAGACCTTTGGTTCCATGGACCGACGAGAGAAGACCGAGTTCATCCTAGCACAAGTCGCACTCTGCATTGAGAATAGTGACTGGACACAGGCGGCCATTCTGGCTCGAAAGATTAGCACAAGATACCTGTCGCGAAAGCCCAAGAAGACGGCTGAGCAGCTGGAGAAGGAGCAAAAGGAGCGCGAGAAGAAGAAGGCTCGTGGAGAAGAAGTTCCAGAAGAGAAGGAGGACGACACAACAGACCTGAAGCTGCGCTACTACGAGCAGCAGATCACATTGGCGAAGCACGAGGACAAATACTTGGACGCATGCAAGCACTACCGCCAGGTTCTCGATACAGAGGCTGTCGAAGAAGACCCTGCAAAGCTCCATCCTGTAAGAATACATTTGCAATTTCATCATATCCCCCTCACACAGCAACTAATGTTTTCATGATAGGTTCTGCAACGCATCATTTACTTTGTAATCCTCGCTCCCTACGACAACGAACAACACGATCTCCTTCAACGCATACAACGAGACTCTCGAAACACACAGGTGTCTCTCGATGCCGAGCTTCTCCGGCTATTCACAGTTCACGAGCTGATGCGATGGCCGGAAGTTTCCAAGAAATTCGGCCCGCACCTGTGCGGCACCGACGTTTTCGACGCTCAGCCCGGACAGTCTGCAGATGAAAAGGCTAACCAGCGATGGGAGGACCTGCGAAAGCGTGTTATTGAGCACAACGTCAGGGTCATTGCCAAATACTACACTCGCATCCAGATGAGCCGCCTGACCGAGCTTCTCGACCTTGCAGAAGATGAGACGGAGAAGTACATTAGCGAATTAGTCACATCCAAGACTGTGTATGCGAAGATTGATCGGCCAGCCCGGATTGTCAGTTTCGCCAAGCCGAGAGATGCAGATGATGTCTTGAATGAGTGGAGCCACAACATGAAGAGCCTACTGGGGCACTTGGAGAGAATCGATCACCTTATCACAAAGGAGGAGATGATGGCACGTATCCAGCCAACGGGATCTAAATAGATGTTAGAGGGGAACGGGGATCTGCGCGGTGCATTGAAAGAGAGCAATATTACATGGGGTATTCGCAGACATGGCTTTAACGGGCATTTCGCGGCTTTTAAAGATTACAGGTCTAGATAGTCTCGGAAAAAAAAAAGAATCTGAGGTTATATAACGCTTATGTGATGGCTTGTATCTATGTCCTATATTTCCATTTCCCATCTTAACCTGCTCTTTAAATCGAAATCATTCTAATACGTCTAGACTCTAGCTTGTGTCTATCGCTCAACAAATCTAACAACTAAGTCTTTTCTTTTCCTCCCCTGGATCATTGGGTTTTACTCTGTTTCCTGGCCGCTGGCATGGTTTTTTATGAACCCAGCAAGAGGCATCACCCACTCTTTAGATACTGGGACGTAATGGCCGCCAGGGTGAACTACAACAAGTGGCTCTTCGCATCGATCCACCAGTCCTTGACTCCGGCTCTCGTCGACAACCGTATCCAGGCTGCCAATATAGTGCAGCGTTGGCGTCTTAATCTTTGGCTCATACAGCCACTGCAGCGAAGGCACGGCAGCATAGAAGCCCGAATACGAAACGGCAAACTTGACAGGCCGGTTGTCATTCGCCTCTCTCAGCTTGCGCGCCCATTCTCCCGCCGGCCCTTCCAAAACAGGCCTCGAAGGCTCCAACGCAGCGGCAATGAAGGCCGCCATGGCACCGCCCTGGCTGAAGCCGCAGACTGCATCGATGCCGCCGGCGTCGTGGATGGCCTGGGCGATGACGGCCATGCCCTCGTCGAAGAGGCGGTACGTGTTGGTGCCGTCATCTTTGCGGAACCAGCCCCAGGTGTCGGGGAGGTCTGCCGGGTCGGAAATGGCGTCGCCGCCTTGGGATTCAGAGGAGACGAAGCCGGGGATGTCGCTGGGGAGGAGGCGGTTTGGGCCGGTAGGGTAGAAGAGGACGGGGAGGAGGGAGATGGGGGCGAGGGTTTTGGCGAGGAGTTTTTCGAGGGCGCGGGTTTTGGCGCGGAAGAGGGGGCCGGATTGTGTGTAGCCTTTGAGGAGTTAGTTGGATGTTTGATGTATGAGATGAGAGGAGTTGTGAGATGAGATGAGGTGAGGTGAGGTGAGATGAGTCGAGGGGTGTGTAAGAACGTCTTGAATTTTGGCATGTAGGGTAGATGATTTGGAAGAAAGCATATAAATGATGCGTTATTTATAGACAATGCTTACCGTGAATCATTAGTATCTTGACTTCCTTCTTTCCGGCATTCTTCTTGGCCTGTTGCTCCGGCCGGGGAGTGCCAGTTGGCGTGGCCCCCGTTGGTGTAGCTGACGATGACATTGCGCGAAGAGTGAAGGCTGAGATACGAGGTAGTATATACGATGTAGAAGATAAAGGCAAGAAATTACACTGTCTAGATGTAACAGTAGCAGCACGGGACAAAAGAAATCGCATCTAAAGGGAGAGAGTTTGGGCTTTTGTATCGTGTAAGTGGTAAGTTGGAGGGTGAAAGTGAGAGAGATAAGGCTGAGTTGGGGGATTTCACTTAGTAATCCGTTGGTGAGAAGGAAAAAACTAGAATTCGATGGCGCTACTGGTGAGTAACCGGCCAAGCTTATGGGATCTTTGAGCTGATGCAGGCAGCTCTTTTCGCCAATTGTGGCTAACTTCTGTTACATGCTTTTAATTATAAACCATTTAAATTGAGCGTGCTTACATTGAGAGACGCGCATAGATGAACTTTGGTGAGCAGCATTTAGACACGATGCCGGGTAGCCAAAGTTCAATTCATAAGGTGGCATAAGAGAGGAACAACCATTCACCCAATAAATTCGCCAAACTTTTACTGTTTGCAATATCCATATCAAGTGTCCATGGCTTTCGTCGCTTGGTTCATCACAAAGGTCTATTAAGCCCTGAATGCGAGTCTATGATACAGCGCAGCGAAGCGTCTCGGCCTGCATGCTCTCCGAGTCGTCCCGAGTATATATATCTCCGTCTTCCACTCAACTTTTCCTGCCCACAAATCCCATAATTTTTGAATTCTTCATGTATATGCGTAATTTAGTGAGCCTTGTTGCCGCCCTGCTTGGCGTAGGGGCTGCGAGGATCGTTCTTCCACTCGTCGGCTGTGCAAAATAATGTTAGTCTCTTCTTGGGTTCCAAAAGCTCGCGGGCGGGTATTTCGGGGGGAAAGTCGTACAGGCCATCATGGCATTCTGGGCAGAGTTGGCGCCATAGGCGATAACAAGGCCTGGATATCCAATGTTAGTCGAAATATTCGGTTTCGCCAGTATAAAAAGTCCTTCAATTGCGGGACGATTCGAGCGCAGTCGGGCGCATAATCGGGACATTCGCGCTTGTCGACAGCTATCGAGGGTATCATCAATCACATACCAGCGGCGAAGAAGGGCCAGTAAGGCTTCACTGTAGTCTGTTGTTAGTTGCCAATGATTCTGCGCATTTTGGAGGTGAGAAGCAATTGGTCCCGCCGAATGCTGAGGCCGGTCGAAACGTACAGAAAGGAGCCGGGAACTTCTTGAAGGGGGCGACACCGAACCAAGACATGACGGCGGTATTTGTGAGGGACGAAGCGTTGAGTTGGCGGAGGTGGGCGAGGTAAGCTGGTGAGGTCTTCAAAACGAGCCTTTTTCCCTTGGTCCAACCAGAATGCTTCCGAGCGAGTCTGCAGCCGGACAAGGGTTTGTCTGCCTAAGGCACTGAATCACAAGGTACTCTGGTACCTTTGCTTATCTTATCAGCCACAATGTCACGTGATAAATCCTTACATAAGACATCTCCTCACCTTGGTGTGACATCATGCCGCTAATCCTGCTTTTGGTGCCTGTCGGGCTTGTTCTCCGCACCGAAAAGCGGAGAGCCTGAGCTGGTACGTACCGCCTCCAGCTCCATTTCCCCAGGTTCCTGAGACTCCTCGCAGCTTCAAAACTCGACTTTGCTTCAGCATCTGCAGGAATTCGTCCAATTGTCTGCATTCTTGCGTGTGACAGCCACCGTCTTGCCTTGCCAATTCTCACCATATACTTGCCTCGTTTATACACGAGTCCAGAGCGTCTGCCTGCACGCACTCTGAGCCTCCAGCCAATAACCGCCGTTGCATTAGTCCGGAGCAGCCTTGATCGGGCATTTACTGGTGCGGGGTGAAGCTCCCTCTGCAACGTGCCTTTTTCGCTGGCTGCTACTCTGAGCTCCAGCTCGCTTCTGGGCGGCAAATTAACACAGTATCCAATCGGCCCTTAATCTTGCCCTCCATCATACCTTGTGCCTTCCACCACTGGTTGCTCTCTGCTCCGTCCTTATCGACAATCTCCCGGGCCTACTACGCCTAACACCGACACAGACCTTGCTCTCTTGTTGGCTGCGACGAAAGCGTGCGCCTCGACATCTTACGCTACAGCTTTACAAGAGGTTCGCCGTTTGCTTTTTGTCTTATTTGCTGCCTTTATTGTTTCTTCCCCTTCTTACACCGACACGACACACGTCACTATGCTTGCTCAGAGGTTGTCTCGCCGCGCTGCTGCGGCAGCCCCGCGCGCCGGCGTACGAGCTCTGACTACGACATCTTCGATGCAAGTTCGAACGCCGTCGATGGGTGACATCAACCCTTCCCCGGCCTCGATCGAGCAGTTCAACGAGAAGCAGAGAGCGTTCAGAGAGCAGCTGGTGGAAGCACAAAGGGAAAGGGGAGCTCGTGCGTTTGGATCCCAGAAATTTCCTGACTCCGACACTCCTAACCAAAGCTCATCTCAAACTGCTGCAGGAGCTACAGCCGAGGCGAACAGCAACTCGCCTGATCGCAAACAAGGACCACTAACGAATCTCATCTACGGTACGAAAGAGGGCAGAGAAATGGAAGCTCAGATGGAGGCCAGCTTTAGTCAGGTCCTGGCTAGAGGCAAATACGTCCACTCCATCGTGTTCCACGAAGTCAAGCCAGACAAAGTAGACGAGTATATCCAGCTCACGGGAGAGTTTTACCCCAAGATGGCCAACACGCCCGAGAATAAGGTTCACCTGGTTGGAAGCTGGAGGACAGAGGTTGGCGACTGTGACACCTTTGGTAGGAAGAACCTCTACGCATGCTTTGTTGCCTTGCTTGTTCCTAGCTAACGTTATCGCTCATAGTTCACATTTGGGAGTACCAGCGATACGAGGGTTACCACGAATCTCGACACTCCATCTCTCACCACCCTGAGTTCAAGGATTTCAACACGAAGCTCAGCAAGCTGATCAATTCTAAGAAAATCTCTCTGATGCAAGAATTCTCCTTCTGGCCTACGACTCCCCCACGTGAGCTGGGAGGCGTTTTCGAGCTTCGATCATACACTCTCCACCCCGGTAACCTGCTGGAGTGGGAGACTCACTGGAGGAGGGGACTCAAGGCTCGAAGAGAGGTCATGGAGGGTGTTGGCGCCTGGTTCGTCCAGATTGGCGAGCTCAACACAGTCCACCACCTCTGGCAGTTTGCCAACTTGGAAGAGCGAAGGGCACGCCGAGAAAAGAGCTGGTCTGTTGAAGGCTGGAGCGACACGGTGCACAAGACAGTGCCCCTGATCCAGTCCATGCAGTCCAGGATCCTGATCCCCATGCCCTGGTCGCCTGTACAATAAGCCGCGTGTCATTCTGGTTTGGAAGTCGTATCTTTTCGGTGCGTTGGATTTCAAGTTTCAGTTGGTTTGGCGGCGTCAAGGTGGCTTCATGTATGTAGGAGTTGGCATTCTGCATGCAAAGAAATAGGCATGAGAAAGGCATCGTATATATATATGTATTATTTCTCACCACTGTTTTGATTCGCTACATGCTGCTTAATCTATGATCCAATAGATCTAATTGGAGACACAAGGGGTATTTCAAATGTGTATGCTACCAAAACAATATCCCCTTCAATGCTAAAACGTGTATGTACAAGGAAATGATATCCATCAATGCTCTATGACGACACTCATACTGATGGCTATTTCGTATATTCTTTAAGCTGCAAATTCATGACAGCATCCAAATTCCGCCGCGCCTGGTCTAACACGATGCTAAGGTATCCCAATTTCGAATACAGAGAGATGAGGCTGGGGTCTGCGCTCTCTACGCGGACTTTTTCTCGCACGTAGACTTCCTCCAGCTGCGCATTTGCTGTTTGTGGTCTTGAAGCAGCCGGCGGGTCAACTGTGTGGTTGGCGGAAACCCGCTTGGTATCGGAATAGTCGTCTCCCCCGGGCTTGTACTTGAAGATGATGTCCACCTCGTCGTGCTCGAGGCGCCGGAACGTGCCGATAGCGAGGCCGAGCTTCGTGCCGAAGTGGACGGGAGCGTGGACGGGCTCGAGGGCGCGCATGAGGAGGACGATGCTGCACTCCTGGAGCGTGATGTAGAAGCTAAAGTTTTGCGTCAAGGGTGGTGTAAAGTGCGAAGGGGGGCAGGACTGCGTGGTCCAGCTTGTGTCTGCCTCGTTGAGGGGCGGTCCCTTGAGAAGGGCGATGGAGGACGTTATGGAGTCTGCGAGGACGCGCATCCCCGATGAGAGGGCCTGGGCTGCGTTTGCTGTGGAGGAGGCATTGGCTTCGGAGGCGGAGTCGGATATGGGATTGTTGGAGAGAAGCAGGCCGAGGAGGTCAATTGATTCGGTTAGATGGGTGTGGAGGGCGTCGAGGACGTGGATGTGGACGGGGAAGGATTGCGAGAGGGTGAGCGTCTGCGGCGCAATGGTTCGAAATTGGAGGCTGAGGGTCTGATGTGCGATGCTGTATTAGCTATACAGCTCTCGAAAGATTCGCGAAAGGTGTAGATAAAACTCACTCCCTTGACAATGCGCGTGCCGACCCGAGTGATGGTGCCCTTGACCCGTTCGTTGCGCGGCGTGCTCATGACCAGCGTGCTGCCAGGATCAACCGGCGCCAGCAGCGCATAGCAGTCTTCCAGGCCATGCTTGAGGTCCTCGCAGGCCTTCAACGTCCTCCCGACAATCCATGCCAGCTCGCGTTTCTTGTAAGAGATTAGCATTCCGCCTTGTTTGTTCCCACCTCCCTCTAGGAGAACCCAATCGCAGTCCTCAGTCTGCTGCGCCATTGGATAATATTAGTAGCTGGCTTGGAGTTCAACCAACCTGGGTTTCAGCGACTTTTATCTTGAGCTCGGCTGGCGAAACGGGAGGCCAGATGTCCAGAGACATGGCTGCTCAGCGGGGGATTCGGGGGCGAATGGTCGGAGCCTGGGATACAGGCAGCCATTCCCTCTGAGGAGAAGAGGCCAGTTTTTTTTTTTGGTGTCTTCGAGAAGTTGAAGCTGAGAGAGTGCAAGATGCTGATGACGTTCCTTAGCGACTGGATGCGCCGCAGAGGTCACTGCTGGTGGGGTCAGCGATAAACAGCGCCCGATAACAGAAAAAGTGGGCTGGGCGAGAACTTAGGAGCAAGAGCCAGGCAGTCATGCTTTTTGATGAAAGTCTTCTTTCTCAAACTACTTGACAATTGACTAAAGACGGAGCATTTGTTTTTGCTGGATGTTTTTCTCCTGATTGCTTTTTTCTCTCTCTCTTAAACATTTCTTGTTATTGAATTGAAACCTTTAGTTTTTTTAATCCATGCTGCAGCTGAGTGTTCTGTGCACTCCTTAAAATCGGCCACCGCCGCCGCTTCGCCATGACCCAACCAGAAGATCCAGCTAAGCTGGTGCCTGGAACAACAGGGAAGATGCCACCAATTCCACAAGGTAACAAAGGACACATTGACAGATCTATTCATTCAAGATTGGAAAGTTTAAAGATTATCTAACAGCTGAAATCTAGGCGCCAAGATTCAGAAGCGTCCGCTCACTCGGCGCCAGCTCCCAGCGTCGTCCAAGACGCCGGTCATCTACGTGTCTTCAAAGTCTCCCTTCATGTCCGTTGTGAAGCGGACTAGGAAATTTTTGGACAAGGCCTTACGTAACAATTCTTCTTCTTCTAAGAATTTGTCATTGCACGCTCGCGTCGAGGCTTTGAAGCGGGACAGCAGCAGTGAGGCTGCCCGTGGAGCGGTCGTGACGGTGATGGGTACCGGTAAAGCTATTGAAAAGACGCTGAGCGTTGCAAGCTGGTTTGAGCAGCAAGGAGATTGCGTTGTCAAACTTCGAACACGGACTATTGGGACCGTGGACGACGTGGTTGTTGAAGATGCAGACGACGCGTTTGGAGACGACAATGAGAGTCGGTTGAGGAAGCTCAACTGCTTGGAGGTTGCTATAAGCCTAAAATGAGTCGTTTGGAAACTCTACGTTACAAGAGACATCAAGGGGTAAGAAGGGATATTACAGAGAAAGACATGGCTAGGATCACTGAGAGGCTGCCGCTGCTTGGCGACGTGATCAAAGCAGTAAGCTCAAGCTCCTACGTTACCGTGGCTCAATCTCGCTGACCAATACAGACCCGGCAGAATATTCATCGACAAATGCGCATGAGCGAAGATCAACACATCTCTTATTAAATCATGAGAGCGCTGTCATCGATGAAGCAAACTTCACAAGACCAAGCCCAAATGCCATCGATACGAGGCTCAAATTAGCAGAAATTCCAATCGCTTCGAGTCTCCCCATGCCTAATTCCCCATGCCGTCTCATTAAAAGAAGAGAGAAGAAGAGTTCAGTTCCGATACTCCGATCCAGATGCAACCATTTACCGCCAAAATCCAAATGATCAACCCCGATAAATCCAAAAACTCCTCGCTTGCATCAAAACGCCAATGGTCCGTCCTCGCCCAGCCAGTTGTTGTAAGTCCGCCATACCGCTTACGCAAGACAAAAACAAAAACAAATCAAATCAAATGTCATCCGCCTGCGCCGCCATCCCTATGCTCATATCCAACTTTCAAAATCAAGAATTTTTTTTTGTTTCAAAAGAGTGTCTTTCCATGTCGCCTTTCGTGTCGCCAGGCCATGTCTTTTCGGATGAAGAGATCGATGCCTCGTGACTTTTAGGTCAGGCGATAGGCGCTTTGAAACCGGTTAGCTTCATGAACCAAGAAGGCAGAATCACAACATGGATATGTGACTGTTTACTCACTCGATAATCAGCTCTTCACCTCGCCACACACCACTTGCAACCCAGAGTCCGCAGTTGACAAACTCGGCGTAGCGTTTGTCTGCGGTCTTGACAGTGGCAAAAGTCCGAAAGCCGTATTGACGGGGATCGATGTTATCCTTGGATTCCTTTGCGCTAAGAAGAGTATCTAGGATGTCACATGGGCCCGATAATGAACCTCTCGTACGCATTTCCAGCATGGCCGGAGGCTGGTCGGTGGTTTGCAACACAAAAGCACCCTCAACAATGCGAATCGGGCGAAAACCTCGTGCCTGGCCGAGATCGTATCCGCCTGCCTAATGATTTGTCAGCTGATTTTTTTTCTTCACCACGGGTCGGAGTCGGAACGGAAATGGAAATGTCCAGGGTGCAATCATACCATGACTCGACCATTGCCAAATGATCCGGACCATCTGCCGCCCTTGATGGTGGTGATCTCCTTTTGGACACGGTTCTCAATTCGGGAGGGTTCCGGGTTGAGTGCGACAGCGATGCGAAAGTCAAACTCGAGGGTAGGCATGGCGAAGGAGATGCTCGGACACGGAAAATGTTCCAGCGAACGCTTGCACGACTCCTCTACGCTCCTGTACGAGGATAACAGATTGGATGTTAGCCAATAGTCGGAGCTCGGCCTCCGCTTCAAGGGCCTCTCGCAATCGTCAGGATTAAGATTAAGCTGAGCGACGTACTTGCCCGTCGCCGTGGCATCGCCTCCCTGATCCTGCTGTTGTTGAGGCGATTGTGTCTGGTGCTGAGGGCTCGTCGCGGTGTTGCTCGGTCCGCCTAACTGGGAGAAGTGAAAGTTGGGCGTGATGCTCGTGTCCCATTCGTCGGCGCTCCATTCTCTTTTGAGTCCCCGGCAATGATGTTCATCTTGAGGCAAGCATGATGACCCAGCGACCTCTGTAGGGGCCGTTGTGGTTGGGAGAGAGAGCGTCTCGGTGTCGGTTGCCATTTATTCCAGCTTTTGGGGTGAAACGGAGTGACCCGCGTCGACCTCTGCGATTTCGAAAATTCCCACAATGACGATTTCCAACACGCGAGCAAAACTGATCGAATAGGCGCGATTCCAAAGTACGGAGTGATGTCGTCGTTTCTGATGCGGATAAATGTCGATGGCGTGAAAGTCAAATGGTGATGGGATGTCGTCTCTTTTTGATAGAGGGGGGGTGGACGAAGGCCTGTCGACAGCGGATGGATGGGTATATGAATCTCACAATCAGGCTCCGCTTTTGGATAATCCAGGTGGGGGGTATAGGTATTCGTGGAAAGTACACGAGGGTATGTAATCGGTACGCCCCGGAGCAGACAAAAGCCGTACTTGTACGGACAAAAGAGGAGCTGTCGTGGCCGCTGAGTGAGCAGGCAGCGTGTGGCCGGGTAATTGGTAATGCTTGGATTACTTAGAGGGGGCAGTCAGGACTATAACGAGCTGGAATGGGAACGGGGCAAAAAAGTCGAAGGACTATCTATTCCCGAATGTCCGCCAAACCCGGCCGAAAGAAGGAGACTCGAGGGCGAAAGAGTGTGAGAGAATGGAGGAGGAGCTGAGCAGCGAAGGGAAGTTTAAAGAGGCGACCGGGACTGGGCCTATTAGAAGGGTGTGTATGATTATGGGTGTGTGTGTGCGTATGTATGGGTGAGGGCGAGTGGTGGTGGTCTAAATCATGGTGTGGAAATGGATCCGGGCAAAGGCAGCGGTTTAATGAATGACCAAGCAGCGCAACCAGGAGGGCATTTTATTTCCTAAGCAGCACAGCGGCAAAAGGGCGACTCATCCGAGCCAGAAGAGCAGTCAAAGGCGGCGCTACGTGCGTAACGTAATAAGGCAAGGTACATGTACTCTGTACGGCAAAGTGAGATAAGGTACAGTAAGGCAGATGGAAGCCGACGGACGAAAATGAGTGCACGGAGTACAAGGCTTGTACCGGGACAGACTAAGCGCACCACTTTTGGGCTGGGCTGTCTATCGGTTTGATTTCAAATGCGGGTCGCGGATTCGCGCGCTGGCAACAATAAGCGAAACTAGGCGCTACCGGGCAGTGCCAGGATTCGGCAATAGCAGCATTTCCGCAATGAGGCAACTGGGGAGAAGGGGAAAAGGAAGCTGAAGTCGAAGCTTTGGGACGTGGTTGATGAGCGAGCGATGGTGGCGAGGTTGGCCCTGCAGCGATGGAGAGAGAGGCTGGAGTATAGGACGTTTATATGGCATGATTCCAATCCATGGTGCTACTGTTGTTATTGCTGCTACTGCTGCTACTGCTACGACTAACTGTTTTATTCCGCCGGGCTGAGAAGGACCCGTCAGACTCGAGTACCCGCGAAGTACAGTACATGCGCGGTACCTTGATCTGTACCATTACTCTACGTGCATACACTTTACAGCAGGGCAGGCAGAAAAAGGAAGAATTAAGAGCTGGCTGGTGTTGTACATGGCTCCGTTCTCCGAGTGGACGGGCTGCGGGAGCGGGATAACCAAGAACTGCGAATGGTTAACGCCGAAAAAAGAGAAAAGGCAGATCCTTACAGGCAGAAACAGTGGGAGTACTGCAAAAGAAAACAAACTTGTACTCTACAGCAAGAGAAACAACAGAGTATTTTGCCATCAAAACGATGCTATACCGAAGAATAGCTATGCGGACACCGTCATATGTCCGAAGCCTCGCGAAAATAGCCAAAGCGAGAACAATACCAAGCCGCTACAATAACCCACCGGTACATGCCGCAAAAGACAATCAGGCGGAAATGCGCTTTACTCGTGGCGCGGCCATTTCGGGCACCGAACCGGCGGGTGCGAACCGAGGCTAAACTGTGACGGTACAATAGAGTGGGATGGAGTTTGCCGACAAGTACGGTAGACACGCTAACAGTGGAAACAAGGAAACAAATGGCATGTTTGCTTTTTTTTGCTTTTCTTTTCGGCTTTGATGCCCGGCATTGATGGCTTTTTATTACAGGCAATGGCTTGCCGGGGGCGAAGAATGGACTTTTCATGGACAAATCTCGCTATGGCACGGCTGCTGGGGAGTGGCTAATGAGGGATTCAAGGTGCCGAGGCGGCTGCGGGCATGGAGTCGCCGGGCCATTGTCCAAGAGGACTAAGAGAAACAAAACAGCTGCAAATGTTGGCAACGATTCCTTTCAAACATTATTCTCTTTACAGGTAGTAGTCAAGGTAGTGGTGCCCAGTCCTGGTCGCAGTGAAGGCCCAGGAAATCGGTGCCAGTTTGGGTCCAGTCGGCAGTCGGACATTTCCATGTCAGCGAAGAAAAAGGGAATAAGCTCTCTCGACCTACGTAAGGTACGGGGGCGGCATTGGCGTTATTACTGCCTCCAGTACAGCTGAAGGATGCGCAAAGTACCGCGGAGGTACCTTTCGATGCTCCCTCGGGACTTTCAGTTGCCCTTTGGGTGGGAATTTGGAATAAAGAGGGGGCGGCAAAAGGGCTTCCAGCGCTGCGTTTCGGCGCGATTGTCGACCCGGGCTAGTGGATGTTGCCCTTGTGAGCGCGCGCGTGCTGTGCTGGGGGCAAAAGGTTTTTTTTTTATTCAGGCGGGAAGAGGAAGGGTACGCTGGGGGTACTTGGGAACGGCGTCTGCAAACAATGCCTGTGGTAAGCTGGGATTTGATGCTTAATCTTTTTTGTTCTGTTGTTATCTTCTCCGAGGCTTGGGTGGGAGGTATTGCTGCATTTTGTTGGAGGACTCTGTTCTACCAATTGATGCCTTTTCCTTGTCTTCTATTACTGGCCACGAGAAGAGTGCAGCAAACGGCCATCATCAACAGACACCAGCCACTATTTTCAAGTAAACCCCGACGAGAAAGCAACTGGAGATGGAATGTGGGCGTGTCTGCGGAATCGAACGAACGCGCAGTGACATGTTTGCCGGAGAATGGTGCCTTGTCTGGGGTGCTATCTCCGCAGGTTTACGGAATCTGTCGACGCTAACTCCCTGCCCAGCACTTATATACGATGTTACGGAGCATGTACCTGTTGCTGTGGAATCCTATGGGCAGCAGGGCGTGGTGGACTTTTCCAGGACTTGCGATTCCCTTGTTTTGCCATCCTTTTTACTCTGGTACGTCTCTTTTTGTTGATCCCCTCCATTACATTTGGGGTGTGTACATATATGCATCTCGTTTCATTCTAACCCCCCCACAATCCGATGCTGATGATGCTGGATCTGATCCGTCAACTTGTATTGGGCACAGCAAATGATTACCAGCTAGTTGCTAGGTAATACGACGTTGGATGGGGTTTCTATACGCATTTGAGATGGTAAGATAATGTACAGATCCTGGAGCATGGGGGAAATGATACACTGGCTCTTCAGGTACGTATGCTTACCAGCAGCCTTATTACGGAGACTTTCTTTCTTTCTCTGTAGGAGCAGCAAATCATGACTTCAGCATACATGAAAAGCTGTCTGCTGTAAGCTTGACGCTCCAGTAGTCTGCCGCACACTGTTTACAAGCTCATGACATGTACATGCCCGGTACTTTGACTCTGACCACGATGATGAAAGGATGAATAAGGATGAATAAGAGCGTACAACACATGGGACGGACTCCACCAGACGCCATTGAAATCTTATCAGCAAGAAAACCCACTGCCATGCATGTACTAAAACTGACATGCGCGCGGTCGCCGAGGGGAAGATCCATCTCCGCGGTGAGCTGGATGCGTGGTATTCATTCGTTTAAACGCCGATGTCTTCTCCTTCTTTCCACTTCTTTTTTTATATTATAAATTACAATGTTTTCTCTTCTTTATTACACGTGCCACTATGTCTTACATTACTCATTGCATTCATTTAATTTTTTCTATAGGTACTCAGCTGACATATACATTTGCTTTTTCACACCCTCTCCGGACTTTTGACATCTCTCCAGTATGTTCGGGCCGGACATGTCATAACGGCCGCTGCGGAATGCGGGAGAGAAAAGCAAAAAAGCAAATATGCCCAGCTAGACAAATTATTAGTTCTAGCAGGGCTATTTTAGCTCAGCTCATCATCGACGCCTAATTTTATTAGGCTGCGAAGCTAGTCATACGGGATACATGGCCTGGGGGGCAAAAAGAGAAAGAAGAAGGACGTATGTCTTATTTCTACTTATAGAAGTAAAGCTTCATGTTTTTAGCACTGGTGATTTCTTGATAAGCTACTGCAAATCGTGGCAAGAAGATGCGCTGCGGCGTGGGAAAGAAAGTTGTTTCCGCGCGCGTGTGTGTGGAATCTGGAGATGGATGGGAGCTTTCTTTTCAGTTTTCAGATTTTGCCCATTGGAAATACTTGCCGTTGATTACCTCAGCTTCCGAACGGACCGCGGGTGCGTATCACCGAGATGGCCATCGCAGATCGAGTGTCGCGCATAGATACAAGCAGCACCTATGCCTATTGTAGTGATCTTGTTTGTTCGTAAATGTCCCCTTTTTACTGCTTTAGTCTTTTCCTGTTCTTCTGCTTTTGTTTTGGCTTGAGTGAAAGAGCAATTGTCAACTCTGCAGTTTTTGCCTTCCAAGCAATGGTACCAAATAGGCAAATGCTTCCAGAAATGGCAATTGCAGTCGTATTCGTATTTTCAGAAACGGAAACATCCGGTCTTATTGAAGAAACAAACAACAGGCTCTTTGGTATTTTGAAGAAACCCGTTGCGAGGTTATAGAGCACTTGTCAACTGGCCTTTCAACTATCTGCTTTGTCACTTTCTTTGCACATGGGTGAAATATTAGATGACTTCTATATTGCCGTCTTTTGGATAGACCGCGCCCTATGCAAAGATTACTGTTCAAAGGAATGCCCATTCAGGTCCGGATTACAAATATTTATCCCGAATCTGGTTTACGCACAAAGAAAGTGTTCCATAGCATATTAAACAAAAGCAAATTCAACCCAAACTCCTCGGTATTTTTGACCGTGACGTATACCCTCAACGCCCAACTAGAGTCGAGAAAAAGGTGCGTTTTACGAGTCAGTTTACTGCAGCGCTTCGGCTCGAATAGACAAAAGCCCGTTGCTTTGACACCGTTTTGGGGGCGGTAGAGGGCGATTATTAATTGACGCGAGGGAGCAGATTTTGCCGTTTACGGGAAACGCAGGGCGCCGGAAATTTCAAGAAGAAACGGAGAGTTGGAAAAAGAGGTGCTGTTTTTTTGCTTATTAAAATGCGTTTTTGTCGGCATCGGCGGAAACGTACGTACTTTTGACATTTGATGGAGCAGTCTGTTGTTTTGTGCTCGATGGAATGCTGGAGTAAAAGCTATGAAGGATAAGCAGCTGCTCTATTACAAGCTACTGATGCTTGCATGCATAGCAACGCGAGTAAGAATATAGAGCTACTGATTCAAACACATGCTGAATGACTGACTAGAAGTACCTATAGCTTTATCTTCAAGCCCATAGCAAGTAATTCGTTTAGCGGCTCTCTGTGCCCATGACTTGTCTGGACCTTCGGAACTTTCCATCGCCATACGGACCAAGTATACGAAAATCTCCACTTCGCGGATCAACCCCCCCAATAACATGGACTTGAAACGTGGAAACTCGCCGATGAGCTGACACGCGAAAGATGTGATGTGCTGGGCAAATACCTAATCAAAGATCAATCGATGAGTACCCGTTGAGAATAAGGTATCGCTGGACTCTCTTGTACCTTGTGACTCGGCTTGTAGATGTCTAACGGTGCCTCATTGGCAGATGTATGCCATATTCGCGTATATTCTACTTGGACAATGATGACCTATTCCCAAGCACACCTGCATAGGTCGCATGTATCTGCAAAGTATCGTCGAATCATCATATCCACCACACCAACACCATCGTCTCCAAAATCTAACCCCGAAACGCTCCACGGCACCGCTGCTCTAAACCCAGCTTGCCCAGCTTACCAGCAATAGCGCAATCCCTCACTCAGAAGCCTCGCTCCTCTCGTCCCGTCTACGTAGCAGGATTTACCCCCCTCAGCCATTCACTCTCTCTTCCCTAAACCCAACTGTAGATCTAGCCACATTCGTCAAAGAGCAAGCAGCAGGAGCTCTCCAAATCGAGCTTCATCCCGAGAACCTTGTCGGAGCTCTCTCTCTTTTTCTTTTTACAGCATCTCCGAAGCTCTGGGAGGCAGGGTTCCACTTCACGTACTAAACTTGCGTGTGCATGCATTTATTACCCACTGAGTGAAAAGCATGTTGGACTCGATTACCGCCAAGCCGAATTCGCACGGGGCCGAATCCCGCGGCAACAATGTGTGTGTGTATTGCATTCATGGAACAGTGTCTGTTGAATGGCTTTACACACATTTGCTCAGCTCTAAACGGCCATTACTAAATCTTACTGAATCCTACACTTTAGTTCTTCCGAGCCAAAATGCCGCCATCTCGATTAACTCGCTTAGAAATGAGAAGACAAAAAACATCCAGCCTTGCTTTGCTGCACACCACTCTCCCCAAACAGCAACAATTCATTCCTCTCGCGGGAACTTGTAATAGCCTCAAACTCTCCATTACTTACTAAAAGGAAAAAAGGAAAAAAAGATGATCAATAAAAATGATTAAAAGCAAGCCTCTGCCAATAAACAGTAGCCCACTGCCCACCATCCGAAAACAAGAAAATAAACCTGGTTTACACCCCCCCTCACGCACCAGAAAATGTCACCGATCCCAAGACTAACACCTCAAACACGAGCACCATCTACCCGCTAAGGTGATAGTAGTAACTACTGCCTACAACGAGTTACAAGTCCTGCTCCGTAGGCAACTACCGTTAGATACAAGCCTGGTACCTTCTGCCCGTCCTTTCATCGTCTCATCTCAACATCACAAGAATAAAAGACTCCACTGCGGTGGAATAAGCATAATCAGCCCATACATACTGTAGGCCGGCAACCAAATCTCATGACACTACATGCCGTTATGCGAGTAACAAGAAAAACCACGCAGAGAGGTGGCACGGCAGCAGGTGTGTCATGCGGCACCCAACAATAGACTCATGTCAGTCATTGACGTTTATTCCATCTTATTCACGTGGCTTCAAGCCCAAGCATCAACAAAACAAAACGCCTGGCCAACGGCAATTGTTCTCGGGCCTAATGCGGTGTAGCCAAATCGACGGCATCTGCAACGGCTGTTATATGGGTCGATGGGCACGCGACTCTCGTCCATCAATGGTTCTATCCTCTACAGTGCACCGTTGCTCTCTTACGACATACACAAGTCACTCTACTCTCAGTTACATGTCCTCCGGATTCATCACGATTTGACACAGTCATGCCATAAAACATCTCAGCTGCATTTCGCGTAATGTCTATGGTCATTGCGTCTATTCACAGAGGAAAACAAGCACCGCCGTGCTCATATGTAAAAAAATGAACCAAGAAGAAAATCCCTAGTGTCAAGGGTGTCCTGCTCTGTCCATTGTCGACGTCCATTGCGAGAGAAAAAAACCTCCATCGAACCGTGCCAACAATAGTCTTCGCAGTGTCCCCCGAAAAGAATCGAAATGCCCCCTGTGCAAATCCAGCACACCGCGGGCATGTCCCAGCCCCATAGCGCCCCTTAACCAGCCCTGGATCCGTCTGTATACTCATCATAACGACGCCATGCACATTTGAGTTTGCCGAGAAGACTAACGAGAAGGAAGAAATGGGAGCAGCCAAGGAGCTTTTTCCTAATGTTTGTGTGAAGAAAAGAAAAGAAAAATCAAGTCCAGATTGTCAACATGTCATCGCATAAGATACAATGGAGAAGCGAAGAAATTCGTAAAAACTGTTTCGAAAATCCGAAACCCTAGCCACACATCTCAGCCCTTCCCGGAGCCCGACCGCCATTGTGATGCCACGACCGAGTCCCTAAAAAGTCTGCATGGACAGGAGAAAGAGGCAAGTGCCGGTTGGGGTTGAGCCTAAGCGCCTGTCTTTAAACAGTGACGGGGGCCTGGCCAAGGGGCTCCAGAACGTTGTCGCCGTACTCGCCACCAAAGTTTCCTGGAAACGCGAGGGTTAGCATGCGGACGTAATGAGTGCAAGAGAGCATGTTTCAAGGCAACTTACCTGGGGGACCGTAGTTGCAGACGGTGTACCAAGAGGGCAGTGAGAGGACAGAGCCAGACGGGCACTGAACGGTGGCACATCCAACCTTGGTGGAGCCCTTCCAGACAACTTGGGTGAAGTGGCCAAAGGCGTCCAAGTCAAGGCCAGAGGGAGGGTTAGACTGGCCGTAGAAGGTCCAGTTCTCCATCTCGTCATTGTACCACTGGTCAGTGACACCACGACGACCGGACAGGATCTGGTCACCGCTGATGTCACCAGAAGAGCCAAAGCTGGCAAGGTTCTGGCCGTAGGAAACAGAGCCGCCACCCTCAGTCCTGTATAGTTGTCAGTTTCAGCTACTTGGTATCTGGTGTCAACATTCGTTCTTGTTACTTACATGTCGTGAGCGAAAACGCAGCCAGAGGCAGTGATTTGGGCAAATCCAGCCAGCTGATCATCCCACTCAAGAGCGGGCGCGGAGTGGTTGGCACGGTGAATGTTGTGCTCGTTGAGCATGGCAGACTGGTAGTCGTTGGAACCAGAGCTGGAGCTGGAGCTGGAGCTGGAGCTGGAGCTGGAGCTGGAGGCAGCGGGAGAAGAAGCAGCGGGCTTGGGAGCAGCGGCAACAGGAGACGGCGAAGGCTTGGGCGAAGGCTTGGGAGAAGACTTGACCGCAACCTCGGGTGAAGGTGCCGGCGCAGGAGAAGACTTGGGAGTCTCAACCACGATGACGGTTGAGATCTGAGGAGCAGCCGGAGCCGGCGATGGCGGAGGCGGAGGAGGGGCCGGCTTGGGGGAAGAGACGGCCGGGGGAGGAGCGGCATAGACGGGCTTGGGAGCCGGCGCCTGGACCTGGGGGCTGGGAGTAGCAGCCGGCTGCGAAGAGACGGCCTGGATGAAGACTCCACCGGCCGAAGAGGGCGCAGAGGGGTCGACGGTGACGGTGACGGTGACAATGTCGGTCACCCACTGAGTCTCCAGAGCACGCTTGTCGAGCGGCATGGCGGCAGCCAGAATGGCGCCCGTGGCCAAGAGGAAAGCGGACTTCATCTTGAACGTTGGAATATCTTTGCTTGAAGCTGTTGTGAGATGTAGAGTTTACTATTTGGCGAGAAACGAGTTAGCTCTTGGCATCTATTTGAACATGCATTTTAAATGGAAAACAATGGCCATTGAACACCAGGCAGTTGACGGAAACATCCAAGAAGTGAGTACATGTGGTTTGCAAACAGCAGCGATTCACAACGAAGATGCATTGTGTGTCATCTTGTAACAAATGCGAGAGGCTGGAGATGCCTTCTGGAACGCGGGTTGAGAACAATGGGGAATGCAGACTGGAACATGGTCGTTGGAAGCGGAAAACAGACCCACAGAAAGACACGAGATGATGAACAATGAGGAATGGGCCAAGACGATGCTGGGGTAACTTGTGAGGGGACGCTTGCCCCATGCGAAGTGCCGTGCAAGGAGCAAGAGACGGTGGTGAGGATGCGAACTGCAGAGTATATATGTATATAGAATGGATTGACGTGGTGGCTGATCGCTCGGCAGTGAAGCCAAGCCAAAGCCATCATGACTCGATATATATAGATGAACGAGATGCAGGTGCTGTCGATCATTGCCTTACCTTGGAGATTGATGGTGATCCAAATGTGAAATGCAGACACCAGGGACGAAGAGATGTGATGTATGTCGGCTTGCGTCAGAACCAGTCTGGGGGAAGCAGCGCTGCTTTCAAGATTTCGAACCGAGGAGTCGGAGTTGGGGTTGGACAAGCCAGTTCCTTGTTGTTCGCTGAAGCTGTATCGACGAAGAAGAAGAAAAAGAGGCGTTGCGCGTGTGTTCAGTCGGCGGCTGCGTGCACTCGACCTTGTGGATAGCGAAAGGCTTTGAAAGAAGAACCGGATACCAGGCCGATAAATAACGAAGTGAATCAATTTGGGTCTCAAAAAAAGGAGTGGAATGTGCCGTCAAGGACACGATAAGGAGCGTTTGAAGAGAACGGAAGAAGGGCTCTCTAGGAGTGAAGGGCAAGGGAGAAGCGAAAAGAGGACCAGAAGAGAAGGAGTGGCGACGTTAAAAAGGATCGCGTGAAGTGACAAGGAGCGGCGACGGGGGACGGCGTGTAGAGAGTAGAGTAGAGGAGAGTGGAGGAGAGTGGAAGTGGGAAGTGGAGGAGGCTAGGGAGGGCGCTGGGATGCTAAAGTTTGCAGTGTTTCGAGATGCTGCGCGACCCCGCTACGGGCCCTTGCTGCTGGATACAGGGCTGTTGGGGGATGCAGTTGGGGGATGCGGTTGGTGGCACGATGCTGGGCTTGGGCCTGGGGATGGTTGATTGATGAGTACTGATGCATAAAGCATGTCTTGCATATTTTCTGTGCAGACGGCAGCTATTAATAAATGTTTGCTGCCGCTCTTGCGTGGCTCTACTGCTATAAATACGCCCAAAGCGCAGGGCGTTTGGAAACATGAACAAACATGAACAAGGCGAAAACACGCATGTGCCTGTGCCTGTGCCTGTGCCTGTTCCTGAATTTGCCTGTTCCTGACGCTACGAAACAAGCCAAGTTGCTTAGCTCTGCACTTTAATGCCCGCCTAGCCCGAATCGGTGACGGAGAAACATTGAATCACCAAGAGGCACGGGGGTGGGGTTAGCAAAGGCCAGCTGAGCTCCAGCTGGGCGGCTACGTTTATGATTTCGTTTTATTTTCTATTGCAAGAATACTGCGATAATATGATATTGAATGCAGCAATACCTAGCTCAATCAGTACATGCACCATCTGCTACTCAACTACAGGGCAGCATTGAAAACTATGATTGTGACCTTGCAGGATATATATGAATCATCTCCCGTTGCATCTTACTGCAACTTGGACGACGTTCCCTCTGTTCCCACCGTCAAAACTCCTATTATCAAACAGAAATCAGAAAAAAAAGGAAAATTACCGCATGAGCCCAAGAGAGAAGCATTCTAGACCACGGCTCAAAATTAAAAACACCTGCGCTCGGACGCCAGATGCGCATCATTTGCCGCTTTGGCAGGCCCCGGCAGTCCAGGATGCGCGATTCGTTGGCCAGCCACCAACGAGGCTGCTGTTGACATCATCTGCTACTCTGTTTTTTATATGGTCCCTTTTGATAATCTTGATTTCTTGTTTTCTGGCGCTGGACATCCCGGAGCGAGATTTTCGCATGCAAATCGCAGATGCTCGGCTCTCCAAAGATCGGATGGCACAGCCGCATTGGCGAGCGATGGAAAAGGGAAGAAACATCTCGATCGGCAGGTCTCGCGAGCGCCTCAGCACAGCCACCAACATTCTTTGACGTCTAAGAGTGAAAGCTGTGACTGCGAGTCTGAAACTTGAAGGTGTTGCTCCATGGCCTTTTGCATTCTTGACGCTGAGGCTTGTATGAGACTGGAGGGAGGGCAGGCGATGCATACTGCACGTATATTCGTTGCATGTACCGCCTGGCCCTTTCTCTCTTTAGTGTACCCCTTGATTATCTAAACCATTGAACATTGTAATAGCAGCGATTATCCATCAATACTCGTCTTTTTTTCCAGCAGCCCTGAAGTAGTGCAATTATTCGCGGGTCTACGCATTCTCGCTTTTTTACCCTCGCCATCACCTATCCTCTTGTCAAAAATGGTTAATCTGGCGCCAGGATGTCTTTTTACCCCTAATACCATCTGATTTCAACATTCATCTGTTGGATACATCTATAATTTGAGCAGAATATTTCCAAGCCCGTCAGTGTTCAATTTCTGACCGTCCAACGCAGGTTTTACTATCCACACACCCTCGCTCCATCTCCATCTTCTCTCCATCGATTCCTCATTCCCGCCTCTCACAGCGCTGTGCCTTGCAGCGGCACCAGCACCAGCACCAGCAGCACCAACTTACGCGGCACTCACTGCATGCCAAATTGTGCCCACTGCAGCCAACCAGCGCCGGCGTCTCCATCAAACAAGCTACAGGCGGCGCTGCGGGACTTTTATCCCTGAAACGGCACTAATCGCTCCTGTCCCACCCCCTACTTCATCTCCAGCGGTGCCTGTCAGCCTATGGCGAGCCCATCCTGCCGGCGTTTCGATGCGTGGATGCTCTTTGTGTTGTCTGCCCCGAGTCGGCGATTGGAATTGATGCTAGCTGATGAGATTCGTACATGCGGGATGTGCTGAGATGTCACTCATTTCCAGCCTCGGCTCTCCTTGTACAAGCCATGGCCCAGTCCAATTACCGTTGCACCACAATCCCGGCCCGCGTGTTCCGCGAAGAAAGGCGGGAGAAGAGTCGACGTGAATACGGAGTAGAGTCGCATCCAAAACACTGATCCCGAGATTTTCAAAGAGAAACAATAGTGCAAGCCTTAAAAAACGCGTAGATCGCCACATCTCGCCAGCCAGATGCGGGGTGCGCTACAATTCTTGGCAAGTCGCCTTGTTCTACCTACCTGCAGCCTTTGAACTCTTCCTTTCTGTCCTCTCCTCTAGATCCATTTCTCACTCCAGCCATGGAAACTTGCTTCTGTTACAGACTAGCATCTGCAGTGGCACTTTGGCGGTCCGCTTCGTGGTCCGCGCTGGCGAAGTAATCGGTGCTGTGCTCCGTACGTACAAGTATGTGGTGCGTCTCATGAAGCGCACGACTGGCCGAGGCCCCAGACCCGGATACACACCATCGCGCCCTTTTCGATAGGCTGTTTGTGAAATGAATTGATCCTCTGTATTGCAAATGGTGCTACACATATACTATGAGCGGAGACATGCCATATGCCACTTATTGCAACAGCACAGGGTGAGACAGCATCTCCATACAGGTACATTGTTCCCCAATATTGTCCATGTCCCATTCCGGCCGGGCATCCGTTAACCTCCCAATCAAGTGGCTCTTACAGAGTCTGGTGCTTCCACGCAAGCTTCCATCTCCATCCTTCTCCTCTCTTATTATTCCCTCATCATTTCGGTACGTCGGCCCATCTCTTGCTCAGGTCCCACAAGCCCTGATCGCACATATCCGCCCCTAGCTGCATCAGATATACTGCCCGGTCCCTAGGGTTCCCCATCTTCCAGTGTCATCAGGCCAGAGCCGGTCCAGTGGTAATTTTTTCTCTCGGTCGGCGTCCGGAACGACTCGGCGCCTCGACCCATCTTCGTGTGTCCAAGCTTAAGGGGGCCGATTCCTGCGTGTCTTACATGCGGCGGTGTTACATGCATGCGTTTTGCACTTCGTATCTTGATGCAAGCCGCTATTGAGTCTCGGTAGAGCTGTCCATCAGCTAGCATTTGATAGTTGCAGCCTATTTCTTGGCACAGCTGGATAGATCCGTCACCTTCGTGTACATGTATCCATGTCCACGCTCCTCACTTACAGCTCCAGTCGCGGTGCTGATGCCCAGAGCCGGCGTGGATGACTCCACCGGACAGACGCCCACACGCTGCACTCATTCCCCCTGATTGTCACTCGTCTACATCCCATTAGCCTTGCCAAGTGCTATATACCTGAGGGTGATTCGTATTTATTGACCAAGAAGCAATATAGCCAGATGCCCACAAGCAATTTATGAATCTCAGCTCATCAATGACATCGAGTAAGCCTCCTATTAATCAGTACCCCGGCCCTTCCAGAATATTACTCTCCCTATACGGGGTGTCAACCACGGAGCCCACATGCCAAAGACAGCAGTAGTATCTTTTCTCGCTTTGCCGGCTTTTGCCATCACAGCCCAACGGTTCTCACATTCCGAGCTGTGGTGGGGGCCTTTTTCGGGTCTCTAGAGATGGCCGTGTTTGAAACATTGAGCCGCCAGGCTGGAATAGCCCGCTTTTAGTTTTTAATTCCTAGATAAAAAAGCAAAAAAATCTTCTCACGCCTGTTTTTTTTGAAAGATGCAGTTAAGCGCCGGCGCTGCTAGTCTTGAACCCCTTTTCTAGGCGGTTGCTAGTGTAGATGGAGCTCTCCCCACGATCTTGCTTTGGATAACCTGTAGCGGTAGACTGGAATTGGCTGCGAGACATGAAATTGGCAGTTGAGAATACATGTACTCTGCGTTCTTCATATAGAGTACAATTTATTGCAATCATTCTTATATTTCATGGATATCAACAGATACATGTACATTTGGAATCACGGCTCCATCAATGTTGCTTGTTAGCTCTCTTACCTCCAACACAAACATTGGCTTCCATCGACCCATAGGAAGGCACCAGCGCAGCAAGCGAGTCGTATGGCTGAAACAGTCAGACTTTTTTTTTTTTTTTTTTTTTTTTTGGGCTTGTTCACTCCATTGTGAAAGGGACTTTTTTTTTCTTTCTTCCCATTCTAGGCTTTCGGCGCTTTGTGTGGAAGACAGCTGGTGGAACCTGATTGTGGCGGTTTCATCTTCCGCCATCTTTCTTAGGCAGCCCACATATACAGTCCAACGAATCCAGCACGAGAGACTAGAGCTGGGATTCGGGAGGTTCGTGCCACTATAACTCTATTTGATGCCAATCTAGACGAGCTCGCATTGCCATTACTGGCTGCCTATCTTTTTGGTTGGCAACCCAAGCTCCAATACAAGAGGTGAGAGGATTATCTTGCATGTAGGTCTATTAAAAACTCAGTGACAGAGCCATGGGGGCCTCAGTCAAACTGATACAAGATATCTTGACTTGGGTCTGGTCTGATGATGAACAGTCCTCGAACTTCATTCCAGCGAGTTCAGGGTAAGACATACATACATGTATCAGTATTTGAACGTGGTTAGCTGCGCAGGCGATTTGACAGATGATACGACAAAAACAATAGATTTTGTTACTTGTCAATTCTGGTTTAAACAGTATAATAATTATTATTCCATGCTACAGATTGCAAGTTTGTTTTACTGCAAGTGAAAAATTGTATGTTTAAATGGTTTAACTAAAAGCTCATCAGAATTGACATCTCCCCGCTATAGTATGCTGAGCGTTTGTAGTCGACTTAGCTCATCCAGCACAGTTTGCAAGTGAGAGAAACGAGCAATATCAAGGAGATGCATCGTGGTAGTCGTCATCATGAGATATATAGATAGATTGATGCTATAAGTAACAGGAAACCTTGCCGCCAATGAGAGATGTATGAACATCTATCGGACAAGCCTTGAAAATTGCAACATGTCGTAAATTGACTTTTATATACCTTCAAAGAATAAAGAGTAAAATTTCATATGCCATCATTAAGTCGTATACACCGTGGCTATGGATGAGTCTGTATCCAAGTGCCCATATGCATGAATATCCCGGCAATTTGGTGCCAATTCAGTATACTAATCCCAAAGCCCCTTGCCGCCGTAAACAGTCCCTACTTGAATCCGAGAGTCATTCTTCGCTGAAACCACGCCTACAGTGTTCCTGGTCTGATCCCTGATAGATGTCCCGTACTGGAGGACTCTCTCCGAGAACACGTTGCCGACGTGGATCCTCGCGGCGTCCTCCAACGTGACGTTGCCAGTAGAGTTGCTTCCCTCAAGTAGAGCCACCTTGCGCTCCAACGCTTCTTCCAACACCGGGTCAATGTCCCGGGCCGCATCTCGGAGCGCCTTGAGGCTCGGCTCGTCATTGACTTCTTCAATCTCAATCTCGACAACTTTCTGACTAGTCGTCGTCATCTCATTGGGGAACAGCTTCTCCAACTCGTCAACCCAGGACAATATCTGGTTGATGATGTTGTCAAGGCTTTTCCCGTCATACAACGCCCACGCCGACTTTTTCAGTATGCCCACGCTCTTCTGTCTCCGGCGGGCAATATCTGCGCAACGATTGTGCAGCCGCTGGAATAGAGGGCTCATGTCGTTCTTATCACACACCATCAGCTCCTGTGTATCAGCGCGCTTTGTGTATCTCATTGATTTCTCCCGGGCAGACTTGAAGCAATATCCAATGTCTCCGAGGATCCCCAGTGCAGCTTCCACTGCCTCATCAGTCGGCGCGGCAGACGTGAAGCGCTCGTCGCGGTTGACTCCGACAGCCTCGCCCCATCGCCCCAGGCGAGTCTTTGCAACGTCTAGTTTGAGCTGGCATCTCTCGTAGTCCTGCCCAAAATGGCGGCCAAGCTGGATGTACTCGAACGTGTCGACGCAGTTGTTGAAGAGCGCTGCAACGCTCAGTGCGCCGGTGACGATGCCGAAAACTTCAGCCATTTTCGAATATTCAGAATATAGTAAAGCTGCTGTATGAATCTAAAAGAGGAAAGAAAACATGGATTTGCTGATACTTGGCAAGCCGCCGTGACCGACACTTTATAAGTGGCCGCGGCAAGGCGGAATCTCAGCCCCCATGCATCCTTTACACAGCCCTCTATCCTTGCAGCCGCTCTTCATACTAGGTGCGGCTATATGGTGGTTGCCATTGGGCAATATAGCAGGTACATGTAGCCGCGCGGGGTTTGCAGCCCAATTACATGTAATCCATCAAACTGGCCTTCATATCCTTGCCTGTCACACCCACAATGCTCAACGCTGCGATGCTGCGGTATTTTCTATCCCAGAGCATGGTATATATATACAAATATAAATATATAAATATAGATGCCACTCAAGAGGCATAATGATACGCGCACAGATGTACGTGCCCGGAGTGTACGGACATTCAATTGCTTCCAGGCAAGCAATCGCCAGAATTGAGATTGCAACAACATGGCGGAGACGGTGTCGTCAAATATCCATGTCGACTATGTCAGCCTCAAAGACAACGCAAGGGCCCATATCGGGAACGTGGTGCATGTCCACCAGGCTGAAGACCGCTGCCTCCCAGATCTGCGAAACACCGACCCTCGCGACGACAAAGCTCGCATCGAGGCTATCAAAGGCGGCTTGTTGGAAGACTCATACCGTTGGATCCTCCAGCATGGCGATTTCCAGCAATGGCTCAACGACAAACACAGCCGCCTGCTCTGGATCAGGGGCGATCCCGGCAAAGGCAAGACGATGCTACTCTGCGGCATTGTGAACGAATTAAACAAGACCAACGCGCAGCTTTCCTACTTCTTCTGCCAGGCCTCTGATGAGCGCATTAATAGTGCGACGGCTGTGTTGCGAGGCCTCGTCTATTTGATCGTGAATCAGCAACCATCGCTTCTCTCACACGTACAAGAGAGGTACAAGCATGTGGGAGACGCCCTTTTCAAGGATGTAAATGCGTGGAGTGCATTGTCAGAGATCTTCTTGAATATACTGAAAGACATGGATACAAGCCTGCAGCAGACTTATATCGCCATCGATGCACTTGACGAGTGTGTCACCGATCTACCAAAGCTGCTTGACTTCATCGCCATAAAGTCTGCCGTCTTTTCTCACGTCAAGTGGATAGTGTCTAGTCGCAACTGGCCAGACATTCAAGAGCATCTTGCCATCACTCAGAAAACAAGCCTCTGCTTAGAGCTTAATGAAGACTCCATCTCCGCAGCCGTCAGCACGTACATTAAGCACCGAGTCGAGTGGTTAGCGCAGAAGAAGCGGTATAGTGAAACAACAAAGGATGCTGTTCGGCAGCACTTGTCGTCTAATTCTAATGACACATTTCTCTGGGTAGCCTTGGTGTGCCAGAACTTGGAGAAGACGTCGTTGAAAAATACCATTCAACAACTAGACGAATTTCCTCCTGGACTCGATTCTTTATACAAAAGGATGATGCAGCAAATTCACAACTTGGAAGATGCCAGCCATGTTAAGTTTTGCTGTCAAATTCTGGCAACTGTGTTGCATGTCTATCGACCTATAACAATAGCTGAGCTCGGCCTCCTCATCAAGTGCTCAGATGCCGAGTTGGTCCACAAGGCCATAGGATTTTGCGGTTCATTCCTCGCTGTGCGAGACAGCCAAGTATATATTATTCACCAGTCAGCTAAAGACTACTTGAGCGGCAAGGCAGCATCTACCTTGCTTCCTAGTCATGCTGAAATCAACGGCCTCATTTTCTCACAGTCTGTACAAGCCATGTTTGCTACGTTACGACGGAATATCTATAATCTACATTCTCCCAGTCTCCCAACCAACGAGATCAAGGCGCCAGATCCGGATCCGCTACAAGTTATCCGCTATTCCTGTATTTACTGGCTTGACCATTTCTGTGATATATATGCTCAAGATGGCCAATCTCAATCTCAGGACCTGATTGACGACAAAGAGTGCCAGATGGTCCTTTTGTTCTTTCGAAAATACTTTCTCTACTGGCTCGAGGCTTTGGGCCTAATAGGGCATGTGGAAGACATTGTCCTTTCAATAATAAGACTAGTGAATCTACTAAAGGTAAGATAATAACAGCATAGTACACTTGGCTAGGAGGGAAACTGATTACATGTCATGCAGGGACAGTCATTAAATAAGCAGTCCCAAGAGCCAACTCAGGATACAAGGCGGCTTCACTCTTTACGAACAAGATTTAAGAGTCTATTAGTAGTAAGTATTTACTATAATGCTTTGGTAGTTGAGAGTCAAACTAATTGGTAAAGGGAAACTTGTCGGACCAAGAATCTCCAGACTGCCGCATGCAGTTGCTGGAACTTACACAAGACTCGCAGAGGTTTATCTGGCGGAATAGTTCACTCATTGCCAATAATCCACTCCAAGTCTATACATCAGCACTTATTTTCAGCCCCCTAAAAAGCATAACACGACGTCTATTCCAAGAGGAGGAACCCCAATGGCTAGAAATCACACCTACAGTTGAATATAACTGGAGCCCTTACTTGCAGACTCTGAGAGGTCACAGTCATTGGGTCAGAGCGGTTGCTTTCTCACCAGATGGTCGTTACATCGCCTCAGGTTCAGAGAACAAAGTCATCAAGATCTGGGATGCAACAACGGGGAAAGAGCAGCAATCACTTCAAGGCCACAAACGCGCAATTGCATCGCTTGCCTTTTCGCCAGACGGCCGTTACCTTGCGTCTGGCTCAGAAGATAAAACTATAAAGCTCTGGGATACGGCAACCGGAAAAGAGCATCGAACCATTCAGGACGGCTTGGGTTGTTTAGTTACATCGGTTGCCTTCTCGCTAGATGGCCGCTACCTTGCATCAGGATTAGACGACAAGACTATAAAGGTGTGGGATGCAATAACAGGCAGCAAGCACCAAACACTTCAAGGACATACACGTTCAGTTACATCAGTCGCATTTTCACCAGATAATCATTATCTTGCTTCAGGGTCAGAAGATAAAACAATAAGGATCTGGAATGCGATGACGGGAAGAGAGCAGGCAATACTTCAAGGCCATAATCGTTTGGTCACATCAGTTGCCTTTTCGCCAGATGGTCGATACCTTGCATCAGGGTCAGAGGACAAGACTATCCACATCTGGAATATGAAGACAGCCAGAGTTCAGCAAGTCCTACAAGGTCATAGCGATACAGTTGCATCGGTTGTCTTCTCAGCAAATAGCTTCTATCTCGCTTCAGCATCAAAGGACAAGACTATAAAACTATGGGATATAACAACAGGCAAAACACAAACCTATCAGGGCCATAGCCGTGCAGTTAACTCGGTTGCTTTCTCAGCTGGTAGCTACCTTGCGTCGGGGTCGGATGATACGACTGTAAAAATCTGGGATATTACAGGCAAAGAGCAACAAATCTTGCATGGTGATGCGATATTAATTTCATTCTCGCCAAATGGCCGCTACCATGTGACAGCGACATGGGATAAAACTCTACATGTAAACGTTTTGAAACTTTGGGACACAACAAGCAACAAGCAGCATATCCTTGAGGGCCATGACCACTGGATTGGATCGGTCGCCTTTTCAGCAGATGGACGCCATCTCGCCTCTGGTTCGCAGGATACAACTATAAAGATTTGGGATATGCTGGGAAAGCTGCATAAAACTCTTAGAGGCCATAACGATACAGTCAGAACGGTTGCTTTCTCAGCAGATGGCCATTTCCTCGTCTCAGGATCACAAGACAGGACAGTGAAAATTTGGGATGTGGCAACAGGCACAGAGAAGCAAAGCTTTACAGGTCATTTCTTGGGAGTTTGGTCAGTTGCCTTTTCCGCAGATGGTTGCCACGTCGCCTCAGGCTCATACGACGAGACTATAACGATCTGGGATTTAAGAGGCAAAGAGCAACTGACCCTGAAGGGTCACAGTAATATAATCACTTCAGTTGCTTTTTCATTAGATGGCCGTTACCTCGCCTCAGGGTCGCATGACGAAACTATAAGAATCTGGGATACGGCAACGGGCAAAGAGCAGCGGACACTTGAGATTGGCACTGAGGTGCGCACTATATCCTTTGATGCTACAGCCTCGTACCTTTACACTGAAATCGGCCTGATGAAGTTGGATATGGAACATGGTAATAAGGCCCAACCTATGATGGCAGCCCAGCTTCTTTCTCCAGATCCAGATCCGGCTCAGGGGCAGCATCAACGCCATTCCAATGCTGAGAATGCTCAAAAAGCAAACTACAAGTTTGTTGGCTATGGCTTAAGCACCGACAAGTGTTGGATCACATGGAATGGGCAAAATATACTGTGGCTTCCGCCTGACTACCAGCCTTCCTCCGGGTCGGCTATTTGTGGTTATGGACCACACAATCTTACGTTGCCAGAGGGGTCGTCAGCAGACGTTGAAATAGCACTGCTTAATGATTCAGGAAGAGTGACGATGATTAGAATGCCCAGGTCAGAGCCACATCCCTTGGTATAGTCTCTTTTCCCTCTCTGCAAAATAGAATATCATAGGAGACTATGTGGATCTGTATGTAGTATTTAATAAGCGGCCGAAACGGAAATTTTCGCGTGGTGCTCTAACTCAGAAGGTATCTTGTTGAAAAGAATAGACTTTGATATTGCCAACGTTTGAGTTATGATGGATTCTGAGATTCTAGCGGAGGTGGCATCAATATCTACCTATGTGGTTAAAATTAAAGAGTCTGTGAGCAAGATTCAACGTGCAAAACACAAGAGAGCAGATCGAAGATTTAACCCCGAGATTGGTTTCCCAATTCATGTATTGTTGGTTAGTCGATGGGCATAAGTACTCTACTGCACTTGGCCTATCGTCTAGAATACCTCCCACCAGTTCTTTAAAAAAAAAAAAAACACAGTTACTAGCAAATGCTAGTACAATAAATAGCTAACAAACGTATTTCATCCCTTTCCCAATGTTGAGATTAGCCCGGCGCTTTCATAACCATAATACAGAAACTATTTGTTTTTCTTTTAAACCCCGCTATGCGCCGTATATGTTCATCTTATAAAAACAATAAAAACCATGTTGAAATGTGGTTCTCCCTTTGAGGTGTCAAAGTCTAATGATGTAGTGATATTTACTTGGTGTAAGTGAAATGTTCGAAGAAGAAGAAAATACCGGAATCCTAAAAGGATCCTGGATGTAGCCCTCGTTTAATAATTTAGGCAGAATTGGTGGTGTCCTCAACAGGAGGGCAGGTGCAGAACAGGTTGGTATCACCATATGCTGCGAAAGGCGGTTAGTAAAAGGAGGAACATGTCATGGGGAAAGCAGGTAAAACTCACTGTCGTCTACACGGCCGACGCTAGGCCAGAACTTCTTCTCGAGCAGATACGGCAGCGGGTATGCGGCCTTTTCTCGAGAGTAGGGTCTGTCCCACTTGCCCTCGGCATCACCAAGGATCAAATCCCTCTGCGGGTGAGGGGCGTTCTTGAGCACATTGCCCTCCTTGGGCTGCTTGCCCTCTTCGATTTCACGGATCTCGTTGCGGATGCTGATCATGGCATCGACGAATCGGTCCAGCTCCTCCTTGCTCTCACTCTCAGTGGGCTCAACCATGAGGGTGTTGGGCACAGGCCAGCTCATGGTGGGGGCGTGGAAGCCATAATCCTGGAGACGCTTGGCAATATCGATAGCCTCGACGCCGGCAGTCTTCTGGAAGGGACGAGCATCGATGATGAATTCGTGAGCGCAACGGCCCTGCTCGTTGGTGTAGAGAATGGGGTAGTGCTCCTTGAGGCGGGTAAGCATGTAGTTAGCGTTAAGGAGAGCCACAGTAGTAGCCTTGCGGAGACCCTCGTCACCTAAAGGAACACGGTGTTAGCAATACATCTTTACAACAAGTCCTTGAAAAACCTACCCATGGTGGAGATGTAAGCCCAGCTGATGGGGACAATGCTAGCACTGCCAAAGGCGGCACTGGAAACAGGAGTCTGAGTGCTCTTGTGCGGCAAGTAAGGAATGAGGTGCTTCTTGACGCAAATAGGGCCAATACCGGGTCCACCACCGCCGTGAGGGATACAGAAGGTCTTGTGCAGGTTCAAGTGGCAGACATCAGCACCTAGCGCACCGGGGGAAGTAAGTCCGATCTGAGCGTTCATGTTGGCGCCGTCCATGTAGACAAGACCGCCGTACTGGTGGACGAGATCGCAGACCTTACGAACCTGAGGCTCAAAGACACCGTACGTGCTGGGGTATGTAATCATGATGGCGCCCAGCTCGGAGGCGTGCTTCTTGCACTTGGCTTCCAAATCTTCCAGGTCAAGGTTACCGGTCTTGGTGTCGCACTTGATGGGGACAACACGCATGCCGACCATGGCGGCGGATGCAGGGTTGGTACCGTGGGCAGAAACGGGAATCAAGCAGATGTCACGCTTGTTGCCAGGCTGCTGCTCATGGTACTTTCGAATTGCTCGGAGACCAGCAAACTCACCCTGAGCACCAGAGTTGGGTTGCAGGGACGTGGCATCCATACCGGTCAGGGCAGCGAGCTGAGAGGAAGTGGCGTCAAAGAGCTTCTGGTAGCCCTTGGCGCAGCTGTGGGGTGCGAGAGGGTGCATGTTGGCAGTATTCTCCGTACCAATGAGCTCCATCTGGGTGGTGCCGTTGAGCTTCATGGTGCAGGATCCGAGGGGAATCATGGAGTGAACCAAGGACAAATCCTTGGACTGCAGGTGATACATGTAGCGTAGCATCTCCGTCTCGCTGTGGTGAGAGTTGAAAACGGGGTGGGTCAGGAACTTGGACTCTCGTCGGACAGACGCGGGCAGACTCTTGATGAGTTCTTCCGATGACTGGGCGAATCCGGCCTTCCAGCACTTTGAGGAAACATCGAGGTCAGCATCGGCGTGGTTCTTGTACGCAACGGTCTGGAAGGCCTTGACGATGCGGACAAAGAGCTTGAGCGTGAAAGTGGTAGGGACCGCTAGGATAATCTCGTTGGGAGACCAGCTTTTGCCGGTGCTGATGCCTTGATCCATGAGCTCACGACGCAGAGAGCGGCAAACGACAGGCTCGTCAAAGTAAAGCGAAACGGTATCGGAGAGAACCTTGCCCTCGGCGTCAACGGAAGCAGTCGCGACATTCAGGCCGTAGTGTTGAGCAGCAGCCTGGATCATGCGGGCGTGTCGAAGGTTGTTGATGGCCATTTCTCTGAGCTGTTCGGGGCCGTGGTAGATGGCATACATGGCGGACATGTTGGCCAGAAGAGCTTGAGCAGTGCAAACATTGCTGGTTGCCTTTTCTCGTCGAATGTGCTGCTCTCGGGTCTGGAGGGCCAAGCGAAGAGCTCGGTCTCCTCGACGGTCCTTGGAAACACCAATCAAGCGACCAGGGAGACGTCGCTTGCTGCCGTCCTGAACAGCCATGAATGCAGCGTGAGGTCCACCATATCCCAGGGGAACACCAAATCGCTGTGCGTTTCCAAAAGCAATGTCAGCACCCCATTCACCGGGGGGCGTGAGAAGAGTCAAGTTGGAGAGGTCGGTAGCAGCACTCAGCAAGGTACCCTGCTTGTGTGCAAGATCCGCAAGCTCCCGGAAGTCAGAAACACCACCGTTTGAGTCGGGGTACTGAACCATGACACCAATCAAGTCGTCGCCAAGAGTCTTGATCTTCTTCTGGGCATCCGGCGCAGACAAGTCCAAGACCTCGATGTGAATACCGAATCCCTCAGCGCGGCCATGCATGACCCTGATGGTAGCGTCGTGCACCAAGTGAGAAACAACGTATGTCTTTCCAGGTCGCTTTTGTCTGGAGGTTGGCAGGCTGGTCAGGGACATGGTCATGGCCTCGCTAGCTGCAGTTCCTTCATCGAGCAAACTGGCGTTTGCCACAGGAAGGCCAGTAAGATCAGACACCATGGTCTGGAAGTTGAGCAGCGACTCCAGACGGCCCTGGCTGATTTCAGGCTGGTAGGGCGTGTAGCTGGTGTACCAGGCCGGGTTCTCCAGGACGTTGCGCTTGATGACAGCGGGAATCTCAACGGGGTAGTAGCCACCGCCGTTCATCCAGACCCGGATGTCATTCTGGGCATTCATGTTCTTAAAGGCCCTCACAACTCCGGATTCGCTGAAGACGCGCGGCTGGATCGTCTTCTTGGGGGGGTCCAGCACATCCGCAGGAATGACCTGAGAGATGAAGCCATCCATGTTCTCAGCCCCCAGGGCGTTGAGCATCTCCTGGATCTCCTCGTCGCGAGGGCCAATGTGGCGAGCGCTAAAGTCCTTCCATGGCAGCTTGTTTTCAGCGCGGATCTGTCTCATCTCCTGGTAGGTGGGATCATCCTGCAGAGACTCAAACGGCGCGCGTCGCAGCGCGCCATTGTCGTCAAAGCCAGCGCCGCGAACTCCAGCAGCGCTTTTGACAGTGTAAGTGAGGCCGCGGGTGGATAAGAGAGACCCTTGTCCGCGAGCGCAAATCGTCGCTTCGTGTCGGGTCAGCGCCAGCGATGGGCGCAGGGCAGCCCCTCGGGCAATAGCCAGCCTGGAGGCCATGGCAGCAGGGAAAACAAGAACGGAAAAAAGTGTAAAAGCACAATCAACGGCCAATTGTGTCCCTCAATGACTGAGAAAAGAAAAGAATAAAGGAGAAAAGCAAGGCCAGGACGAAAATTTGAACCGATCCCGCCCGGTTGATAAAAGATTTGCCTCTAATCAAACACCCCCCAGAGGCCCTTTGTTGGATGGCTATCGAAAAGTTCGTAGCGGATCTTTCGTGGGGCGTTCCGGTACCCGTGACGGCGCTAAAAAGTTCGAAGCCCTCGCCAACGTCGACGGCGTCAGAAGAACGGAAGATGAAGCATTTATATCCTTTTTTTTCCCCTTTCAATGCGCAGAATCGGGAGAGTCAAGGGCGGAACAGACCGGGCTAGACCAGACGGCAATGCTGTGAGACGGTGAAGCAGCAGCAGGCCAGCGCCTGGTACGTCTCCGATGCTGGCTGCAATCACAAGCTCAGGCCAGGGACAGCCGCCATCTTATCGGCCATGACACGCCAGATGGATATCACCGGGGCTCCTCTGCGTGTCCTTGCAGTCCCCAGGATCCGGATATCGCATTGATAAGCCCATGGGTGCTTGTACCGCATGCGTCCATCCAAACAACCGCGCTGGAAGACTGGAGTCGACTCCGCAGTCATTTTGGAGAAGTGCCGTGCTTGGATGCTTGGAGCGTAGTGCGTCACGACTCGTGTCCACCACGAAAAACCCTCTGCAGTGCGCGAGCTTAATCTTTCTCCCGAGTTGGAGCTGGTGCGGGCTAGGGGTTTTGGTTAGCTGATGAGTATCTTCTTCAGGCCATGTGGACGCTGCCACTGTGCGGTGCCAAAACGATATCGGCCAGTGACGGACCGACGCTGAGCGGTCACGGCGGCTTCTGATTCGCTGCTGGGACTATCTTTCCGTGGAAAAGGCAAATGGTGCCGGACCTGGGGAAGTTTTTTCTTCTTTTTTTTTCTTCTGCCTTAGCTCCATATTTTCCATATGATCTTCTCATGCATTAGCACTATCGCTATCGCCATTTACCTTCCTAGTAGCGCCGCAAGCTTTTGCTGCAGAGCCCACAAAAGCATTTCGTAGATTACTTCTCTGCTAAATTCTATCACTTGTAACTTCAGCGGCTCTGGTCACGCACTGTACCGCCCTCCAAGCCTGTGCAAAAACTAGCTCCCCAGCAGCCGAAGTCGCCCGTCTTTTACGTAACTGTCCAAGTTTCCAACCTCGACTAAACAACAACAAACAACAAATCAACCCATCACCATGTTTGGAGGATGTACGTACATGTCGCCGCCCCCCTCTTCCCTCATTGAGATGCGACGGGACATATCGCTGCCGCGTGATGTAATTAACCTCGTTCACAATTGCTGACAATACCCCAAAAATAGTTGCCCCCCCGCAGCAGTCTCCCGAGGAGATTCGAGCCATGGAGGCCGAGGCACTCTTCACCGTCCAGCAGGTCGCTGCTACGGCCTTCATGCTCTACCTCTGTATGTCTTGACGCCGGAGAAATTGGAATTGCTCAACATTTCGGAGTGTACGGAGTCACTAACCCTGCGATGCAGCTCCCTTTGCCGTCGACATGATCAGCCGCATCTTCTAAATCTCGCCCGAAAAAAAAACTTCGTATATAGGACATGGTTCTACAACACCATGCATCACCCTTCGACCTGCTATACTATCATTAATTTGATATATTAAATGCCAAGGAGATCAATCTTGCTCTTGCCGGGCTCCAAAGCGCATCACTGTACGATAGATGGTACCCATTTGAGGTTACATAAAAAATTCTGCATCTCGAATCGCTGGAGACAGGACAAAAATGAAACGAGACAACAATAGAATCGGAAAAGTTACAATAAAAACTTCAAATCTCCGTTACGAATAGTACGAATGGCCGAGTTCAAATGGCCGAGTTCAAATGGCTAAGGTTTCATATATGGTATATATGGCCGATAAAGATGTGCATGCCTTCAAATCCTGTCTTGATATTTGTCTACCTATTACTGCAGCAGCCTACAATCATTGAAACAAAAGCCGACTCAAATCCCTCTTTCCTTCTATCGCATTAGAATAACGTTGCCATGACAAACATCTCACTCGGTTTAGTACGTGAAAATTTATGAGTCCCCAAATTAAACACCAGCATTATAGCCTCGGTAAAACTCCCTCCTTGATAACACAATCTTCGGAATTTCCAAAAGAAAACTTCTTATCGAGACCGTGATGGCGGGTTTCTGCTGTTATCCCAATCCTGGTAGTCCACGCCCAGCGCCTCCAGCTCCTTTTTCAGGTGTCCGAGCTGCTTCTCGTAATCTTCCAATACCTAGAATCATTGGGTTAGCCAGCCGTCAAATGCCATGTTCATTTTTCTGGGTACCAAACTCACCCGTTTTGCTCTTGTCTGCGTCTCCTCGTCCAGTCCCTCGCCGTCGGCTCCTGTTGGCTTCTCTAGCTCCTGGCTCAGCTTCTCAGAGTATCCTCTTAGAACAATCAGCCTGCTCCACAGCTCTTCCTCCCTTGCGCCCACCGCAGGATCTTGCACGTCGCGCTCCAAAGCCTGCAGCCTGCTTTTCAAATCGTCCTCATCGCCGCTGAGAGCGTAGCCCCGATTCCTCAGAATCTGCACCTTGGCAGCCAGCGCCAGGCATCGATTGGAAATCATCGTCTGCCGCCTCCTGGCAGCCAAAGCTCTTGTTTCAGTCTCCAGTTCGTGTCTCTGTAAGAGAGCATCCAAACAGCCGTTGATCTGATGCAATCGTGTGTTGAATTCGGAGATGGCACGCTTCTGTGTCTTTAATCGGTCTGCGACGCCTGTGTAGCCTGCACATAGCACAGGCATGAATCCAGGGGCGGGCTTGTTCTGCAGAGCTTCCTCCCATTCTCTAGGGTCTTCGTGTGCTTGCGGCTTGTAAAACGGAATGTGTGCTTCATCGACTTTGTTGTAAAAGTAGTGCTTGAAAACGCAGCTGGGGCTGGAAGGGTCCCATTTCTCCGTCACGAGCTTCATCTGCTCCAGAATTGGCTTCTGGTCTATTCGCATCATAGCATTAGCAAGAGAAACAGCGACTCTTCAGTATTCGAGACCTACGGGGTGTTTCTTGGCCTGGTTGCCACAGAGAGCTCGACAACTGGGCTTGTGACTGCGATAGCGCTGGAATCTGCGCTGCCTGCTGAGGCTGGGCCAGCAGCGTGTTTCCTAGTGTCGAGGCCTGCTGGCCTGCGGCCTGGGTCTGGCCAAAAATGTTACCCGTCGTTTGTGTCTGCTGAGCGGGCTGAGCAGTTTGAGTCGCGCCAAAAAACCCTCCCGAGCCAAGAGGCTTGGCTTGTCCAAATAGCGACATGATGAAGAGCAGATTGTAGGACCTCCAGAAATTGCTCGAAGTATCAACCTAGCTCTCGAGGAGCTTCGCCAGCGGAGTCGAAGACACAAATCGTATCGTAATTCTTGTTATCAAAGTTTGACAGCGCTTGATTCGACAAATTGGCTGCCGCGTTGTCGTCAAAGTTCGCCTGTGTTGACGTTTGGATGATTTCTCGTCGCTCGGCAGGTTTGTTGACTTGCTTCAAAATTGCTAGGGTCGCGCGCAGCAAAAGGTACCCTGGTACCGCGAAGGCTAGCCTTGTCTACCGCTGGCCAATCACAGCTGATTTTCAGAAGCGGGATGCCTACATATTGCTGAGTCATCAGCTCCAGTTGCGAAACTACACAGGGCTACTTGCGGTACCTGCCATGCTTGTGGTGCCCGCGCCAGAAGACCAGTGACTATAGTGCCGTTAAGTACCTTTTACGAAATCGATCTCCCGCCAGGTACTTGAAGAAATCAGTTCACTTGCACCAGCAAGGCTACGACTGCTGACCCCCCCGTCGTTTTTGATTGGCTTGAACAACTACAATCTTTCAACTAAGCAGTCGTCCAAAGAACCTCATAGCTCCAATCTCCTACCGGAAGCCTCAAAGAGGGTCAAGCAAACATCCGGCAATCATGGCGTCACGACGGTCTCAGTACGTTTCTTAACCCGCCAAATCCAGTCTGCGACATCATTGGCTCGCTTTGACGGCGAATTGGCAAACCTCTTCCAGCAGCAGTTCTAACAAGTGGCAGATTCCACCAGCAGGTGCTCATCGACACCACTCCTCTTCCCGACAACATCCCCCAGGTCCAGGAGATTGGTGCCTCCTCCGCACCTCTGCTATCAGCCTCTTTCTTCATCGGCGCCCGATGCCGCGACTACAACGATGATTACATGCAGTGCAAGACCGAGAACCCCGGCAAGGGAGAGCTGAACTGCTTGACGGAGGGACGAAGGGTAACCCGCTGCGCCCAGAGCGTGTACGTTTTTTCCTCTGCCTACGAGAAAAATCCATGATATTCTTTTGCATTGGGGGTGGATTGCCCATGTCCAGGAAGCGGGCAATCGTACGAGCCGCTTGTTTTAAAGGAGGGGGTACTGACGTTTTGGGGGCCTATAGGCTCACGGATATCAACACACACTGCTTAGCCGAGTTCCGCAAGCACTGGGAATGTCTGGACAACCGAAACCAGCAGCTCTGGCAGTGCCGCCCTGCCGAGTGGAAGCTCAACAAGTGTGTTTACGACAACTTGGTACGTCTAAACATTTACCCGACACATCAAGCGAACACCACGATTGCTAATTCGAGCCTGGCTTTAGAAACTGGAGAAGAAGATCCCCGATCAGCCCACCAATGTCACCCCCGTTGAGCTGAGGCCGAAGCAGATTTTCGCCGATGTGCGGATTGGACCCGGTGACGGCAAGCCTTTCACTGCCGGAAAGTCAGAGGCTTCACAGTAGAAAGAGAAAAAGAGTTCAAGCTATGCGTCATGTACAATTGTCACTTGAGTCAAAATAATAACTCACCAACATATTACGTACCACACTTCCTATAACTGTTACCTGAGCTACTGTGCTTATTTCTATTCTTTGTGACAAGGTGCCTTTGAAGGGCCTGGAAGTCGGAGATGTCTGTTTCAGATCAAACAGTATGAAGCAGACTGTTTGACAGCAATGCATCCATGCAGCCAGACATTCGACAAAGAATAGTGAGAAAGTGACGCACTACACATGTCAGCTCTTAAGCCAACCGGAACTTAGGCTTCTTTACCTTATCGTGCTCGTTCACGGCCGCACCCACACGTATTAAGTTGCATTCTCACAGACTAATTTGTTGGTCATCTCGTAGTCGCCAAGTTGAGGCATCACAGCAGCTGTGAAAAAACCAAGAAACAAGCTTTCTTTCTCCAACATGTTTGTAAGCTGACTGTGCTGGCAGGGGGATGTTTAAATGCTTGGCGTACGTCGAGAAATTTGAGATGGGGGAATACGGAAAACATATGCTCTTTCATGCGAGAGAGTACCCCTTATAGCAGCAAAATTATTCGCTGATTACAAGTTGCGTCTGGCTTTGGCTAGGTGATTATTATTACTTGATACCTATATGTTTATAATCAAGTCTATGGGCAATTATCGTGAAATTCACAAATGAAATGTCTTGACCCACAAGGTCCGTGTACGCTACTTGCTTTTCCTCTCCGCCTTTTTGGCGTTGATGCAATACCAGTTTTATATCCCGCGAGGTACCAGCTGCCTGCCTATATCAAAGTCCTCAACTCTAAGAGGGAAAAGAATTGATCGATGTATGTGTAGCCAAGAGATCGTAGAGGTGTCTCCAAGTTCAGTCCTGTTCATCGCTAGACGGTATGATAATTCTTAACGAGTGCCCCTGTCTACCAGCAACGACAGGCCTTCGATCTCTGGGATCTGATAGAGTCACAAGAGTTCTCTCAGAATGGACACTTGTGGGACTTTGTAATGTTTGCTCGGATGAGCTGATGGGGGAAATGAGTTTGGTGTCGGACAGTAGCGCAGTGGGAGAAACCAGCGTCGCATCCGAGTTTTTTCTGCTACCCGAAGAAGATAAGAGAAGAGATCCTGATGCTGACTGCGTCAGGAGCCATATCTTCTGCTTATCCGACAAAATCGAGTCAAGACTCTCTATTGTGAGCACGGTATCAACCGAAGGATGCCTATCTCCTTCTCTGAAGAAGGATGGCTCTTCGTCAGCTTCTTCCGTGTCTGGCTCCTCTCTATTGCTTTCTTTTTCGCGTTTGTTCTTTCTATGTCGTCGGTATGTGATGCAGGCGGTGAGACCCAGTGTATAGACAGTTAGTATTACAATAATGGGAATGACAACAGGAGCAGCCCAGGGCAAAGAATGTCGCGGCTGTTGTATTGGTTAGCCAAGGGCGTTTTAGGAGCAAGACCAATACCCGAAAACACAAATCAAGAGGGGGAAAGCAACTTACAGATTCAGTAAGTCTCCAAGGAGGAGAAGCCGTCCAACCCGACCGAGTATCCGGAGTAGATGTGAGCCACAGGGTATACAGCTCATCATCAAGGTGGTCTGGCGTCCACAAACAAGTCGCATCTTTATTGTTCATGCCATCTAAGGAAAGTTGCCTCGAGTGAGTCTAGATACTTTTAGTCTGGTCACTGCTTTTTACTCACCTGTCAAATTCGATATCAGTTCGAAAGCAGCAACTCCATTTTTGGGATATGTAATCTTAAAGAGTCCAAGCTCTGGAGATAGAGTATCGTCCAAAGACTCGTTCCACCTGATTGTAAATGGATGGCCATTCGAGATGCTGTCATTCCATTTTTCATTCAGAAACCGCAGACCAAATCCTTCGTTCGTAGCTCCAGTGAAGTTATGAGGTCTTTGGTTCATACTGCGATCTTCCTATGATCATATCGACTTGTGGAAAGTTTTCTGAGCGAATATAATGTTGGCAAAGCTGAAAAGGCCGGTGTATGAAATCACTCAGGTTTCGTTCTAGAAATCACTGGGACAGGCTGGAACACAATAACTGGAGCACAGGACATCCGGCATTAAGTAGTGATTTTCGTTACAGTGAGCACCTGGGCGAACAAGTAGTGAGAGAATGGCTGGCTGGCGAGAAGTCTCAGTTTGCAAGGGAGGGCATGGCGTATTTAGTCATAAAACCAGGAAGTCAAGTGCCAAAAAGAGGGGGGCGTGTGAACTGAGAAACGGCATCGCCGGACCCGGTACTATCGTGAAGAAAAAAAAAATAGGCAGCGGAGGGCATAGATTGGGCGATACAAGGTGCTTCTCTAGCTGGCCAAGGTCACGATGGCATCTCATCGTCTATTAGCCCCCTCTAAAGGGACGCAGTTCATTTCACGATGGCTTCGCTGGCATGCTCGGACAGAGTCAGTAGCATATGTGCCGTAAATAACTAAGGGGCTTAAGTTAGTGGTACTGTTGCTGGGCCGGATTTGGGCGCATCTGTAAACAGGTATACACGATGAATATTGGCAACGAGTCCGTACTATCACATATAGATAGTAAAAAGAGGCATACGGATTCTCTAGCTTGGAAACCTGATAATATAACGAAAGAAGGCGGACCGTAGAGAGGCGATGCCAAAACTTCGTATTCTGTCGATGTGAACGAGTCCAGGACTGGGCTCGAGGATCGAGATACGAGGTCTTGCATCTTGCTTTGGAGCTGTAGAAAGATCTTCAGTCTTGCGTCAGGATGAACAATGAGTGCCGAGAGTCGACAAAGGGTCCGTCGAGTAAACGGCGCAGCATGGGGAAGATCGAACGAATAATCTGCCTCGAACACTCAGGCAAGGCTGGAGGAAGCTTGTGGCTGCCTGAGGGCGCGTGAGGGCGAAGCCCGAGTTCTGGCATGCATACAGCATTCCGGAGGCCTGAGGCGCTGCCGTAGCAGTGAGACAGGGCAATGAAGATGGGCTCGTAGGGGGTATGAAGCGCGACGAAACATGAAGGTGGCAAGCTTTGAAGACGATGCAAAGGACAGGTTGAGCTGCAGCTGTTCCAGATCCTGATGCCTTATCAGGTGCAGGAGGTACGTACTCCGGTACTGGAGGCTGAAATTGGCAAGAACACGGGAGTAGACGGCAGCAGCTACCCCACAGCACCGCGATGCACCTGCCGAAGCGCCACGGCAAGCGGGTGGGGCGCTGATGAGCGCTGATGATTAGCGACAAGGAGCTTCCATTGGCGGGGCAGCTTCAGGGCCTTTTGCTAGTAAACATCAACATCATCACGTCGCCTCAAAGCAGTCTCTCCACAGGATTCGCCGTTCGCCTGCCACCTCACACGCGGGCGATTGGAGTCAAGAGGGGCTCTACGCACAGGCGCATGCACTAGACTGGCCTTCTGCGAGACTAACTTCTGCGAGACCAAATTCTGCGAGGCCAAAGATAGCAGCACGCAGCGAGCAAAGCAAGACATCGAGCCGTCTTCCCCAAACGCGAGCTCCGACTCCACATTCTCCAGCGAGACCAGGCTACGAATCGGGCTTTGCTTTCCCTCCTCCCAACTCCTCCTAAATCTTCGGCATCGTGAACTCCGGGTCTCCCAATGGCGACCAGACCAGGCCCGAGCGGGGGCGCGGGTGCTTACGCCGACTGCGTCGACTCGCTACGCAGCTCCCTCAAATTCCTCGAGGCCTCTGTGGAGACGATTGATCGTGGCGTGTCGGATTTCCCCCGTATGATGGGTGTCCTCAAGACAGTTCGGGTTTGTGCCTCCTTATCGTCGAGTATATGCTGTGAATTAGTGTTGACATTGCTTGTAGCACTACGAACTCATTCCGCAGCCTACTCTTGCTGCAGCTGAGGCCTCCCTCCGAGATGAGATTGGGCCCTACATTGCCTTTTTGCTTAGCCGTGCCGACGCTCAAGTTGAGCGACAGGAACGCCGCATTGAGACTCTCAAAGCTCGTGCCGAGTTGCAACAGGGACGGCTTGCTAGGCCAGATGAACCAGTGCGCAAACCTGCTTCTGCAAAGAGTCGACAGCTACGTGGCGAGGACAAGCTTCGCGCGAGGATAGTCCGCCAACGTAAGGAAGCTCTACGCTACGGCATCGAAAGATTGGAGCTTGAAGTGCTCCAGAAAGAAAGAGAATTAAAGAAAACGCTTGGATAGCCAGTGAAGCTCAGCAAATAGGGCATTAGACAACCATTTCAACACTCATGAGACGTTTCGAGTGTTCCTCAAAAGCAGAGGACAACTCCCTCAGAAGAGAAGAAGAGAAGAAGGAAGGACGGGAAAAAAAGAGAGTCATTCGCGCATTCTCGTCTCCTTTGACCTTGCAACACCACCACAACACCGGCAAGGTCGGCTTTCACGATGCCTCTGTCTCCGCAAGGAGCCTCCCCGCATACCAGTCCGATCAGCAGCACCCGTTCCCCGAATTTGGGCATTCACAAATCTGCCTCTTATGCGCAAGTCCAGCTTGGGGCGAGCAAACCAACATGTCTCGCTCTACTTGACTTTCCCCCCCCCCCAGACTGAGCACTCCCTTAATATAGGCATGGTCTAGACCGAGGGCGATGACCTCGTGCCGCAGAACCATTGGACTGGGCAATTAGTTTTTGCAAACAAACTTGAGATGCCATACCTCTCCTCCCGGCATGCCTCGTGAGCTTCCGCATTTGGCAACAACGCCAGCATAACAATTTATATTCCCCCTTAGTATAATGCTAAATTCGATCTGTTAGTGAGCTTAATTTGCTTGACGGTGAAGTGTTGTAATTCAACCCCTTTTCCTTGAGACTTATTACATGTTTACATGTTGTAGTATATTTCAACCTCGCCTCTCTTCAATGACCAAGTTGAGATATGATTCCCCTTTCTTTTACCTTTACCTCTCTCTACAATTATCGCAGCATATATCTTCAAAGCAAGGAAAAAAAAAACAAGGTATCATTTCCAAAACACAAAAACTCTTATTCCAACATTAGCCTCCCAATGGTGTTTGTATTGAGTAGACATTTAACAACTCCCTACTTTTTGTTTTCTACCACACAGCGCCCAAATCCTTGTCTTGTGCCTCTCTCTCTGCCTTGCCTCTTCAATTTTGTTTTTAATCTGGAAGCCTCCTTCCTCTGACTACATTTTTGGTTGAGGAATTTGCATACATACATGAGTGACCTCCCGGCTCCATTGTCTTGCTAAAAGAAAAAGAAAAACCTTGAAAACAGAAAAAGATGGAAAAAGAAAAAACAGTCAAACAATAGATCATAGCCTAAAAGAAGAAGACTGAAAAAAAGGGAGTTACCGCGTTATTGCTGCTGCTGCTGCTGCTGCTTTCTTTCTTTCTTTCTTTTTGATTCCACGCTTAGAGGAGAGGGATATCTTGAGGAATTGGGGAATCATGAAGAGATATGGAGGAAGAGAATATTTCTAGTAGCAGATAGCGGCCGAAGAAGAGTAGGAAATGACATGGACAAATAAAAGAAACGTCTCGTACGTTGATAATAAGATGAACAAAAGAAGAGGAATGAAAGAAAAATCAGCTTTGAAAAGAAAAAGAAAAAGAGAAGAGCCAAAAGTAAGGTGCTGCCAATGCATGCAACCTATAGTATGGCGTTGTCTCTTTGAGTAGCCTCGTCCAAATATACTCCATCCAATATATATCCCTGGCCCGATTGCGCAAAATTCCTCAGGTCGTCACTCCAAGGCAAAAATGATGACAACTAACATAGCGGAGCCCCAATTCGGCAAGAAAGGCATTTCTAGTTTCAGAGTTCGTGATAGCTCATAGCAATTCGAGGTAGTTGCTAGGCGCAATACCAGTCTGTCCGTCTTTGTTTCGCGCTTGCCACCATCGCCCGCTAACATCAGACACCTCAAGAACGTCATCCAAATTGAAAGAAATCTCGTTGCCGTCTTTGGGGTCGGCTTTGTAGCTGTAGATGGCCTTTGCTCGATAGGGGTATTCGGTAGGAGGAATAACCTGGGCATCAGGGCCTGTCACCTTGATCTGGGCTGGTCCAAAGCCGGGAAGTTGGGAAACGCGATTTCCACCCATTTGAGAGGCGCCGCCAACAGGTGAAGGATTTTCGAAGCCATTGAGCTGAGCAGATGTATACATTTGCGGTGGTTGGACGGAGTTGGACGTCTCCGGACGGCCCATGCCCATGCCACCGCCGTAGTTGCTCATGGTTTGTCGCTGCATATGAGCAGACTCTTTGGTAAGGGCGAAGGAGTCCAGGAATGCACGGGGTGTAGCGGAGGGTGTCGACCCAAAGTATAAAGTCCAGACGAGCTATGTGCATTATAAAATTAGAATGCGCAAAGCTTTCAAAAGGCAGATAGAGTAGCATAGTAGGGATTATGACAACGTACCACGACCATGGAAAGGAGAATGAAGCCGGCAGCGGCAGCTTCTCGAGCTGCGTCCTTTGAGTATACCAGAGAGTTGACCGACGAGGTTACCAGCACCATGCCTCCGGCAGAATATCCCGTAAGTGCCACATGGTAGGTCTGAATCGTGTCGCTACCGACAACATAGAAAACGCCGAGGATCAAGAAGAGGCTGAATATGCTTGCCCACCAAGAGAACTTGGGGAACGGGTCGTTTGGTGTCTCTTGGATCTGGCCGATGATGCACCCGACGATTGTAATAAGCCACGCAAGCTAAAGATATGCCGGTCAGCTGTCGCGCTTACCATATTGACACAAGGCTTTGAGCAGTAAAAAGGGGGACACGAGAGGGAACGCACAAAACCGATTGATGTAGTTGCCAGCGCAAACGGGTCGCCCAAGATGTTGCCACTCTGGAAGCCTCGTCGTCGGTAGATATTTGAGTGCTCCATTTTGATGATTGACGGCGAGTTGACCGAGTAGGGGGGCATAAGAGAGTTGGCCAGCTTGTCGGTTTGGGGGCGAGTGGTCAATGCGATAGTCCACGCCGTGATTGTGTACGCCTATGGGAAAGAGTGTCGTCGAAAAGCCAGTTCGATTATCGATCAGACGGAGGAGAGAAGCGACGTGATTGCTTGGGAAAACCACGTAGTTGGTGTCCGGCACAGCCGAAGAGTTAACGAGCGAAGGAGAAAAAAATAAACAAAAAGAAGGAAAATGCGATCGGGGCGCAGCAGGCTCGTCTCTGGTGAGTCTCGCTGAGGCCGTCGAGAAGAGGATCGAAAGAGAGTAGAAAAGAGAGAGGAAGGAGGAGGAATCAGCCGGATATCAGGCGAGGAGGTGACGGATGGAGAAAATGGATTGGAAGATGCGGCCACGGCGCTGCTGGTGGAGTTGGTGCGACGGGGTTGGCAGAAAAATACACGACGGCTGGTGGAGGGATCGCAGGCGTCGGTGCAGATCGCCGGCAGGACAGAGTCTCGCAGATGCAGGGAAGCAAGCGAGGCTGCAGGACGAGAAACGAGATGGATTGAAGAAACTGGGAAGAGAAGACAGGACAAGCAAGACAGGAGCTAGTGCAGATGCGAGGTTTGCGACGATGCAGCGAGCAAATCGGTGCTCGATTGGAACTTCAGTCGCGTGGAGTGGCCAGGAGAGGAGAGGAGCAGGGCGAGATCAATGCCAGCGGCAGGCGGAGTAGCTGGTAGTTGGTACCGCGGAGGATTGCAGTACCAACACCAACCGCAGCGCTCGTTGTTTTCTCGGGGCCCGTCCCTGGTGCCTGAGCCTGTGCCTGTGCCGTGCCGCGAGCCCTGTGCGCTGGGGCTAAGCACTGGCCGCCGGGCAGGTACCGGGTACTTGTTGCAACGGCGCTTTGGCACCTGCGCGGACGGTACTACAGTGCTCGTAAGATACAAGTACAGGAGGAGTCGGGGGGCCCCGTAGCACTGGCGGCCGGGATGTGGCCTGGCGCGGTGCTTGGATTGGACTGAGCCGGTGCTACAGGCCAAGCACTAATCAATACAACTGGGTACTGTATGTATGCACTTTGCAGCAATTGATGCCACAAGTACATGTAATGCTACCGAATTGCAGTCGAAATGGATTGGATAGGGTTGTATTGTCTCGCGTTGTATTGCGTTGAAGTCGAACTCGGCGGCGCGAAATGAAAGGCCCAGGCCAGGCGTCGTCTGAAGTTTAACAAGCAGCCGCCACCTGGTATGTGCTTTGCAGCTGGAGCTGGGGTTGGCGCTGGGGCTGTGTGGTACGAGTATAAATAGAACGGCAATGCCCGCATCAAGGTGGTATGCAAAGCTTTTTGCAGCACACAAAGGGCAATTTCCAGGAATCAATGCGTCAAGCACACCAAGCCAGGAATTGAGTATAAGTGAATTGAGGAAAGAGAAACAAAAAGAAGGGAAAAAGGTATACTAAGCCGGCCGTCTTTGTGTCTATGTTCTGCTATAAGTAGGTACCTAGATGATGTGCATTATCCTATCGCCAGTAACCATGACGAAATGCTTGTGAAACCAAGAGATAAAAGACGCCTTTCTTGCGCGCGCTGATTCAAACGCTGTTACGCACTATCAAGCCTGGACCAGGAATGGCAGTGGCCAAGGAGCACAAAAACCGCCCTCCCGAGGAATGCGACGACGATGCTTCAAAGTGACCTTCCATCCATCCATCCATCAATCATGCTGCTGGAGCCGTCACTCGCTTCTCCACCGCCGCCAGCCGTTGGATCCGCCAGCCTCCCATGCCACGCACGCACTGCATGCACGCCAGCGAAACGCCGGGGAGGGCATCCGCAGATTGGGGCTGGAGACGCGAGGTTCACGCACATTGCCTGCAGCTGGCTGTACGAGCACGGGTATTGCTGCAAATCATAAGAGGGCGCTGGGCTGCGTAAGCAGGGAGCATTGGCTTCCATTGTCTACAAATGCCCCAAGCACTGCAGTAGCTCGCATCTCTCTCTCTCGTCTCTCATACAACCCTGACCATTGCCGACGTTTTGAGATTCGACGGCGTGTCTCGCGCCCAGGCACTAAGCGATAGGCTCATGATTTGTGGCTCCCCTGGCCCTGGATTGGAGACGCAGGGGCTCCTCCACAGCGAGTTTCATGCTTGGTCTGCCCCGCCAAGCACGGAACCTGTGACAATGGACGAGCAGTCTGACATTTGGTCTGATGCTTCGGCTTCGTAAAATCATGTCTCTATACAAGCAGATACATCTCTTTTACCAACAGTTCAGCTGTTTCATAGTAATAGACTCTTGGTGTATACACATGTTTATACACATATTTATACACATGTAGATACTACTCTAAGATGCTATATCAAAGCTACAAATTACTGCATCTTGTATTCAGTTGCCTGTCTGTCATTGTAACTCCAAATAGCCGCGCGCACAGATCTATATCCGCCTCTCTCAAGCGTTTAAACCTGTTTCTTCTCAGCCAACAAGCAGCTTGACGGCGCCGATTGACTGGCCCATCTCTCGCCGGCGGCTCTCCAGTCGCTCCACTTGGCTCTGGCTTTGTCAACAAGATGCCGTGCATCTTGCTCCTCAGCATTGGCGCTGCGGTAGTCCAGTCCGGCCCCGGGACCAAGATCTACACCAGGCTGTCATGACGCCCGGCTTGCTTTCCGGTGCGCAAGCGCTTGGCCTGGGAGCACGGAGTAGACGCGCGTTGCAGATTGTGGTTCCAGGTCCCGGCAGCCTGTCTGCGGCTCTAGATCTCAGATGTGCCGCATCAACAATAGCGGTTGTTGTAGGCCGATCTGAAACCTAAGACACGCAGTCAAGAGTTACCCAAAACTGGTACGTCCAAGTATTTCAGCGCCTGGTCAAGTCTGCGAAGATCGTACCGGTATATCACAACAGCAGTCTCACCATGACCTCGGCGAGTTTGGCAGACTAGCATGCCGAATTGTTAGGCGAGATTTAAAGCTACGTATTACTAGTAGTAATAGCTGGTGAAGATTTCAATGTTTACCCAGGAATCTTGCAGTTCTACAAAGTACAAAGTACCTGAGGTCAACTTCACGAATAGCCGAGAGTCCCGGATGGGCGACTAGAAAATTCCAAGACCATTCATTTAAAAGAGAGAGTAAGCATGAGTCTTTTTTTATTGGAAAAAAAAAAATCTTAATTCTACTGAATCAAACTCTTTTTCACAATACGCGCAAGACTCTAAACTACAAGCGTTGAAATTGAAACTCGCCAGGCTCCATCATAACCCCTGACTAGGCCCGATTTTTATATTTGGCGGCCTCTTTAGCTCTTCCAGCTGCCAGCCTGCCTAGGGAATTTAGCGGAGCTCCCAGCTTACGTCCCGCGCTGCTAGCCTCCATTGTCTGCTGTCAGGCACGTGTAACGAAAACAGCAAAAAAGAACAGATGGGAAAAAAAAAAAGTTTTTTACCTTGCTCTGTGGATGAAAAACTGGTCTAGCTGGACAAAAGCCACCACGAATCTGTAGCGGGCACCTACAAAACGCTAAATCTGGATCGCAACCTTGTTTGATTAGTGATGGATGTCATGTTTGTTGCAGAAGCCCAAAATTCAAGGTCATGCGGCAGCGGCGCCGTTGGACAAGAATGCTTCTATTGCCTATTGCCTGCTCTGGTACCAGAGCGCTGGCTGCTGCTTCGGAAAAGAACTGATCCTTGACCACGAAATTACACTCCGTATACGTAATACTAGCTGCGATCTAGCTTCAATCTCATCGTTGCTGAAACGCGGGGAGAAAGAAGCCGGAGGTTGAGGCATCGCGGGTTTGAACTTTCTTCGAGGTTTACACTCCATGACTCCTTCGAGCCGTAGTTATCAGAAGTTCTATCGCCAATGGTGTCATCTAGCCTCTGGACTATCGGGCCTGGCCTATTACTGCTTCGTCATGTCCTTCAGCCGTGTTTTGGACTGAAGATATCCACGGAAGATATCATTCCTCAACCGTAGCATCAGCTGAAGACGTCTCAATATCGGCATCCAAATTCTGCCTTCCACACTCTTGGGGCTAAGGGGCATGGCAGTTTTTAATCGAGGAGGGGTATCTGTATTTCATCATGCAGTTTGCTTCGACTCTAGCGTCGATAGGTCATCTAAGTTGGTTCGACCATCTGCTTTCTCAAAAAGCCGGTAGCTGTACCGCCTAGCTCTAATCCGTAGTGTCCTCCAGCCGCGCATGGTATCATGGGAAGATAAGCGCTCTTAATCCAGAGCATTGATCTAGAAATCCAAGGACTACGCGTCAGGTTGGCTCCTGAATCCACCCGCCAGACAATACTGTTGTGAATAACAAATCGCCGTGGGGTATCAATCCAAATTCTTTCGACAAGAATTTGCGCGGCCCAGGACTTTTGACTTTGTAAACGGCGTGCATCGCATCAAATCAATTGATTTGCTCGCTGCCACCGCTATTCTTCGAGTGCAATCTCTCTTTTTCTCGTTTCCCACTCTACCTTGCGAATTCTGCCATCGGAATCCGCTATCATTTGGGAGTCTACCAGCGCCCTGTTTTCATACCACGATCGCACAAGCATCTCGCTCTTACTCCGTAGTTTGGAAATCTCGGCTGCCTGAGCGAGCTGCGTGGCTTCAATCGCCTTCATGCGCTGGGTGAGAGATATGAGAGAGGCACTGGCAGAAGACTCGGGGATAGGGATATCTTTGGCGGCGGTGAGGGCGGAGAGCGTAGCGGGGAATGACGATGCTGAGGAGAGGACGATGGACTGGATTGTTTCCGAGTCGAGCTGAGAGGGAGGCTGAGAAGGCGGCGGAGCATGAAAGAGATCTGGATTCGACTTGTCTGCGCGAGGAAGTAGAGGTTAAAAACTGGAATCTTGATGTCAAGGGCCCCGCAGGCTGGGGCTGAATAAACTGACATATCTTGAGGAGTTCCGCATAGACGCGCATCTGGGCAACCATGTTGTTGAATCGCCGTTCTAGGATATCCATCTTCTCGAGGGCAGCGTCATGGTGGCTTAGGCTGGAGGTGGGAGAGGCGGTCGTGCCGTAAAGAAGATGCTCGATGCGCAGGAGGCGCGACTCGAGGAGGGAGATGGTCGCCAGAGTTGTTTTGTCCAGCGGGTCGTCCATTTCGGCCGACATGCTGTAGTATATGCGCCTGAGATCTGAGGAAAATGAGGACGAAGAGAGCGTGCGTTTGCTACAAGGGCCGCGTGTGACGGCAGTGGGAAGGATATTGAAGCTGTGTTGAGGTATGACGCTTTGGAGGAGCTTGTCGCCAGCTGTGGTGGGTGGCGGTCACAGTGGCGCGCTGTGATTCGTTGAGATTTTAGGTGCCGCAGCGGGTGCTGTTCATCTGTGTACAAGCATCCATCATGCATCCTTTGCTGTATGCCAATTGCGCCCGACTTAATTGCAAATGCGTATATAATATGTTTTTTTTTTAATGCCTGTATTTAGATAAATAAAAAAAACATTCACTCTCATGGTATAATTGGTGCGCCTATTTGAAGACATGAAGCGTCGTCGTCTACTAACATGCGTGTAGTACTTCGTATAGCTGATAATCGCCACGATGCGGCGTAACATGGCTCAGGCACCACACGTGCTTCTGAAACATCGTGCCTGTTTTCTTTCTGTGACCACTGGAAATGGCAAATCAATGCAAAAGCATACTGCCAATGGTGGCATGACTACAGGGACTACAAAACACCACTCATGGAAAAGGGTATAGATCGCCGCAATAAAGCCGTTTAACCACAGGCTCGTGGCTCTCGACATGCTTCCGAGAAGACGAAGGTGGCATCCGTCATTATGTGAATGTCAATAACAGTTTGCCGTGATACAGATAGCCCGCAGGGTACGAAGAAGACAAGACCCAAAACACATACAGCCGTAATTCTATCTCTATTCTCTGTAAATTTGCATCTTCAGCGTCGCATTCGGCAATGATATAGAATGGCGTAATCGCGAATGAAAACGGGTCATGCTGATATTGTCCCTGTGCCCCAGGCCCTGTGATTGGCTGCCCCTACCGCCGGCCGCCTGGGTCCGGGGGAGGCCCCGCCGTAAAATGCAGTCACCGTCCGAGAGGCCAGTCCGCTGATGGTTAGGGAATCCCCCATGGCCAGCTTTTCGTGGCGGCCCTCTGCTAGATTTCAGCCTCAACCTCAACCTCATCTCTTAGCCCGCCGTCGCTCGTTCGTCGCCACCGCTCCGTCTGTTCGACCCGACACTCGCTCCAGCCCTGCGCCAGCGTCGCGTTTGCGCATCTCCCTCATCCCTGGACGCCCTGCCTGTGTCGCGCGGCTGCGCTGCCATCGCGACACCCGAATATTGGCATCGACTGGTCACCGACCAACTTCCCGCCGTGCTGCCCTTGAGCACGAGAGGCTGCCCAGAGGGCTGCTATATCAGGACCGCTCAGCGGCGCTGCTGCTTGCCGCATCCGCCGTCCTGGGAGGGCTATGACTAACTACCAAAGCATTTCAGACGGGGCCGCCTCTCCTGGGGGCTCTAGCAACATGTCGAGGTGAGCATGGCCATCGGGGGTGGATTTCATCGAGAGCATTGGGCTGATTCTCCTGCCTTGTCCGGCTTATAGATCGCGACGACGAGCTGGCAAAGATGGCCGTGGTGGACAAGCCAGCATGGTCAGCAGCATTGTCAATCTGCTGAATACAAGTTCGCGACCCTCTTCCTACGACACCCACATCCACGAATACTGACTTGAGCCTGTAAAGTTGTTGGGGCCGGCACACTTGCCATGCCCTCTGTCCTGTCGCACATGGGAATAATGCTCGGTGTGCTCCTCATGGTCTGGTCTGGCTTGACCTCGGCCTTTGGTCTCTACCTCCAGTCCAGATGCGCGCGCTACCTCGACCGCGGAAAATCCTCCTTCTTCGCCCTGTCTCAGCTGACATATCCCAATGCGTCCATCATTTTTGATGCCGCTATCGCGATCAAGTGCTTCGGCGTTGGGGTCTCCTATATGATTATTATCGGCGACCTCATGCCCGGAGTGGCCTTGGGCTTCAACAGCGCCGCTGATAGGATTCCGTATCTGGTGGACCGAAACTTTTGGATTACTGCCTTTATGCTTCTCGTCATCCCTCTGAGTTTCCTCAAGAGGCTCGACTCGCTCAAGTATACCAGCTTGGTTGCTTTGGTTTCGATTGGATATCTTATCATTCTGGTCATCTACCACTTTTCCGTCGACCCCCACGCCAGCCCAGACAATATTCGGGTTATCCAGCCGGCTGGTGCCGTTGCGACACTGAGTGCATTGCCAGTGGTTGTCTTTGCTTACACTTGTCATCAGAATGTTTGTATTTCACCATTGGCTCAACGAGGAAAACCACTGATTTTCTTTAGATGTTCTCCATAATCAACGAAATTAACGATAACACCCCGTCTAGCCTGGTGAGAGTTATCGCGTCCAGCATTGGGTCCGCAGCATCGATTTACGTCCTGGTGGCCGTTACTGGATACATCACTTTTGGTAACTCCATTGTCGGAAATATCGTATCCATGTGTAAGAATCTCCGTTGCTGTACTTGTGTGTGCTTCGTGCTGACACATCTTAGATCCTACCGGAGTTGCTTCGACCATTGGAAAAGCTGCCATCGTTGTCCTTGTCCTGTTTTCCATTCCCTTGCAAGTCCATCCTTGCCGAGCTTCCGTCGACGCTGTTGTCAATTGGCGACCTAGCAGGGGCAACTCGAACGGCGGCCGTGCTGGTTCCCCTCTACTAAACTCGGCACCAGTGCAACGTGGTGATCACGGCAGCACCGCGCCAATGTCTGATCTTAGGTTTGCCCTCATCACTACGGTTATCCTTACTCTGGCCTACATCACGGCTCTTTCAGTGAGCAGTCTAGATCGTGTTCTTGCCTTCGTTGGTAGTACAGGATCCACGTCCATTAGTTTCATATTACCGGGTCTCTTTTATTACAAAATCAGCGATCCCGATAGTATCCATCACCAGCGCTTGGCCAAGGAAGACGATGACATGGACGGCTCTGACGACTCTGAAACCGAAGATACGGGAGCACTCGCCCAGAGCACTCACAGCATCGCTAGCGCGGCCAGTGCCACGAGTAACCGCAGCCGAAATGCATGGCGGTCACGCAGAAGATGGCGATGGGACTTGGAACACGTTGATCACAGTCTTTTACGAAAGATGGCATTGGCGCTAGCGATATACGGAATGATAGTGATGGCGGTTTGCCTTACTATGAATATTTTCTTCGCCGTCGGTCATTAACCAGGGCTTGGCCAGACACCTTCATTTTACAACGAAAGAAAGAGCTCGCCTCTCTCTTATCCTTTCACTCCTTTCTTCCTCTCTTTTAGAGAGGCCCTCTTATTTTTGCCTAACAACTCATACCGCAGACGTTGGTGCCCTGTTTGGTGTTGTCATTGAAAATGGCGTGCATGGAGTTATAGATGAAAGGGGTCACTTTGGCGTTGCTTGCTTTTTTCTTATATGAAGTCTTGGGTATATCGATGACACAGCTTTCGATATTCGTCCAACGAAAAATCCCCTTATAGCGGACTGTATAAGTTATTTCCCTGGCGATGGAAGTTTTTCGATATCGATATGGAAGCGCTATACGTCTCAGCGGGGGCCAGAAATGTACTCTGATATGAGCCACTAGAGAGAAGACGATAGGAATATTCTTAGACTGGTATGAATAGTGACGAGGTATAAAGATATCGCAATTTGTCTGATAGATGACAGTGATTGGCTTTTGTGAGAGGATTTGCATCAATTGATGGCGAATATTTAAATTACAGCTACATGTTATAACTGCACGTACAGTTTCGGCTCACCACCAACATATAATACACTCGTTATGGTATTTGTCCCTCTATAAAATCCATACCTGACGCCATTGAAATGCCCAAAACACATATCATACATATACAATCAGCCGCACATCCATATTTTCCACAGTCGCTTTTGATCACCCCCTCCGTAGACTTTTACCGAATCTTCACGTCGCCAGCATTAACGCTACCCTTGGTCTCGCTTTCTTTTGGAGCAAAGTGCTTCTTTGGCAGGATTCCCACCATGGACAGTAACCGCCACGCCGTATCCGTGGGCTGAGCGCCGACACCAATCCAGTACTTTGCACGCTGCGAGTCGAGCTTGATGTCCTTGTGTAGCTTGCCAGAGTTGTCATAGGGGTCGGGCTTCGGAATGGGGTCGTATGTGCCGATGACCTCGAGAGGACGAGAGTTGCGCGCAGTACTAGGAGAAAGTTTCAGTCAAAAATTCGTGGGGCACAAGCTTGGATGATATCGAAGGCGGGGGGAAGACGAGCTCCAATTGCTTTGAGTGGCCGTAACGTACCGAGCATGAGCTACGACAATGTTGTAGAAGGGGGAGTTTCGGCGCCCAAATCGGGCGAGGCGGATTTTGACGACCATGGCTGAAGTGAGGGACCGCGAGCGAAATCTGATGATATGCGACTGGCTCCAGATTTACGCTTGCAATTGGTGTTTTTCGATGGCAGTACTTGGTACCCTGGAATATTTTAGGCCGGACTTGCAGTTTCGCCGCGCCCGCCAATCAGCGTCGGCAGAAACATGGTCCGAAACCGCTGACATCACGGTAATGTATAGACGGCAATCACTGGGCCATTTCTAACGACATCATGACATCCCATCCTTCTCAGGAACCCGTTTTTTTATGGCTTCAATACAAGTGAAATTGAACTTTTGAGATCCAAATTTTCAAGTTTTAAAGGACAACTTACTTCGCCATCACCTGCAATTATCGGCCATGGCTCTCAAGGTCTTTTGCGCTTACTCCTCTTTCTACGGGCTTACAGCGCTAACTCCTGTTGCGTAGACTATCGGCGCAAAGGCTGCGGCAGCTCTAGACCAAGAACTCATGAGCACCGGTGCCTTTTCCATCGATCAACTGATGGAGCTGGCTGGATTGGCAGTCTCACAAGCAGGTCTGTCTATTCGATTGAGGGGAAGCTACGAAATTGGACTTGTCGTGCTAAGAGGTTGCCGCTAGTATATCGACTTCAGCCCCTGAACAATGGCCAAAGAATCCTTGTGGCGTGTGGGCCAGGAAATAACGGTATATTTGCGCGTATATCCCTGTTGAGAGGTAGTATATAATCCTAACTACTTTCCTCCTAGGCGGCGATGGCCTTGTTGCTGCACGACACCTCTTCCATTATGGTTTTACTCCAACAGTCTTCTATCCCAAGAGAAGTAAGAATGAGCTTTACCAGGTGAGTTGCTTTCCACATTTTGCCCAGCTTTGGCCATTCCCGTCACCGCCGTGTATGCATGAGCATGAAAGCCTCTTGTTTCGTGCATAATCCTGCTCTTGGGTTTCCTCTTTGGGTTCACTCCTTCGAAGAGTGGCACTGCCGAGGGAGTGCATCGCTTTGATATTCGAAATTGCCATGGAGTATTAATTATCGATATATCCCTTCGATTCTCTCTGTATCCCCTCTTCTCTTCAAAAACGAAGCTGCCAAGACGCGTTGTCTTTGATCCAGAAAGACAGCTAACCGTGGCTCGTAGCGATTGGCGAAGCAGCTCGAAGATCTGGATGTTCCATTTGTCGATGATTTTCCAGCCGCCATGAAATCAACAGACCATGTAGTAGATGCGATATTTGGTATGTGTGCCTCGTGCTTCGGTTATGAGAGAAACGCCCAGAGCTGACCTTTTGCCTTTAGGTTTTAGTTTCTCAGGCGAAGTTCGGGAGCCGTTTCCCGCAGTGATTCAAGCTCTCCAGGAGACCAAATTACCCGTCACCTCGGTGGATGCTCCATCGTCGTGGGATATCGAGAATGGTCCTCCAAAGACAGGCTTAGGTAGCTCTTTTATGCCCACGGCTCTTGTCAGCCTTACGGCTCCTAAGCCACTGGTCAATCACTTCACCGGTCGGCACTTTGTCGGCGGACGGTACGAACCTTTAGTTTTATCTGTGCACTGCCTTCTTTTGATGCGGTTTGCTAACCTTTGGCTATAGGTTTGTGTCCCCATCTATTGCCAAAAAGTATAACTTCGAAGTTCCTCCCTATCAGGGTGTAGACCAAGTTGTCGAGATAGAGTCGTCCGAGCAGAAGCTCTGAGTTCATCCAAGGAAGTCGTCTGATTTCAGATTGTGTGAATGTGCCTCCCTTGTCGTATCAGTCAATATTTCTGCAATATTTTTGGCGGTTGACCTCGGTTATCTTCCTTCAACTGTAATTGTGCCGGTCATCACATCACTTGACAGCCTCCTCTCAAGCTATTTGGACAGACAGGACTCGGACATCCACCTTCACGCATTTCCTCGAGTACAATCGTCACCTCCCGAGGGCAGTCGTGAGTAGGCGGCCGAGAATCCCGACAAAGAGCAACAAAGATGAGATATTCTTTCCTGCAGACTAGGCATTCAGCCGTATGCACCGTGCACATTTATCTGGAGCGCGTTTTGTCCGTCAACCGTTTTGGAGAATGGGGAATTAAAGGATAGTCAGGGGTAGGGAGGCGTCCTCGCGTCGACAACATGAGAGAAAAAGAGTGACGATGTTGCTTCGTGCCACATAGAGTGCCCAACACGATTGAGAAGTTGCACTGCCGCTAATACAAAGTGAAGTTTGAGCTAACCAGCAAGCAAACACTCTTCTCGAGCAGATGGCTGGATCTGCAGATATATGGCAGAACCAGGACAAGGTGTGGCTTCACGCAAGGAGGACGTTCAGATGGAGCCAGCTACCACTGATTGCCACTGCCCGGATCTTAGCCACAGCAGTATTGGGCAGTGGGCGGGCAGGCGTGTAGTGGCCGTGTCCCTCCGTTGCGGCTGCAAAGTTGACTGACGGAAGGCACACAATTGGCCGGCGAGCGACAAGGGCAGTTGAAACGGTGAAGAAGGACCATTCTGACAGATAAATTCGGCTGCACCACCCGCATTTCTTTGTGCTGGGCTGAGCTATGTGTGATCGGATGCGAATTGGGCACAGGAGCAGATGCTCCGGAGCAAAAGCTCCCCCCTGCTAGACTGGCGAAGCCAGCGGCGCTTACAAAACCGAGGCGAGCCCCCAATACGGTCCGCTTTTTCTAGAATTGTCTTCAGGAACTTTTCTTCCTTCTCACTGTCAATGTCTACTGAAGTCCCTAAGCTGCGGGAACGCCAGCCTCGGGGTCCGCTGCCTGGTGTGCCTGGACGGCTGCTGCTCACTCCGAACGGTCTGGATTAGGCTGGACAAGGACCAGTAGCTGAATTCGCCTCGGGACCCAGCGTGGCATGGCACTGCAGATCCAAGTTTTGGCTTTGCCTATTGGTATTATTGGCCTTTTAGCACCGTCCTTACTTACACCCGTAGCTAGTGTCGGTACATGGCTCCAAAAGGCGAAGCAGAGATGACCACCAGTCGGTATTAGCGCATCGAGGAACACCCCGATGTGAGTACACGGCACACTCCGTGTACATCGAAGAAGCCAATGTACCACTTGATAACTGCCAAGCTATGGTCCGACCCAGACAAACCCCACACAGTCTAGCCATGGAATTTAAGGCGCCACATGGTGGCGTTGTGGAGAGGCGAGAAATACTTACAACTGTATATCACCTCGATTAGATTCTTTCTGAGACGCTGTCATACCTGTCTGGCGGATCTTCAATCATGGTGTTATTTACGACCAAACTATTTGACGAGTAGCATCGGTGATGCCTTTTTGAGGCGAAGTGACGGCATATTGCTGCAGTTGTTTACAAGTGACGACTAATACCGTCACCGGTGTCTCCAGCCCCTTGTGGCTTCGCTTCCACGTTTCTTTCATTTTAGAGAGGATTTTCCCGTCGGTCAGGGCTTCTGGATTTCTATTGGGCCACTTGGAAAGATGATCATCAAACTGGGATGCCTGACAGAATGCCATGATAGGCCAATTTCACGCTTTGACGTGCTCACATGCATCAGCCACACCGGTGGGGAAGCATCTGCCGCAGCACATGCAGAATGCTATACAGGCCGTCCTCATGTTTGTTTCATACGATTAGTCGGATGATATAAGGTAAACGCAATTGAGGCGACATCATTTCGCATTCTGATAACACTTACAGGGGTAAATGCGACGCAGCATTCTTGGCACCTTGCACTCGATGCTGTTTGATGTTTTGTGGTCGTTGGAAACAAGCCAGCCACATGTGGCGTCGAGCTGGAAGCTTCCTTTCCCAACCATAGCTATCCCAGAGATTCGATCAAAATCAGGGTCTCCACTAGTCGGTTCCCATATCCGTGCAGCAGCGGAGCATAGCTTCACAAGGCTAAATACCAACTCAACATCGTTGCGAAGGCCATTCATCGCTACATTTCGGAGCAGGTATACGGTATCATCACGCTTTAGCGCCCGTGTTGGTCTCCTGTGACTCTCGAAATTACGACGCAAATGCCGCCACAACCCTTGCGCGGCACCGCACGGCACCAACAAAGCGTGTACTTGTACTTGTGGCGTTGCGCGCTGATGTCCCACTCAGAGGCCAATCAATTGGCCCGGCCAAGATGCTGGCGATCTGGGCTAGGATCTCGGCCCTTTCCCAGGGACAGACAAACAGGCATATCTGGACGGCTTGGACGGTAACAGCGGGAACAACGGTGTCAGCGTGTGCTCAGCATGAGGCTAGCCTTACGCAACGAAACAGATCGACGAGGCTTTGGTCGAACAGTCCGTCCAATCAAGGGCTCTCAATGGTTCGTCGTCTGGCTGCTCAAAATGCTCAATTCACCAATCAGGTCCATTTGCAAGGTCTAGATGCTGATCGACAGTGGCGGCTGTGGCTGCGCACGACTTGCCACCGTGGCAGATGGTAAGAAAAATTACACTGTCGCCACAATCGCTGTCTCTTTTCGACATTTGTCACGCCAAGCTTACATTGGCTTGCGACTTACAATTGGCCCGTGACTTGGAATTGGCTTGTGATAGCGGCTCAGCCTGTGGTCGGTTCGCCCGTCTTGCTGCTACCAACGCAAACTTTTTTTCCACGGACTTTTCTCAAAATTGAATGAGAGCGGAGACCATCCGTCGTTGGCGGTGAACGGTCCGTCAATGCGCCTTTAAAAAGCTGAAGCTTGATCTTTAAGCGCCGGAGGTAATGCTCCTGCCGCGAGACTTTGCGCGCAATGGGAAAACTTTTTCGCCGACCAACCCCATGGCACGGCGTGCTTCCAATTCAGCTTCAGGACCACTTGGAGATTACCTAAGGCTACTCAAGGAAGATGGGAGTTTGGCTACGGAGGAGGCTCCGAAGCATCTCGATGATTATATTCGACCGGGATCATATATCAATATGACTTTACGGACAAAACCTTGCAATGAATTCGGCTTTTCAAGGCCCTTGTTTTTCTTCTAACAAGCCACAATCTAGGAATACCCTTGTGGTTGTTGTTTTGCCACCGTTACTCTCATCATAGTGCCATAATCATAGCGTGGCCGTCTAAGACGGAAAACGTAGATATATCAAACCAAATTTTTACTTCGCCAAAGGGCAGTCAAGCACGGTTTGATTTTATTACTGCCAGCTGGCGATATGTTTCCTATCTTTGTTCTTTAACACTAGCCCCTTACTGACGCCAGTACTTTCATTATCAGCCCGAAGTATATAAGAGTGTCACTCGGTCGCCTCGTATCGGGTTCATCATTCTTGCCGAAGTTTGATATCAGACGATGGCGGTTCAGCTGGTTTTAGCGATGTGGAGATTATTCAAATGAGCGTGGCAAGTGGACATGGAGACGAAGAGCTCAATATGACGTTCTTCCGCTTATTCACATGAAATCGAATTCCTATCAAACACTTGCTCATAACTACCGTTGGAATTGGCTTGCTTCGGTATTCCGTCTCGGTTGGGGGTCGTATGCGGCCCACCGGATGCTTCAACACCCATTTGGTTGGCTGTTGCTGCTCAGACTGATGGCTTTTCAAACCCTGAGTACCGGACCTCATCTCCGGCCTTGGGGCTTGCTGAGATGGCACAGGCCATTTGCCCAGGCAATACAACGCTGCCTGATGTGCCGTTATTCGCATTTGACTGGCTGAAGAAGGAGATTAAGAGCGGCTGGCCAAGCAGAACAAAGCCACAGTTGGTGGCTGACTAGTGTCACGTACGTTGTTCGGCATGGTAGCTCGCATGGATGGATACATCCTCGTCGATGCCTAAGTTTAGGCAACTCTCTATGCCTCGCCTCTTTTGACACTTGATCGGTTGGCAATGTCGGCATAATGCGCCCAAAGTATTGTGCCAGCTGGCTCTGATTTAATCGTGTGTCATCTTGAAGCTCTCAGCTACATCTTCATGGGATATTCTGTTGTGCCGAGGCTCGGAGGGCATCCCTCGCCAAAGAATACTACAAAGCCGCGGAAGAGAATCCTGACGCCGCTATTAACATATAAGATATGGCATCTCCGGGGGGGTAAAGACTCAACATGAATGATGACCAAAAGCAGCCGTCTTCAAAGCCGCAGTGTTGAACCACACCCACTTGGGCCGCGGTCTGTCGGCCGTTGACCGCTTCTGTGGATATACTACGAGGAGCATGACACGCCTTCAGTCATCCATTGGGGTTGACTGACGCTAGACAAGTCTGCTGCTCAACGAGCTACTCCTATACATGTGGATCGTTTCTGCAGTGAGAACATGGTGATACTTATCATGCATCTACAGGCCTAGTGCGCGACCATCTTTCTTGGCCGGTGAGGAGACGGGGAACAATAAAGGGGTAAATTGGCCGAACATGACTTTGGAACCGAGCTCTTGTCAAGGCTCCTACATATGGAGGGGGGTTCCGATCCAATGGCGATGAAGAGTTGGTGTCAGGTGCTATTCTCGAGTTTATGTCGGGACCCAGAAGGGTAACTGATTTGTAAGAGATGTCGGAATTATCATGGGAGATGGAGTCGAAAGTATGTTGACGTGTCCCTTGTTTCCCCCACGTTGTGAGGAGGGGTGGGAAAATTTTTGTACACGGATGGATAGATATCGTGCTTTGCTGCTCTCATGTTCGTTCCTCTCCCTTCTCTTCTTCCTCACCCCATCCCCCCTCATCCCCTCCTCTTATTTTTCCAATTCCCCCTTTTTTGTCTGTCTCTCTGATTCTTTTCTCTCCTCTTGATGATGGAGACACTTTGTGATAGAACTTATAAAAGCTTTGTAATATGGTGTGGCTCTACATCCTTTGCATAGCAGTTATAGATTGACGCTTGGCTTTTAAAGATGAGAAGCGTAAATAGCTTCTGAATTACCTTCACGTTGCTAATGACAGCACGCACTTTGCGACGACGATTGATAATCACGTTGATGATATTATGGCGTAGAAAACATGTCGACATCTCAATTTCCGACTGAAGCATTGGATGATGGTTCCTATCATTTACAGCTGTACATGGGTGGCCGGAAGAAGTTATATAATGTACCTTTTGTACGCAGCAGCAGTTGTACTTTTACGATACGAGACTTTCGAAATGCTAGACTCAGGGTTCAAAGACCATCTACCATACTCAAGGTATACCATTTACGGCCAGTACGAAGATGTGATTGAATCGGTGCCCGGCGGCTTGGAGTGAATCTCCACAAATGTTTCTAAATACTCACCCTAACCAGGTATTTAACTCAAACATGCTGCAAAAGAATGTTATTTTTCTCCTTCATCTTCAGTAGCTAGTCTATACAGAATGTTGCAAGTGATATCCAAAGCTCTGCATGAAATATGAATGTTTTCTCCCGAAAAATACTTTCAATGGATAATACGCGATGCCTCTTTTCCGCGCCGGAGTGGATACTAGCTCGCCGTGCCGGGATATCGGAGAGGCCCCGCTTGGGATTTTGGTGGTGACAAAGGTATCTAGAGGCAAAGAGCTGTATATCGCTCTAGGCGATCTTCAAAAACCCTCTCTACATGTTTGTTTAGTTATTCATCTACTTTAATGCAATAACCAAGTATATTAGAAACTTTTTTTTTTTTTTTGGTTGAACGGATGTCAATATATAATGTCAGACTGAGCAAGCGGGAAAGGTTTTGAAGATGATTAGTTGAGCTTGAGGAGGTTGTTTGATGTGATTGCTACTTTGTCCACATATATAGCCCACGTTTTGATTCATTAAATTCTAAAGAATTTTCACGACTTATATTGGCGTTCATTCGTCTTTCGTTGGGATGCGCAATGCAGGATGTCTGTTGTTTGACGCGAGGCTGATTGAAAAGTCCGACTTGAATGCCCTTATGTAAGAGTATGTAGCTTCCGATTACTTTTTCTTTGTCTTTAATGTCATAATGATTCCATATGAAAGGGCCATATTGGATTTAAAGAGCTTTAGTGCGAGGCTGGTTGTTGGCGGGGGATAACATATTGGCTACCCGAGAGTGTTTTGCCGGTGCTGTGCGTTGAATGCTCAAAGACTGCGAACTATAAGGATATCTGTGTGTTTTACGATGAAAAATTGAGATGATATGAATAACGATTGTAATAGATTCAGCGCTGCAAAAATCGTGGGATTATAAATAAGAAATGTTAGAATGTTGGCATAAAGTGAGCTCCACTTCTAGTGCCATCAGGGAGAAGTGTCTCGCATTACTTTCAGTTACGGTTCAAAAGAACGTTTTTCTGCTGTGACACATAGAAATAGCTAATGTTTATAAAAGAGTTGAAATCTTCACCACGACTCGAATAAATCTTCATCGTTGGCTAGACTTGAGCAGCGACTCCATCCTTTCTGTAAATGAGCCAATGTTGGAAAAGCAGCGGATCGGTATAGAGAGCAATGTTAATAACACGCCAAAGCTTCGTAGACCCACGATATTGTAACGCTGAGACCAACGCTTCTAAAATATATCATCTGGCTGCTTAAGTGTTGAAGACGAGGGTCGCATGGCGATATAGTTGCCGAGTTTACCTACTCAAAGCGTGTAGCTAACTCTTCAACGCAATTTCATGCCCACGTTCATGGGTATAGCATATTATTGGTGGCTTTCGAATCTATCCATGAATATTATTTGGAAGCTGATCAATCTCCAGTGTTAATAGCCTATCCTTTGCATTCACGCCTGTACCTAGGTAGCCAAATCGACTCAGCTCAGATCAGGCGGCAACCAAGTCAACCGCGCTGGGATACATGGCCAATTTTGCTGTTATCGCCATTGAGCCAATTTTTAACTACAAAATGAAAAGCATTAGAGCTTTGACATATTCCTTGTAGCACTCATGTAACTATGTAGCTACCTGCATACGACGCTGGAAAACTCATCGCTCTAATTGGTGTCTAAACCCCCCCCTTTCTAGAGTTACATCTTTCTAGAGTCACATGCAAGGAATCTCAAAAGCAAGCGGGATGCCGTTTCAGGAGCTGTTCCAGATATAGAATGCTGATGGAACAGATTGCGTTTACGCGTGTTTTTTTTCTCCGGATTTCGCATAACCCATGTTTGCCAAAGGCTTTTGTTCGCATATTCCTTCATAACTCTATAATCACGACCAAAAGCATTTCAATCTCTCTGTGTACTTTTGGATCCATCTTTTTCGTCCCATGTTCCTGTAGGTAACTCTCTAGCTCGGGTATTTAGAAGGTTATGCGTCCAAGTCTGTGTCAGCGTAGTTTCACCTTCTGCTCTTCTGTTTCACGCTGAGATCGCATGATTTTGTGATTGAATGAGCGACATGGAGATTCAATTCAATTAATAACCGTAGTATCATATATCATTTGCATTTGGACCTTGGGATGACTGCATTCGAATACTCGAGTCTTCCAAAATAGCAAAAGCGTGAATATGATATCGCGACTAGCTATCCCTCTCATTGCCTCATGCAGACTTCGATTGATCTTGACGAGGAAATAAGTCATTCAAATACTATATCACTGTTCAGTTCGGTGAATGAGAGCCCGCTGGTCGTTTGCTGCGTCCGCCCGATTCCCGCTTCCCTTATTCGTCTCCTTTGCCATGTTCGTCCAATGAAATCTTCAAAAACTTTCAAAAACCTTCAAGAACCTTCAAAAACTTTCAAAGACATTCAAATCCGTCAACTCCAAATCGCTCTCTCTCGCCGGGGTATTTAAGAGCGTCGTCCATTCGCCCAACTCATCCACTGTTCATTGTACACATATACAAGCTCACTGAGCAAACAAAAGAGAAAATGCCATTAGTGCTTTACGCCCGTCCCGTAGATTTAGGATAGCAATAGAAAGAAAGCAAAACAAAATGAAAACCAGAATTAAATAGCTCGTCCAGCATAGTTCAGGTCGTTGTTGAGGCTCCGTTGTGTGTGAGGAGAATAAAGACCCGATTCATCTTCGTCTCCCACACGAACCCAGTTGCCGTCTTTTCGGTTGTAAGGGGTCAAGTTTATGTCGACTTCGTCGGTTACTACGATTCCCTCGTTGTTGTTTTTGGTAAATCCTCCGCCTGTAATTTTGATACTGCGCGACCCGCTAGAGTAGGGATTTTCAGATGATGGTTGTGTAACTCCTCTATCTTTGTTCACAAGGCGACGGTACAAAGGTCTATAGACGGGAAGCGAAACAGCTAGAATACCGGCCATGAGTTCAACAACAGAAAGCATTCCGGCCGGCATGTTATCCCCTGCACAAGATCATTAGCCCTCTGGACACATTTTATCGGGGTTTAGTAGCAGTTTGGACTTACAGCTTCCATCTGCTGTGGAGCCAACTGAGAGGGCAAATGCTAGACGAACAATGCTGACAAGACACGCGCTGGCAAACAAAGTCAATATGTCTGGGCTTCTTCAATTGAGGCGGGTATATTTGTAAGATTGCGAAGCTTACCTGCCGCCCATTGCAAAAGTAAAGATGACCATTCGCTTTCTCTGCGTGGAGAGGTTGAGTTTGAGCACAAGGGGTATTGGCATAGCGAGAACGACGAAATCTGTAATGATGTTGCATACTCCGGCAACTAGAACAAGAGCGCCATAATTGACGCATGTGCCTCCAGCGATGGACGGATCCCAGCCAAAGGCAATCGGGGTGCATTGAAAGATGGCAACGAAGGCACAAGAGATGGCCCAACAAGTCATGAAGACGGCGACAGCCCAAAGGCAGTAGTGGAACCTTTTTTGCGGAAAGATGGAGCCATACATGCTCAAGATGCTGAATTTGAGAAAGGCCATGCAGACGCAATAGAGGTTTTCGTTGATAATATTGATCTGCCGATGAAAGGAGTATTAGGTTCTCTGACGGACTTTTGCCTCCTCTAGATATCATGCAGTTCTAAGGCTGCCCTGGTCACTTACAATTTGAAGCATCCGTGCATCGTTTGGATCTGTAACGAGAATGATGTGTCGACCGCCCCCATACTTGACAGACATGGCAAAGCAAACATCAAAAACTGCAAAGTTGAGCTATAAAGCAACATTAGCCGTGAGCTCTTCTGAGTCGGTGTTTCACTCGGTTTTCTGTTCCCAAAGCCAGCGCCTAGTCGTCTATCGCATTGAAACTGTTGGAAAACGACGCTGCGACAGCTCGTTGAACTCACCCAAGCAAACAGTATCAGCCAGTCGCTCGTCTCCATCCCACCCTTTGAAAACCGTCGCGATATCAGGCGGAGGACGATGAAGACGATGGATGCGACTCCGCATATCGATGTACATGCAATGATATCTGGTACGCGCGTGTCGTCGATGTGTGCCTCCATGTAGGCGATCTCGGCCGCATCTGGTAGTCGCGGCATTGTGGCAGATACTTTTTGGAGTCGAGGCGACTCCAGCTGGGTACATGCGCAACAGACCGAGCCAACAACACAACAAGAAAAGAGCAAGCTGAGGGGAGCAAGCGGCGCGGTGCCTCTACAGCCCTATCAGAAATAATGACACCCGCTGCCTGGCAGCAGTATTCGAAAGTTGGAAAAGCCACATTGATTAGTCGCCAGAGAAGATGGGCAACCCGGATAGACTAGTATCTGATTACCGTAGCATTGGAACTGAGCTCACAAGCTGGAATCAATGCAGCCATTGGTCCGATATGCCGATTAGGATGCGCGCAAGAGGCGTCTCAGTCGAGAAAATCATCATAGCGAGGGGTGTGAACGGCTTGTGGGGGCCGTGCTCGGATCCTTACGCTGATCCTAGCCTATATCTTACTCAGAACTCTATACCGCTGAGCAGCGGCAATAGCTCTGGAGGAACTTCTGGAGCAACATGTTGCAGAAAACGTGCCTCGAAGCGAACTGAAACCAGCGGCGGACTGCTATTGCCGCGGATACTGGCCGAAGCGTATCGCGCGCGACACTGGGCGAGTGCCGGGCTCCCTGGACAGTGCAACGCTGCTCCGAGCTGGATGGAGCCCACGAGGCCGGAACCTGGTTACTGCTCAAGCATGCGATATATCGAACCGCCACGAGGGAGCGGGCTATTGCGTCTTGGGCGAATGGCTGGCCTGGTCAAGGCGTGGCCCTGCCGTGCTTTGCCACTCTTTGCCAAACACGTGTGTGGAGAGATGGCATGGCGATGGGTAGCATTTGTATGGATACGCCGGCCAGTGTCGCACAGGTGAGATTGGAATCGCCAAGGAGTCGTACGAGGACGACAGAAGTGCACTCGGCATCTTTGCTTTGTTGAGCTGGCGGAGCAGCGTCTGAGCGTGATCTGGATTCTGTGACGGACAGGGAGCAGAGAAGATCGGAGTCTTCGTGCTACGTATAGAGTAGGTAGTAGGCAATTACCGCGATGGGCAGCTGAGACGGCATCCCAGAATGCTCCCCGTCTGTGCTCTGGGAGGGTCGACAAGGCCAGCCTCTAATCTGTTAGCCTGGACGATCGCACAAATTGGCTGAGCAATGAAGCACCTCGGTGGACCAGAGCGCTGAATGCCGGGTCTAATATCTGACAACGTCTGCTTCGGCAAGATGGCGACGCAGACGAGGATGATGATGATGATGCAGAAACGAGGTGGAGGACAGAAAGACGGGGACTGCAGGATGGGCGGGCACATACAGTGCTGCAACAAGGGCATCTTTTGCCCTGATGGACTGCTGATGTTGTATGTGCACAATCTTGGATGTGTGTGTTTACAAGTCTCGCATTCCCTGCCTTTCTGTCCCCCGCGTGGAGAGGCTAAGCCAGCAAGGCAGGTCTTGGAGGTGCTGATGCGGGAAGTAGCGCCACAGCTAGTGCCAGTGCTAATGCCAGTGCTAATGCCAGTGCTAGTGCTGTAATTTAGTGGGCAATCGGCGGTGCGCATCTGGATGCCGTGACGCTTGGCTTCTGCAGCGACAGGGCGCCACTGAATCCCTCAGCTCCATGCATGCAGTGGACTGTCACGAGAGGAATTAGCGGATTGGCTTCCTAGCAGCGCTGCTGGCAACATGCAAAGCCATTTACTGCCTGCTGCTAATCAGACCCAACGTAGACTACAGCTTGTGGTCAGCCAACAGTTGATCAAGCTGGCTTATAGCTGCTTGTACAAGCCCAGGCGGCGCAGGGTCCTTGAGCCTAAATGCCCTAAACTCGTGCCTCGCAGACCCCTACACGGACCCCTCCCCCTCCCGCCCATCCCGCCGTGGGGTGGCTGATGATGAGCTTTTAGCGTCCCGCGGCCGCCATTAGCTGCCTGTTTTAATTGCTTCTTGGCGGGCTAGTGCTCGTGCGGTGCTGTGGCGGCGCCGTCAGTGGCTCGGGAGTGCTTCGGGCCGAGCGCTTTTCGAACAGTTGATGTCTTCAGATGTTGGCTCCAATTGGTCTGATGCTATACAGGTTGAGATTTGGTGACGGTTGAGCATACGCGTACACGAGACAATGTGCCTGTTCAATGTTGATTCCAAGTCTTGCTCTATGCAGCCTCTTGCATTTCTTGGCTGCGGCTGCTCATCCTTCTCTCTGTCCCAGTAATTTCCGATGCTCATTTCGACTCCTCCCGGCTGCATCTCTGCTTCGTCCCAAACCGTCTGATCTAGATGCAACCCTGGCCGTTGCTATCTTGCCCACGGCCCACGTTTCCCCTTTGGCTGCTGACCACCCACCGGCTGTCGATGCTGTAACTACACGCTGCAGTTTCTTGCCAGAGTAGGGTCGCGATGCTACCAGATACGATACAATTATAGGGGCCTGCGCACCTGAAGCAGGTACTTGTATGTATGGATACAGCTTGCGGGGAATTAACAAGGTTAATAGTCCGTGAAAAAGGGGGATTGTGTAGGTAGATATCTACAACTGGCGTGTGCTACCAATAAAAGAAGACCATTATTATCCATAATATTCCGATTGGTATATTGACTGCTAACCGGGTGCAATACCACACCTGCCCCGGTGGCTGGATTCTGTTCAATTGCATGTTAACTTACTAGAGGTATGCGGAATGTATATCTTCAGAAAAGCACCTGGGAGATCTTCATGCTACATCGACAGATGATCATTTCGTCTAGGAACGGCTTTCCTTAAAATAGCACTTCCTTCTATGCCTACCTATCAACTATGCCTTTAATGAGCCTTTCGGCGTGTAGATATTCCATCACGCTGTCCTGCAATGCTACACAAAAGGTCGCCGTACAGAAAAGGGCTAACAGTATGCCTTACGAGAAATTGAATACCACCGCATGTTGGACAATACTACTCTGCGACGCTATATTATAGAATCCGTGCTCTATAACGTGTCGAATATACTCTTCTTACTCCGTATAAGCACAGACAAATACTACTCTGTGGACCCGCGGTTCGCCGTCGTCGATCCTTGGCAATGCAACGCTGCTGCTGCTCTCCGTCTTTGTTGAGCCCGCGTTACACATTTGTAGATGAACCGATGCAGTCAAATCCGGATCCTCCAGAGGTCAATGCGTGCAAACGTGGCTCGCACTCGAGAAAGGCAAACTTGTGCATTCTATTGGATTATACACAAACGACAAAACCCCAATCCTCTACCCCAATCCTTTAGTCCAATCCTTTGCATCGCAAGGAGACGTCATCTACTCAGTAAACACGAAATGGTGTAGAAAATGAAGTAATTCTACATAGCCACCGCAATTTCCCCTAATCGTGCTGCAGCAATCACACTCTCGGCGCTGTTGGTTGGTTCTCTCTTCAAATGCCGGTTGCTGTCAGAACAACACCGCCCCGAGGTAGCTCCAGGGATCGGAGACTACCTATAACATGCAGAATCCCAATTAAGCATAAGTAAATGCGGTACTTTGCATTTAGCAGACATTTTCCTCTCCTTCAATCTCCTCAATGTAATGTACTACTCTACCCATCTCCTACCTACTCATATGTAGTCAATCACCATGGGACAAGTGCTGTCATGCTGCGTCCGTCTACGAAGCGAAAAGCCTCCCTCGAAACCTCCCCAGCAGCCACCTGAGTCAACTTTAAACTGGCACCAATCATCTGCTGGCATTTCATCACGACCCGTTGATACATTGGAAAACTTCTTCATCATTCTTACGGACAGTGGCGCCCCGGTAAACCGTGAACATTGGACTGCTTCAGCGGCACTCAAGATCAATTTCAAACCTTCTTTGACAGATCCCGTTCCATATTTGCGGCGGGCTTGGCTGCTCACTGGTCGGCTTCACCCGACTTTTACTGCTTCAGTTGTCAAACAGTCCAATGATGGGTCGACGGGACAAGAATCATTACCGGCAAAACCTTTACTTACGATACAGCCTTTTGATGCAGATGCTTGGGTATCCAAGACTTTTCTAATAGCATCAGAAGCGTCTGCAAGTGCCGTGTTTGGCGGCATGCTCAGCAATGGCATTCCCACTTGTCACTGGCTGCCTGCAAGTCAGGAGATTCTCATCCGCTCGGCTCACTGGCGTATTGATGGCATGGGTCTTCTCATGTTCGTCCATAGTTTCTTGTCTTCCTTGGCTTCTGTTTTGAGACATGGCCTGGACTGTGACCTGGATTCATACGATGGGCTCGTTGGCAGCGGCCTACTTACTAGAAGCTTGGACGACGTCGCCGATGCGTATCTTGATGAAGATTCCACGCCAGAAAATGTAAAGGCGGCTGCAGATGGGCTCGTTGGCGAATTCGTTCAGGGCGTCCCCAGCATCGGATTGCCCACGCTTCCAGATTCAGAAACGGCTCCCCCAGGAGATACGGCGCGCGAGGCTCTGCGGATCGATGCGCCTACAACTGCTGCCATCGTCGCGGCATGTCGAGCTCGCAAGATCAGCGTCAACAGCGCCGTCCATGCAGCCGTCATTCGCGCCACGGCTACATACCCTCAGCATCCACTCGCCAAACATTTCGCCGCCTTCTTCCCAGTTGATATGCGCAGGCACCTGCCCAAGCCATACGATGGGCCTGATTACGCCGTGGGCGCCTTCTCTTCGGGCCTCCCCATCTGCATTCACGATGTGCGCGGCGGAAACGATACCAGAGGCAGCGGGCCCAAAAGCTTTGAAGAGATTGTCCAGCAGCTGGCAATGGTGTACGCAACCGATCTTTCGCGCTTCACAACCGACGATGAAGGCAATCCCGTCAGCATGACCAAAGTGGTTGCGCCCTACGTGCGGCGCACGACGAAGCTTTTCTCAGCACCGCACCCGCCCGGGCTGCCGCAGATTCAAAATCCGGACGTGAGCAGCATCGGCAAGGTAGAGGCGTATATGCAGCGCTCGTACGGCGATGAGAAGGAAGGCTTCGAGGTGGCAGATATTTGGCTTGGTACGCAGATATTGTCGCGGTCGGTGCAGTGCCATGTCTGGGGCTTTAGGGACGAGTTGAATATTGCGGGGTGCTTTAATGTGAGCTTTTATGAGGTCAACTTTGTGAGGGAATTTTTGGAAAAGGTTGAGTCTGAGTTGTTGGCTGGATTGGGCATTGAACGGGTGAAGACGCTGTCGAATTAGATCAACGAAAACTCATGTTCAAGGTAGGTACCGTGAAGAGTACCCAAACAGGTGCAATTCATGAGCTGCTTGTCAAGCTAACCAATACGTAATGATATGAATATAATTAGTATACGCTTCTTGCAAATCGCTGGTTGGTTTCACACCAATATCAACGTTACCTCTGTTATCGTGACTGTGGAAAATAGTGATTGTAATTAGTCGTCACTTCAATTTCTAAGCGGCATCTACTGCCACATGGTCTGTGCTCTTTGCAACATCTTCCCACTCTTCGCAGATCGCCAGCGTCTCCTCACACTTCGCTTTGATCCTATCCCAGCCATCCGACCCTAGAGGAACACGCAGCGGTATCTGTTTCCCCGCAGCCATACCCGTGCCCTTGACCAGCTCAATCATTCGCGTAACAGCCTTATCGGCGTCGCCAGGCTCATTGCCGATAATGGATGCCTCGTACTGCCGGACACCGGCATTAAACTGGGCATAAACCGGCAGGCGGGGCTCGACATGCTTGATGTTGGAGAAGACCTTGGTCCGGAAATAACCAGGCTCAACGATGAGCACTTTGACGCCGGGAGCAAAAATGGCCAATTCTTTGGCGAGGCATTCAACGGCACCTGGGTACGGGTTGTGATGGGCGCGCAAGGCCCCCCGTGGATGTCAGCAAGCATCCCAATCCGTATAATCACTGAGAAAGATAGGTAATGATTTGCGCCAGGTTGGGAGGAAATTGGTAGGTGTCATTGCCTGATCCTTGAGCCTGTCGTGCTTTGTTATGCGAATTGGGGAAATGGGTGTGTAAAGATATCAGACGAACCATTCCATTTCATGGGGTATAAGCGGAATCCATTGGCGAGAAGGCGAAAATAATGTATGATACGCACGTACCTGATAGAGCAAATTTGGCGGCACAATAGCTGCCAGCGCTTGGATCGCCATGCCACGCCGCTTGAGAACTCACAAAGAGAAGCGTACCCTTGTTTTTTTCCCGTAGGCGAGGTAAGAACGCACGGGTGATGTTGAGTGGACCATGGAAGTTGACTTTGAAAGAGAGATCCATATCTTCTTGTCTAGTCGTGCATCACGCAAGCAGTTAGCGAAAAAGGAAATAAAAAGGAAATGTGTTCAAAGCCAAAACATGTACATGTACTTGGAGATGTAGATGTACAAGCCACAATAAAGTACACATAAGTTGACCACGAGAGACTGGAGTTCAAAGCCAAGATTGTGTATTTACGTACGTCAATTCTTCAACGGCTCCGCTGACGATGTAGCCCGCATTGTTGACCACAATATCAATACCTCCTGGATAGATGTTCCAGGCCTCGTCGACTTTGGTCTGGATTTCAGCGGCCGGCGCCGTGACATCAAGGTCGAGGATAGCTGCTCCTGTGTCTTTGAGATGGGCGAGCCTGCTTTCAGCACTACGGCCAGTGGCGATGACATTATCGCCGGCAGCCCGGAGCTGGCGTACTAAGAGCTCGCCGAAGCCACTAGAGCAGCCGGTAATAAACCACGTCAAGGGAGCCATCTTTAATGCTTTTGTTGTGACTTTCTTTGCTCCAGTTTAGCCTCTTGGGTCTTCTGTTTCGATGTAGTCCGGTGCGGCTCGGTATACGCGTGTAAGCGTACAAGTAGACTAGATGTTATGGCCTGAGAGGCTTCGGGGGTAAAGAAAGAGAAAAGACCAATAAGATTTGGATATCAAAGGCATGGGCCGATAAGCGAGGGTATTTCTTCGGTCTTTATTTCCTTAGCAACGGCTTCGGTGTGCTATTTCATATGCCTCCGTGTGTGCATCACTTGAAATTTCGCAAATGTGGAGAGGGTGTGGCCGAGGTGTTACAGCGGGATCCGTAAAGAGGCACAGCTGATAACACAGGAACGGAAGCCACGCCGGTGTCTACAGCTTGATATTTCTCAACGCTGTTTCTGGCAGCTAACAGAACATGTTTGAGATGACGTAGGAAAAGGAGGGGGCTGCGGTGCATAAATGTTGATCACGGCTCGAATGGAAAGCTGCCAAGTAGCGTTGCTGTAACCCTCTGTTGGGTGAGTGTGTGATATTGGCTGCCATCTCAAAGAGGAGTGAATCCTCTGAGAACGGTAATTTCGGTATCAGAACAGCCACTGTCATAGGGAGACCTTTTGACCATGCACGTCTGTTTTATCCCTCGCATTTACATATGAGAGGTGTCAGATATCCAGGGTAAACGAAGCTAGGGGATGCAGGATGCTACTCCGGCTTGCCTATTTAGAGCGCAGCCAGTCGAGACCATCGCTAAGCTGTCTTGACAAACGACGTACGATGGGTCTGTTGGTAGCTGCCACAAATCTTTAATGCGGTGTATCGGCATAACTTGTATTAGGTACTTCTGTTTGACACGCAACCAGTCGGAGAAATAGCATATCTGGAGAATGTTCGTTTCACATGTCGATATTGACGAGAATATTTGCGTGTTTTGCTAGGCGGCTTCTGGATACCAAGCCGGCTGACTGAGCGGATGTCCAGATGCACACACATTACGTATTATGCCATTGGTCAGCTAATAAAATATCATAATTAGTAGCAGTTCAGAAAGCCACACCATCCATGGTATTGCACGAACCTACAGAATTTTCATTCCAGGCATGTAACGGTACCATTATATTCTTCTCTTTTCCCTTTTCTCGCCCTTTTTGTGTGGGTGTGCACGTCTATTACCCATATGTTGGTCAAGCCTGGGCTACTACTCACTTCCGCCGCCGCCGACTCGGGTTCCCACTGGAAGGCAGAGTATCCGCTTGCCTGCATGCTATATACCCCAGGCAAGTGAGATGCAGATGCAGGTTACGGTGTGCAAAGTCTGCAGCATGCTTTCCTTCTATCATTGCGATGGTAGTGGAGCAGCGTGTGCTGCGGATTTTACCGTGGAGTCGCCACGGGATCGCTGCGGAAGAAGCTCAAGAGTGCAAAGTTGCTAGTTTGTGCTGTTGTTGACTAAAAAAGAGCTCATGTACTTGTACAAGGACTTTTATTTACATGATAACGATGTCGAGATACCATGGCAAAACTGTATCTATGCGATAGTGTGTGCTGGAAGCTAATTTGATGCAGTGAGTTGTGAACCTTGGTCAGCAAATCGGAGAACAATAGTGGCAACACGTACCGTAGTCCTGCTAGCGGTTAGCTGACAATCAACTGATGCCATACTTCGAATACACGGAGCGGGAACAGCGCCCCGAATTCATGAGGCACAGGGTCCCCGACTTGCATCCGGCTGGCCGGCGCTTACCCACTCCCCTACCTCTTCCTTGACACTTACTGCATTTGGAAAAAGAACAGGCTTCGTGGAAACACCGTTGATGTCCTTTATTCGACTTCATCCGACCTGGCTCGCTTGTAGCTTCATCTCGCATCCATTGGACCTCAAAAGCCTCCGAATAGGCTCCAATTCTTGGGGCTTAATGGTTAGTGCTGAGGCCCTTCTAAACCGAATTTCCACGCCGTGGATTTCTCTGGTCCTGCGTGCATTGTTTAGTCTTGCTTGGCTCAAGTCAGGGCACGGACATCTCCGTACTTGTGCATCCAGTCACAACAGCCCACGCCAGCCAAGCGACGGAGCCGTCAAAACGGGCCGTTCAGGGGATGTGCTTCGCAACGAGGTGTCCCTGCCGATACCGACGCTAGGGATAGGCCAAACAGCCATTCCGCTCCAAGAACACGCTTCGTTGGCTCTCTTCTCCGCAGAGCATAGTGGCCGCAGATCAAACCGACAAGGCTAATACATAGCTAGCTGCATGTAGCACACACCTCTGCCGTCTAGTTACAAGTACCATGAGCTCTGAACCAAGCGTCGACGAGCCTCGGGAAGGGAAACGACCGACGCTAAATTTACCTCTACATTCTCCAACTAAGTGAGATACGGCTCTCGCCGAGCAGATGCCACAGTGAAGGGCACATGTACCTATAAACAAAAGCAGAAATACGAGCAAGTGCGGAATAAAGCCGACACTTCACTGAGGTTGCCTTGTCTCTCAGACTACCTAGACGTGCGCCCTCCAGCATATCATATGCACTCACGAACCGGCACTGGATGGAAATCGAAGGCTTTTCTCGGTATCGTTGCTAGGTAGGCTTGACTTGGTCTCTGGAACGAACGAACGATTAATCAGTTACAGCGTAGCATTGCTGCACTGCTACCACAGCGTCGCATCTTTCAAGTTCATAGAACACCTTCATAGCCACATCGGTAGACCTGCACAGCAGCGTCCCAACAAGAGCGGAGACGATATGCGGAGTGCTGTGGTCTCATGGTGCCGTGGGGGTAGATGAGGAAGGGTAAAGATTCAGGCTGCGTTTAATTGGCGATGGCGAAAGGCTCGGGGGCCGTTGAATGCATGCATGTAGCATTTAGTATCCATGGATATACTTGTAGGGTCTTGGAGACCAAGTAGCTGGGAGCCGGCATCACGATTGAAGAATGGAAGGTGGCAGCACATGCGCATCTTCGTTGACCCGGGCCGCTAAGATAGCCCAAACTGGGCTGCTACCGCTATCCGGTAACCAGCGGACGCGCTGCAGCACCTAATCTCGCAGCAGGATAGGTGAGACCTTCCAGTGCGTGTACCTGTATTGCCTTTCTCGTGCAAAGTGCCAGCTATCCAACTTCCCCAATCCACCTTATCCGCCTCTGCAATTCCATATTGCCTAAACACAACGACCTGTCATATTGGAGTCCCACAGACACCGCGCCGCAGCTGTACGGGCCGGATTTGGTCGCTCTTCGAGGGATGGTACAGGCACGACACCGCCACCAGTCCGACGGAGAGCCACCGGACTAGGAACGACCCAAAATAACGACTCGCCTCGCGTTACTGCAGAATCCATCGAGAGTGCCGGCAGCAGATGACGCCGCGCCTTTGGGGTGTGCTGAGATGACCTCAGCTCGAATGGCAACTGAGTAGGAAAGTGACGTCTGCTTCTGACATGGTGCGCAAGACGGAATCCTACGGCTCACGGCATTGGTCTATGTGGTAACCAAGTGTTTAGCAACGCATACGAGCTTAGAATACCTTCTGGTCTATCGTTTCCATGATGCTTTCAGTCTCCTCCTGGCACCCCTCCTACTTCTTTGGTCGGCATCGTCCTCGGGTCTCGTTCTTCGTACAGCACTGTACCGTTCCAAGAATACCCGTTGGCCGGCAGCTCTATGCCAGGCCTGCCCATAGTTGTGCAAGTAGGTGTCAACTCGTACGAGTTCTTTGTGAGTGCAAAATACGTGTTCGTGCATATCCACCTGCCCAGAGCCCTGCAGGTTTCTGCACGTTGGCAGCAAGCGAGTCCGCGGGTGCATTGCTGTGCGGGACGAACGCCAGGTTCGGGGTCTTTTGGAAACCAATTGGCTTGCTCGGTAAAAGCCTTGGCATATGAGAGATATCCTACTTGAAAGCACATGCCAGAGAGCCACTGCCTTCAGAGCAAGCGGCCTGTGCCTGCATGGTCGCGGGGCATTGCGAGGGCTGGGTTTGTCACCCACGTATTTCGTACATGGTTTACTCTACACACCCGCCCCCTAACATGCGGCACGCTTGCATAACAAAGAAACGCTACAGCGCTGCGGATTGTGGCAAGCCAGGAATTTGTTTGTCATTAATCATTAGCGGCTGGATATCTAGCAGCTCATTTGCCAAGTGCTGGTAGCAGATACAGCGCCGCAATCCAAAGGCACCACAACTTCCACACCACTTCGTCCCACCACTGGCCGCGCTTCTGCAGCGCAAGCACTGACATGGCGCATCCGAGACTTGTCGAGACCGCCCATCCCCACGCCGACGCATCCCAGAAGAGCGGACACGCCGCTGACCAGAACATGACCATGGCGGATAGGGACACCCGGGCTGCTGTCTCGCCATACAGCAAGGGCACAGTAAGGCGTCCGCGTGCCTTGTCGCCTTCAATGTCTGGCAGATCCTGCGCATGAACCGTGGTTATGATTATGGCTCCAGTTACCAAGATCCAGGTAAAGGCCCGTGATGATAGTTCGCCGCCTGACAATGTGGCTAACGCACCCCAGCTGAAGCACATCAGGCCACTCGCATTGAGGGCATTTCGTATCCAGATGCCGCTGTTGCTGCCGTCCAGGTCGTTGTACATCCATATGAAGAGCATCAAGGTGACACTGGCTGTGTAGCCACCCAAGGCGAGACTCGAGCCTACGGCGACTACAATAGCAACAGTGAGCCAGTCCCGTGCTTGGTCTGCCGTCAGACGATGAGAGGGCAGCGGTCTCCAGGGCTTGTTGACAGTGTCCTCGATAATGGATCCCTCAAGGCGTTGATTAGCCAAATCCTCCACCAAGAGATTCAGCCAGATCCACGCAAGCATCAGTGGTATACGCGAAGCCACTTGCCAGGCCCGCGTATATGCGTCTTCGCTCAATTCTGCTGTGGTTAACTTCGCTGTCGATAATGCCGCTGTGATGGCGAATATGCTCTGGGGAAATATGACAGTTTTGAAATCGCTTTTGGTGAAGAGGAATAGGGTTTTCAGATGATAGAGTGGAGATCGTCTCTGCATTGGAATTGGAGAGTGTTAGCAGCTAACTTATACAAACTCTCAACAAAGTACACGCAGAGAGTATATGAACACCACGGCCTTATTCTTACTTACCGGTTGATCAAGAACGATAGTTGGGCTAGGGGTCACGACCCCCTTTTCTAACAGCGTGTAGCCGTCTATAGATTGCATCCTGGATAGTAACTATGGGTGGCTCACACAAGATTGAGAAGAACGTAAGGAGGATAAGGGACGCAGTGAAAGGCACGCTTCATCAGGATATAGCCGTTTCATCTCCATGAAAGAGAAGAAGAGGACTTGGCCTGGCTTTATGTATTCGGCGAACCAGTGGACGTTGGTTCTGCAACAGCTCCTATACTCTCTAGCACTGTCTAAGGGCACGAAATGGGATATTGCACCACTTTTCGACATGGCTCAGGTTCCAGCAAGGCTAGGATCCATGGCAACTCTCCCAGTTCGCCGTCCATACCCCCCGACGTCCGATTGTACGTTTTGAGTGGGGTGAGTTGCGAATTGGCGGCGATCCCACGACTCCGGCTCGCCCCAAGTCGTAAACCACGAATGCCGCCCCCGTCCCAGAATAGCGGAGGATGGCAACTCTCGGTAAAATTCGAATTGATTCTGGAATGAAAAGAGCTTTTACCCGACCTTCTTCCCAGATACCAGAATCATCATCCAGCAGGCCCCTGACACTGTATATGCACAAGCGTTGCTGCAGCCAGCATCCATGGTGTTGTGGGCCTTACTAACTTACGAATGCTACCTTGACCCAAATACACACACCCCTACCCCCGTCAGACGCTTGGTGTCAGATGCAGAGCAGCGCTTAACGTGCTATCCGTGATTCCTTCTCTCAACTTTGTGCGCAAATCTTGAGCTCGCCTTAAAACGGTATGTGATAGTTTTTCCCGCCAATTTTTTATACAAATATTGGGCTTGCCAACTTCTCTTCTCTGATTATTCTCAGACTCCGCCAGTCCTCCTTCTCTTAGTTCTTAGTCACTTGTCTTTGGATTATATTTGAGCCCTTGCCATTCAAGCTGACGCTGCCCTGACACCTAGTCTCTACCTTTTGATCTAAAATCACGACCACCCTTGGCATTACCAACTGTCATAGCGCCCACTGTAACTCATTGAACCAAGGCAAGGATTGGCCATGGTCTTCCACGTTGTGCCCGCTTGTATCTTTGCAAGCGGCTGTCTGGGGCTGGCCATATTGTCCTACTTTCACTTACAGCAGCCTCACAGTCTTCTTTGGTATTCACAAACAGGCACCATTATACTCCTCGAATGGGTAAGTAACAAGGGTCTAGATTGATATTCCACGCATTCTAGTGGAATACCTAGACATATAGAATCCACCCCGCGCATACAGGCAGCATTTTCTTGCCATATACATGCAGCAACGACATTCGTCATATCCACATACCGCACTGTTCTATTTCCTGCACGCACTACATCTCTCTACTGCACAATCATTCATCATTATGAGCTATCATACGGGCATTTGGTACCTGATACGCTGCATCATCATATTGCGGTGTAAAGGAGGCTAGCACGCTAACGTATTACTCCATAGGTTCTCTCGAACCTGGTTTACAGGCTTGTCTTCCACCCCCTTTCCAAGTACCCAGGACCGCTGTTCGCTGCACTTACGGACTGGTACACTGTTTACTGGATCGCTGAAGGTGGTCGTCATCTTGAGTTTGATAAACAGCACAAGAAGTTTGGTGAGTTTGGTTCATGCACATACGTACTCTGTTATGCCTCGCAGCGTACAGACGAAAGTGGCTCAGGTTGTCCAGGGGCCCTGGCATGTTACCCTCGTTCCAACGTCTTGGGCGTTGGTGGCATTGCTGCTTGTAGACAGTTGAAGATAGAATGCAAAGCTAACCAATCAATGCTACCTCAGGGAAATTCGTTAGATTCGGGCCTAACCGTTTGTCTATCAATTCTGCAAAGGCATCTCGCGACCTGCATAATGTCAATTCCAACACATTCAAGGCCGATGCATACAGCTCTTTCAAGCGCTTCTTTGGGGCAGAAATGTCTCTTACAACAGTAGACCACAAGGCACATGCTTTCCGGCGTCGAGTCAATATGACAGCCATCACGCCTGCCGCAGTGAAAGAGTTTGAGGACCAAGTCACACCTCACGTCGAAGAATTCATTGACATCATCAGCGAAGGTGTAGGGAGCAAAGTAGAAGGTGAACATGGCTGGAGCTCGGGCAAAGATATGTGTTGGTATGTATCTTTCTGCATTGCTGACATGATGGGCTCCATGACTTTTGGTCGAACATGGAACGTCCAGAGAGATCCGAAATATCGACATTTCGTAAAAGATTTGCCTAATGGGGTTGCCGGCATCCATTTGGTAAGTTAAAGTTGCAATTCTCCTTCAATCCACGGCTCTCAGCCCCACCTTCTCGCTTCATTCGCCGACTAACGTCTGCTGTCGTTCAAGGTTGGCCACATGCAATCATTATTCTTCTGTAACTTGCATAAGCTCTTGTTCAACCAGCTCATTGTTGGTGTGGGAAACCTAATGTCTGTAAGCCGGTCATTCGCTTTGTGGCGCCTAGAGCAGACTTCTATGCCATTTAGAGACATTTGGGCAGCGCTTCTCGCATCGCGCGATCCCAAGACCGGAGACGCTTTCTCTACAGAAGAACTCATATCAGAAGCAAGCCTTTTTATAATTGGTGGTACAGACGGCATGATAACTGCAACAACGTCAACCCTGTTCTATCTCACACATAACCCACGCACGCTCGAACGCCTAACACGTGAGATTCGAGAGGCATTCCCATTGTCTCCGGGACATATCGGTAAGAAGGCATCAGACGTCGAGTGCCCCATTCGATTTGCTTCTGCGGAGTTGCAGAACATTAGGTACTTGCCCGCCTGCATTGACGAGGCCATGCGACTCTCACCCCCTGTCCCGAGCATCCTACCACGTGTAGTTGGTCCAGGGGGCATGGAGGTGGACGGCGAATACTTCCCTGCTGGCGTCAATTTGGGGGTTCCGCACTACTGCATGCATCATAGCGAAGAGAATTTCGCCCAGCCTTTGACCTACGCACCCGAGCGCTGGTTTCCGGAAGAGCGCGAACGAGGGCTCAAGGACGGTTCTGTGCCTGTGTCTGGCAAGGAGTCCGTCAAGATGCTGCCCGCAGTGGGTCTGTCCTATGGGTTTACTCCGTTTGGTGCTGGCCGTAGCGGCTGCATTGGGAAACACTTGGCCTATCAGGAAATGTCCATTGTTTTGGCTCGTCTCATCTGGCTCTTTGACATCCGTCTGGACCCCAGCAGCAACTTGGGAGAAGGTGTGGGCGATGCTAAAGAAGGGCGACAGTGCAGGAGCGAATTCCAGCTGTATGATCGCTTTGTCAGTTCACAGAACGGGCCGATGCTGCAATTCCGCTATCGAGAGGAATTTGTTGCTTAAGCAAGGGATATGAAGAGCTCATTTTTACGAAATTGTATGATTGTTATTATTTGAACATGTTTTTTTTCTTTTCTTTTCATCTCATTCTTTTTCCTCCTATATTCTCTTATCGTGAGTAGAGCCGGATGTGAAAAAAGTTGGCCGACATGCCAGCACATGTCTCCACGCATATATGCAAGTTGGTTCAAGGAAAGAAAACTGACCCTGGATTGATAGTATTAGCGATAAAATTATAAAGCATGAGGCTACAGTACACACTAGGTTGACCAATCTTCAACAAGCCTGGGATGCCAAATATTTCTGAGCAATATGTTGCTACATGGGGCTTCTCGTATATGACACAGGCGGCCAACCGACTCGTGTTATTCCCTGGCTCCCTTGTTTCGCTGACCGCCCGACTCACTCGCATTACTCGGTTTGATCGACGTGCCGTTTCAAATTTAACTTTTCGTTGTAGCCCTTGTACATTATTTTCATCTTGTGCTTCTTGGGGAAAATTGCTCAAGGCTTACGATATGGTGCAGCATATAAACTGAAACGGCTCGTAACCTTAGAACATCCACGTCTTCTTTGCTACTTCGATAGTATTCCCCTTTTCTACACATGTGCAGTACTTCATGCATCATTTCAAGGCACCCTCCCCTGACAATAATCACTTAGAGCCAACATCATATGCAAGAGCTCCATTAAAGAGCGGCAGCAAGCCTCGCACTGGCCAAGCAGCTCAAGACTGTTGGTACCTCGGATGCTTCGCTCTACGTTTGCGCTTTACTGGTGCTGGTACTCCGCATCTTACACCCCTGGGGGCAGTGATGCAACGTGATGATTTAAAATTTCCATATTGGTTGCTGCTGAATGCTAGCTTTCAGTGATTTAATAACGGGGTGGATGTACAAGTTCCGAAGAATGCAACGCTATCAGCTAGGTAGTGATGGTGTTTAGCATAGAATCCCGGAATGTGGGAGACGATGCACTAATTAACGAGACGCTGACCTATTTGTATCAACTTGCTACCGAGGACACGGAATACAGATTCGCTTCACTTATGCTTGTACAGAAATGTGGGAACTACCGAATACTTGTGGTGAGTCCACTGAAGTTAAACGCTAATCATGCATGTTGGCTTCGAGATGCTGATTGCGGTGTACGAGAACGTTCTGCAGCTGGACGGAGAGGGAAACAGTCCCCCGGGCAAAAGGCCACCGGCGGGCCCGGAGAGTTTTTTAGAAACGGTATCCGAGAAAAAAAGGAATGAGTGGGATTGCGCGGAGATCTCGAGGCTCCGAGCCGGCATATCTAGATGGAGCAAGTGAGAAGGATTTTGGCAAAATACATTATCAAGGAAGGGGGAAAACGTGTGAGCCACCAATCACCAAGAGGGGAGGTTTTCCGGGAATCGCTGAGCTGTGGGGGGGTTACAGTGACAGGGGTGGTGGCTACATGGAATATTTGGGATGATACGTTAGAGTATAGGGGCCTGTCTTTTGATCGTTGGTTGGAACGGAGTGCGGAATATTGAGATGTAGAATGGCGCCACTTTTAGTACGCCGACGGATGCTTCTGGCTTTCAGATGTTATGAAAGTGGGAACGACTTGTGTCGTAGGTCCTTTTGAGTGACTCTTGTAGTGCCTTTCCCAGTGATTCAACCCGTATATGTAAACAGAGTTGAAGAGGTCAAGGGAGGATAGTGCCATGATGGATAAAGATGAGCAGCTAATCCTAGGCTTTGGTATGAGGATGATACGCTTTGCTTTACGACAGGACAAGGGATTTTATTAGCTGTCTGTGCCCCTGGCCAGATGGCGGCAGACTACAAGTAAGACTGTTGGTATTGCACATTACTGAGAACTTTATTCTCTTTGTAACGTTATATGCGTGCTTACTCGGACTGCCAGGGGGAAATACTCCGAAGGCTGGGCCGCCAGATGCCCGTTTTGACATATAAAGTAGCATCTAGCATGATATGTACAACAATTACACACTAGGATGGTCAATTACGAACCTGGCCGTAGAAATATACATACCTATGTCAAATGTTATGCTGTCTTTTGGAACGAGTGTCTGGTTCTGGCCTTGATGGGCTCTACCCTTGAAGACAAGGAAGAGGTCGAGTGCTCGGCCACAGAGGTCAGCTGGTTGGATTTGATCCATGAATTTACCTACATAGGAAAGATGAGCTATCGGAGTTTGCGGAATAGCAATTACTCAGTGGGGTTTGCGTTTGGAGTTATAAATGGGAATATTTATTGAATTGGGCCTCTGATATAGTACGTTGGAACTCGTGTTGGCAAATACTTCGTCGGCATTTATAATCGCCAACGGTGAGCTTGCGCCTTGACCACATACTTCCAGTTCTTTATGTATAGTGCATTGACAAGCCGATAGTTTAAACAGTGATCGAATCGAGACTCATCTTATGTCCATGGTTATATTACTTCACAGGGCCATCGGACGACACTTACACCTAGCTCGGAAGTCGAGCTATTTCCGTTTATATGATGCTGTAGGAGCTACCCACAATATTTCAATGAGCAAAGATATACCGATAAGTAGATCAAAAACATCTCTAAATTGTGTCTGGAAAGCTATACAATATCGGAAAAGCGGTGGCTTGATCCTCTATTCTGAAGGGCGCCTTGCCGCAATATGATTAAACAAGCCTCTCCCAGTGTGTGGATTGGCGCCCAACTTGAAGCCTATGTTCTGAACTATGTTTTCTATTACAATAATTGAATGCAAGTATTCTGATATCTACTTACGGTGATAACGTATAGCTTGTCCACATTTAAGACGAGAGAACAGCGTTTTGTGAAGTGAATTTAACTAGCAGCCTCTATAGAGCGTGCGTAGTAGAATATGGAGCAGTCTTTTCCAAGCGGAAAAATCATAAGAAAATGTCGCGCTCACTATACCAATTGAAGACTTAATATTTCGTTACAAGATGATTATCTTCTCAATCAGGGGCTGGAAGTTCACATCAGAATATTTCTGAAGCCAAGTTACTCACAAAGCCAGTAGAGCTGCTTCCAGCAGTAGGAACACGCGCTACACATATATGAGTTCCTTTTGTACTTATTCGCGGGTACATGAATATTGCATGGTGAATCAATTTGGAGTTGGCCCAGTAGAATTTCTTCATGAGGCCAACCGTATCAGCTATCTGGGATAGTTCACGGAGGTTGATTCAGATATATAAGCAGCCCAAGTGGCTCCTCATCTGCCCCATTTACATTCTTTTTCGGCAGTTGCTTGTGTAGAAATATGCGTAGCACGGTATCAATGTTACCTGTCCCGATGTTTTTAAGTATTCTCCGCTCCGACAGTGACCCAGTGTTCCATTGAACGACCGGTAGATATTTGGTGGAACAATGAAGCCACATTCTAGAACTTCTCTATGCTCTATCAAGCAACAAACGGCGCGTGGGCCGATACGATATGTCCACTAGGCTTGGGTTACAGATTCACTTTGCGATAATTGCCTGGTGATTTGCCATAAGCCCCTCGGAAGTGTAAGTGTGGGTATAGTAGTATTATGGATTTCCAAAGCATAGGCACATCCACGTTTCAAACCCCGTTTGTGTTGCTCTCAAACGGTCAGATGGCAATCCGAGGGAATGTGTAATGATGAGTACTGTCAATTTTTTAGGCAAAGCAAACGGACATAGAGACATGATGATGAACTAGATTGTGCAGATATGTAATTGAGTTTTAGCTGTTTGAGCATAAGTTCCTAAGCAACTCGTCTTTCTCTATGGAATGGCCTAGCTCGCAATTTTGATGCAGTTTTCAATTGAGGCAAACAAAGGTCGGGGATATAACGCCAACTGCGCCAATCTTCAGTACCTCATGAGCTGGGCGTCGGATGCGCGCACGGTACGCTACAAACGCCCTCCTCTATAAGACAAGACTGCTCCATGCAGTGACGCAACGGCTGCCGGTCTAACCGCCAGCTCCAGCTTTGTGTTTTCCCAAATAGACAAGCCAAATCTTTACAAGAGCTGGAAAACAGTAAAGCTTAGAAAATGATAAAGCCTACACTGCTTCTGATTAGCAAAGCTATGCGCAATATACAAGCTATTTGGATAATGGATGGTGAGGCATTGCTGCAAGAAAAAGGCTGCGTGTATAGAAGAAGGGAACCTTGTACTCAAAGAGAACAGGAGCAGCAATCACATAGTAGCAATTTCTCATGCTGATAAAAAAAACAGTGGCTGATAAACCTGTGGCTTTTGACGGCGTGTCTTTGACGAAATTAGTACTTAATTTCCTTCTTCACAGCTGGATGCACTTGGAAAAATTGGAAGAAGCACACGAAACGAAACGATCTAGGGAAGAGAGATTCAGCTTGGCGCAAAAGCTTCATAGAGTTTGACTCCGCAAGGATTATCACAAGAAAGTCTTCATGGCGCAGTTGGCTAGCGCGTCAGTCTCATATTCTCCATAAATATGATCCAAATCACCAGTTTGGGCCATCTGAAGGTCGTGAGTTCGAGCCTCACTGAGGACATTCTTTTTTCCCAGCGTGGGCTTGGTACAGCCCTTGGATTCTCATTTTTTTTTGGGTTATCTGAGTTATTAAAGAAACACTTTCGAATACAAAGAAAGCACTGATCAAATCATGGCACGCCCTCCAACTTTTTTCTTGTTTTCCCCCGGTTTTTCTCTTTTTTTCTTCTCTTTTCTTATAAACGTGACACAGTCTTGTTTGTCGCAATCATCCGTTTTTACTTGCTGGGTTTGTGGCTGAAGGTCTTGATAGGAGAATAACAGGTATCAAGTCTGTCCCCTCTATCACCAATTTTAGGGGGGTCTTTGAGGTCGCATTTTGCTTGGGGTAGTGTTGTCCCTTTGAAGTCTTAATGTTGGCCGCCTAGCAATTGGGCATCTTCGCCATGAAAGACTATTAGTGGGCAGCACGCCCTGGGCGTTGGGTTCCGAAATGCGTGCCCGTTTTACTACATCATTTTAGTAAATGTTTAATCATTTGTTGGAGTGTAAGCTCTGTAAGCCTTGGCGACTTATATTTGCGATAGTAGACAACGCAATTATAGATTTTCGCCAGGTTTGACAGATATGAGTACTGGCCATCGCTTACCTTCTTGGATGATGAAGCAGCAGCAGAACCGGAACCGCCGCCCGTGAATCTTCGCGCAATGTCCTTTGCCTTGTTCGCAATGGTAGGTTGACGTCTCTTGAAGCACTTCTCGCAGGGATCGTCCTCTACGTAGTCTCTGGCCTCTGTGAATTCACCACAGGTTTCGCCCTTCTTAGCCTTTTCGCAGGGCACCCTCAGCGTTTGCAAACGCTTCTCGCAAATGGGGCAAAAACAACCTATATAGGTGCACATTGTTGAGTCGAAACTGGTTTGAGTGATGGATTTCTTGTAGTTGCGTTGGTGAGTGAGCTGGTGAGCTGGCAGATGATGTCTTGGTTGCAATGAAGCCTTTCTTATTGAACAGAAAAACGTGGGAGTGGGAGCACCTCCTTTATAATTACGAACTTTGGAAGCTATTTGACTGTATTAAACATAATTTCGCGGCTTTGTGCATCGTTGTTCACTCGTAGTGTGACTGAGAGCCACAATCTTTGTCGTTTGTTCGTTGTGATTCACTTACGATCCATTCCCCTAGTCAAGAGACGGTTTCATGCAGTTAAATTATTCTTGTTGATAGCAGCCACTTTGCAAGGAAAATTTCCTTTGGTAGTAGAATCGCAGTGGTGAATGGCTCGTCTCCTTGATAAATATCGCATCAGAAAGTGATTATAGCAATTTAGGCTGCTGAGTGGGTAGTGGTAATTGGAACTCTCCAACGGAGAAATAGATTTAAAAAGGAAACATTCCAATATTATTCACTCGCCATGGCAAGAAGTCTGAAAAAAATGAATCATAGTTGTTGCGATGACGATAGCATGCAAATAACACGAGTTGAGCTGAGCTGAGCCTCCTTCATTGAGAGACTCTCGTGCCGGTTGACCATTCTCAGGCTATGTCTACTCGCTCTTTTCTAAAACTTATTCGCAGCCAGTTTTATTGCTAAAAATTGCATATATAAGTACCTAATATAGCGCTTTCGTGCTATTATTGAAAGACGCTCAGCCGGTAGCTCGATAAATGGCACATTACACTACTCTTACGATCTGAATCGACCGAACTGCCAATAGCCTCCGATTAATCGCTTGCTTAGCTTGCCCTCATGATGAAATATGTTGAGGGTCCAACTCGTTTCTCTTACATCAGCATTTTGCTTCCACACTTATTCACTACGGCTCATAGTTACTCGAGAGGAATATCTCATATCACCATCTGCTTCATTCTTATATATTTTGACTAGCGCAGCGAGGATATCATTGTTTCCAGCGCTTTTAATTCTTCAATAAGCAAATACGTGTTTATTACGGATTCTATCACTGGTCACTGTTGCTGCCTAATACCTACTCACAGATGTCGGGTGCATACGATAGCAAGCGCTCAATCATAGTATCGAGATTACAGCAGCGAGATCATTGTGGTAGCACGGTGCTAATAGGGCTCCTTCAAAGCTTTAATGAAATACGGTATATTCACTTATACACCTATCCATTTCTCATCGCTTGATGTGAAAATCATGGCGCGCACGGAGGTGGGCTATCTGGTGTGCTACTGCCCATGCGCAAAAAATGCTGCCCATCTATCAACAACGGCCCCCAAATTTTCTACTTTAGAATGAACGCTGATAATAATGAGAATAGAATAGCGTTCAATGAAAGTGTATTACAACGGCACGCTGGTGAGTTTATGAAGCCGCAGTTACAATTAGAGGCGTGAAAGGAATGAAAGGCGCGGAAAGCTGTATAAAGAGGTATATGATCAGATACGCAATCCGAGGCGCTTAATAACGATTCGTACTCTTATCCATGTACTCTTAGAGCTAGTTCTTTGGAACGACAATGGCCATTTCGGTATGATGGAGTACATACATGTATAACGTAGTATCCGACTTGCAAAGCCGGCAGAGTGGCGTTCCATCATCAATCATCTGTCTAAGACTCGGGCGCAATTAGGCGAGAAAATGGCGTGACCATACAAGTACTTTAATTTCTGAACGTGCTTGATCTACTACAAGACGAGGTTCGATTTGACCCAGATCCTGTAAGGGATGCACATAGATGTACTAATACCATTGGACAGTGAATAAGCCCACCTGAGCTACTCGGCAACTATCACCACCGCCAGAGGTCTACAGACTACCTATCGGTACTACCATATGTAGCTACATGCTAGGGTAGGTATGAATCACCGGGACCACTCGCCTGGTGAACGAGAATATTAAGTTCGTGATCATTAACACTTGGGTAGCATTCGTCCATCATCAACGCAGTCCCTACAAGGAGATTCACATTTGTTCCCTTGTCAGCAAAGGTAAATGACGCGACTTGGAAAGCAATACCAACACATGGGAGGACATTGTCGCGTCGTGGCCGATTGTGTTTTAGTTTTTGGATCCAGATTCACATCCAACTCGCTGATTCACTCGGCTTATAATAATATCCTTACGCTCCGTAACATATTACTATAGTCTTAGGGCCTCGAATGTGGATTAATTAGCATTCAGGTTATACAAGGTAAGCCTGTCCAGGGAGAAGATGAAGTACGCATTTGTCACACGTCCATGTCCGCAGATGCATTATCCATGCGGAGCGCCCGTAGAACAGCTCATTTATAAAAGGCTGTAAGAGTCAGTTGAACTCTCCGCATCGCGGCTGCGACAATGCATATACGCCTCCGGGTAGGGACATGAGACTATGACTGCTTCCAGTAACCGAGCTACCTTGAACCATGACCAAGTTGTAGTTCTACTAGTCCATGCGAGACTATGTAAGTCGAAGAATACTAAATACGGCGATTAATGATACCCCGTCCACTTATGACCGATGAAGCCTTGTACAAGTTGTGTGCGCATTTAGGGATCAGCTAGCGTAGCTTGATCTTTAGAGCACATGTATCTTTTAGCTTTTATACCCCGTGGTGCGGTACCGTGAGATTTGCTGTTGCCTGGTAAAATGTATCTTGCTCATACTGTACCGCTGAGTCGTCGTACTCACGCAGCAGAGTCAGCCAAGACTGGCTCGGTGTCTTATACTGAGACATGCTTGAGAGGCGGTCTATTAAATCCTTGCTTACCCAGTCATGCGGTGTGGAAGAAACGCGAGACACGCCCCGCCATACACTGCAAATATTGCAACCAAGTATTCCTTGAGATAACTCCAGCAAACTTGATCTATCTAGCTTCAAAGACTTGAAAGCAAATCTTTGGAGTGGTGTAATATTTTGAAGCATATGTCAGGAAATTTTTTAAAGGTGGTGTTGCTAAAAATCGTGTGTAGACTGGTGCTGGTATAAGTCTACTTACGTCCCGTTGTCTTCACACCAATGCAATCTTAAAACGATGGTGGCTAGCTGAAACAGAGACACTGAGCGTGACCGGTTTGGGGGCTATAGGATGGCGATTCCTTTATATTTTAACCAAGAAATTGTTTTGCCTCTGAATGCGTCATTTACTATGGCAATCATTGTGATGCCACATCGATGCAAGTATCTACCATTAAAAACCTACCTAGGTATATGGCATTCGTAATTACAATCTTCTCACATTGCAAGGTGCTTGTCATCTAGGGAGAGAGACAGGGTTTTCCTCGCCTGAATCATCCCTTCACGTAGGTATCCTACATGAGACTGGACGCTTTATAAGGTATGGGAACTGGGGAGCGCCAAGGACGTTTCCAACGTAATATCTCTCCGCCGGCACCTGTCAGACAAGCGGCCGGCGTCCTAAACAGGCAAAGGTGGCAAAAGTTGGGATAGCCTTAATATTGGCGTCTGACGGCTTAGTGGGGACTTTCAGCCCCAAATCCACTTGCAGGCGCTTGTGCCGTACATGCGGAAGCGATCTGGTCCAGCCGGATAGGGGGTCCCTTGCCACGATTGTCTCGCAGTGGTCCGAGAGAGCAAACAAATCATGATTGAGCGATGGGAAGGGCTGCCGTGGCGGCATCCTCTCCTTTTGCGGTGCATTGCTAGGCTCGGGAGCGGAAATTGTACACCAGCCCGCGGTAGATGAATTATCTGCTGCTCATGTACGGAGTAAGAGTCCGTGGACAGGTATGCCCTTGAAGCCTTAGTCTGGCTGGTGGTCTTTGTAAGCAAAGCAGGTGCAAGATGCTACGGCAACGCGATACACCTACATGCACACGAAACGCGTCCTCGTAAAGCCTACCCGGAATTCACATTCAGCCTGCTTCATACCGCTCTTGCGTACACATTGCAACATCTCAAGCTTCAAACGAGTCCAAGATGGAAATGGTGATGTTGTAGCGTACACACGCTGGTGGGCTGCGAGGTGTCGCTTACAACATTGAAGCTGCTACGTTGATACCGCGAGAAGAGTAGCATGATCAGTATAACCACGCGCAGTGTCAGTTTTTGCCAATTGATAGTATTTACTACCGTTTTATTTATATACCGTTTGTGCACATCCTCGTAGAATTTGCAGAACTCAGACTTCTCACAAAACATACATGTACTTAACCTGTAAGCCTATGAAGTGGCATAGCGATGCTAATAATCACAATTAATCGCTTGAACTTGAATTTACGCATATTTTACACAGCAAAGCTAGCATGCAGATATAGATGTTCATCCAACAACGCATTTGTTGCGTTTTGAACTAAATCTGATGGCACAATAGGGTAGCTTTCGTGATGCAACAGTAGCCTCTGCATTGCCGTGGCCATCTCAGCCAGAAAACCAACACATGGCCAGAAGTGACGGAGCTCAGGTCAACAAATAAATTTGACCAATATTATACGCTTTTTCTCACCGATATTGTACCACTTTACCCATCTCTCATTTCCTAGCCCTGCCGCTTTGTGGCAAGGCGCGTCCATCTTGCTGTATTAGTGGCCGACGCGCGAGACATCAGGAGAGAGGGCCCTTGTCGGTTTTACCCTAGCTGGATGTAGTAATAATTGGTCACATATCATCCTACTGGGTCCTTTTGGCGCAAGGGAGGAGCCGCTGTCTCGCATATTAGCTCAGGCAGACGATCATCGCTGGTTGATCTGACTTGTCCATCTTGGTCTACGGAGAATCTTGACCTACGGTGCAGCATGTACATAGTACGAGCACCTATTTCCTGCCTATGCCTATCCAAACAATATACTGTACAAGACATTATTAGAAATCTGGTTTCTACCGTACAGCTGACAAAGTCTTGGAATACGTTCCTTGCATCAATAATTTGTGGACTCTCCTGCATTTAGCTGATCTTTCGGCTTGCCATTGGTGTGAACACTTTGTCCAAACGTAGCCGTAGGTGGTTTAATGATCCACAAGTCTAAAAACTAGTACTAATATTAGTATTGATGGCCGGGAGGACCCGATTCCGTGGTTGCACACAGGAGCGGCGCAACCGCCATGGACACCCCTGCTGGTACGAGCATGTATTCATCATACTCGTGAGACGTAATAAGTACTCTGGAAGCTTTCTTAGTAATACCGCATGTACTAAGATACCAGTGGGAGTTTGAATTCACTCCCTTATAGTAGGCTATGAACCGTTACTTCTCCTCTTGTTGACTCTTCCAGTCGAGCTGCTCGTTTGTTCTACGACTACGTAGATGTGCTGCGTTCAAGCACTTTGTTATTGCTTGACCGAGGAGCTTTTAAATACTAACTAATTTCTTTGCCCGGATAGATTATCCCTTTTTTGGAAGAATCTTGGTCTCTTCTGAGAGCCAACCATTCCAATACTTTTAATACTTAATATCTGTCAGTACAAAGAAAACAAAAACAAGAGAGTGATCTCGGATATAAGGTTCGTCTACACCAATGATATCCCCTTCAGTAGGCTGATCGATCTCTATAACAGGAAGCTCTAAGCGTTAGAGCGACATCCAAGTAAACAGCGACATCATAGACCGGAACGAAAAGTAAAAAAAGAGGCATATTATATGCGGATTTAGAAAAAATGGCGTCGATTACTACTTATAATAACGAGGATCAACCTCACCCCTCAATTGTCATTTGTGGTGTCAGCATTCGTCTTCCCGGAGGCATTGGTAATGTCGATCAATTCTGGGAGTCGGTCGTCAACGAACACGGCTCTCATGGTTCGGTGCAATTGGATGGCAACGAGGATGGCCATGACTTGAAGGAAGGCCTGCGCCCATTTGATGCCTCGCTCTTTTCCATGACCGACGAGGAAGCCAAGAACTGCAGCCCACAGCAGCACAAGCTCTTGGAGGTGGCTCGCGAGTGTTTTGAAGATGCGTGCGAGGTCAATTACCGGGGCGAAAACGCTTGCGTGGGCTGCTATGCTGGTGCCTCCAACGAGGAGGATGCATCGGTGGTTTCATCCAAGAACGAATTGAAGGGCCCAAGGTTCGTTTTCGAAAGCATTTCTCTCCAACATAAAAGTTTCTCCCAAGCTATATGGCTCAATTGCTAACATGCTCCATTAGTATGACGATTGGCTCGTCTCTGGTGGCCTTCCATGAGGCTTGTTGCGCAGTGCGAGCTGGAAATGCCAAGTCTGCCATTATTGTGGCATCTAGTGTGATGCCAGTTTCCGAGGATGGTGCTGAAAAGGGCAAGGCCGTGTCCGCTGTATATATCAAGACGCTGCCTGATGCCATTCGAGATGGCAACCCAATCCGCGCTGTGATTCGCGCGTCCACTGCAGCAAGCATTGCGGTTTCTCATGACCAAGATTCTGCGGCCAAGGCATTTGAGAAGTTGATTCGCGATGCTTATGCTGCCGCCGGCTTGGACCCCCATTCGACGCTTCTTGTCCAGGTAAGTAAAAAGCCAATCGTTCAAGTTGACAATCAACACTGTACTAACACGACCGATAAACAGCGCGATGGCGTGAATGATCATGTTAGTGATTCGAGCGAAATGTCTGCTATTAGCAGCGTTTTTGGCGACAATGGAGTTTATCTCGGCGAGGGTGCTCCTGGCCTTGTGAGCCTTATCAAGGCCGTGGTCACTTTGGAGAGCCGAATTATTCCTCCAACCGCTACTTCTAGTAAGTTGAGAGTCTTTGACAAAACTTGGAATTGGCCCACTGACAGCTAAATAGCTTTTATCACTCATGAAAAACTCATTGTGGCTGCAAACCCTACTCCTTTTGCATCTGGTCATGCTGAAAGAATTAGCATTGCCTCTGTTGACGCTGAGGGATACGGCGCGCATGTTATTATTGACTCTTATCCCACATCTTCTTCGTGTACATCTGACTCTCAGCCGCAACTTGTTCTTTTCTCTGCACATAATTCGTCTTCTTTGGCCAAGCAAATAGAACTCCACCGCGAGTATGCTCAGGCGCACCCAAAGAACATTGTTGATATGGCATATACGCGAGCCATGCGGCGCGAGGCCCTGGAATATAAAGCATTTTCCGTTCTCTCTGATTCTTCTTATACCAATACTTCGAATTTTGTCAAGTCTTCTGCGAAGACTTTGTCCATTGCTATGATCTTTAATGGCCAGGGTGCTCAGTGGGCGGGCATGGGCAGAGAGCTCATTTTGAGCGACGCGGATTTTAAGAAGGACATTGAGAAGATGGATAATGTCTTGAGAGGATTGAAGCTGCCAGCCACCTGGTCGATTAAGAAAGAGCTTCTCCGTGATGCTACTGATCCCGACAACCGGGTTAACTCGCCGCAACTGTCCTACCCTCTCAGTACTGCGGTGCAGATTGCCCTGGTCAACCGTTTCGAACGACTTGGAGTTGTGCCAAAGGCAGTCGTTGGTCATTCCAGTGGTGAAATCGCCGCAGCTTATGCTTCGGGTTTTCTATCTTTCAGAGATGCCATCGCCATCGCTTACTACTACGGCCATGTCACTACTAAGAGCCAGAAGGATGGCTCCATGGCCGTGGTCAGTTTGGGCGTGGAGGATGTGAGTGGCTTCCTGGAGGAAGGCGTGGTGATTGCTTGCGAAAACTCTCCTACTAGCACTACCATTTCTGGCGATTGCGAGGTTGTAGAGCGAGTACTTAAGTCTATCAAGACTGCCAAACCCGACGTGGCTACTCGTACTCTGCGCACAGGTGTTGCCTATCATTCTCACCACATGGCCCTGCTTGCGGATGAGCTTCGTGGCCTCTTGGAGAACGAAAAGGTTGCGTCAAAGGCAACGAAGAAGAACAAGGCTGTTTTTCTGTCCAGTGTTAGTGAGAAGGTTTTGAAGAAGCAGAGCGAATTCGGTGCTGCTTATTGGATCTCCAACTTGGTGTCCAGAGTCCGATTCAGCACTGCTGTTTCCAATCTTCTTACCATGTCGCCCGGAGAGACCCTGTTTCTGGAAATCGGACCGCATTCTGCTCTCTCTGTCCCGATATCTCAGGTATGTGCGGCTGCAGATGTCCAGTGCAACTATGTGTCGTCCCAAACTCGCGGGGTCGATAGCGCGGTGAGCTTCCTCTCTGCTGTTGGAAGGCTGTGGCAAGAATCAGTTCCGCTGAATCTGGCCCCGTTGTATACCAACGGTAAGGCAATCGCTGGATTGCCCCAGTATCCCTGGAGCCAAAGCAATGCGGATGAGAGCGTTGATGCCACTGGTCTATCTCCTCGTGAGAAAAGGGCACGCATTATTGCGGAAGCTAGCTCTCTGGAGAGCGAGCTTACAGACGATGAGATCCCGACGACACAGATGGAGGTGGTTCTTCGGGCTCTCTGGGTTGAAGTTCTTCGAGATGTGATCCAGATCCGCAGACAGGACATTGGAAAGAAGCACAGTTTCTTCTCGCTTGGCGGTGACTCTCTGACGAGCATTGAACTGGTCACCATTGCCTACCAGCATGGCATTCATCTCAGCCCTGCTGCAATCTCTGATAACTCTACGCTAAGCAAAATGGCAGCTGTGGCCACCATTGATGAGAACAGTGCAGCAATGACTGAAGTGGAGCCTTTCAGCTTGATGCCCCAAGATACGCTTGAAGACGTCAAGAAGCAGATTCGAGAAGAGTGCAAGCTTAAAACGAGCGAAGTGATTGAAGACATCTATCCCTGCGCAACTCTCCAGGAAGGGTTTATGGCTTTGGGAATGAAGCAACCTGGTTCTTACATCCACAGGGTGGTGTATAAGTTGATGCCCGATGTTGACATAGATCAGTTCAAGACTTCTTGGGAGGCCACCATCAGTCAGTGTGGTAGTTTGCGCTCGCGAGTTATGCTTGTCGGTGGCCGAGCTCTCCAAGCTGTGGTTGCTGGAGATGCTGCTTGGGAACACCCTGCTCCCGGCCTAGATGTGCAAACATATCTTAAAGGAACGCGAAGTATTGGAATGAGCTATGGTCAACGCTTAAGCAGACATGCTTTGGTCCGAGAAAGCAATGGCGATGTCTACTTCGTGTGGATTGTTCATCACGCAGTTTTTGATGGTCTTACCATGCGAATTGTCCTGGACAATCTGTATGATAATTATCGCGGGAATGACCCCAAAGCTTTGCGCTCATACTCCAACTTCATTCGCTATGTGGAATCCATCGACGCTACCGCCTCTGCTGAGTATTGGCGACAGGAGCTTGATGGTGCCCAGCGCGCTCATTTTCCGTCTGCTAAGCTATCTTTCATTTCTGAAGATAAGGTAATGAAGAGAAAGATGCCTTTCAAGAACACAAAGTCAGCTTCTGCTACTACTGCCACGGTTCTTCGTGCAGCTTGGGCTCTTCTCCTTGCGCGCTATTGCGACTCTGACGATGTGTGTTTCGGTACGACCTTGTCCGGTAGACAGGCAGCAGTACCTGGCCTGAATGAGATTCCGGGCCCCATGATTGCAACTGTTCCAATCCGTGTCAAGATTGAACGTGGCATGACTACATCGGAATTCATGGAGAGAATCCAGACGCAAGCTTCAGAAATGGTTGCCTACGAACAATATGGCCTTCAAAACATCTCAAAGTTGGGCCAAGATGCCGAAGAAGTCTGCGATTTCTCCAACTTGATTGTTATCCAGCCGAATAGCCATTTGACGTCCAGTGCTGATACTGCCTCTGACGCGATTCTGCAGCAAGGACCAGCTGAGAAAGCGCTCTCAGAAGAGGCTATGCGCAACTACTTCAACTATCCTCTCGTTTTGCAGCCTCGCATCGGCGAGGACAGCATCGAGTTGGAGTGGACTTATTACGCTGACGCTGTTACTGAGGCCCAAATCGAGGCCCTCTGTTTCCACTATGAACACATTATCCAGCAGTTGCTTTCTCCAAGTGACATGCTTCTTAGTGCTCTGACGGTCTCTGGTCCGTGGGATTTGCAACAATCCCTTGAGAACAATAACGAGACGCCTGAAATTGTCGAATTATGTCTGCATCAGCTTATTGAGAGACAGGCTGAAGAGCGACCTCGTGCCATCGCGATCCAGGCTTGGGATTTGGAACTGACCTATGACCAACTCAACAGCGCTGCTAACCGTCTTGCCCATCATCTCATCAAGACGTGTGGAGTCGCAGACCAGGATTTTGTGCACGTATGCTTTGAGAAATCGGCCTGGTTTTTCGTCTCGATTCTCGCCATCAACAAAGCTGGTGCTGCTTGGGTTCCTTTGGACCCTTCGCACCCAGTCCGGCGACAGCAACAGGTTGTCTCGCAGACCAAAGCGACTCTGGCTTTAGCCTCCCCCAGCAATACTGAGCTGTGCTCGCAACTCGTTGATAACGTTGTTGAAGTGTCCTCTCTCTTGGATGAGGAGCTGGCCAAGATCGAGTTGAGCTCTGGGCCGACGCGCACCGTATCGCCACACAATGCTGCGTATTGTTTATTTACGTCGGGGTCGACAGGCACCCCAAAAGGTCTAGTAATGCAGCATGCAGCTGTGTGTACTTCGCAGACGGCTATTGCCAAGCGCCTCGGGATGACAGCAGACGTGAGAATGCTACAATTTGCTTCCTTTGTCTTTGATCTCTCCATTGGTGAGATTGTAGGCCCTTGGGTGGTTGGAGGCTGCCTCTGCATCCCGTCTGAGCATACAAGGATGAATAATCTGGTTGAGTTTATAAACACCATGAAGATCAACTGGGCGTATTTGACTCCCTCGTTCACACGGACCTTGGATCCCAGCGATGTGCCTGGCTTGGAGTTGCTCCTGTTTGCCGGTGAGGCTGTTGGACGCGACGTGTTTGAGGCCTGGTTCGGAAGGCTGCGGCTAGTCAATGGCTGGGGCCCTGCTGAGACTTGTGTCTTTTCAACCTTGCATGAGTGGAAGAGCCTGGAGGAATCGTCCTTGACGGTGGGTAGCCCGGTTGGCGGCTATTGCTGGATCGTTGATCCGCAGAATCCCCAGCGACTGGCTCCTGTCGGAACCCTTGGCGAGGTTGTCATCCAGGGACCTACTATCCTTCGTGAGTATCTGGCAGACAAGGACAAGACTGAGGCATCCATGGTCCGAAACCTTCCTGAGTGGGCGCCAAAACGCACGGCCAAGCATTGGAACCAGTTTTACAAGTCCGGTGACTTGTGTCGATACAATGCGGACGGCACTATCGAGTTTGCATCTCGCAAAGATAGCCAGGTCAAGATTCGAGGCCTACGGGTTGAGCTTGGTGAGATAGAGCATCATATTCGCGAACACTTGGAAGGCGTTAAGCAAGTCACCGTCGATATCGCAAAGGGAGATGGGGGCGCATTCATCATCGCCTATTTTTGCTTCGCTGAGGAGACACGCACAGCTGGCAAGAACTCCGAGACAAGCGTCAAGGACGTGTTTGCTCCGATGACTAACGAGCTCCAAAGCCAGCTCACTGCCTTGGTTGGTCAACTTAGCGTGGCGCTTCCTCGGTATATGATTCCAACTCTGTTTATTCCGTGCTGCTACATGCCCTTCATCACTTCGACAAAGTTAGATATGAAGCTTCTACGACTCGCAATGTCCAATCTTGGTAAGGAAGACTTTGCGAGGTATTCTCTCGTGGACAGCAAGAAACGCGCACCGGAAACAGACATGGAGACTCGAATCCAGACAATCTGGGCCGAGCTCTTGAAGCTTCCCACGGATTCTATTGGCTTAGACGATAGTTTCCTGAGAATGGGCGGCGACTCCATTGCTGCTATTTATTTTGTGTCTGCTGCCCGCGAAGCTGGAATTCTGATCGATGTCAAAGATGTTTTTGATGACCCTCGTTTGTTCCAGGTGGCTTCCAAGGCCACTCTTGTCAACAATGTTGGTCAATCTTCACACATCAAGCCGTTTAGCCTGCTCGAAGACTCACTGAGCGACTACATGCAGAGTTCTGCTGCAAGGGCTCAATATGGCCTTGAAAAAGATCAGGCAATCGAAGATGCCTATCCTGCAACTCCTCTCCAAGAGGGTCTCATGGCTCTCACCGCCAAGCAGTCGGGCTCGTACGTTGCGCATTGGTTTCATAGGGTACCCAAACATATCGACATTGCTCGATTCAAAGCTGCTTGGGAAGAATCTGTGAAGCTTACGGCGACGCTGCGGACCCGTATTGTACTCGAAGATAATTTCGCAGTGCAGGTTGTTGTTACGAATGACAGCGCATGGGAGGATACTACAGGCCACGACCTCGAATCCTACAAGCAATTGATCTCTAAGCTTGACATCGGATATGGAACTCGCCTTACTCGATTTGCTCTTGTCGAAGACCAAGATGATGTCTACTTTGTATGGATCACTCACCATGCCATCAACGACGGTTGGAGCATGCGCATTGTCTTGGATAACGTCTATAATTACTACCATGGCCAGAAAGTATCCTCTTTAACGCCTTATTCCAACTTTGTCAACTATCTTGGCCAAATCGATGATGGCGCTGCTGCCGATTTCTGGCGAGCCAACCTTTCTGGTGCCCAGAAACCAATCTATCCAGCTCCTGGAAACCCTCTTGCCACTGATCGCTCCCAGGGTGTGGTACGTGTTGTGGATCGCTTGGTGTCTTTTGAAGGTCAAAAGGATACTTCAATCACAATGGCCACTGTACTTCGAGCTGCATGGGCAATTGTACTGGGACGTCGTTGCGAGGCCAGTGATGTGTGCTACGGTGCCAGTGTTTCTGGCCGCCAAGCCCCTATGAGCGGTCTCTTGTCGACTACTGGAGCTGTCATTGCTACTATTCCGATCCGAGTTCATCTAGGAGCAGATAGGCCTGTGAAGCAACTGCTCCAAGAGATCCAAGCTCATGCGCTAGACATGGTCCCTTATGAGCAATATGGCTTATCCAGCATCTCAAAGCTTAGCCCCGAAGCTCGGGAGGCTTGCGACTTCACGTCGTTGCTGGTTATTCAGCCCAAGGAACAGGAAAGCACCATTTTCAACAATACAGATGGATTACTGCATTCTGGAAGCGACGAGGATCAGTTAACGGTTGAGTCTATGAACAACTACTTCAACTATCCATTGGTCATGCTTAGCTTTATGGCTGAAGAGAGCGTGAGCCAGAGGTTTTGTTATAATCCAGATATCATGTCTCAAATTGAAGTTGAAGCTCTGTCTTACCAGTTTGAGCACGTTGTTCAGCAGCTTTTACTCCCTGACAACAAACTGGTCGGAGATATATCTCTGATCGGTGAGCGAGAGATACAGCATGCCGCTGATGCATCTCTCTACCGCCCTGCCACTGAGTCTTGCACTCACTGGGAGATTTATAAGCAAATCGAGGCAAATCCAGATGCTCCCGCGATTGACTCTTGGGATGGCAAGCTTACCTATGGCGAAGTTGGTATTTTGGCCTCCCGATTAGCTGCCAAATTACAGAGTCTTGGTGTTGGCCCTGACGTCCTAGTTCCCATATCATTTCCCAAGTCTACCCCGGCCATGATTACGATCATTGCTATCCAGATGGCTGGTGGTGCCCTCGTGCCTCTTGATCCTGCGGCTCCGCTGGCTCGTCTGCAAAGTATTGTTGAGGACACGCAGGCCAAGTTTATCGTTACGCATCCTTCTCTCGAGGACAAGTTTCAAGAACTCGGCGTTGACCTCTTGATCATTGATAATTCAATCCTGCATCAGCTTCCTGACCCTAGCAGCATGTTTATCACGTCAACTGCCACGCCTGATAGTCTTTACGCGGTTTTGTTCACGTCTGGTTCTACAGGCAAGCCCAAGGGTATTCGCATCCCGCATAGCAGTCTCTGCTCTGCAAGCGATGCGCATGCTGCTATTACCGGCGTTGGTCCTGGCACGCGAGTGTTCCAGTTTTCTGCGTATACTTTTGATATCGGTATACTCGATGTCTTGATCACTCTCATGCGTGGTGGTTGCGTCTGTGTGCCATCTGAGCACGATCGTCTCAATAATCTCGCTGGTGTGATCAATGCCCTTCAAGCCAACTGGGCTATTTTAACACCTTCTGTCGCCGATATGATCAACCCGGCTGATGTGCCTTGTTTGAAAACGCTCTGTTTGGCTGGCGAGGCCATTTACAAGAAGACTTCAGAGAGGTGGCAGGGTTATACTGACTTTCATGGACTGTATGGCCCAGCCGAAGCATCTATTTGCGCTTGGAACTCAGACGTACACAATGGACCTTCCACCAACTTGGGAATTCCCCTCTCTAGTGCTTTCTGGGTTGTCCAGCCCGATGACCCTAGCCGTCTTGTTCCAATTGGCTGCATTGGTGAGCTGGTTATCCAGAGCCCTATCCTAGCTTATGGATATCTCAACGCCGACGCCAAGGTTGCCGCCAATTGGTTGGAAGATATGGCATACGACTGGCTTCCAGCTAACGGCCCTAAGCGAGGCTATCTAACTGGCGACTTGGTCCGCCGCAATCCTGACAAAACCTTTGAATACATGAGCCGAAAGGATAGCCAGGTCAAGATCCGTGGTCAGCGTGTTGAACTGAGCGAAATCGAGTACATCGTCTTGAACAACCTGCCAGGCTCAAAACAGATCGTGGTTGATGTTATTAACAACCAAGAAGCTGGTCTTAGTCTTGTTACCTATATTTGCTTCAGTGATGATACTAGAGGTAGCAATGGCGGACTAGATGGAATGTTCTCGACCATAGCACCCGAGATGAAGCAGCAACTGTCTGCCATGCTCAGTCAACTGGGTATCTATCTCCCTCACTACATGATCCCAACCATCTTCGTTCCATGCGAGTTTATGCCGCTCAACACTTCCGGCAAGATGGACCGCAAGGCTCTCCGCAGTATCGCAGCACTTCTTACCAAGGATGAGCTTGCGGCTTACACTCTTTCTGACGAAGAAGACAAGCAGCCGCCTGAAACCCCGATGGAAGCAAGGCTGCAGCAAATATGGGCAAAAACACTCAAGGTTGCACCTGAGTCCATCGGTCGCGGCTCCAGCTTCTTGCGCCTAGGTGGAGATTCTATTGCTGCGATATACAGCATCAGGGCGGCAAACGAAGCGGGTATCATTTTGACTGTTAAAGATATCTTTGATGATCCCAGACTGTCAAAGGTTGCCGCGAAAGCTGTTACTACTAGCGACATTGCAAATCAACAGAATGCCATCACCGAGCCTTTTAGCCTTGTCGATACAGCCATGCGCAGCTGGGTATTGAGTGATGAACTTCGGAGCCTTTGCAAGCTGCTCCCTCACCAGACCGTTGCGGATGCCTTTCCCACAACTAGCTTTCAAGAAGGCCTCATGGCGATGTCCGTAAAGCATCCTGGGTCATATATTGCCAAGCATGTTTATAAGATCCCCGAGCACGTTGACCTTGAGCGATTCAAGGATGCCTGGGAAGAAACTGTGAAGCTGTGCAATATATTGCGCACTAGGATCGTACTTCATCAGGGATTTTCAGTTCAAGTCATTGTTAACGATGACATTGCTTGGGATTCAACACATGGCGAGGACATGGCTGCGTACATCAACACAACGAAGGGTATTGGGATGACTTATGGTTCACGGCTTTGCCAATATGCTCTAATAGAGGAACCTAGTGGCGATAGGTATTTTGTCTGGACTATTCACCATTCCGCTTTCGACGGATGGACGATGCAGATTGTCCTTGAAACTTTACAAAAAGTCTATCGCAAGCAGGACGTATTAGCTCCTCGAGCCTTCTCAGACTTCATTCGCTACGTGTCTGAGTCTGACCAAGCTGAAGCTAAAAACTTTTGGTCTTCTCAACTCAAAGATGCTCAGCGAGCTACTTTCCCTGCTAGCAATTCATCGATTACTGAATCTACCACCCGAGTAATGAAGAAAAAGATCTCTTTGACAAGCGTCCTGGGAGAGGGGACTTCAATTACAAAGCCTACCATACTACGTGCCGCTTGGGCTATCGTGCTCGGTAAATACAGTGATACTGATGACATCTCTTTCGGAACCACTGTTTCTGGTCGTCAAGCTCCCCTGGCTGGAATGACTGAGATTGCTGGCCCTGCGGTGGCAACTGTTCCCGTTAGAGTTCAGCTTGACAGTTCCAAAACAGTAGCCCGGTTCCTTCAGGATATCCAGAATCAGGCTTCTGAAATGATCGCTTATGAGCAATTCGGGCTTCAAAACATTGCAAAGACTAGCGAAAGTGCTCGCGAGGCCTGTGACTTTTCTAGCTTGTTGGTCGTTCAGCCCGGCCAGTTCCTGCAACACGGTGAGGACGGCACAGATGCAATCCTGGTTAGTGCCCACCACGATGAGATCGCTGAAGGAGAAGTAATGCACAATTACTTCACCTACCCGTTGATTATGGAAGGTGTTCTATACGAAGATTACGTGGAATTGCTTGTTATCTACAACGCCGGCGTCCTTGCCGAGTCTCAAATTACTGCTCTGTGCCACCACTTTGAGCATGTTACGCAGCAACTTGCTGGCCAAGACAACCTTTTACTTGGCGATATTGCTGTTGCTGGTTCTTGGGATATGGAGCAGAGCTATAAAGCAAACCAAGAAGCTCCTGAGATTATTGACTCCTGTATTCACGAATTGGTCGAGAAACAAGTGATGGCGCGACCTGACGCCCTCGCTATTTCCGGATGGGATCGAATCTTTACATATGCCGAAATGAACGAGGCTGCCAACCGATTGGCTCACCACCTTACTCAGACTTATACCATAAAGGCCGACGATCTAATCCATGTCTGCTTTGAAAAGTCCGCATGGTATATAGTTTCTATTCTCGCAATCAACAAGGCTGGTGCTGCCTGGGTTCCCCTTGACCCATCTCATCCAGAGCAGCGTTTGCGCCAGATTGCCAGCCAAACCCGCGCCAAGATTGTGTTGACTTCGCCTGCTAGCGTGGGTGTCTGTTCTAGCCTCGACATGTCCGTCATCGAGATCAGTCCCGTCTTTGATGAGACGCTGATCAAGTCTGGCATGCCGAGTGCAACTGGGCCTGCCGTTACTGTGACACCTCGCAACATTGCCTACGTCCTCTTCACGTCCGGATCAACGGGCACGCCAAAGGGATTGATTATGGAGCATCGCTCAGTGTGCACCTCGCAAACAGCTATTGCCAAGCGACTTGGATTGACGGCTGATGTACGTATGTTGCAATTTTCCGCCTTTGTTTTCGATGTTTCTATCGGCGAAATCATGGCTTCCCTAACTTCAGGAGCCTCGGTACATGTTCCTGATGAACACAGCCGATTACATGACTTGACAAGCTATATACAAGAGAACGAAATTACATGGGCTTTTCTTACCCCTGCGTTTGCTCGTACTATAAAGCCTGAGAACGTGCCTACTCTGGAGCTATTGCTTCTAGCAGGCGAGGCAGTCAGTCGCGAGGTATTTGAATCCTGGTATGGCAAGGTTAGACTCATCAACGGCTGGGGCCCAGCTGAGACTTGTGTTTTCTCAACTCTCCACGAATGGAAGTCAGCCAACGAGAGTCCGCTTACCATTGGCCGACCTGTGGGTGGCTTCTGCTGGATTGTAGATCCGGAAGATCATCAAAAGCTAGCCCCTACAGGCACAGTTGGCGAGATTGTGATCCAAGGTCCGACTGTATTAAGGGAATACCTGGCTGATTTAGAGAAAACGAGGTCGTCGATCGTAAATGATCTACCAGATTGGGCCCCTCGCCGCGAGTCCCAGCCTTGGAGCAGATTTTATAAATCTGGCGACTTGTGTTCCTACAACCCTGATGGAACAATAGAATTCTCGTCGCGTAAAGATACTCAAATCAAGATTCGAGGCCTGCGCGTGGAATTGGGCGAAATCGAACACCATTTACAGCTTGTTCTTGATGATGTTCAGCAAGTCGCAGTTGACGTATTCAAGGCCGAAAACGGATCAAATCTTGTTGCGTACTTTTGCTTCAGCAAGGAAACCAAGACGGCCGATGCACGTGTTGTAAACGATGATGAGGGCCTGTTCGTTAATATTGATGAAGATCTCAAAACTCGTCTCATCGCTGCTTCCGGGGAATTAAGAGTCCTTCTTCCGTCCTACATGGTTCCAACCTTTTTTATCCCCTGCCGTTATATGCCAACCAGTGTTTCGATGAAGCTTGATCGCAAGGAACTTAAGCGATTTACCGCTGGTTTATCTACAGACGAGCTGTCCAAATACTCGCTCGTTGGTGGCGAGAAGCGCAAGCCCGAGACTTTCATGGAAACCCAGCTGCAACAGATCTGGGCTGAAGTTCTCCAACTTTCTGTGGAATCAATCGGACGTGACGATAGCTTCCTTGGTCTTGGTGGCGACTCTATTACCGCTATTCATCTAGTGAATGTTTTGCGTGAAGAAGGTATCTCTTTAACTATAAAGGATATCTTTGACGACCCTCGCTTGCTTGCTGTTGCTAGTAAGGCCAAAGAAAGCGATGTCGAAGTCGAAGTTGAAGAGATTGAGCCATTCAGCCTTCTAAATAGAGAAATTCGTGAGATTGTACTCTCTGATACCTTCAAAGAAGAGCTCAAGCTTTCTGCTGAACAAGAAATCGATGATGCCTATCCGTGCAGCAAGCTTTCAGAAGGTCTTATGGCCATTTCCGTCAAACAACCTGGATCGTACGTTGCGAAACACACATATCGTTTGCCTGACAATGTTGATCTGGGTCGATTTAAAGAAGCGTGGGAATGCACCTCATTTGCTATTGAGGCTCTTCGAACTCGTATTGTGATTGTCAACGATTCTTGCATCCAAGTTGTGGTCAATAAGGAGCTCCCATGGGAGATGATCCAGACAGATGATATTCGCACTGCCACTGCCTCATCTCAGTCCTTCCGAATGTCATACGGTACGCCTCTGTCTCGTTATACGGTCCTCAAAGATGAACATGGAAACAACTTTTTCATGTGGGCTATTCACCACTCAGTTTTTGATGGCTGGTCCATGAGAATCATCTTAGAGACATTGTGGCGGGAATATGACGGCCGGTATGCGCCTACCATTCAGCCATACAAGAATTTCATCCGTTACACACTCAATCTTGATACAGAAGCTGCATCTGAGTATTGGAGCGCTCAGCTCGAAAATGCTAAGAGAGCCACTTTCCCAGCTGTCACAATGAAAGGCGAGAAGAAGCACATTACACGCATGCTAACGAAATCTATTCGCTTCCCGGCCTCGATGAATCCGGCTATTACCAAGGCCACAGTTTTTCGGGCGGCTTGGGCTGTTATTCTTGCCCGCTACTGTGACACCGATGATGTAACTTTCGGGTCTACCATCTCTGGTAGACAGGCTGCAGTTCCAGGCCTGACCGAGATGGCAGGCCCTGCCGTTGCTACTGTTCCCGTCAGAGTTCGTCTCAATTATCAGCAACGCGTGTCAAAATTCCTGCAGGATATTCAGAACCAGGCATCTGGGATGATTGAGTTTGAACAATTTGGCTTGCAGAATATCACAAGTCTAGGGACTGATGCTAGAGATGCCTGCGACTTTGCATCTTTAATGGTAGTCCAGCCAATGAACCATTTACAAGGAGATGATGTGGACACTCTCTTGATACCAACTGTTTCTGAACAAGACATTCAGGAGGATCAACTGCAAAATTACTTCTCGTATCCTCTAGTTCTGCAACAACTTATGTATGAGGATCGGGTTGATCTTCTTTTGATCTACGATTCTGCCGTTTTCCCCGAGTCTCAAGTTGTTGCGCTGTCTCACCAGTTTAACGAGGTTATTCAACAACTCGTCAGTGGCAGAGATTGCACACTTGGAGAAATTTCTATTGCTAGTCCTTGGGATTTTGATCTTGTCCAAGCCTCTAATGGTGATGGGCCTGAAATCACTAATGATTGCGCCCATCTCGTTATTGAACGCCAAGCTAAGCAAACTCCTCATGCTAATGCTGTTGACGCTTGGGATGGCAAATTTACGTATAGTGAACTTGATCTGGCCGCTAATAGACTGGCCAATTTGCTGGTCAATCGCCACGGCATCAAGACTGGAGATTTCGTTCATGTGTGCTTCGAGAAATCTGCCTGGTACATGGTCTCAATTCTTGCGATCAATAAAGCTGGAGCTGCTTGGGTCCCTATGGATCCAGCGCACCCATTTCAACGCCTTCAGCAAGTGGCTAGCCAGACAGGTGCCAGATTGGCTCTTGCCTCTTCCACTCATAGCCACCTGTGCTCCAAGCTGGTATCCTCTGTAATTGAAGTCTCTTCGGCTTTGAACGAGCAGCTCAAGGAAGACGCAACTATCAACGACCAGAAGCCCTCGGTCAACGTCAAGTCCAGCGATGTAGCTTACGTGCTCTTTACTTCAGGCAGCACAGGTGGCCCCAAAGGATTTGTAATGGAGCACGTATCGCTTTGCACTAGTCAGCGTGATATCGCAAAGAGACTTGGTGTCACGAGCAGCGTTAGGATGCTTCAGTTCTCATCCTTTGTGTTCGATTTGTCTGTCGGAGAGATTTGGCTTGTTCTTATGCATGGTGGTTGTGTTTGCATCCCGAGCGACCATGATCGCCTCAACAATTTGGTTGGATTCATTGCGAAAGCTCAGGTAAACTGGGCGTTCTTGACACCATCACTTGCTCGTACATTGCAACCGCAGGACGTTCCTAGCCTGGAGCTCGTTCTTCTCGCTGGTGAAACTGTTAGCCAGGATGTCTTTGACCTCTGGTTTGGCAAAGCTCGACTGGTCAATGGCTGGGGTCCGGCTGAGACTTGTGTGTTTAGCACATTGCACGAATATAGGTCATCCAACGATAATCCTTCAACCGTCGGTACACCCGTTGGAGGATATTGCTGGGTTATTGGTACCGATGATCATCATCGCCTAGCCCCAGTCGGATGTATCGGCGAAATAGTTGTCCAGGGCCCAACGCTTCTTCGGGAGTACTTGGCTGATCCAGCCAAGACCGCTTCATCAACCTTGACGTCTTTGCCTAACTGGGCACCTCGTGCAAGCTCAAAGCACTGGAACCGTTTCTACAAGACAGGCGACTTGGGATTCTATAACTCTGATGGAACTATCCACTGCTTGGGTCGCAAGGATTCTCAGGTTAAGATTCGAGGGCTTCGTGTTGAACTAGGTGAAATTGAGCATTATATTCGGGACTCGCTTGACTCTATTCATCAAGTCGCTGTTGATGTGTTCCGAACAGAGACTGCGACAAATCTCGTCTCCTATCTCTGCTTCAGCGACAACACCAAAACGCCTGGCTCTGACACTGACCCCGAGGGCAAAGACGTTTTCTTCTCCATGACTGAAGCTCTGCAGACAGAGCTGAATATTGTCGTTAACAAGCTCAGTGCCTCGCTGCCTAATTACATGATTCCGACCTATTTTATTCCGTGCAATTACATGCCTCTTATTTCATCTGGAAAACTAGACAGGATTAAACTCCGCAAGCTCATGGAAACACTATCTCAGCAAGATCTGGAAGATTACTCACTTGCTGATGCCAACAAGCGCGCCCCAGATACAGAAATGGAGATTCGATTGCAGCATTTATGGGCTGAGATCTTGAATATCCCTGCTCAGACTATTGGCAAAGATGACAGCTTCCTTCGTGTTGGCGGCGACTCTATTGCCGCCATCCGTCTAGTTTCTATGGCCCGCGAGACTGGCATTACGCTGACTGTGACCGGAATCTTTGAAGACCCGTGCTTATCTTCTATGGCTGCTGCTGCGACTATAGCCGACAACGCAGATGAGTTGTCAGCTCATATTCCTACCTTTTCCCTGCTTGGTGACGATGCTCAGCGTCTCATCCAAAGCTCCAGCATCTACGAAGTCTGCAATCTTCAAGAGAGTCAGAAAATAGAGGACGCCTATCCCACTACGAAATTTCAGGAAGGCCTCATGGCTCTGTCTGCGAAGCAGCCTGGATCGCATATCGCAAAACATCTTTATTGTCTGCCTAAGCACGTTGACGTTTCTGGGTTTAAGGTTGCTTGGAGGGCCACAGTAGACGCCTGCAGCGTCCTTCGTACGCGAATCGTATTAACTGGCGCGTCTACAACACAAGTTGTTATTAGTGATGACTTTCAGTGGGATTCTGTTCAAAGTCAAGACGTTTACGCATATCTTCGCGAAATCCAAGATTTGGAAATGGGATACGGCTCCCGCCTTTCACGTTATGCTCTTATTAAACATACGGACGGGAATAATTATTTCATATGGAGCGCTCATCATGCCGTTTTTGATGGTCTATCAGTCCAGAATATTTTAAATATTCTTACAAAAGCCTACCATAATGCCAATATCCCTAAAGTACCGGCATACTCCCGATTCATCAACTATATTCTTGGTTCTAACGCAGAAGCTGCCGCTTCGTATTGGAGAGATCAATTACACAGTGCTCGTAAAGCTACTTTCCCTGCTTCAAGCAAGATTTCTAATCAACCTGGCGCCACTCAAGTTCTTGAAAAGTCCATCAAGCTTCCCGAGGTGGCTTCATCGGGAATCACCTTTGCTACCATAGCTCGGTCTGCCTGGGCTATGATTCTTGCCCGTTATAGTGATGTTGATGACGTCGCTTTTGGTACAGCAATTTCAGGCCGTCAGGCCCCTGTGCCTGAAATAATAGACATGGTTGGTCCAATGGTAGCCACCGTCCCAGTCCGTGTTCGAGTGGATCAAACGCAGGCTGCTCCCGATTTTCTTCATGCAGTTCAAAAGCAAGCTTTTGCAATGGTTCCTTACGAGCAATTTGGTCTACAGAGCATCGCTAAACTTAGCGAAGACGCTAGAAATGCTTGTGATTTCTCATCGCTTCTGGTCATCCAGCCTATGAAGCATGTTTCAGGCTTTGGCAACGCTGAGTCTATCCTTATAGAAGCAGATGGAAAACTGAAAGAGATGTCTGAGTCCTTGCAAAACTACTTCACATATCCTCTTATTACACAAGCCCACATATACGAAGATCACATTAACATTGTCCTTATATATGATTCAAAAATCTTGACAAAAATGCAGATTGAGGCTTTGTCACATCAGCTTGGCCACGTCATGTGTCAACTTGCAGCTGCTACTGGCGAGGATACTTTGGGTTCGATCTCTATTTCTTCCTCTTGGGAATTGGAGCACGCTGTATCTACAAATGGCAATGACATTGAAATTGTCGAATCTTGTGTGCATAGCCTCGTTGAGCGCCAGGCTGAGATTCGGCCCAACGCTCCAGCTATCTCAGCTTGGGATGCTGAGCTGTCGTATAGCCAACTTGATCACGCCGCTAATCGACTAGCTAACTATCTTATCGATGTTTATGACATTCATCCAGAGGATCTTATCCATGTTTGTTTCGAAAAGTCTGTGTGGCATTTCGTCTCAATTCTTGCAATCAACAAAGCTGGCGCCGCCTGGGTTCCTCTTGACCCTTCCCATCCAGAACAACGTCTCCGAAAGGTCATTGGTCAAACTGGCGCTAAGCTTATTCTCACTTCTGCTGGTAAAACGGGCATGTTCTCCGACTTGATTGAGAATGTCCTCGAAGTCACGCCAAGCCTTGATCAAAAGCTTGCTGCCACAGCCAGCTCTGATGCCCCCCAGGTGAATGTTACTCCTGACAATGCGGCATATGTTTTATTCACGTCTGGCTCAACTGGTACCCCGAAAGGCTTTGTCATAGAGCACAGGTCCGTCTGTACCTCGCAGACTGCCATGTCTCAAAGGCTAGGGCTTACATCAGAGGTTCGATTTCTTCAATTTGCTGCATATGTGTTTGACATGTCAATTGGTGAAACTATCGCTTCGTTAATCAACGGAGCTTGCCTCTGTGTGCCTTCGGAAGAAATCCGAATGAATAGCATCACAAAGTACATTCGTGACCATCGCGTTAACTGGGCATTTTTGACGCCCTCTTTTGTCAGGACTTTGAGGCCTGAAGATGTCCCCAGCTTAGAATTACTAATTCTTGCTGGCGAAGCCGTTCCTAAAGAGACCCTGGCAACTTGGTTCGGCAAGCTACGCCTTATCAACGGCTGGGGACCTGCTGAGACTTGCGTTGTTAGCACGTTATACGAGTACAGGTCGATGGATGACAGTCCATTAACAATAGGCACCCCTGTTGGAGGACATTGCTGGATCGTTGATCCGGAAAATCCCTCAAAGCTTGCACCATTTGGTACATTGGGCGAAGTCGTCATCCAAGGGCCAACCCTGCTTCGCGAGTACTTGGCAGACCCAGAACGCACTGCAGCTTCTTCAGTCAAGGTGCTTCCTAAGTGGGCGCTTCAGTCTAATTCAGGTAGCCACTGGAACCGCTTTTACAAATCTGGGGACTTGTGTTGGTACAATCCAGAGGGAATCATACAGTTTTCTTCTCGAAAAGACACACAAATCAAGATTAGAGGCTTACGTGTTGAGCTAGAGGATGTTGAACACCACATTCAAGTTGCTTTACATGGCGTTTGTCAAATTGCTGTTGATGTATATCAGAGCGAGAGTGGTGCTAACCTCGTGGCCTATCTCTGTTTCACCAATGCCACTCGCATCAGTGGCACCAGTGATGACGCCGGTAGTCCATTCCTCCCAATTGATGGAGAGCTTCAAGAACGCTTGATTACACTAGTTGGCGAGCTAAAACTGACGCTCCCACAATACATGATTCCCACCTTCTTTGTCCCGTGTGGCTTCATGCCGTCAGTTACGTCCACCAAGTTAGACCGTAATGAGCTACGTCGACATACTAAAGGCCTTACACATGCCAAGCTATCAGACTATTCCCTGCTCGATAGCGCGAAGAGGACCCCAGAAACTGAGATGGAGCGTAAGCTCCAGCACATTTGGTCTGGCATACTGGGTATACCCGCAGACTCTATTGGTCGCGATGACAGTTTTCTGGGCCTTGGAGGCGACTCCATAACTGCAATCCAGCTAGTTGGTGCCTGTCGAGATCAGGGTATTTCCGTTTCGGTGAAAAATATTTTCCAAGACCCACGGCTTATCTCTGTAGCTGAGGTTGCTCAAGTATTAGACTCTGTCGAGGATTCCATTATTGAGCCATTTGGTTTATTGAACGATGATCAACGTCGCCTTGTCACTGGTAATACTATCAAGGTTGAGTACGATTTGGGACCTGCAGCGGTTGTAGAAGACGCCTATCCATCAACTCACCTTCAAGAAGGTCTTATGGCTATATCTACTAAGCAGCTTGGTACGTACATTGCTAAGCTTGTCTACCGCCTGCCTGATCATGTGGATCTCGATGCGTTCAAGGCTGCCTGGGAGCAGACTCTTGACCTCTGTGGCAATTTGAGGACTCGTCTTGTTGTCGCTGGAGATGCTAGCCTGCAAATTGTGATTAAACATGATCAGATCCAATGGGAGATCCTCCACGAGTCTGTATATGCCTACCTCTCCCAGGATTTCATAATGGGATACGGTGACCGTCTATGCCGCTATGCTATAATCCATGAGCCCTCAAAAGAGAATTACTTTGTGTTAATCGTTCACCACGCTATATTTGATGGCTGGACATTACCCATGCTCATGGAAAGCTTGAAGTCGGCCTATCGTGGCGTTGAGCTTCCGACTCTCCAACCCTATGCCGGATTTGTCAAATATACGTTGGGAATCAATGAGGCTGCTGCTGCAGATTATTGGAGCGACCAGCTTAAAGAAGCCAAAGCCGCTTCGTTCCCATCGCCGCCGCAAGCCCAATGGCCTCAGTCAATCTCTAGAATGATTGAAAAGCCCATCAACTTTTCTCATTCAATTAAATCTGGTATTACCAGAGCTTCTATTCTGAGAGCTGCCTGGGCTCTTGTGATTTCAAGGTATTCCGACAGCTCTGATGTGACTTTTGGCGCCAATGTTTCAGGCCGTAATGCAGCTGTCAACGGTATTGAATCAATGCCCGGTCTGGTAGTTGCAACCGTCCCTGTCCGTGTGCGTTTAGACCCCGAGCAAAGCGTCTCTCAATTTTTAGAGGGTATTCAAGACCAATCAACTGGGATGATCCCGTTTGAGCAATTCGGGCTACAAAACATTTCGAAATTAAGCGCTGAGGCGCGAGACGCATGCAATTTCTCATCTCTAATGGTTGTCCAGCCTATGTCGAGCTTTACGAGTAGCAACAACTCCGAAGATGCCGTACTTGTATCCACTGACCTCGGTGCAAATACAACGGTGCAGAGTCTACAAAACTATTTCACCTATCCTCTAGTGATCCAAGCACATCTATACGATGATGCAGTTAACTTGTTACTCATCTACGATGCCAGTGTCTTGGCAGAGAGTCAACTCCAAGCGCTGGCTACTCAATTCGACCATGTTGTCCAGCAACTACTTACTGCAGAGCCTGATGGTAAACTTGCATCTATCAGCGTTGCTGGGCCGTGGGATTTACAGAAGGCTATAAGCTTCAATGTCGAAGAGCCTGGTCTTGTCAATGCTTGCATGCACGACCTTATCTCTCGACAAGCAGCTCGTGATCCTCATCACGATGCCATCTACACAACCGAAGGCACCATGTCTTATGCAACTTTGGAGCGCCTTTCTAGTCTCTTTGCTCACCATTTACAAGAACACGGCGTAAAGCCGGAAACTGTCGTTCCTTTCTGCTTTGAGAAATCGCATCTGGCTATTATTGCCATGATTGGTATCTTAAAAGCCGGTGGTGCCTTTATGCCTCTGGATCCATCACATCCTCGCAACCGTCATAGGGCATTAGTTGAAGAAGTCGAAGCCCAGGTTATGGTTGTCTCATCCTCGAGCTTTCTTTCTTGCGATGGCCTAGCTTCTACCACTGTAGAGCTTACAGATCTATTGCTTGAACAGCTCGCTTTCACTTACGATGCCTTTCAACCAACCCACCCGAAATCCAAACCTGAGAATGCCGCATATGTCCTCTTCACATCGGGCTCCACAGGAAAGCCAAAAGGTGTTTTGATGGAGCACTCTGCTTTTAGTACCAGCACTCTCGGCCACGGTCATGTATACGATCTTGGGCCAAATTCTCGCGTCTTTCAGTTCTCCAATTACATTTTTGATGGAAGCTTGGGTGAGATTTTTACGACCCTTTCATTTGGTGGCACTGTTTGTGTGCCCTCTGAGACAGAAAGGCTCCAAGGAGCGCCTTCATTTATGCACAGGGCTGGAGTCAATACAGCAATGTTAACACCGTCATTTGTTCGAACTTTTACACCTGATCAAATCCCATCTTTACAGTTGCTTGTTCTAGGTGGCGAGCCGTCATCTAAAGACCTTCTTGAGACGTGGTGCAAGACTCTTCGTCTTGTTAACGGTTACGGCCCAGCTGAAGCTTGCAACTACGCGACAACTCATGAGTTCAAGGATAGTGACTCTCCTCGCACCATTGGGCGTGGATTCAACAGTGCTTGCTGGATCGTTGAGCCAAATGACCACAACAAGCTAGCCCCTATTGGATGCGTTGGAGAGCTCATTATCCAAGGAAATGCGCTTGCCCGAGGTTATATCAACGACCCCGAAAGAACTTCTAGCTCCTTCATAGCTGATATCAGCTGCTTGCCTAAATCTCTGTTTGCCAACGCACGCAGATCCTACCTAACAGGTGACCTCGTTCGATACAATGCCAACGGGGAGATGGAATATATTGGAAGAAAAGACACACAAGTTAAGCTTCGTGGGCAACGTCTCGAACTCGGGGAAATTGAATATCATGTCAAGCGATCCTTGTCTAGCATTGAGCATGTCGCTGTCGATCTGTGTCATGGGGAGACCGGTGATGCTCTCATCGCGTTCATCTCCTTTAAAGATGTGGCTGCCTCGGGCCCAGACAACATACTTTCTCTTGATGACGAACTACAATCTACTTTAGCCGCGGTCATGGAGAATTTGAGGAGCTCTCTTCCAGGCTACATGGTACCTTCTACAATCTTACCGCTGAGCGAAATGCCGTTTATCACTTCAATGAAAATTGACCGAAAGAAGCTGATTGCGTTAGCTAATGGCCTCTCGTTGGAAATGATTTCGTCTTTCTCTCTTGCTAGTCGAGACTATGCTGCACCAATCACGGCCATGGAGAAGAAAATGGCTGGTCTATGGGCCCAAATTCTGAAGACTAACCCTGATGATATCAGCAGAAACGACAGTTTTCTTCAAATTGGTGGTGATTCAATTACTGCCATTCACCTGGTTGCACTTGCTCAACAATCTGGCATTAATCTGCCAATTGCTAGTATTTTTGCAAACTCAAAGCTGTCTTCTGTGGCATTATCAGCTGAAGAGGGTGAAGTTCAGCCTGTTGATGAGATAGTACCTTTCTCATTGACGGCAACTAAAAACTTGAACGCTTTAATCGAAGAAGTTCGTGCCAAATGTGATCTTCCCAGTACTGCCATCATTGAAGATATCTACCCCACAACAAGCTTCCAAGAAGGGCTGATGGCCTTGACCGTCAAGCAACCTGGTTCTTATATTGCCAAGAGCACTTACCGCCTTCCAAAGGATATTGATACTGTTCGCTTCAAGGCAGCTTGGGAAGATACCATGAAGCTCTGTAGCAACCTTCGTACACGCATAGTTCTCTCTGCCAGTACTTCTATCCAGGTGGTTGTGAAAGATGTGGGCTCATGGGATGACACATCCAATATGAGTCTCAAGTCCTATCTTCAAGCTACTCACAAACTTCACATGGTGTATGGCTCTGCTCTCAGTCGCCAAGCTCTTATCGAGCAAGATGATGGAGAGAAGTACTTTGTGTGGTCTGCCCATCACACTGTGTTTGACGGTTGGACCACTCGGTTGGTCTTAAACACCTTGATATCAGCCTATATGGGAGATGAGATTGTGCCTTTCGATTCCTATGCCCGTTTCATCAATTATACCACTAGTCTCGACCTTGAAGCTGCAAAGGCCTATTGGAGCAGGCAGTTGCTAGATGCAAAGCGAGCGTCGTTCCCTTCGGCTACGAATAAAGGATCCCAGAGCAAAACATCTAGTACGCGCGTGTATGAGAAGTTCATTGAGCTTCCGCAGTTCAAACAAACGTCAATCACCATGGCTTCTCTCTTGCGTGCTACCTGGGCGCTGATCCTTGCTCAGTATTGCGACATGAATGACGTTACTTTTGGTACTACAATTTCTGGCAGACAAGCCCCAGTATCGGGAATCACTGAGATAACCGGCCCCGTTGTAGCTACCGTGCCGGTACGTGTCCAGCTAGACAAGCAAGCGTCAATCTCGAAATTCCTACAGGGTATTCAGAATCAGGCCGCTGGCATGATTCCATTCGAGCAGTTTGGGTTACAGAATATCGCAAAGTTGAATATCGAGGCCAAAGAAGCTTGTGATTTTACATCACTCTTAGTTATTCAGCCCATGAAGGCGCTCCTTGATACCGGTGATCGCGAATCCATTCTCGAACCAATTGATGCTACTATCCACGGCGGAGCAGATTACATGCAAGACTATTTCTCTTACCCTCTTGTCATCCAAGGTCACGTATATGAGAACTCTTTCAACCTAATGCTTATTTACAACACGGACATTCTACCTGAGCAACAGCTACTGGCTTTGGCTCATCAATTCGAGCACGTCTCCCAGCAACTGGTCGCAAACGATAGCATGGCGCTTGAAGATGTTTCTCTTTCAGGCCCATGGGACCTTGAATATGCATTGCATCAAAACCAAGAGATGCCCGAGATCATTGACTCTTGCTTCCATACCCTCTTTGAACAGCAGGCTGCTATTCGACCTGATGCCCCTGCAGTTCACGGCTGGGATACTAAGTTTAATTACGCTCAGCTTAACGAGGCCGCCAACAGATTGGCGCATCATCTTATTCAAGAGTATGAGGTCAAATTCAATGAGCTTATCCACGTTTGCTTCGAAAAGTCTGCCTGGTTTTTCGTCGCAATTCTTGCAATTAACAAGGCCGGCGGCGCCTGGGTGCCATTGGATCCTTCTCACCCTGCTCAACGCCATCAGCAGATTGTTACGCAAACAAAAGCTCGCCTCGCCCTTGTCTCATCTGACAATGTTTCAACTTGTGTCGATCTTGTTGATCATGTAATTGAAGTTTCTTCAACCACCGATGAAAGCCTCAACAAGGCTGGCTCTTCTTGGCACAATCCTGATCTCAAGACTTCATCTAGCCACGCCGTATACGTGCTCTTCACCTCGGGATCGACAGGTACCCCCAAGGGTCTTGTGATGGAACATGGAAGTGTTTGTACGTCACAAACAGCCATTGTAAGACGCCTAGGAATGACACCTAGCGTAAAAATCCTCCAATTCGCCGCGTTTGTGTTCGATCTTTCCATCGGAGAAATTGTCGCGCCTCTTATCATCGGCGCATGCACATGCGTTCCATCAGAGAATGACCGACTAAATGAATTGCCAAAGTTTATCCAACAGAATAGCGTTAGCTGGGCGTATCTCACCCCTTCATTTATACGAACACTCAATCCAAAGGACGTGCCAAGCCTGAGATTAGTAGTGCTGGCCGGTGAAGCTATTCCCCGCGAAGTCTTGGATGTCTGGTTTGGCAAAGTTCGTTTAATCAATGGATGGGGACCGGCTGAAACCTGCGTGTTTTCAACTCTTCACGAATGGAGATCAATTAACGAGTCGCCTCTTACGATAGGTCGCCCGGTAGGCGGCTTCTGTTGGATTGTTGACCCTGAGAACCCTAACAAGCTCGCACCAATTGGAACCTTGGGAGAAATCGTCATCCAGGGTCCAACGCTATTAAGGGAATACCTAGAAGATGCAGCTCGCACGTCTGATAGCACTGTTCGCAGTCTTCCGGACTGGGTCCCGAACCGTACTGCTAGGCATTGGGATCGATTCTACAAGTCTGGAGACCTTTGCTCTTACAATGCTGACGGCACCATCGAATTTGCGAGTCGCAAGGATACGCAGATCAAGATCAGAGGCCTTCGTGTTGAGCTAGGTGAAGTTGAACACCATTTGCAGACTGCTCTCAGTGGTGTAAGACAGGTAGCTGTGGACGTCATTAGATCTAGCACTGCTGCTAGCTTGGTGGCTTATATCTGCTTTAACGACGAGACGAGAATGACAGGTATTCGTGGAAACGCTGACGAAGGCGGCCCTTTCACTGAGATAGACGACAAGCTACAGGAGAGTCTCACTACTGCAGTTGGTCAGCTGAGTATCTCACTGCCCCGGTATATGATTCCTGTTTTCTTCATACCCTGCCAGTACATGCCTACTATCACCTCTACGAAGCTGGATAGGAAATATCTCAAGAAACGAACCGCGGCTCTCAGCCGAGAAGAGCTTACAAAATACTATCTCAAGAAAGATAAGAAGCGTGCTCCTGTGACAATGATGGAGAAAATTCTTCAAATTATATGGTCGCAAATCTTGTCTATATCGTCTGAGAAAATTGGTCTTGACGATAGCTTCTTGGGCATAGGCGGCGATTCAATCACAGCCATTCATCTGGTATCTTTAGCTCGGGAATACGGCATCTTGCTCACGGCTCAAGATATCTTTGAAGATTCGAGACTGGCTGTCATTGCAGCACGTGCGAAGAAGGTGGATTCAGTAGCTGAAGAGGCTGTTGAGATTCCTCCATTTTCGCTCCTTAGCGGCGAATCGAAGATTAGAACTGATGAGATTCATACACAGTACAGCTGGTCATCTAAAACCATCGTTGACGCCTACCCCTGTACGTCTCTACAAGAAGGCCTAATGGCCTTATCAGCTAAGCAACCAGGATCGTATATTGCCAAGTACTATTATCGCATGCCTAGAAATGTGGATATTCCTCGATTCAAGGCCGCCTGGGAGAAAACCGTTGCCCTATGCCATAACCTTCAAACCCGCATCGTTCTCATTGATGATAAGGCCACGCAGGTCGTCGTTGACGAGCCCATTATCTGGACTGATAGCCAATACTTGGCGACTGCAATCTCAGAGATAAAATCAGTACAGATGACATACGGCTCCGCTTTGTCCCGGGTCGTTCTTGTTAAGCAAGACAACGGCGATGTCTTCTTCTTGTGGGCAATTCATCATGCTGTATTCGATGGCTGGACAATACCTGTCATTTTCAATGTTTTATACGCACTGTATCGCGGTGAGGAACCAGTTCAGCCTGTTTCGCATGCCCGATTTGTGAAATACATTATGGGCGTTGACAGACAAGATACTATTGGCTATTGGAAAGATCAACTAAGTGACGCCAAGAAATGTTCATTTCCTCCTGCTATGGCCTCTCATTCTGGCGCCACACATGTTCTTGAGAAGTCCATTACTTATGCTCAGAGCACGGGTTCCTTTACCAGGGCTACAATTCTTCGTGCCGCATGGGCTCTTGTACTTGCAACTTATTCCGAGAGCAGCGACATAACCTTTGGAACTACAATCTCAGGTCGGCAAGCTCCTGTAGATGGTGTTACTACTATGGCTGGCCCTGCCGTTGCCACTGTGCCTATCAGAGTTCGTGTTGATAGACACCAAACTATTTCTGCTTTCCTGCAAAGTGTCCAGAGCCAAGCTCTGAAAATGATTTCCTATGAGCAGTTTGGGTTACAGAACATTTCAAAGATAAGCGACGATGCCAAAGAAGCTTGCGACTTTACCTCGCTATTGGTTATCCAGCCAATTGAACAGCTAGATCATCAGAGCGATGATGCCCTCTTAGTCACCGCTGGCTCAGAAGTCATTGGAGAGACGGTCTCTGTGCAAAATTACTTTTCTTATCCTCTGGTCATTCAGGGCCATCTCTATGACAACAAGATAAACCTGATGTTAGTCTATGATTCTCAGCTTCTTTCGCAGAAGAAAATGCAGGCTCTGGCCCTTCACTTCGACAATGCTGTTCAAGAGCTCACAGGCCAGAATGACAAGCTGCTCAGTGCTGTATCTCTGTCTAGCGGTTGGGATTATGACCATGCTATCAAACTAAACAGTGATTCGCCTGTGCCCGTCGAACGGTGCTTTCACGAGATGATTGACGATGTTGCTTTGGTCCGAGGCAGCGCATTAGCTATTTCTAGCTGGGATGCATGCTTCACCTACGAGGAAATATTAGCGACAACCAACCGTATTGCTCATTATCTCGTCAACTCCTATGGCATAGAAGTTGGAGACATTATTCATGTGTGCTTTGAGAGATCAGCATGGTTTATGATCGCCATTTTAGCCATTAATAAAGCTGGCGCAATTTGGTCACCCCTTGATCCATCTGACTTGGCTGAACATCACCGCAAGATAATTAGCCAAACTGGCGCCAAGCTGGTACTGACATCAGCTGCCAATTCTCAGACATGCGCTGGCCTACTGTCCAACGTTCTTGAACTGACCTCTGAGTTGGATGCCAAATTGGCTGAAAACCTCGCCTGGAGCACCAGTCGACCAGCCGTCAATGTCACGTCTAGTGACGCCGCCTATATCCAATTCACCTCTAAGGCTTCAGATACACCAAAGGGCGTTGTCATGGAACATGCTTCGCTTTGCACCAGCCAGACTTCTTTGTCACATGCTCTTGATATGAATGGTGGTTTCAAAGTTCTTCAGATCTCTTCGTACTCGTTTGATGCCGCGCTCTTTGAGATTTGCTCCACATTCCTTTCAGGAGCTTCCTTGTATGTGCCTTCATCAAACGAGCAGACCTACGAGTTGGCGGATTACATCAACAAGCACGAAATCACTTGTGCCCTCTTAACACCAACACTGGCGCGAACTATCCGACCTGATGACGTTCCTTCTCTGAATGTGTTGTTGATTGGTGGCGAAGCTTCTACTCGTGATGTTCTCGACATTTGGTGCGGTAAACTCCGCCTATTTAACATCTGGGGTCCTGCTGAATGCTGCGTCGCTGCCTCTATTCATGAATGGACTTCAGCTGCGGGATCCCCCAATGTTATTGGACGGCCAGTTGGTGGCTCTTGCTGGATTGTTGATCCAGAGGATTCCACACGCATGGCTCCTATTGGGACGGTGGGCGAAATCGCGATTCAAGGTCGCAGCCTTCTTCGTGAATATCTTTCCGACCCTGTCACAACAGCGGCAACTACAATCACTGGCCTTCCATCATGGGTTCCCAAAAAGGACTCTACTGATTGTGATCGGTTCTACTTGACTGGTGATCTTGGCTTCATTAATGAAGATGGCAATATGGAATACTGCGCTCGCAAGGACGCACAAATAAAGGTTCGAGGTCAGCGTCTTGAACTTGGAGAGATTGAGCATCACATTCAAGCCCACCTTGAAGGTGTACAGCAAGTTGTCGTAGATGGCATCAAATCAAAGGCCGGCATAATGCTTGTCGCCTTTATTAGCTTCTCTAATTCCACTGTATCAAGACACTCAGATATGCTTGATACTGACGACGACATCTTCGTGCCACTTGACGAGGATCTTAGAATCACGCTGAGCATTCTAATGGGGACTTTGGGCACTCTGATGCCTCAATACATGGTTCCGCGTGTTTTCATTCCTTGTACCCGTATGCCTCTTAATAGTTCGATTCAATTGGACCGTAAGAAGCTAAAGCAATTGGCAAACGACTTGGGCGAAGAGGATTTGTCGCTCTATGTACTCACTAATGCCGATAAAAGAGCTCCTCAGACGACTATGGAGGGCCGCATCCAGCAATTGTGGGCAAAGGTTTTGGATGTCTCTGCTACATCAATAGGTCGTGATGATTCATTTATTCAGCTCGGCGGCGACTCTATTCTTGCTATTCAGCTTGTTTCCGTTGCTCGAGATGCGAACATTAAATTCACCGTCGGGGATATCTTCGATGACCCACGCCTGCATGTAATTGCCTCCAAAGCCACTGAGATTGATGAAGAGGGCCAGCTGGTACCTCATATTGAACCTTTCGGTCTTCTGAGTGATTCACTCAAGAACGTTGTTCTCAGCAAGGGCGTTCAAGAGCAATATGGCCTTCCGATCGATAAGGAGATAGAAGACGCGTACCATTGTACCAAACTCCAAGAAGGTCTCATGGCTCTCGCTGTTAAACAACCGGGATCATATATTGCTAAATTCCTCTACCGCCTCTCTCGCAACGCCAATGTCTCTCATTTCAAGGCTGCGTGGGAAGAAACTGTTCGGACTTTACCCAATCTTCGAACTAGAATCTTCACTGCGGACGATGTGTCTATTCAAGCAATCTTCAAAGACGACATCGCTTGGCAGTCGAGTCAAGGAAAGTCCTTGCGCTCTTATATGCGCTCAGCTCAGAACTTTGAGATGACTTATGGCTCGCAACTTAGTCGCTATGCTCTGGTTGAAGACAACGGTGATACATACTTCGTGCTCTCTATACATCACGCCGTCTACGATGGTTGGAGTTTGAGAATTGTCATGGAAGTCTTGCACTCTATTTTCCGCAATCAAAGCGCCATTGTTGTAGAGCCCTATGCGCGATTTGTTCAGTATACTTTGGAAAACGACGGCGATGCCGCCATTGACTACTGGACATCACAGTTCCAAGGCGCAAAGAGGACTATCTTCCCGTCTACCACATCCAAATCGGAGGAGAAGACGAAATTAAACACAACCAAGGTGACTGAAAAGGTGATTACACTGCCTAGCCTTACTGGCTCTTCTATAACAAAGGCCACCATGCTTCGAGCCGCCTGGGCCATCGTTCTCGCCAGGTACTGTGATTCCAACGATGTTACTTTCGGAGCCACTATATCTGGTCGGCAGGCACCCGTCCACGGCCTTACCAATATGATTGGACCTTGTATTGCAACAGTTCCAATTCGCATCACCATTGACGGCACGCAGTCTGTATCCGATTACCTGCATGCTGTTCAAGGCCAAGCCAATCACATGATACCGTTCGAACAGTTTGGCCTACAAAATATTTCCAAACTCAGCGCCGATGCTAAAGATGCGTGCAATTTCAGCAGCCTGCTCGTCGTTCAGCCCGTCCAGTCGCTCTCTTACGTCGATGAAGATGCTGATTCCCTCTTTGTCCCTACAGAGGTTGAAAAAGAGGTTGTCGATACCGTGCAGAATTATTTTACCTATCCATTAGTGATTCAAGGCCACATGCATGAAGATTACATTAAGCTCGTTTTGATCCACGACGAAGATGTATTGTCTGAAATGCAAATGGTTGCTTTATCTCATCAACTCGACCATGTCATAATGCAGCTTGCATTACACCCAGAAAAGGAACTGCATTCCATTTCAATCGCTAGTGACTGGGATGTCCAGAACTCTCTAAAACAAAACAGCGATATCCCCGACATTGTTGATTCTTGTATTCACCATCTTATTGAGCGTCAGGCAACTACGCAGCCGGATGCCCTGGCTATTGTAAGCTGGGACCGCGACTTTACTTACAAGCAACTAAGTGAAGCGTCTAATAGGCTCGCCCATTTCCTCGTCAATGAGCATGGTGTTAAGCCTGATGATCTGGTTCATGTTTGTTTTGAGAAAAGCGCTTGGCATTACGTTGCAATACTCGCAATCAACAAGGCCGGCGCTGCCTGGGTTCCCTTGGATGCCTCACATCCTGAACAGCGTCTCCGTCAGATTGCTTCCCAAACCCGTGCCGCCCTCGCGCTCGTTTCTCCAACCAATTATGCTTTATGTGCTAGTCTTATCGACAGCGTGGTCCAAGTTGACACTGAGCTTGACATCAGACTTTCAGAGATTGAACCGAGCGACCATGGCCCTGTAGTTGCCGTCTCTTCACGCAATGCTGCCTACGTGTTATTCACGTCGGGGTCGACAGGCACTCCAAAGGGTCTCGTGATGGAACATGGATCCGTGTGTACGTCGCAGATCGCCATTGCCAAAAGGCTTGGATTGGATTCATCTGTTCGAATGCTGCAGTTTGCAGCCTATGTGTTTGATCTGTCGATTGGCGAGATTATTGGTCCGCTGATTTCTGGTGCTTGTATATGTGTTCCGTCAGACGACAATCGCCTGAACAATATCGGCGATTTCATAAGGAAGAAGGGAGTCACATGGACTTACCTGACGCCATCCTTTGTGCGCACAATCAAGCCGTCTGAGGTGCCTAACCTGGAGCTTTTGCTGCTTGCTGGCGAGGCTGTACCTCGGGACGTTTTTGAAACTTGGTTTGGCAAACTGCGCTTAATAAACGGATGGGGGCCTGCGGAAACCTGTTGCTTTAGCACATTGCACGAATGGCAGTCTCTTGACGAAAGCTCTCTGACTGTCGGCCGTCCTGTGGGTGGGTTCTGTTGGATCGTTGACCCTGAGAACCCGCACTGCCTTGCACCGACCGGTACAGTAGGCGAAGTCATCATACAAGGGCCTACAGTTCTTCGCGAGTATTTGAGTGATGCTGAGCGCACCGAGGCTGCCTTTGTTAAATCTCTTCCTAACTGGGCTCCGTTCCATGGAGAGACTAGTTGGAGCCGCCTATACAAGTCGGGCGATCTTTGCTTCTACAATCCCGATGGAACCATCCAATTCTCTAGCCGCAAAGACACACAAGTTAAAATACGCGGTTTACGAGTTGAATTGGGAGAAATTGAGCATCACATACGGCTTGCATTGACCGATGTGCGTCAAATTGCTGTTGACGTTTTCAACGGCGACAATGGCACCAATCTCGTCGCTTATTTCTCGTTTTGCGACGAAACCCGACAAATCTACGAAGCCGACGTATCTGGACCCTTCTTGCCAGTTGAAAACGACTTGCAATCTCGCCTAACAGCTCTTGTCGGCCAGCTTGGTGTATCCTTGCCCAGATACATGATTCCTACCATGTTCATTCCATGCAAGTATATGCCCTCTATTACATCCACCAAACTTGACAGAAACGAGCTTCTACGATGCACTGCAGCCCTTGATCAAGCTGAAATTGCTGCGTTTTCGCTACTTGGGAGCAAGAAGCGGGCTCCTGAAACTGAAATGGAGAGTCTAATGCAGGACATCTGGTCGCAAATCCTTTGCATTTCAGCGGATGCTATTGGTCGTGATGATAGCTTTTTAGGCCTTGGCGGTGATTCAATTACTGCCATCCGCCTAGTCAGTACCGCTCGCGAGAAAGGAATCCAGCTTACCGCAAAAGACGTCTTTGATGATCCGCGTTTGCTAGCGGTTGCTACCAAGGCACAGAATCTCAGTGCTGAAGCCCGAGAAGAGCTTGCCGATGCCTTGCCCTTTAGCCTACTTGGATCTCATACATGTGAACTTGTCGTTTCTTCCGATACTAAGCAGCAACTCAATCTGGGTGTAAATGACGCTGTTGAAGATTCATATCCCTGTACAAAGCTGCAGGAAGGACTTATGGCTTTATCAGTTACTCAACCTGGATCCTACATCGCAAGGTATGTGTATCGACTGTCTAAACAAGTTGACCTTTCGCGCTTCAAGTGTGCTTGGGAACAGACTGTTGCTTTACGGGATACTCTGCGTACCAGAATCATCATGGTCGACGATATATGCGTTCAAGTAGTGACAAACGAAGGCGTTGTTTGGGATGATGGTGACTATAAAGATCTGGATGAAGCCGCCCGTGCTACTCACTCATACACCATGACTTATGGCTCGCAACTATCTCGATGCTCAATTTATGAGTCCAACGCCGGCGAGAAGTATTTCTTATGGACAGTTCATCATGCCATTCACGATGGCTGGTCTCTGCCCATCATCTTCAGCACATTCTATCAAGCCTACGAAGGCCTCGAATTAGTAGCTCCCAAAGCTTATTCAAACTTCATCCGCTATATCATGGACCTTGACCGAGACGCCGCCCGTGATTATTGGAGGACACAGCTTCACAACGCCAAGCGTGCCAGCTTCCCCAAGACGGACCTTGTGAAGAAATCTACTGGAAATGAACAGAAGACTTGTGTCTTGACCACGTCTCTCAGCTTTCCCACGTCGTCCAATGAAACCTTTACAAAGGCTAGCGTTCTGAGAGCTGCCTGGGCTATCGTCCTTGCAAGGTATTGCGACAGCGATGATGTCTGCTTTGGTGTTACCATCTCTGGCCGACAAGCACCTGTATCCGGCCTTCTGGATGTGGCTGGGCCGGTAGTCGCAACTGTCCCTGTTCATGTTCACGTCGAGAAGGGCCAGGAAATCTCAAATTTTCTACAGACTATTCAAAGCCAAGCTCATGAAATGGTTCCCTATGAGCAGTACGGTCTTCAAAATATTTCCAAGTTGAGCGCAGACATAAGAGATGCCTGTGATTTCACTTCGCTCTTGGTCATTCAACCTGTTCAACGTTTTGCATCTGCCGTGGCCGATGATGAGACTCTCTTGGCCCCTGCTCGCTCCGAGATCAAGCACATGGTGCAGGACTATTTCAGCTATCCGTTGGTAATCCAAGGCCATGTTTATGACGACCGCGCCGATCTCGTATTAATCTACGATTCGACCATTCTCTCGGAGCTACAGATGACTGCTCTTTCTCATCATTTCGATAATGTTGTGCAGCAGCTGCTATTGAACGAAACAGGTAAACTGGGCGATGTTTCAGTTTCTGGCTCTTGGGATCTTGAACTTGCACAGATGTCTAATGGCGACGGCCCCGAGATTATCGACGACTGCTTCCACTCCCTTGTACAGAGACAGGCGGAAGAGAGGCCCAATGCAATTGCGGTTGACGCATGGGATGGCAAGCTCACCTATGGCGAATTAGACCGCGCTACTAATCGGCTGTCTCACCTGCTTATCAGTCATTACGAGGTGCAGGTTGGTGACATAGTGCATGTCTGTTTCGAAAAGTCTTTCCACTATATCGTGGCAATCCTTGCGATCAACAAGGCTGGTGCCGTTTGGTGTCCTCTTGATTCTGCTCATCCCCTCCCCCGTTTACAGGCCATTGCTGCACAAACTAGAGCCAAATTGGCTCTTGCTTCAACAGCCAACAGGGCGCTTTGCGAACAACTTGTTGAGAGCGTGGTTGAAGTTTCCGACTCTCTTGAGCAGACTCTCTCTGCCGAAAGCAATGGTGACAAGAGACCCGATATCAATGTCACTTCAAATGAGGTCGCCTACATTTTATTTACATCTGGCTCGACAGGCACGCCCAAGGCTATTGTTATGCAACATGGAGCTCTTTGCACCAGTCAAATGGCTATTTGCCAGCATCTAGGTCTTGATCACACTGTAAGGATGTTGCAATTCTCAGCTTTCGTCTTTGATGTATCAGTTGGAGAAATTGTGAACGCTTTGATAAGTGGAGCCTGTATTTGCATTCCTTCAGAGCAAATGCGTCTTAGTAGTCTCGATGTGTTTGTACGCGACTTCAATGTCACCTGGAGCTATCTCACTCCGTCCTTTGCTCGTACATTGAACCCTAAAGATTACCCGGGACTTAGGCTGCTCCTTCTTATGGGTGAAGCTACTACTCAAGACATCCTTGATACCTGGTATGGCCTTCCCAACGTAAAATTCTACAACGCTTGGGGGCCTGCAGAGACTTGTGTTCTAAATACAGTCCACCCCTGGAAATCTAACACCGAGTCACCCTTGACACTTGGTAAAGCGGTGAATTCTTTTGTGTGGGTAGTTGATGCTGAAGACCCTACGCGACTTGCTCCTACTGGTTGTGTGGGTGAAATTGTCGTTCAAGGTCCGGCAATGCTTAAAGAGTATCTGGCCAATCCTGAGAAAACCTCGGCAGCCATTGTTACTGGACTTCCCGAGTGGGTACCGCGACGCGAATCTCCTACCTGGGGTCGCTTCTACAGGACTGGTGATTTGGGCTTCTACGACCACAACGGCATACTTCACTTTGCTGCTCGAAAAGATACGCAGGTCAAGATTCGTGGTTTGCGTGTCGAGTTGGGCGAAGTTGAACACCAAATTCGAGAATCATTACAAGGTGTGCGCCAGGTCGCTGTAGACGTGTTCAAGACCGAAAAGGGAGTAAACTTGGTTACCTACTTCTGCTTTACAGATGGAACCAGGACTGGCCCTCAAGATGAAGATGTGTTTATGCATATCGATGACCAGCTGCAAGCCAATCTCAGTGACATGTTGGCCAAATTAAATCTGTCACTGCCATCATATATGATTCCTACACTGTTCATCCCATGCGCTTATATGCCTTGGATTACTTCTGCAAAGTTGGATCGCGTCAAGCTTCGCCACCTTACTTCCCAGCTTAACCAAGAGCAATTGGAATCATATTCGTTGCTCAACACTCAAAAGCAGGCACCCGAGACTGAAATGGAAATTCGTTTGCAAAAACTCTGGGCAGAGAACCTGAATCTCCCAGAGTCTGCAATTGGTCGACAGGATAATTTCTTGCGCATCGGTGGTGACTCTATTGCTGCTATCCGTCTTGTTTCAATGGCTCGTAACGCTGGAATTGCTCTTACAGTCAACGACATCCTAGGCGATGCTCGTTTGATTGCAGTTGCAGCCAAGGCTATCGATATTGACGCCAGTCGCGATAATTCGATGCCACTTGAAGCCTTTAGCCTCTTATCTGCTGGTACAGAAGACTTCATTCTATCCCCTACATTCAAAGACGGGTATGCCCTTGCCGCCGACCAGTTCATCGAGGATGCCTATCCTTGTAGCAAGCTCCAGGAAGGCCTCATGGCCCTGTCTGTTAAACAACCGGGCTCTTATATCGCCAAGTATGTTTATAAGCTCTCTAAGCACGTCGACATCCCTCGATTCAAGCTGGCTTGGGAACGCACTGTGGAGATGGCTTGCAATTTGCGTACTAGAATCGTTCAAGCTGGAGGTTCTTCTATCCAGATTATCATTAGCAGCGATGTTGCCTGGGATGAAACGTATGGTGATTTACAGTCATCGCTTGCTGGTGCTCAGACTATAGAGATGGGTTATGGGTCTCGACTCTGCCAATACGCTCTTATAAACGATTCTGACAGCACCTACTTTATGTGGAATGTGCATCACGCCATCACAGACGGCATATCCACTCAAAATATTATGAGGACGCTTTTCAACATTTATAACGGTGTTGAAATGTCACCTCTGCCGTCATATGCCCGTTTCATCGAGTACACTCTCAGCTTCGATGAAGATGCCACTGCAAGCTACTGGAAGTCGCAACTTCGCAATGCTCAAAAGGCAATCTTCCCTCCTACAAGCAGTGTGTCTCATAATACACCTGATGTTACTCGCATACTCGAGACGTCAATCGAGTTGCCAAATGACATGAAGAATTCGACCATCACAATAGCTACAGTTGTCCGATCAGCGTGGGCTATTGTCCTTGCTAGATACTGTGATTCTGAAGATGTGACCTTTGGTACTACAATTTCCGGCCGTCAGGCACCGGTGCCCGAAATCATGGAAATGGCTGGCCCTACAATTGCGACTGTTCCAGTCCGTATTTGCATCGACCGTCGACAGCCTATTTCTGATTTCCTTGAAGGCGTCCAGAAGCAGACCCTAGAGATGACTGCCTTCGAGCAGTATGGACTTCAGAATATCGCCAGATTAAGCGAGGATATCCGTGATGCCTGCGACTTTGGCAGCATCCTAGTTGTCCAGCCCATGCAGCATTTCAGTGGCACGAGCAGTGACGATGATCTTTTCCTAAGCGCTGATGTTGGGGCTACCAGTGTCGCCGACGCTGTACAAAACTACTTTTCCTACCCGCTGGTTGTCCAAGCTCACTTATACAAGGATCAAGTAAAGCTTATGCTTATGTACGACTCCAAAGTCCTCCCAGAAGCTCAATTGACTGCGCTCTCACATCAGTTTGGCCATGTTATGACCCAGCTCAACAGCTCGAGCTCTGCTGCTCTTGAAACGGTCTCCGTCTTCTCACCCTACGATGTACAGACAGCAAAGTCATTCAATGCAGCAGTTCCTGAGATTGTTGATTCCTGCATGCATGATTTAATTGAGAAGCAGGCCAGATTAAACCCATCTGCTCCAGCGGTTGCCGCTTGGGACGGAAACTTCACGTATAGCGAGCTTAATAATGCTGCTAATAAGCTGGCTCATCATCTTATCAATGTCTATGGTGTCAAGCTCAACGACTTTGTCCACGTTTGCTTTGAGAAATCAGCCTGGTACATAGTCTCAATACTTGCAATCAGCAAGGCTGGCGCGACTTGGGTCCCGTTAGATCCTTTCCACCCAGAACAACGGTTACGATCAATCGTTAGCCAGACAAAAGCCACTTTAGCCTTGGTGTCGCCAGGCAACGTGGAACTTCTTTCCGCTTTGGTTGACAGTGTTATCGCGATAACCGCCGATCTAGACATCTCCCTTCCCGAGCAAGACGGAGTTCAAAGCCCCAATGTATCTGTCCCATCCCAAACAGCTGCATATGTCCTGTTCACGTCCGGCTCGACAGGTGTGCCAAAGGGAGTCATTATAGAACATGGCTCTCTTTGCACAAGTCAAAATGACATTGCTAAGAGACTCCGCTATCATTCAAACGTGCGCATCTTGCAGTTCTCCGCGTTTGTATTCGACTTCTCTATTAGTGAAATCATCATGTCACTAGTTCACGGAGCATGTGTTTGCGTTCCTTCCGAGGAGCAGCGAATGACTGGCATTGTTGATTTTATTCGCGATATGAAAATCAACTGGCTGTATCTTACGCCTTCCTTCTTACGCACATTAAATCCAAGCGATGTCCCTGCTGTTGAATTGGTTCTTATGGGTGGCGAGGCCGTGCCACGCGATGTGTTCAATACCTGGATTGGTCGCGTTCGTTTATTCAACGCCTGGGGCCCTACAGAGTCATGTGTTATGGGCACCATTCATGAATTTGAATCTGCTGACGAGTCGCCCTTGACTATCGGCTCTCCCGTTGGAGGGTTTTGCTGGATTGTCGATCCAGAAAATCCACAGCTCCTTGCGCCAATTGGAACTCTCGGTGAGGTTGTTATTCAAGGACCGACTTTACTGCGCGAATACCTCGATAATCCAGAAAAGACCCAAGAGGCAACTGTACAGACGTTGCCGGATTGGGCCCCCTTGCCTGATGATAGAAACTGGAATCGTTTTTACAAAACTGGGGACTTGTGTTCTTACAACGCTAACGGCACTATTGAGTTTTCTTCTCGTAAGGATACACAAACGAAGATTCGCGGCCTGCGTGTTGAATTAGGCGAAATCGAGTTTCATATTCAGGCCTCACTGAAAGATCTTCGCCAGACCGTTGTCGACGTTGTCCAAACCGACAACGGTTCCAATTTGGTTGCATACCTGTGTTTCTCCGATGAGATACGCCAACTTCACGATGCCGATGAGAATGGCCCCTTTACTCCAATGAGCCCAGAACTTCAAGAAGAGCTTGTTGGCGTGGTAGGTCAGTTGAACGTGACATTGCCGAGATATATGATTCCTACCTTCTACATTCCGTGCAAGTACATGCCTGCTATTACATCTGGCAAGCTTGATCGAAAGGAATTGAAAAAGCAAACCTCAGCTCTTAGCCAACATGGCCTCACAAAGTTTTCTCTCTATGGAGTCGACAAACGCGCCCCTGAGACCGCAATGGAACTTGAGCTCCAGAAAATCTGGTCAACAGTTCTTTCTACTCCTGCAGAGTTAATTGGTCGCGATGATAGCTTCCTTGGCTTAGGAGGCGACTCAATTATGGCGATCCATCTAGTCAGCGCATGTGACGAAGCCGGAATTTCCATTACGGTTAAAGATATCTTTGATGATCCCCGTTTATCTGCCGTCGCGTCTCGAGCTCGCCGGCTTGAAAACATTGAACAAGAGATGCCAATCGTTCCTTTCAGTCTACTGTCTAACCATACCTACGATCTAGCTCTCGCTACGACAGTTGGATCTCAATGTTCACTATCCTCTAGCCACGACATTGAGGATGCCTACCCATGTTCCAAGCTTCAAGAAGGCCTTATGGCTTTATCTATTAAACAACGCGGTTCCTACGTTGCACAGTATGTATACAAGCTATCCAAGAACGTCAACCTTGCCAAATTCAAGGCCGCTTGGGAGCAAACTCTCGAGCTTTGCGCGTCGCTTCGAACCCGTATTGTCATGCTAGATGGTGCCTGTGCGCAAATCATAGTGGCTGGACCAGCAGAGTGGGATGAAACTTGCCCAACAGACCTGAAGGGTGCTATAGAAGCTACCCACTCTGAGATGACTTACGGTTCACTGCTTAATCGTTATGCTCTGGTCCAAGATGCCGAATATGGCAATCACTTCATCTTGGTCACCCACCATGCCGTCCATGATGGTTGGACACTTCGAATCATCATGAACACGCTCTATAGCATATATCTGGACCAGAAGCTTCCCTCGCTTACTCCATATTCTGCTTTTATTCGTTACACGCTCAACATTAACTCTGAAGAAGCCAGTAGTTTCTGGAACGAGCAGCTGAGAAATGCTAAACGTGCTACGTATCCGCCAATGCCTCGAATTGAGACTCACACTGGTATCACTCGCATGATGAGCAAGACGATTTCTTTCCCTCCAACTACAAAGACTATTACCACAAAGGCCACTATCCTTCGCGCTGCATGGGCAATTCTGCTGGCACGTTATTGCGATTCTGACGATATCACTTTTGGAACTACTATTTCCGGCCGACAAGCTCATGTGCGTGGAATCACGGAAATGCCAGGCCCAGCAGTTGCTACCGTTCCAATTCGTGTGCGCGTTGATGCTACTAAGCCAGTTTCCCGCTTCCTCAGTGATATACAGTCACAGGCAACCGACATGATTGCGTTCGAACAATTCGGTCTTCAGAATATCACAAAATTGAGTGCTGATGCAAAAGACGCCTGTGAATTCTCTTCCCTTCTTGTTATTCAGCCTCGAACGCATTTGGATTCGATCGATGGCAAAGATTCCTCTGAACCCCTGATGGCTCTATCTGTGGAGGCCCGAAATGCCGAGCAGTTGATGCAGAACTATTTTACCTACCCTCTAGTTATCCAGGGCCACGTTTTTGACGATTCCATCCAATTACTCCTGACCTATGACTCGACAATCTTGTCAGAGATTGAAATGGAAGCCCTTTCTCATCAATTCGACACCGTCGCCAAGCAGCTAGTTACTGAATCTGATGATCCAATTAGTTCTGTCGCGGTTGCCGGCGAATGGGACCTTGAACAGGCCAAAAAGTGGAATACTGAAAATCCCGAACTTTTGGATACTTGTATTCACAGCCTCGTCGAGAAACAATCGTTGGTCCGACCAAATGCGCCCGCTGTGTGTGCTTGGGATGGTGAGATGACCTATAGCGAGCTCAACAACGCTGCAAACAAGCTCGCTCATCATATCGTCAAGGCAGGCGTCAGGTCCAACGACTTGGTGCACGTCTGCTTCGAAAAATCACTTTGGTTCTTCGTCTCTATTCTCGCGATCAATAAAGCAGGTGCAGCTTGGGTTCCCCTTGATCCCTCTCATCCCAAGCAACGTCTGCACCAAGTTGCGGCTCAGACAATGGCCAAGCTAGCACTCTCGTCTCCTACCAATGCAGCTCTGTGCAGAGACATTGTGGGAGCCGTTATCGAAGTCAACCACAGCCTCATTCATGAGCTTTCAGAGACGTATGATGGTGTTCAAGGGCCTACTATCAACGTACCCTCAAGCAATGCTGCTTACGTTCTCTTCACGTCGGGATCGACAGGTACTCCCAAAGGTCTCGTCATGCAGCACCGCGCTGTCTGCACAAGCCAAACTGCCATTGCTCAGAGACTGCATCTTACCGAGGATGTCAGAATCCTTCAGTTTGCCGCCTACGTCTTTGACCTGTCCATTGGCGAGATTGTAGGACCGCTGATCCACGGAGCCTGTATATGCGTGCCGTCAGAAGAGATGAGGTTCAATGGCTTAAAGGAATTTATCCAAGACAAGGCTGTTAACTGGGCGTTCCTTACGCCTTCGTTCGTTCGAACGCTCAAGCCTGAAGACATTCCCAGTATTGAGCTGTTACTTTTAGCTGGTGAAGCTGTTGGTAGAGATATTCTGAGCATGTGGTTTGGTAAGGTACGCCTTATCAATGGCTGGGGCCCAGCTGAAACTTGTGTTTTTTCCACTTTGCACGAATGGACTTCTATCAACGAGTCTCCTTTAACCGTCGGCAAGCCTGTTGGCGGGCACTGCTGGATCGTTGATAGCGAAGACTCTAGCAAATTAGCACCGATTGGTTGCTTGGGTGAAGTCGTTCTGCAAGGGCCTACCTTACTCCAAGAATATCTCGCTGATCCACAAAGGAGTAAAGACGCAATCATCACCTCGCTGCCCGCCTGGGCACCGAAGCAAGACTCTCAACCATGGAGCCGCTTTTACAAGTCAGGGGATTTGTGTTTCTATAACCCCGACGGGACAATTGAGTTTTCATCTCGCAAGGACACGCAGGTTAAAATTCGTGGTCTTCGTGTTGAATTAGGCGACGTTGAGCACCATATTCGCAAATGCCTGGACGGCGTTCGCCAAGTTGCCGTTGATGTTCTCAGATCAGAAACAGGAACCAACTTGGTTTCGTATCTCTGCTTCAACGACGATTCCCAGCCTGGTTCATTGGACACAAAAGCTAGCGACATCTATTTGCCCCTTGATTCTGATGTTCAGTCTCGCATTACTGCGATGATTGGTGAACTTAACGTGAACCTGCCTCGTTACATGATTCCCACGCTATTTATTCCTTGCAAATTCATGCCAGTCATCACTTCGACCAAGTTAGACAGGAAGACGCTGAAAGCAATGACAGCCTCGCTTGACCGGGATCAATTAGCACTGTATTCGCTTATTGATAGCAAAAAGCGTGCCCCCGAGACTCCAATGGAAGTATGCCTCCAAGCTATCTGGGCTGAAATCCTCAATCTCCCTGTCGAGTCCATCGGCCGCGATGATGGCTTCCTCCAGATTGGTGGAGATTCTATCACTGCAATCCACCTAGTGTCAAAGGCCCGTGAAGCCGGTGTATCAATTCTCGTCAAAGACGTGTTCACCGACTCTCGTCTCCTCGCCGTGGCTTCTAAAGCCGTCCTCTGTGACACAACTCAGCAGCAACAGGAAGCGGCCGCTCCTTTCAGCCTCTTAAATGAGCAAGTTCGAGCTCTAGTGCTTGGCGGTGACGTTCGCAAGTCATGCGGCCTTTCCAACGACCAAACTATCGATGATGCCTACCCTTGTACTTCCCTACAGGAGGGCCTCATGGCATTAACTGTGAAGCAGCCGGGATCTTATGTTGCCACGTATACTTACAAGCTGGCCTCCTTTGTCGATGTAGAACGGTTCAAAGCTGCATGGAGCCGCACCATTGAACTGTGCGGCAACATGCGTACGAGAATCGCTCTGGTCAACGGCACGCCAATCCAGCTACTGCTCAAGGAAGACAACCAGTGGCAGTCAATGGAGAATGAAACGCTAGCCTCGGTCACAAAATCCCCTCGAAACTTGCTTGTTGGCTATGGAACCCCTCTCTGTTGGTATGGCATTCTTACGGAGAAGAATGACCGATACCTTGTGTGGTCAGCCCACCACTCCATCTACGACGGCTGGGTCATGCGTATCTTGTTGACAACCCTATACAGTGCCTACCATGGCGCTGACATGACAACGCTGTATCCCTACTCTGGGTTCATCAAGTATAGCATGGAGCTGGATAGCACTACTTCTGCCAACTTCTGGCGCGAACAACTATCTGGTTCTAAGAGAGCAGCTTTCCCGGCTCGCCAGTCCCCTACTAGCTCAAAATCGTCAACCCGAGTCTTCAAATCCACTGTCAAGATTGGACAGCCCAGCCAAAGTACTATTACAAGGGCCTCTATTCTGAGGGCTGCTTGGGCCATTGTCCTTGCTCGTTATTGTGACACTGAAGACGTGAGCTTCGGAACAACTGTCTCTGGGCGCCATGCTCCTGTGGCTGGTCTCGAAACTATGCCAGGCCCAATGATTGCGACAGTTCCTGTCCGCATTCGAATGGATCGTACTACTACCAAGGCTCAATTCCTCACCGACGTTCAAAACCAAGCCCATGAGATGGTAGCCTATGAACAGTTCGGTCTTCAAAACATCTCTAAGCTGAGCCAAGATGCCAAAGATACCTGCGATTTTTCGAGTCTGCTCGTCATTCAACCTCCTGCTCAGAGCCTCTCGGAGGATGAGCTGGAAGGCAGCATCTTAGTCTATGGCAGCGAAGAGCAGAATAATACGGAAGATGCCATGCAGGATTACTTCAACTATCCCCTGGTGATCATAATGAACACTTTCAATGATCACATTACGCAACGCTTCTTCTATAATACCGACATCTTGACCGAGGATCGCGTCTCTGCCTTATCGCAGCATATTAGCCACGTTGTAGAGCAGCTGTCGGATAACGGCGATGGGAACCTTGATAACATTGATCTTGTGGGCGAGTGGGATATCCAGCATGCTCTAGAATCCACTCGACTTAAGCCATCCACAGACGCTTGTACGCACTGGCTTATCCAGGACCGTATCAAGGCGCAGCCTAACGAACCCGCGATCTCATCTTGGGACGGAAACCTCACCTACGCCGAACTAGGTACTCTTGCAAACCGTTTGGCATGGAAACTTCAAGACCTTGGAGTCGGACCTGAATCGCTCATTCCACTGTGCTTCCCCAAATCTACATGGGCTGTTGTGGCAATGGTCGCCATTGTCATGGCTGGAGGTGCTTTTGTTCCTCTTGACCCTAACGCACCAGCTGCTCGTCTTCAAGGCCTTGTTGAGGATACAAAGGCAGCTTTGGCAGTTGCCAGCCCATCGTGTCAAGATGCCCTCCGTGATGTTGGTATCGACGTATTCGTTGTCGATGAGGCTCTATTACTTGAGCTTTCAGACCCTGTGTCGGCAGTCACGTCTTCAGTACAACCAGACAATGCAAGCGTCGTCCTCTTCACATCAGGATCGACCGGCAAACCCAAGGGCATGGTGATTCAGCATAACAGCTTGTGTTCATCCGGAAATGCTTATGGTACGGACCTTAACATCGGACCGGGCACGCGTGTGTTCCAATTTTCTGCTTATACATTCGACGTCGGTGTCCTTGACTGTCTTGTTTCCCTTATGCGAGGCGCAACTATTTGCATTCCATCAGACCATGCACGCCTCAATGACCTAGCGGGTGCTATGACTGCAACCAAGGCCAACTGGGTGTTCCTTACACCTACTGTTGCAGATCTTCTTTCACCGGCCGACGTTCCACATCTCAAGGTTCTCTGTTTAGGTGGTGAAGCTATTAGTAAGAAATGCGCAGAACGCTGGACTAACTACACCGAAGTTCACGGTCTATATGGCCCCGCCGAAGCATCTATATGCGCCTGGAATCCTTGTGTTGGTAGATCTGGCCTCTCAACTAATATTGGACGACCTACGTCCTCGGCCTTTTGGGTAGTTGAACCCAGTGACAGTAAGCAACTTGTCCCCGTGGGCTGCATTGGCGAGCTTCTCATTGAAGGCCCGATGCTTGCTCGAGGATATCTAAATGTTAGCGCTGAAGTTGCTTCGAACTGGATGGAAAACGTGGACTGGCTCCCAGGTATAGATGTTAAGAGAGTCTACAAAACCGGCGACTTGGTTCGACGCAACGCCGATGGCACTTTTGACTTCGTTGGTCGAAAAGACACGCAAGTTAAGCTCCATGGTCAGCGTGTTGAACTTGGCGAGATTGAGACTCGTATTCACGAGTTTCTCCCAACCGATATGGCAGCCATAGTGGCCATTGTTAAAGATGAGCATGAACACGACAATCTGTTCGCCTTCCTTTGGTACACTGAAGGTGCCGCCGCCTCTAGATCTGCTGCCTCTTTGATGGAGGCAATCACTGATCAGGCTCGTGCCGTAATTTCTCACGTTGACTCTTCTCTGGGTCTGGTACTGCCGTCATATATGATTCCATCATCCTACCTAATTTTCGAGGGTACGCCTGAGCAGACAGTGAATGGAAAGGTCAACCGTCGTGCGCTACTTGCCCACGCTCAAAATTTATCGACTCAAGATCGTCTGCTCTTCGCACCCAAGATTGGCGAGAATGAACCACCAACTACACCCATGGAATTCAAGCTCAGAGACCTTTGGGCCCAAGTCCTTCACATTGATGTCCAGTCGATTGGCAAGAATGATAGCTTTTTGCGCATTGGAGGTGACTCCATCAGTGCCATTCAGCTGGTGTCTGTGGCTCAGCAGAATAACATTGGTCTCACAGTCGCTACTATTTTCAATGATCCCCGTCTATCTCAGATGGCGGAGGCTGCCAATGTTGATGAAATCATGCCATCTTACGAGACCAAGCCTTTCAGCATTATTCCTGCCTCCATCATGGATCATGTTCTTACCGAAGTGCGATCCCAGTGCGATTTGCCTGAGTCTGCAATCATCGAGGATGCATATCCATGTACGCGCCTTCAAGAAGGCCTGATGATACTAGCAGTCAAGCAACCGGGGTCATATGTTGCCAAACATGTCTATCGTCTTGCAGCTAGCGTCGACATAGAACGCTTCAAACACGCTTGGGATCAGACTGTTGAGGCTTGTGCAGCCCTGAGAACACGATTTGTTCTTGTTGGTGACAGCATTTTCCAGGCCGTCATTCAAGATTCAGTTCCCTGGCAAGTTTCTTCCGATCTCCGGTCATTTACCATGTCCATGGAAAATTCTCACATGGGATACGGTACTCCTCTTTGTAAATTCGCAATCATTGAGCAGGACGACGAGAAATACTTTGCATGGAATATCCACCACACAATTTTTGATGGATGGACTCTCCCATTGATAATGGGCACTCTCCATGCCTTCTACCACGGCAGTGAGATTCCATCGCTCCTCTCATATTCCGGCTTTGTGAAATACGTGGAAGATATGGATTATGCCGCTGCTAGTGAGTACTGGACTCAACAATTAGACGGTGCTAAGAAAGCAACATTCCCTCTCGGCAATGAAACGGCCAAGAGCAAAAGGTCGGAGGCGTCAACTCGCATCATGCACAGCGCGATTCAATTCCCTCGCTCTACTAGTACTTCAGTTACTAAAGCCTCGATCCTCCGAGCAGCATGGGCCGTTGTGCTTGCACGATATAACGAGTCTGACAGTGTTTGCTTTGGAACTACGGTTTCTGGCCGCCACGCCCCTGTTCCCGGCCTCGAACGAATGCCTGGTCTTGTAGTCGCGACTGTCCCAGTTCACGTAAAACTGGACCAAAATCAGTCTTTGAGCAGCTTTTTAGAGGGGATTCAATCACAAGCGTCTCAAATGGTTGCTTATGAACAATTTGGCATCCAAAACATTTCGAAACTAAATGCTCAAGCCAGAGAGGCTTGTGACTTTGCTAGTTTATTGGTTGTGCAGCCTACCCAGCACATCACTTCGACTTCGAGCGAGGAAGAAGAGGCTATACTAACGGCTACAATAACAGATGACATTGAATCTGATGAATTGCTGGAAAACTACTTCAACTATCCCTTGGTTTTACAGTGCCATTTACTGGATGATTGCGTCAATCTTGTCTTTGTTTACGATGATGGTCTTATTGCTGAGCACCAGCTAGTCGGCCTTTCTCACCAGTTTGAACATGTTGTTACCCAATTACTTGCTCAAGACGATAGCCCTCTATCCACAATCTCAATGGCAAGTGAATGGGATCTCGAATTCGCGTCTGCATCAAACAGCATTGAGCCTGATGTTGTAGAAGACTGCATTCACAACTTGATTGAGCGGCAAGCTCTACTCAGCCCAGATGCTCCAGCTATTAATGCCTGGGATGCCGATTTCACCTACTCTGAGCTGGACTGTGCCGCCAATAGATTGGCAAATTACCTTATTCAGTCTATGGACGTGAAAGTGGGTGACTTTGTTCATGTGTGCTTTGAGAAATCGGCCTGGCACATAGTCTCAATTCTGGCCATTAACAAAGCTGGCGCAGCTTGGATACCTCTCGACCCTTCGCATCCCACTGAGCGCCACCAACAAGTTGTCGGTCAAACTGGCTCCTCGTTAGCTCTTACTTCACCAGCCAATGCTTCCAAGTGTGCTGCCCTAGTGACTCATGTCCTAGAAGTTACGCAAGAGCTCGACGACAGACTTGTCGCTGATATACGTATCAACGACACAAGTCCAGCCACCAGTGTTACTCCTCAGGATATTGCTTATATCATTTTTACGTCTGGCTCGACCGGCGTTCCCAAGGGTGTTATCATTGAGCACATGACCCTCTGTAGCAGTCAGACCTCTGCTAGTAAAAGGCTTGGCTACACTCCTGGCGTTCGAATGCTTCAATTCGCCTCATTTGTCTTTGACGCATGCATTGCGGAAATACTTACGACGCTAATTTCAGGAGCCTGTGTGTGTGTCCCATCTTGGGAGATGCAGATGAGTTCCCTTGCAAGCTACATTCGCCAGGCAAACGTCAATTGGGCATTACTAACCCCGTCTTTTGCTCGCACTATTGATCCGGCAGAAGTTCCTTGTTTAGAGCTTTTGGTCCTAGTTGGCGAAGCTGTTAGTCGCGATGTCTTTGAGCTTTGGTTTGGCAAGCTTCGTCTGTTCAATGGATGGGGTCCTACTGAGACTTGCGTCTTTGGCGCCGTACATGAATGGAAGTCTGTCCAGGAATCCCAGCTAACAATTGGTACGCCGATCGGCGGCTACTGCTGGCTTGTTGACCCCGAAAATCCACAGAAGTTAGCTCCGACAGGCACACTCGGCGAGGTTGTCATTCAGGGGCCTAATTTATTCCGCGGGTACCTATCCGATGAAGAGAAGACAGCCTCCTCAATTGTCACTTCTCTACCCCAATGGGCGCCTAATCGCCACTGGAGCCGATTTTATAAGACAGGAGATCTGGCCATTTACAACGCCGATGGAACTCTCCAGTATTATAGCCGCAAGGACACACAGGTCAAAATCCGTGGCCTTCGCGTGGAATTGGGCGAAATCGAATATCATGTTCGTGAAAGCCTTGAAGGCGTCCAGCAAGTCGCTGTTGATGTATTCAAGACCGAGGCCGGCGCCAATCTTGTTTCGTTCATTTGCTTCAACAACGATACTCTTCCTGCTAGCACCACTGGTGATATGACCAGCGAAGATGTCATCTTGCCACTCACAGCTGATATAAAAAACAGTATCAATGACCTACAAGGCCGTCTCAATACTGCCTTACCTGGTTATATGATTCCTACACTGTTTGTTCCTTGCAAGGCCATGCCACTTGTTACCTCTGGTAAACTTGATAGGAAGCTTTTACTAAATCTCACCGCGTCTTTATCAAAAGAGCACCTTGAGAAATATGCACTCTCTGATGGCGAGAAGAGACAGCCAGAGACGGAGATGGAATACCGTGTACGTGAGCTTTGGGCTTCTCTTTTGAGTGTGCCTCCCGCCACTATTGGTCGCGATGATAACTTCTTGAGAATTGGCGGTGACTCTATAGCTGCAATTCGGCTTATGAACATTGCGCGTGATCATGGTATTTCCCTCAGTGTCAATGATATATTCAACGATGCTCGACTCCTCGCTGTTGCTGCCAAGGCTATCGATATAGACGGCGACGCGGAAGAGATGAAGCCCATTGAATCGTTTAGTCTTCTCGATCAAGACCGCGTAACCATGGTTCATAACACCTCCGAGCTTCAACTCCCCACTGGAATGGAGATTGAAGACGCCTTCCCATGCTCCAAGCTTCAGGAAGGCTTAATGGCTTTAGCTGTAAAGCAGCCTGGATCTTACATTACCAAATATCACTACCGCCTGCCGGCGCATGTTGATGTTTCCAGGTTCAAGCGAGCATGGGAGCGAACAGTGGAACTATGTGCTAACATGCGCACTCGCATTATCAACGTTGGCGGTATGACGGTCCAGGTAGTCATCAAGAACGATGTTGTTTGGGAAGACACCCATAACATGAGCCTTGCATCCTATCTTCGCGCTCCCCAAGTTACTGACATGACCTATGGTTCTCGCCTTTGTCGATATGCATTGATTGAAGAGACAGGCCAAGACGTTCAATTTGTATGGAACATTCATCATGCCGTTTTTGATGGCTGGTCGACGCCCATTATTCTGAGGACTTTATACAGTGCCTATCAAGGCACTGAGCTGCCCAAGATCGAGAATTATGCCAGGTTCATCAAGTATACGATGGGTATCAGCCATGAAGAGGCCAGCGAGTACTGGATGAGAGAGCTCCACGATGTCAAGAAAGCAACTTTCCCTCTGTCTGTCTCCACCGGGATGGCTGACAAGGGGACTATCACGCGCTTTATGGAAACTCGAATCGATCTACCACAGAATAGCGTGGGAGTCACGAAAGCAACAATCCTTCGCGCAGCATGGGCAGTGGTTCTTGCGCGCTACTGTGATACCGATGATGTCTGCTTCGGTACGACAATCTCGGGTAGACAGGCGCCTGTCCCTGGGCTGACGGAGATGCCTGGCCCAGTTATCGCAACTGTGCCGATTCGAGTCCGTTTGGATCGACAGAAATCCATGGACCAGCTGCTTCAAGATGTTCAAGACCAAGCTACTCAAATGGTTGCTTATGAACAATTCGGGCTTCAAGGTATAGGCAAATTAAGTGCTGACGCTAAAGAGGCTTGTGATTTCTCATCGCTTCTTGTTATTCAGCCCGTGCAAACTTTGATGCATAACGATGATGGTGAAGACGCCTTGTTGGCGGCACCCGGTTCTGTGGGCGAGACGACAGAAGAATCGATGCAAAACTATTTCTCGTATCCGTTGGTTATTCAAGGGCATTTGCATGATGGCTTTATCAATCTTGTATTGATTTACAATTCTCGCATTCTACCCGACTCACAGCTTGTGGCGCTCTCACAGCAGTTCAAAAATACGGTTGAACAGCTTGTCTCCCAGCCTCAGCTAAGACTTGAGTCTCTGTCCATCACTTCAGACTGGGACGTCAGCCAATCCCTCAAATTCAACCCCGAGGTCCCTGAAATAATCGACTCATGTGTCCATGAACTTATTGAGGCGCAGGCCAAAATTCGTCCCGGTGCTGTCGCAATTAACGCCTGGGATGCCAAATTAACTTATGCCGAACTCAACTGCGCTGCCAATCGCCTTGCCAATCATCTTGTGACCGTATGCAAACTCGGCGTTGGAGACTTGGTTCACGTGTGCTTCGAAAAGTCAGCGTGGTTCTTTGTGTCTATTCTCGCAATCAACAAAGCTGGTGCTGCTTGGGTTCCCCTAGACCCTTCTCACCCAGAAAAGAGGCTCCGGCAAGTCGTATCCCAAACAGGTGCCAAGATCGCACTGGCTTCACCCGATAATACCACCCTGTGTGCAGCCTTAGTTGAGTCTGTTATAACTGTCAACTCGAAGCTTGATCTGGAGCTATCCAAGGTCAAGAAGTACAGCCAGAAAGGCCCAGTGACTACTGTGTCTCCCGAAAGTCCTGTTTACGTTCTATTTACTTCCGGGTCGACTGGAACGCCAAAGGGCTTGGTTATGCAGCACAAATCTGTATGCACGTCACAAACCGCTATAGTCAAGAGGCTTGGCCTAAGCCCAGATGTACGCATGTTGCAATTTGCGGCTTTCGTATTCGATCTTTCCATTGGTGAGATCATTGCACCCTTGATTACTGGTGCATGCTTGTGTATACCGTCAGATCACACTCGGATGAATGGGCTTGTGCAGTTTATTCGAGAAACAGACGTCAACTGGGCCTTCTTTACACCTTCGTTTATCCGTACGCTAAGTCCGTCAGAGGTTCCAAGCCTTGAACTTATCCTACTAGCAGGCGAGGCTGTCCCTCGAGACGTTCTTACCACTTGGTTCGGTAAAGTCCGTCTAGTCAACGGATGGGGACCAGCTGAGACCTGTGTATTCTCAACTCTCCACGAGTGGCAATCAGTCGACGAATCACCTCTTACAGTTGGTAAGCCCGTCGGTGGCTTCTGTTGGATCGTCGAGCCCGAGCATCCCGATCGCTTGGCTCCTATCGGAACACTAGGAGAGGTTGTCATTCAAGGCCCAACCTTATTACGAGAGTATCTAGCGGATCCTGAACGAACTCAAGCTTCTGTCTTGGATGATCTCCCTCAGTGGGCCCTTCGTTCTCGCCCTGATTCCAAGCACTGGAACAAGTTTTACAAGTCGGGAGATCTTTGCTACTATAACCAAGATGGTACGATTGAGTTTTCTACTCGTAAAGACACGCAAATCAAGATACGCGGCTTGCGTGTCGAGTTGGGTGAAGTTCAGCATCACGTCCAAAAAGCACTCGCTGAAGCACGACAAGTCGCTATTGACGTATACAAAGGCGAAAATGGAACGAACCTCGTTGCATATTTCTGTCTTAGTGATGAGACTCGAACTGCAGGTAGTGACGATGCTACTTCGACGGGGCCATTCTTACCGCTCGATGAAGATTTGCAATCCCATCTCGTAGCTGCCATTAGCCAACTCAGCATTTCCCTGCCACGCTACATGATTCCTACAATGTTCATCCTCTGCAGTTATATGCCCTTCATTACCTCGACAAAGCTTGATCGCAATGAACTGAAGAAGCTCACTAGCTGCCTGGATAAGGATCAAATTGCTCAATATTCTCTCCTCAGTAGCAAGAAGCGTTCGCCAGAAACCCCCATGGAGGTCTTTTTCCAGAAGCTTTGGTCTGAGCTGCTTGGAATATCGATTGAGTCCATTGGTTGTGACGATAGCTTCCTGGGCTTAGGTGGCGATTCCATTACTGCAATTCACATGGTCAGCGCGGCTCGCGAATTGGGCATTACGCTTGCTGTCAAAGAAATCTTTGACGACCCTCGCCTATTCGCTGTTGCCAGCAAGGCTCGTAATGTTGGAACAGATGAGCAAGCTTCTGACTTTGATGCCACCCCATTCTGCATGCTTGATACTTCCATGTTCCAGCTTGCTCTCAGTGATGACGTTCGAAGCCTCTGCAAGCTGGCCGCTAACGAGGAAGTGGAGGACGCCTATCCCACAACCATGTTCCAGGAGGGAATGATGGCTCTTTCTGTCAAACAGCCGGGCTCATATATTGCCAAATACGCCTATAGACTGTCAGATGACGCCGACATTGGTCGCTTCAAAGCAGCCTGGGAATACACCGTTGCCCTGTGCCCTACCATGCGCACGAGGATTGTTTTACTTGATGGCAATTGCACTCAGATAGTCATCAAAGAAAACGCCGAGTGGTCTTCGGATCATGTAAATGTACGGGCCGCTAGACAAGCTATCCAGGGTACCGAAATGACCTATGGCTCTCGCCTTTCACAGTCGGCTTTGGTGAGTGGCGATGATGGAGCCAACTACTTTTTCTGGACAGTGCATCACGCAGTGCACGATGGCTGGACCGTCCGTCTTATCATGACCACTCTTCAAAACGCATATTATCAGTCCGAGTTGCCCTCTCTGAAGCCATATTCTGGTTTCATCAACTATGTTGCAAGCATAAAGAATCAAGATACTATTGATTACTGGACCCAGCAGCTCCAAGGCGCCCAAAAGGCATCTTATCCTCCTACTGCGTCTGCGTCTGCATCGGAGGGCGCTATACGAATAACCACCAAGACTATCCAAGTTCCCGCTTCAGCTGATCCTGCCATCACAAAAGCTACCATCATCCGGGCCGCTTGGGCGATTCTGCTTGCTCGCTATTGTGATTCCGACGATGTAACCTTTGGCACATCGATTTCTGGAAGACAGGCTCCGATTTCAGGTCTTATGGATATGGCGGGGCCCGTAATCGCAACTGTCCCCGTCCGTGTACGCCTGGATCGGACACAGACTATCAGCAGTTATCTCCAAAGTATCCAAAATCAGGCTCATGAGATGGTTCCGTACGAGCAATACGGCTTGACAAACATTGGAAAGATTAATGCCGACTTTAAGGAAGCGTGTGATTTTACGAGCTTGTTGGTTGTACAGCCCCGAGCACACTTAGACTCACGCAATAAGTCCATGTCTGCTGAGAATGAAGTGTCGTCAGGCACTCTGCTCATGCCCACTGATATCGAAGGCAGCTCGGCTGAAGACTTGATGCAGGGATATTTCACTTATCCTCTTGTTATCCAAGGCCACCTTTTCAGCAATTCGATTGAGCTGTTCATCACATATGACTCTTCTGTGCTCTCTGAGTTCGCCATAGAGGCCATAGGCCATCAATTCAGCCATGTGGCTTCCCAGCTCTTTGCGGGTGGCGAACTTACCCTAGGAGATCTGACAATTGCTTCCGACTGGGACCTTCAACGTGCCACTGAGTTCAATCACGAAATCCCCGAGATAGTAGACGCCTGCGTCCATCACATCATTGAAGCGCGTGCCAAGGAAGCTCCTAATTCGCCAGCCATCTGGTCATGGGATGGTGAATTGACCTACGGACAGCTTAACGAGTTGGCCAATATCCTAGCTCACCATCTGATCGCCGCCTATGATGTCCAGATTGAAGACCTTATCCACGTCTGCTTCGAAAAGTCGCTTTGGTACTGGGTAGCCGTTCTTGCTATCAACAAAGCCGGCGCTGTCTGGATTCCTCTTGACCCGTCCCATCCTGAGCAACGCATTCGTCAAGTCGTCTCACGAACCCGTTCAAAGTTGGCGCTCGTATCTGACACTACAAAACATGTGGTCTCTGGTATTATTGATCGAGTGATTGAGATTTCTCCGACACTATACGAACACCTGGATTCCCGCCTTGGAGCAGAGGAGCCACAGGTCCCAGTACTGCCTCACAATACCATTTACGTGATATTCACGTCCGGCTCCACGGGTACGCCCAAGGGGGTAGTCCAGACACATGGCAACGTTGCAACTAGTCTGACTGCTCTCACAAAGAGGATGGAAGTGGATTCAAGAGCGCGGATTCTCCAATTTTCTTCATACGTGTTCGATATGTCTGTTGGCGAAGGATTCCTCTATCTTATGGCCGGTGCTTGTGTCTTCATTCCTTCGGAAGATACCAGAATGGACGGCCTGAAGGAATTCATCAATGAGCACAAAATAAACAGCGTCTGGCTAACGCCATCTTTTGTGCAGACTATGACTCCAGAGGAGGTACCGTCAATCGATTTCATGATGGTGGGCGGCGAAGCTGTTCCTCGCGACATCATCACCACATGGGGTGAAAAGATTCGTTTATTCGAAGGCTGGGGTCCCACTGAGATTTGCGTTATCAGCTCGTTGCATGATGTTACATCTATTAATGCGTCTTCGTCAAATATTGGTCAGCCGGTGGGAGGTCATTGCTGGATCGTGGAACCTGACAATCCTTACAGGCTTGCCCCCATTGGCACCATAGGTGAAATTGTCATACAATGTCCAGCAATCTTCCGAGAATATTTCGACGACGTTGAGCGTACCAACGCTGCCATCGTATACGACTTGCCTGCTTGGGCTCCTCGCCGCGATGAGCCTCACTGGTCTCGTTTCTACAAATCTGGAGATTTAGCTTCGTATAATCCTGACGGCACTATTGAGTTCGCTAGTAGGAAAGATACCCAAGTGAAGATTCGTGGTCTTCGAGTGGAATTAGGAGATATTGAGCACCATGTTCGCAGTAATCTCAAATGCGCTCGTCAAGTTGCGGTTGATGTTTTCAAGACCGATGTCAGCACAAGACTGGTTGTTTATTTCTGTCTCTCGGACGATGTCAACAACTTTCATTCTGATGAGGGCATCTTCCTCCCTATGTCCGAAGAGCTTGAAAAACACCTTGCCGATATGGTTAGTCAGCTCACTGTTTCGCTGCCTCGCTACATGGTGCCTTCATTCTTCGTCCCTTGCCGCTACATGCCCATCGTCACTTCTGGTAAGCTGGATAGGAACAAGTTGAAGAAACTTGTTTCTGGACTCAGCCAAGAGGATTATGGCGCTTACTCTTTACGCGATGGTAACAAACGTATGCCTGAGACTGAAATGGAGAGACGCCTGCAAGAACTGTGGTCTGTCATATTACATATGCCGAAAGAAGATATCGGATGCGATGACAACTTCTTACAAATTGGCGGCGACTCTATTGCTGCTATCCAGCTCGTTACCAAAGCCCGTGAGGCCGGCATCTCAATCGCTGTCAAAGATATATTCAATGATCCTCGTCTCTCGAAACTTGCTCTAGTAGCGAATAACTCTAGCGACACAAGTTCATTGCTCGTTGCGCCTTTCAGTTTGCTCAACGAATCTATTTCCAAGGCTGATATCATGGATGTGGTTAGAGAAGAGTGTAATCTTGCTGGAGATGATCTAATAGATGATGCCTACCCTTGTACACAGCTACAAGAAGGACTTATGGCTCTCGCAATCAAGCAACCCGGATCGTATGTTGTTAAAAACGTCTATCAACTTCCTGATCACGTTGATGTGAAGAGATTCCGTGCTGCCTGGGAGCTTACTGTCAAGAGTTGCACCAATCTCCGCACCCGCATCATTCTCGTCAACGGCGTCGCCATTCAAGCCATTCTTAACGATGACATTGCTTGGGATGATACTACTAATGTTTCGCTTGAGGCCTATGCTCGCGCTACACTTCATCTTGAAATGGGTTATGCCCAGCGCCTTTACCGCTATGCTATCATCGAAGAAGAAAGCGGAACCTATTTTGCATTTAACATTCACCATACAGTCTTCGACGGCTGGTCTCTTCCTTTACTGATGAGCACACTATCTGCGGCGTATTATGAGCTTGAGCTGCCTTCTCTGCAGTCTTATTCTGCATTTATCAAGTACACAACCGAACTCGACAACAACGCCGCTTCCGATTACTGGAAGCTGCAGCTCCAAAACGCCAAACGCGCAAGCTTCCCGGCCCCCAGCGACAAGTCCAGCTCTTCGGAGACACGTTTCATGCACAAGACGATTGAGTTCCCTAATACCAACACGTCCATCACTAAGGCCTCGATTCTGCGCGCTGCCTGGGCTCTCATCCTTGCACGCTACTCTGAAAGCGATGATGTATGCTTTGGTGCAACAGTATCGGGTCGTCATGCCAACGTAGCTGGTCTTGAAGCTATGCCTGGCCTGGTGGTCGCTACCGTCCCTGTTCGTATTCGCCTCGATCGACAAAAGACTTTGAAGTCTTTCCTTCAGGATATCCAAACTCAAGCTTCCGACATGGTTGATTACGAGCAATTCGGTATTCAGAATATTTCTAAACTGGGATTAGATGCCAAGGACGCCTGCGACTTTACGTCTCTCTTGGCTATCCAACCAGTTCAGCATATGAGCGCCGATAGCAACAATGACAGCCGTCAAGATGCTCTCGTCGTTCCAGCTAGTTCTCCTCACGTTAAAGCCGAAGACATGTTGCAAAATTACTTTTCATATCCTCTAGTTATCCAGTGTCACCTCTACGACAACCAAGTTAACTTGGTTCTTGCTTACGACTCCAATGTCCTTGAGGAAACTCAACTGGGTGCGCTTACACATCAGTTCGACCATGTGGTCCAACAGCTCCTCACTCAGAACGAGGAGCCACTGGGCGATGTGAATATTGCCGGTCCTTGGGATCTCCAACAAGCTGTAAAGCTCAACAGCAAGCAACCTGAAGTTGTCCAAACATGCTTGCATGATGTGTTCGCTGAACATGCCTTGCGCGATCCAATTCACGAAGCAATATATTCTTCTGAGGGCAGCCTTACCTATGGCGAGCTGGATCATCTATCCGATATCCTTGCCACACATCTCAGTTCTTTGGGTGTTGGTCCAGAAATAGTAGTACCTTATTGTTTTGAGAAATCGATGTGGGCTGTTGTTGCAATTTTGGCAATTCTCAAGGCTGGAGCTGCATTTATGCCTCTTGATCCGTCACACCCCATCAGCCGCCGCGAGGAATTGGTCAAAGAAGTCAGCGCTCGAGTGCTTATTGCGTCTCCGAATGCTGCCATCTCCTGTGCAGGCATGGCCGAGAACGTTGTTAAGTTGTCACCAAGTATGATGACCAGACTTTCGGCCTCTGTTGTCCTCAAAGCCCTCCCTAAAGTTAGACCAAGAAACACTGCGTATGTTCTTTTCACTTCGGGCTCGACTGGTAAGCCCAAAGGCATTGTTATGCAGCATTGCTCTTTCAGCTCAACTACCGTTGCATACGCCAAGGTTTATGATATCGGGCCATTGTCAAGAGTTTTCCAATTCTCCAACTACATCTTTGATGGTAGCTTGGGTGAGATTTTTGGCCCGTTGGCTACCGGAGGCACTATTTGCATACCTAATGAGGACGAGCGTCTTCAGAGTGCCCCTGCCTTTATGCGTGCGGCCAAGGTGAACACGGCTATGCTGACTCCATCCTTTGTGAAAACCTTTACGCCAGACGACGTACCCCATCTGAAGACGTTAGTCTTGGGTGGTGAAGCTGCTTCCAAGAACATTTTGGAAATGTGGGTTGACCGCGTCACTCTCTTCAATGGATACGGACCTGCTGAGGCCTGCAACTACGCGACGATACATCAATTTAAATCCAGTTCGGAGTCTCCTCGTGTCATTGGATCTAGCTTCAACGGAGCTTGCTGGATTGTCGAGCCTGACAACTCTCACAAGCTTACGCCTATAGGTTGTACAGGCGAGCTTGTTCTTCAAGGCCCGGCTCTTGCGCGTGGTTATTTGAATGATAAGACGAAGACGGACGAGTCTTTTATCACTGAAGTTGGGTCTATACCATCTTCTCTCTTGCCTAATCTGCACAGATTCTACCTCACAGGAGATTTAGTCCGCTATACTTCTGCCGGTGAATTAGAATATCTAGGTCGAAAAGACTCGCAAGTTAAACTGCGAGGTCAACGCCTTGAGTTGGGTGAAATCGAATATCATATTACTCGGCTACTCAAGAACGCAGAATATGCCGCCGTTGACGTTCTTCATCGAGATAATGGCGATTCACTTGTTGCATTTGTCTCGTTTACCGATGACGGGAAAGCCAATTGGATGCCAGATGAATTGTCACTCAATTTGCTTCCTTCCGATGACACCATCAGGCCCGTCCTCGATAACTTAAGAGAAGGTTTGAAGGCCGTTCTTCCTGGCTATATGGTGCCAAGCGTCATCTTGCCCCTTCATTGCATGCCTTTCATAACATCAATGAAACTTGACAAGAAGCAGCTTCTTTCTCTTGCCAACAGCCTCTCTATTGAAGATCTATCTGCTTTTTCAGCCTCACAAAGAGAAATGGTTGAGCCTGCGACCGAGCTTGAATTTAAGCTGCGAGACCTGTGGGCGCAGGTGCTTGGAGTTGAGGCCAGCGAAATTGGTCGCAATGACGCCTTCCTTGACATCGGCGGTGACTCCATTACCGCAATCCATCTCGTCACTGCCGCACAGAAAGCCGAAATCAACATCACTGTTGCCAAAATCTTTGCTGATTCCAGGCTATGCGCCCTGGCAGCCTCTGCGCAAATCGGTTTCATCGCCAAGACCTTACAAGCTGAGCCTTTCTGCATGCTCTCCGGCAATAACATTGACGAGTTAACTATCACGGCTCAAAGATTGTGTCATTTGCCCAACTACTTTACCTTGGAAGATGCCTTCCCGTGCACGAGTTTACAAGAAGGCCTTATAGCTATTGCAAACAAACAGCCCGGGTCTTACATCGCCAAGCATGTCTACCAACTTGCTCCACATGTAGATATCGCTCGCTTCAAAAGCTCTTGGGAACGTACCGTTGAAGCTAGCAGTAACCTACGCACCAGGATCATCTTAGTTGACAACAAGCACATCCAAGTGGTTGTGAAAGATGATATCTCATGGGAATCTGGCTATGATCGTAGCCTGGAGTCATACATCCGCGCGTCTCGGACTTTCGATATCAAATATGGTTCTCGACTCTGCCGATATGCGCTTATCCAAGACGAAGACACTGGTCATAATTTCTTCTCTTTAAGCATTCATCACACCATCTTCGATGGCTGGAGCTTGCCTCTCATTATGGGTACTCTAAATGGCTTCTACAACAATACTGCGGTTCCTACACTTCAACCTTATGCTGGATTCGTCAAGTATACTCTTGACCTTGACGAGAATGCTGCTATCAAGTATTGGGCTGGACAACTATCCGGAGCTAAGAAGGCTTCTTTCCCAGCTACCAAAGAGCTTGTCGGCTCCGATGCCGCAAAATCGGCTTCCCAGTTCTTAAACACGGCAATTGAGTTCCCACGCTCGACAAATTCATCTATCACTAAAGCCACAATTCTCAGGGCGGCCTGGGCTATTGTTCTTGCTCGTTATTCCGATAGTGAAGACGTCTGCTTCGGCACAACCGTGTCTGGCCGCCATGCTTCAATTCCGGGCCTTGAAGCTACCCCCGGTTTAGTCGCTACTACTGTTCCTGTGCGGATTCGTTTGGATAAGCAGCAGTCAATAGCTCGATTCCTCAAAGACGTGCAGACACAAGCCTCTGACATGGTTGAATACGAACAATTTGGCCTTCAGAACATATCCAAGATCGGCGCTGAGTTCAAAGATGCCGTCGATTTTAGCAGCTTATTGGCTGTTCAGCCTATCCAGCATATCGGATCAACGGGTGATAGCACTGAAACGCCTCTCTTGGTTCCTGCCAATTCCGAACTTTTGCGTGCTGAAGAAGTCCTCCAAAACTACTACAACTACCCTCTGGTCGCCCAATGCCACATATATGATGAGATGGTCAATCTAATGTTCATCTACGACCCGAGTGTATTATCCGAGTACCAACTTCAAGCTCTTTCGCACCAGTATGATCACGTTGTGCAGCAGCTTCTGACGCGTGGCGAAGATACCATTGGAAGCCTATCTATGACCAGTCCTTGGGACCTTCAACAAGCTCTAGAGTGGAATACCGACGCTCCTGAACTTATCGAGGCCTGTGTGCACGATCTGATTTCCAGCAATGCTCAACGCACTCCCGACCATGAAGCAATATATTCATCCGATGGTAGCATGACATACGCTGCTTTCGATAGCCTCACAGACGTGTTAGCTGGTCACCTTTGCGAACTTGGCGTTGGTCCTGAGACAATTGTCCCTTACTGCTTCGAAAAGTCCATGTGGGCAGTCGTCGCTATTGTTGGTATTCTTAAAGCAGGCGGCGTCTTTGTTCCTCTGGACCCCTCGCATCCTATAAGTCGTCGGAAAGCCCTTGTTCAAGAAGTTGGTGCGCAAATCATTGTCGCATCGCCAGAGTCAGCTGCGTCTTGCGCTGGCCTAGCTCATAAAGTTGTCGAACTCTCATCCGACGTTATGGCTCGACTATCGGTTCCCGGGAAGCGCCTCACCGAGCCCAAACGGCCTCGTCCAAGTAACGCAGCGTACGTGATCTTCACGTCCGGCTCGACTGGTAAGCCAAAGGGTATAGTGATGGAACATTCCGCGCTTACAACGAGTACTATTGGCTACGGTCGTGTCTACAACTTAAGCCAAGCATCACGCGTGTTCCAGTTCTCCAACTATATCTTTGACGGCAGCTTGGGTGAAATACTTGCTACGTTGGTATTTGGCGGGACTGTCTGCGTGCCTGACGAAATTGAACGTTTACAGGACGCTCCGGGATTTATTCGCAAGGCTCGTATTAACACTGCCATGTTAACGCCTTCCTTTGTCCGCACATTTACACCAGACCAAGTCCCGAGCCTCAAGACTTTAATCCTTGGCGGCGAGCCAGCCGGTAAAGATATCATAAGTTCTTGGTGCAGTCGTGTAAAGCTCATCAATGGATATGGACCTGCCGAAGCATGCAACTATGCAACTTGGCACCCGTTCTCGTCCAACAACGATTCACCACATATCATCGGAAAGCCGTTTAACAGCTCTTGTTGGGTTGTGGAGGCCGATAATCACCATTTGCTCGCCCCTATAGGCTGTGTTGGTGAACTCGTCATTCAGGGCCATGTGCTTGCTCGCGGATATATTAATGATTCGGAAAGAACTGGAAACTCCTTTGTTACCGAAATTTCTTCTCTTTCCACAGCAGCCATTACCGGTCCTCAGCGTTTCTATTTGACAGGTGATCTAGTAAGATACTGCGCAGACGGTTCGCTAGAATACCTTGGCCGTAAGGACTCTCAAGTCAAGCTTCGTGGTCAGCGTATCGAACTCGGAGAAATTGAGTATACCATTCAGCGAGCTCTGCCCGATATTGAGCATGTGGCTGTTGATATCATCACCAGGGAATCTGGACAATCGCTCGTTGCTTTTGTCTCATTCTTGGGCACTTACAACGACAACGGTGTAACCAGTTTTTCGGACAATCTTATCGAACCGAGTGATGCTCTTCGTACCGCTAACGCTACTCTACTTGACAATCTTAAAGCTGTCCTTCCCGGATACATGGTGCCTAGTCTTATCCTGCCTATCAGAAAGATGCCTTTTATCACTTCCATGAAGCTTGATAGGAGCCAGCTGCGAAAGCTCGCAAATACTCTGTCGACCGAAAACCTTGCCATATTTGCTCCTGGCAAGGCAGACAAGATTGAGCCAACAACCGATATGGAATTCAAGATACGCAATCTCTGGGCTCAAATTCTTAAAATCTCTCCCGAAGAGATTGGCAAAAACGACAGCTTCTTGCAAATTGGAGGAGACTCCATCTCGGCTATTCACTTGATCTCCTTGGCCCAAGAAAATAATCTTCAACTCACTGTCGCTTCAATATTCGCCGATCCTAGACTGTCCGCAGTTGCTCTCTCTGCTCGTCTAGGCAAGCTCGAGGATACCTACATTACGAAGCCTTTCAGCATGATACTGCCTTCTGAGCGTGATACAATCATCAGTGAGATCGAGAAGCAATGCACTTTATCCGCGCACCAGTCAATTGAAGATGCCTATCCAACTACGAAGCTACAAGAAGGACTTATATCATTGTCTGTCACGCAGCCTGGCTCATATACCGCCAGATATGTATACCGCATTCCTGAGCACGTCAGTATTGAGCGATTCAAGGCCGCTTGGAACAAGACTGTCGAGGTCTGCCACAATCTCCGCACTTCCATCGTTCTTGTTGGTCGTACAACTATTCAAGCTGTCATCAAGGACAATTTGGAGCCACTATGGGAGTCAACTGCCGGTGTTTCGTTACACTCTTATATGCAAAACGCAATCCCTGCCTTCAACATGGGCTATGGTACACGTCTCTGCCGCTATGCTATCATAGAAGATGGCAGCAATCACTACTTTGCATGGCATATTCACCACTCGGTTTATGATGGTTGGACATTTCCCATTATCATGAGCACTTTGCACGCCGCGTACGCTGGCACCGAAATGCCTCCTTTGCAACCGTTTGCTCGCTTCGTGAAATACACGACAAGCATCGACGAAAACGATGTTGCAGAGTACTGGAGACGCCAGCTTCATGATGCTCAACGTGCCTCTTTCCCAAGAGCTGATCAACTCTCGTCCACGGCTGTCAGCGGAGCCAACATAACCAAAGTATTGAATAAGTCCATCGAGTTCCCACGCACCACAAACACTTCTATTACCAAGGCCACAATTATCAGAGCCGCTTGGTCAATTGTCTTGGCTCAGTATTGCGATACCAATGATGTTTGCTTTGGTACTACCGTCTCTGGCCGTCAGGCGCCTGTTCCTGGCTTAGAGTCTATGCCTGGCCCCATGTTTGCCACAGTCCCTGTCCGTGTTCGTCTTGATAAAGAACAGCCTATATCGCGACTCCTACAGGATATCCAAATCCAAGCTTCCGAGATGGTTGCCTATGAACAATTCGGTCTCCAAAATATCTCTGCTTTAAGCCCAGATGCTAGGCAAGCCTGTGACTTCTCTAGCTTACTTTCCATCCAACCTGTTCAACAGCAAGCTGTTGATGAGAAAGCTACAGATAATGCAGATTCCTTTTTGGTATTTGACAATTCCGAGACTTCAGCCGAAGAGTCTATGCAAAACTTTGCAAGCTACCCCTTGGTTCTTCAAATCGCCATCATGGATAGTCAAGTTGAGCTGTTATTGATTTACGATTCTAGCGCTTTGACTGAGTTCCAAGCCACGGCAATCTCTGAGCAATTTAGCCATGTTGCTAGACAACTGCTAGCTCAAGATGAGACTCTGCTTGGTGATATAGACGTTGCCAGCTCTTGGGATCTCCAAAGACAACTTGAATGGAACGACAAGATCTATGGACCTGCAGACACCACTCTTCACGGACTCTTCTCGAAGCAAGCAACTCGCAGACCTGACCACGAAGCTATCTATAGTACTGAGGGATGTATGACTTACAGTGAACTTGAAGGCTTGACAAACCACCTTGCCGCACACCTGCATAGCCTAGGCATCCGACCTGAGACCATTGTTCCCTTCTGCTTCAAGAAGTCTATATGGGCAATTGTCGCCATGCTAGGCATTCTCAAGGCCGGTGGCACTTTCTTGCCGATGGATCCATCTCACCCAGTTAGCCGACGACAAGCCTTGATCGACGAGGTTGGCGCAAAATTCATGGTGGTATCTCCCACAACTGCCCCCGACTGCCAGGGCATGGTCCAAAACACGATTGAGCTTTCGCCATCTCTCATATCTCAGATCTCTGCCCACAATGCTATGAAACAGCCTGCTGTAGCCTCAAATCCCAGTCATGCCGCGTATATCCAGTTTACCTCAGGCTCGACTGGTAAGCCAAAAGGTGTCGTTATAGAACACAGGGCCATATCTGCTGCGTTCCTTAGGCAGGCAGATGCTTACGCATATAATGAAGATATGCGGATGCTGCAATTTGCCAACTATACCTTTGATGCTAGCATTGCTGAGGTATTCGCTTCGCTTGTTGTGGGTGCTACGATTTGCGTACCCACAGAGCACGAACGATTGCACAATACTGCGGCCTTCATTCGTGAAGCGCGCGTCAACTATGGCATCTTCACGCCTACTTTTATTAAAACGTTGTCACCGGAGCAAATTCCTGGAATGAAAACTCTCCTCAGTGTGGGCGAATCTATTTCAAAAGAGCTCATAGACACTTGGGCTGGCGAGATCGAGCTTCACAACGGCTATGGTCCAGCAGAAGCCTGCGTCGGTGCCACCAATTACACGTGCTCGCCTTCTATCACCACTTCTGCTACCCATGTTGGTCGCGGTTTTACCCACGGCCTGTGGGTTGTCAACCCCGATGACCATAACCGCTTGATGCCTGTCGGCTGTGTTGGTGAGCTGTTGCTGCAAGGCTCATGTTTGGCTCGCGGGTATATCAACGATGAAGAGAAGACCAGGCAATCGTTTATTGAACATACTGATTGGCTACCATCTGATATCAACATTGGCGAGCGTCGCTTCTATAAGACTGGTGACTTGGTTCGCTACACTCCAGATGGTTCAATCGAGTATATTGGCCGAAAGGACACCCAAGTTAAGATTCGCGGCCAACGTATAGAGCTCGGTGAGATCGAATACCAGATAAGGCGCTCCAACGCCACCAACGAACATGCTGTTGTTGATGTTATTCGAAAGGATGGTCATGAGTCTCTCCTCGCCTTCATTTGCTCTACTTCGCTTCAGGAAACTGAGAGTGCCTCTAATGAAGTATCCTTCACCAAGCTCACTAGCGAGCTTCAAAACACACTATCCGACATTGCTGCCAAAATCAGCTCCGTTTTGCCTGCACACATGGTTCCCAAATACTTCATCCCCATCGACCACATGCCTCATAATGCGTCAGGCAAATTGGATCGAAAGCTACTACTTGCGTCCATTGCCAACTTCACGACTGAAGAGCTTTCAGCCTATCTCACTGACCAACGTCTGCCTTTCCGTGACTGCTCTACCGACACTGAGCTCTGGATCCGTAACCAGTGGGCAGCTACTCTAGACCTGCCTGCCAAGACTATCAGCGTTGATGACAACTTCTATAGCCTTGGTGGTGATTCCATCCGCATTGTTACCATCTCCAAGGCTATCGTCAGCAAGTACGGCGTTACTCTTGGCATGTCTCTTCTCAACTCAAAGCACACTACGATTTCAAACATGGCCGAACACGTCACAAACGAGCTCGGTGGACAGGAAAGACAAGACATAGGTGGCGTTGATATCATTGGCGAGATTTCATCTCTTTCTCGTTCGATTTTGGACACTGGTGCCCTCAATCTCGCTGCCAACCCCAAGACCGAGTTACCTGACCAAGCCACCGTCTTCCTTAGCGGTGCTACTGGTTTCCTCGGCCAGGAGATTCTCAGACAGCTGCTTTGCAACAACAATATCGCTTCTGTCATCGCTCTGGTACGATGCAAGTCCATCGAACACGGCCTGGATCGTATCCGCAACACTGCCAAGATCGCTGGCTGGTGGCGTGAAGATTACGCAAACAAGATTGAGATTTGGAGCGGCGATTTAAGTAAGAAGCGTATGGATCTGACAAAGGCACAATGGGCACGCTTGGCTGGCCAATCTACTAACAATGTCGATGCCATCATTCACAATGGTGCCTTTGTCAACTGGAACGCCGATTATAACAAGATGCGTGCTGCTAATGTTGACTCTACTGTCGACCTTCTCAAAGCCGCTGTCAACTCTCCTGCCTCGCCCAAATTCCTCTTCGTCTCTGGTGGTGTCAGCGTTGATACTAGTACTGTCGATCGCACGATTATTGCGCAATACCTCGGCAACTCTAACGGCTACAGCCAGACCAAATTTGTCTCTGAAGGTGTTATCCAAGAGGTTGTCAACACTCTCCCCGCTGACCAGAATCGCATTTCCACTCTTAAACCTGGCCGCATCATCGGATCTTCAGAGACCGGTGTGGCCAACGTGGACGATATGCTGTGGCGTCTTGTTTCTACTGCCGCTTCTCTCCACTATTATCCTTCGGAATCAGAAGGTAACTGGGTCTCTGTCGTTGGTGTCGACACCGTAGCTACCTCGGTGCTCAACCAGATATACACCAAGGAGGGCATCGCTCCCTTCGTCAGCATCCAAGGCGGTGTACCAGCGACAGTTTTCTGGGATCTCGTCAACAAAGAGCTCAAAGTCCCTTGCGAGCCTATTCCCTTGGATGAATGGATTCACCGAGCCTTGGAGTCAATGAACGAAGTTGGTGAAAAGCATCCTCTATGGCCTGTGCAGCACTTCCTTGGTGCCGTCAGCACTCCTCGTAACCCTCTGGATGCCGAAGTTGAAGATTCTGAGCTTCGGCAACGATGCTTGGCTGTGACGATGAGTATGCAATACCTCATCAAGATTGATTTCATCCAGTCGTCGACAGAAGGGTTTTCTCAGCCTCGTCGCGCAGACACTTTCCAACGTATCCATGGCTAAGGCGCTTAGTGCTTTAACATTGGAGGGCCTGGAACTTTTCATATTTCTCTCTTTTCTATTTCTTTTCTTTTTAAGTTTCGTCTTTTTGTCTATTGTTTCACCTTTGGTGGATATTCAATCGTTATTTCTTCTTTGTTTTATAAAAACCAGATTGCAAGCTTACTTTCGCTAAACACATAAAATGTGTTTCTTCTTCTTAGATTAGTCTTCTAATTCAACTGTTTAAAAAATCACTTCTCATATCGCCTGATTATTCAATCAAGTGTAGTCAATGATGATAACTTAGTGTGACCCACCAAGAATAATCGTTCTCATAGATTCTCTTACTACGTGCATTATTACTATGAAACTAACTATAGGACAGAAATTATTCCCATGCGACCATTATCATTCTGGGGCTTCCAAAATCCCTTCTTCGACCACTTCAACTTTCACTTTCATGCCCCAAGGATCGTCTTTTCCTATCCAGTGCTTTTTCTTACCAACTCTTTGGATGACATTAACATTTTCCTCTAGCGCATGCTTGAGTTCTGCGGGATCGTCCTTCTTCTTCTGTATCGATATTGTCAACACCAATCCCTCCTTGTTCTTCTTTTTACCCAGGTTCCATGCCCACTCGGCAGAAAACACGACTCTGGGCTTCGCTGGGTCAATTTCTCCGGATGGGTACAGTCGAGTGATCATGTATCCGACCCTGCCCAAGTAAGTAGTCCACCACACTTCCTCTGGCGTAATTAGCGACCGCAGTGCGTCGCGGAATTCCATCTCCCTTGGCGGTAATTCTCCTCGGTACCGAGACTCCAGCATCAAGGCAAGTCGGGCACGGTCTTGATGCGAGACGCCGTGCGTAGACGACATAATCCCCACACTAGTTGAGTAAAGCGCAGTCGTCGATGCCGTCTCTTTGGACATAAACATATGCACGTATATAACATTGGCAAAGGAATCAATGACGTGCTCGCCGAATTCTTCGGGGAACCGTCTCGTCAGATTCTTGGAAGGTTTCGGAATGGCACGCTTGATCAATTCCTGGATGCTGAGGAAAGAAGGCGGCGCAAAGTTCATAGTTGCCACTTGCAATGGAGATTGTTCCCTGACGTCGGGAGAAAGAGTCCTGAATAAATATCCTTCTCGCACACCGCCCTGGCAGAAGTGAGCTTCCCTGATTCCATGAGGGATAGCCTCGGCCAAGACGTTGACCAGGAATGCCACTGCAGGAACTTGAGATCGTCGACGATCCGAAACTCGAAAGACGTCCTTTGCCGCTTTGGCTATGTTTTTCACCGTATCGGTATCTTCAAATTGTTCTCGGCCAACCGTGTACCCATTGATGATGGAGATTGGATAATGTTTGCCGTGAGACTGGTTGAGATAGAGCAGCAGATAGCCCCAGCCCCGAAATCCGCCGCCGGACAGATAGATGCGGAACCCTCCCTCTCGCTTAGCCTTATCGACCAAACTATCAGGGATTTGTAGATGGTTATAGGCATCCCTGAAGTTTTCCACCATTTCCTGTCGCAATCGGGCAATGGCAGCCTCTCCATCTTTCTTTCTCTTGCCCTTCTTCAAATCTCCCAACTGTCTGCTCAGAGCGGCTGCGCCATACGGAAAGCTAAAGCTTCCAAGAGGGCTGATTCGGATATGGCCTCCTTGGCTCACCATCCAGGTGATTTGTGTGCTGCCTCCTCCCAAATCCATGACAAGGCCGGCCAGGTTTCTGAACCCGCTCGCAATGCCCAGTGCGCCGATCTGGCCTTCCACTTCCTTTGGTAACATTTCTATGGATAGACCAGTCTTTTCTTTAATAATTTCCAAAAACTTGGCGGAATTAATAGCTTTGCGTGTCGCCTCGGTTGCAACAACATGAATGTTATTCCGATGAACTCCCATGTCGTTACAGACGATCAAGAAACGGTTAAAGACTGTGACTATGTCGCTGATGATTTCGTCTGGGATTGGAACCTGCTCTCCTGTCTCTGGATCGAACTGCGAGTCGTAAAGCGATATTCCAGATCGGTAAGTCAATACCGTCGGCAGGATACGTGCCATTGGGGCTGATAAGTCCGTAATAGAGAAACGAATACCATTACTAAGAAGCACGCCGCATTTGTTAGTCTGTAGGTCCTTAGACACACTTATTCATCACCGAGATAACCTGCCTTCCCATGTCCACAATCCCAACAAGCTTATCTCTGTGTCCCTCCCATGGTGGATGAGGCCTGTCTCTTCTTTCTCCAAGTGGGATCGCAGGTATCGCGGGCGTCATGAGGGCGCCCTTTGCTTCATCACTTGCTGCTTCATCATGTTCAAAATCTGAAATAATTCCCAGGTCTTCAAAATCCGATATACTCATGGTGACTTTCAGCTTTAAAATCATTGATCAGGTCGGGCAGTATTGTGCCAACTCCCATCTTCTACCCATCCGAGAATTCATTTCCCTTTATAAACACAGCTGAAGAGTCCAAAGCTTATTTCCAGACTCTCGCCATGGCTTCAAGCCTCAGTGACGTCACGCTGGAATGCTGAAGCCGCGAAAATTTACGGCATGAATCAACTGCGCGCAGTATCTTTACAGCTTGTCCCAATGTATTTCACCCACTTGTATATATATAATCACAATGAGCGGACTCATTTTGCCCGATACATTCGTTCATATCCTGCTGTCAGATTTTAATCGACTGAGCAAGATGGAGATTCAACGTGGACTCACAATTTCCAGACATCTCCATCTTAGGAATGCGCAATGCGGGGAACAAGCTTGAGTCCAGATTTGGCCTCGACCGAACTCTAACAGACCTCAGCTGTTGGTTGGATCAATGAGAAGCAGTTAATGTCATTTCCGGTATAATATGTTATTCGATGAGAGCAGAAGCCATTGAAAACTCAATATTCCCCGCCTTACACCAAACCCCATTAGCGGCTATCCAAGCTGGCCTGCTTCAGCATTCTTATTACCCTTTACGATAGCCTCAAGGAAGCAAAAAATGATTAACAGCATTTTAATCACAATCTCAAAAGTCAATTGCGGCATATGGCAGACCTTCAGCATGGCATCAGATGTTCTGACTCTGCTCTTGATGGGGATGTCGAAGAGCAGTCTCCTCTCTTACCGAGCTCGGATCCATGCCGGCGAGAATTGCGGATCTTATTAAGGATGCTCACTCCTGGCAGCTATTCCAATCTTCTTCTCATATTTATCCCCCTAGGGATAACTTATGGTGTTCAGAACAGGGCTCCGGAACTCATCTTCTGGTTCAATCTTCTAGCCATCATCCCGCTCTCAAAACTCAATCTTCGCAAGCTCCGCAGGCTGTCGTGCATGCTAGGCCCTTTGGGCGGTGGATTCTTGCACGCAATTCTGGATAATGCGCCATTGTTGATTGTATGTATGACATGTTGAATGCTAAATTTCGGTCAGGCTTGGCTCGATGTTCACCAGCTTCTAGGTAGGCATTGCAGCCATCCAACAGGGCGCAGCCCATATTGCGCAATCCTGCGTTCTCGGGAGTGTCTTGGCCAATCTTCTTCTTGTAAGCTCTGCCTGTCTCCTTCTTTATATCTACATATTAATTGACTCAAACAGGTTGTTGGGTGGTGTTTCTTGGTCGGGAGTATCCGCCACAGCGAAATGATATTTAATACCACGTTTGCATCAACAGCGTCATCTCTGATGATCGTCGCCTCAACGTCACTTGTGGTTCCGTCTGCCATTTCCGAGGTGCAGTGCAGGACCGACGCCGATTGTGAAGATGACCTGGTGCGAATGTCGCGCTCCGTTTCTATAGCTCTCCTTTTTCTTTTCGTTATATATCAGCACTACCGGTGGCGGTCTCACCGATGGCTATTCTTGGAAACCGCACCCTCTGAACCATACAATGAACACGCTATAAGTCATATATTTCTAGGCATCGTTGAGGGATTGCTTCTCATCTCGGTTCTTGGACTTTCCTCTCTGTCCGCCTACTTTCTCTTGCGGACACTAAGCTCAGTAACAGACTCTGACTTCATCAGCGGCAAGACAGTCAGCTTCGTCCTCTTACCGCTGGCTACCGATGGACCAGCTCGAGTGGAAGCCATTGTGGCGGCATATCGAAATAGTATGACGACAGCTTTGGAATTTGCAATCGGCCGAAGCATGAACGCCGCCTTGTTCATTACTCCCACGCTGGTCCTCTTCTCATGGGCAGCTCAGTCCAATGACCCCATGACTTTACATTTTCCAACTTTGGAGACTATTTCCATTTTTCTGGGTACGCTACTAGTTGCTGAGCTGTGTCGGGATGGTAAAAGCAACTATCTGGAGGGCGCCATGTGTCTCGTCACGTAAGCTTCACCCCAAATTCTCAGAACGCTACGCTTGGTCGTTGTATCTAACAATTCGACTTTTAGGTATATGATATTGTCGTTTTCTTTCTAGTATTCAAGGCAAGGATCACAATGCTTGAATTCCAAGGCATTTACGCAAGAGTTGCTGAATACATGCTCTCCTATATCTATCTATAACAGGGCCATGTTCTCAATGATGCTTACAAACACGCAAAGCAGGCGCATAATGATGTTTGTGGATCAAACACTCTTTCAAGCATAGCCATTATTGAACATGATATATGCCATCGTTCTATCTAGCTTGCTTACGGGCGCTTGTGAGACTGCTCCAGAACGAGGCTCCAGCTGAGCGCACCCTGCGCCCTGCAGAATACATGTACAAGTATGTAGTGATCGTTCCACCTGAAACAAGCCATCTTCCAGACCGGCAGTTCCCGATTTGTGATCACTTCGTGTTACATTTTACCAGAATAGGCGATGTACTAGTTCTATGAGGGATGGAATCAGCGCAATTCAATAATTCGACTTGGTGTTCTCGGCACAGAGAAAGAGGCGTATTTACGGCGTCACTAGTGTACATAGTGTCACTGCTAGCATCTCGCTCCTCTGTTAATCGATGGCAGTTTGCCTTCTAGAAAGCAACCAGAGGCGCTAGAAGTTGGAAATTAGTTCAGGTCTGCTTGAAGGAGGAATCAAACGCGGCTTTACGCGGCTTTGAGTAGATTGTCCGTGCATGAAAATTGGCAACCCAATCCCGGACTAACATATCCAAGATAATCCAGCCAGCACTGCCTCACGCGGTAATAGCTTGAGATGAACCATACGTATCTATTTGATACAAACATGCGCCTGTAGTCTCTCATCAAGGCAGCGGAATTGCAACTCAACAGTCTGTTGCCCACGGCTTGGAACCCAGTGGTGGCTAATCACAAAAAGACAACCTCCTGCAAGGGGCAGCAAACATGAAGCTGGCTCAGCTCACCTGTGGAGTACTGCATGAATGTGGATGCCAGTTATCAAAACTGTAATCTCTGGATGCCATCGGTTGCGTGACGTTAAAACTTGCCGGCAGAGAAGATAAGCTGAACAATGTCCCGTAGCCAACCTACGCGCCACAGTGTCACTGAAGCCCGCACCTCTAAAATGAGGCATTTTGCCCTCATCCATCTCAGCACAGGTGCCCATATCGGTAAAAGCTTTGAGGGCCCAACCTCCCGTGGGCTGATAATGGCCCCATGTCCAACTTGCGCTCCTATTTCCCCAACCTCGCCTCCCAGATTTTTGCTTGGAGTTCGTCGAACGCTCCGTACTTGGACTTGGGGAAACCTGGGGAATAAGGGGAAGAGGCTTTGCGACAGTCGAATCACAGAACTAGTGCCAGCTTCTAGAATTCTTCTCCATCAGACGGACCGCCCAAGTGGATCAGAAGGGCGGCGAAAAGGATCTCAGTGGCTGAGAGCCAGTTTTTCACTCTAACTTGTGCGTTTTGGCGACTTGAAGATGCTACGGTTGCTGCTTAGACTGGAAGCCATCCGTGGTCATAGCGGGCTCACGCGCCTGTTTGCGTTTTGCTGGCAACGATACGAGGCAGACTCCCGGCCGGCGGCGGCTTTTATCGGCTTGGTCCCTTGATGGTCCTTGGTTCCTCAATAGCTTGCGCAGCCTGGCCAACAGGTGAGGCGAATATGCACAACGTCTGTCCTGTGGAGCCTTCTTGCCTTCGGCTTCTTTCCTTCCTCTCGAGCGATAGCCGGGCTCGGAATACTGCAAGCATGAGGCTAGCATATGACAGTTGTCTTGGCTATTGGTAGCCTCTTCTCCATGGAGCGAGCTGACCAGCGCTGAGAGCAGCGATGAGGCCATGAAGATCAGATCTTGCTGGCAATCTGCACATCAGGCCATGGGCTGTGATGTAGCACTCGATCCTATTGCTACACTACAGCCACTGTCAAGTAATCACGACGGGCCATGATGCCAGAGACAGAGAACAAACCGACGCGGGCCTCGCTCCGTGAATGTAACAGCTGCGGACCCAAGTGGGTTTCACTGAAAAGCTCCAGGATCATCTTTGTACGTAACAGTTCGAGGTGGAGACTCGTTGCGCGCAACTGAATCATGTTCCTCCCACCCTAATCGCTCTCTCCGCATCTGCTTCCCCGTCTTCGCTTGCGAGCAGGAAACAGAGATAAGGATCTTGAGTCAGGCCTCTCGGTCCAGAAGCTGCCTTGTAAGAAGCTTAAATGTACCAGTACACTCACAAGCCGCGCATCTTTGACTCGATGAGACGCTGCAAGATGCAAACAAGGCACACCACTAAATGCATCCGATGCGACCATGTGATCTGATGGAAGGAAACTCTTTTTTCTCCAACCGAAGCGCGTTCTGGAAATTTTCCACGCATGGGTAGCGCCACAGGCACAAGCCCGAGGAGAAGAAAAACCTTCTTTTCGCCTGCTTGGGCTAGAAGGGAGGGAGAAACGGAAAAGAGGCTTGCGCTGGGATGAATCCAGATAAGCAAATGGGACTCGGGGAGATAAATGCCGACGCCACGCCGTGTACTGGTACCTGGAGAGCGAGAAGTGGCTGCAGAAACGCGCACGAAGCAGGATTTGCATTGCAGCCGCAAAAGCAATATCTTGAAAACGAAAGATAGGCTGCTCGTATCTTTGATTAAACTCGTACGGTTTGAGGCGAGATTCCACTTCGTGATAACCAAAACTCGGTCGACGTCTTCTCCACATGTTCCCTCGATACCTCCATCGCTGAAGAATCCCCCCTGGCTCTGGATGTACCTGTACCTGCTTCCTCCCACACAGGTGTCCACTACCATAATCCCCCCCGCAGCCAGCTATCCTGCAAACAGCTAGCAGAGGCGTCAATGTGCCGGGGATCTGCTCTTTAGGGCGTCTTTAGGGCCTCAAGATACTGGAGCAAACGATAAACAAGCGGTGGTTGCCGCATTCGCTCTTTGCGCGCAGTGCTATATCTAGACCCTGCAGCCTCGGGTTTGTTTCTTCTCTTTTCTGCTTTTGTTTCTCCCTCATACGCTTTCTCTTCTTCTCCTTTGCCTTGTCCATCACTCACAATTGTGAGCAAAGTCGTCGCCATGGAGAAAAAATCCAGCTCTGGGCCCGACGAGGCCTACGACATCAACATCGAGGCCAGCTCGCCAATTGACAACAACGACTTCACTCTGGCCCACGATGGCGAGCAGCTCAAGCGTGGTCTCAAGAGTCGTCATCTGCAGTTCTTGGCCCTGGGAGGCGCCATTGGAACTGGTCTCTTTGTCGGTTCCGGTGGCATTCTCGCTGATACTGGCCCTGCACCGCTCTTCATGGCCTACATGTCCATGTCCATCATCGTCTGGATCGTCATGAACGGCCTGGCCGAAATGACGGTCTATCTACCGTTTAGAGGCGTCACCATCCCTTACTACGTCAGCCGATACGTCGATTCCAGCTTGGGCTTCGCCGCGGGATGGAATTACTGGTATGCCTACACAATGCTCGTTGCGGCAGAAGCTTCCGCAGCAGCCATTGTGATAGACTATTGGAAAGCCCATGTCAATGTTGCCGTCTGGATCGCCATTATCCTCCTCGTCTTGTTGGCGCTCAACTTATTCGCCGCCGCCATTTTCGGAGAGGCAGAATTTGTCTTTGCGTCTATCAAGCTGATCGCCCTGTTTGTTCTCTGCATCATTGGTATTGTCTTGTTCTTTGGCGGTGGCCCAGACCAACATCATGTTCTCGGCTTCCATTACTGGAACGATCCCGGAGCCTTTGTAGAATACAACGCCAAGGGGTCGACTGGCCACTTTTTGGGTTACTGGCACGCCTTTGTCAAAGCTGGTACGTTTTGTCTGTTTCCACGGATATTTTGTCCATATTTTGTACGGTTCACTGACAATAGAAATTTCACAGGTTTTGCCTTTATTACCAGCCCAGAGTTGATCGCGATCGCCGCTGGAGAGGCTGTTTCCCCCCGCCGAAACCTCAAGAAGGCCGCTCGTCGCTTTGTTTTCCGCTTGACATTGTTCTACGGCGTATCCTCTCTCATCATCGGCATCATCGTCGCTTCGAACGACCCAAGGCTCCTCGGAGCCTCTGACGCCAGCGCTTCGCCCTTTGTCATTGGTATCCAGAATGCAGGCATCCCAGTGTTGAACCACATCATCAACGCCGTCATTCTGACTTCCGCCTGGTCTGCTGGAAACTCCTTCCTCTACTCTGCCAGCCGAGTGTTATATTCCATGTCAATCAGCGGCCAAGCCCCCAAGGTATTCGCTCATACGAATCGATGGGGCGTCCCCTACGTGGCTGTTCTCTTTACCTGGGTCTTCACTCTTCTCGCTTTCCTCAATGTCAGCAACTCTGGCGCTACGGTCTTCAACTGGTTTGTCAATATTTCAACCATTTCTGGCTTCATTGCGTGGATCATCATCTTGGTTACCTATCTTCGCTTCCGCAAAGCCATCATCTTCAACAACCTCTTGGGAGAACTACCGTACAAGACGCCTTTCCAGCCATATACCACTTATTTTGCGCTCTTCATCATTTCCCTTCTCACCCTCACAAACGGCTTCCAAATTTTCATCGGAGATAACTGGAACGTGAGCGATTTTATTGCTGCGTACATTACTCTGCCCATCGTTCTCGTGCTTTATCTCGGCCACAAGATCTGGAAGCGCACTTCCTTCTGCATCAAGACATCTGAAGTCGATGTCATTACGGGTAAGAAGGAGATGGACGAAATGGAAGCGATGGACCAGCCTCCTGTACCCAAGAACTGGCTACAGAAGGTCTGGTTCTGGCTGGCGTAAATAAAGGTGCGAGACAGAGGTGGTTTTGTAGATCGCGTTGCTATTTCTGATTGTATATACTGTTAGCTCAAGATTTTCAGCTCTTGATTATATGACTTCTTGATAGATACCCAGTCATGACTTGGATGAGGGTTGCGCTGATGAAAATGATTAAATATTCTAAACTACTCATATTCCCGATTCCCATCTCAACTGGCTTTGTGATTCGAGCAAGGTACCCAATCATTTGCTACCATGGATCTTGGCGAAAAGAGTGTGGTTCGGCCGAGGTAGTTCTTGAAGTCTGCAAGTAGGTAGAGTCAGGAGGTTCTGGTAGCTTGTGAAGGGGGAAGAAAAAGCACAGAGCTTCTCCCAATGGAATAACAATTTCAATGAGTAAGAAGAGAGTAATTTTAAGAAGAAAAAATGACATCGCGTTGGGGCATCTGCTACCTAGGTATACATACCTAATCAACTTTCTAGACGATTTGCGGCTTACACCGGCTACAGCCTAAGAAACAGTATGAAGCAGTAAAGCACTCAACACCATTTTGGAGAATTGGTCTCATTTAAATATTTAACTCAAATAAATCATACTGCTATGTAACCGAGCACTATTTATATTAACTTGAAACGATATATATCTGTCGGGCGCAATTGGTCAGCTCTACGCTACCACTGCCTGTTGCCCGATTGGGCCATTGCCCAAACATGGCGTGCATGCGTTGGTCAGCCAATGACATCACTGAAGATATTTTGGGCAAATGCTGCCAACGGCTTAGTTGTGCCGATTGTGCCATTGCAGCAATTCTGTTCAGCATTGGCATCTTGTATACTAGGCCTAGTATCTTCTGAATAGTAGATATTTATGGCCATTGAATTTGTCCGAGTCTAGGAACAGAATTTGTAATCTGAGCAAGCTATAGGCAAACCATGCTGTGAAGCTCTTGGATAACTTTGTATGTCTTTGGTCATGGCAAGCTTCTTCTATAAGTAGCCCTATTTCTCTCGATGAAATAGTCCGAGTCATTCTACAATACTGCACTCAATAGCTATCTTTCCAGACAACTTAATTACACAATTAAAGACGAATAACTGCCTTATTCATATATACCTCCAACACGCCAACATGTCAACTCCCTTTGAATCAGAGATCCTCGCAGCCAATGCTAAATATGCTAGCACCTACACGCATAGTGGCCTTGAATGCCCTCCTAAAAAGAGAGCCGTCCTTAGTAAGTACTCTTCAGTTTGAAATCTAAAAGTCCATTCAAACTAACCCTTATCCTCAGTAACATGCATGGATTGCCGTCTTGATCCCAAATCAGCCCTGGGTTTCGAGCTTGGTGAAGTAACCACGATTCGAAACGCCGGTGCATCAGGCCTAGATGCGGCGCGCTCAGTACTCCTCACTACACACGTTTTGGGTGCTCAAGAGATTCTTCTCATCAAGCATACTCGATGCGGTTTGCTGGGCGTTCCTGAAGAAGCAGTTCGTGGAATGATGAAGAAGAACCTGGGAGTGGAAGAGTCCAAGGAGGTAGACAACTTTGATTCCCTGACCTTTTTCGATTTGTAGGCGTCTACCCGGGAAGAAGTGGAACATCTTCGCAAGCACCCTCTTTGGCTGAGCAAGATCAAGGTGACGGGCTGGATTCAGGATACTGATACTGGCGTTCTGAAGAAAATTGTGGAGTAAATGAAACTTGGGGATTATATCCAAGGAACGAAATAGCAAATAGCGTTACAAGGGATTATGCTAGTTAGATACATCAAACAGAGCAATATTGATGATTAATTGCATTTTGCAACCCTACCATTAACATTTATCTCGACCAAATTCCAGTCTCGTATCTCCACGAGGCAGAAAGCAAAAGGTGCAAGTAATCTGTTCTCCTAGTATTACTTCAAGTCAGGTACAGTCTGCTTCCAACTTGTAAAACATGTGCATAGCCCGACTAGAATGATTACAAACGAGGCTAAAACCTGGATAAGCAACTGCAACGCAACTATCTACCCTCATCTGTGGTAGCGTACAAGTCCTAGGACTATCACTCATGTGCTGCAGGTTGCTTTCTAATTCATATATCCCATCATTGATCTGTCTAAAGCTTCTAATGCTGACGCACAAACTAACAAATATCCGCCCTCTATTTGACATGTTTGCTCCATTGTCTAATTCGAGGCCCCCAGTAAAACAGCGAGAACGGAATGGGAATCAGCACGACACTCAGTATCCCAAGCAGCGTTAAAGCCCATGCAACGCCGAGATTTTTGTACATGGGAATGCCCACCTCCACCATTCCACCGGCAACTAGATACCTCGTAAAAGTTACGAAAACTAGCCCACTGGCAGCTAGCTGTTCATAGGTATAAATGATGTACTGATAGCTGCTGATGAAAACGCATAGAATGCCAAACCCGAGGAGCGCGGATGCCGCGATGGCGGACCAACACGATATTGACGCCCTGGTCGTCCACGCCATCCAGAAAAGTCCAATTGGGATTGTAGGTGCGCCAATCATGGCGAACCAAAGTCGAGATTCAGGGCTGAGGCCGCCGTCTCTTTGAATAAGCTTCCTTGAATGGATGGTGATTGGTATTGCCGTGGCCAAAGTCAACAAGAAACCAACGCCTAATCCGAAGAATGAAAGCCCCCGTTCAGCCAGGCTAAATCCGTATGTGTCTGTGAAAATGAAAGTATAGCCAGGTAGAAACGTGAAGATGACAATGTATAGCACAGAAAGATATACCGAAATCATAATAATGATTGGTTCGGAATAAGACAGCTGCACCGGTCGATAGAGAGCAGGGCCAATTTTAGCTTTGAATCTCTGAAGTCCAGACACCTGTTCTGTTTCCCCAATAATTCCGGCTGAGAAAACCTCTCCATCCCCCGAGGCAACTTTCGCAATGGCAGCGGCAGTCTGCCATTCACGTAGCGTTGGCGCAAATGTTTCGGGTTGAAAAAGCAAGACCAGCAGGAGAACAGCACCCGAGAGAACCAACGTGCTCCATTCCACCCATCGCCAGCCCACGATCCTGCTGTCCGCAATAAGTCCTCCAATGGCTGGTCCAACCGCCAAGCCGAAAAATCCTCCTGTGGCGTAAATCGGGAAGATGTGAATTTGGTCGACTGGATCCCACAAGTCTGAGACGGTGCCGCCAGCGCAAACAAGCGGAGTACTACCAAACATGCCAGCAAGGAACCTCAAAGCAAGCTGGGCGCCAATATTTGGTGCCAGACCCGCTCCCATTGTGCATAGCATGAACAGTACAAAGCTGATTATATAGACGGGATTTCGACCGGCGATTTCGGACAGGGGGCCAGCAATTGGAGCGCCAACCCCAAAACCAACGAGAAACAAGCCTTTTATTATAGTTAGAAGCAAATTTCAAGTATTGATTATTTATTCGAGCTGGGGTTCGGAGACAAACCTGTTGCTAGAGATTCTGCAACTGCAGATACCCTAAATTCCGCTTGTATCCTTTCAGCTGCGGCAGAGTCTACGGCCGAGGCATATTGAACAACGAAGGATATCGCTGTAATAATCAGAGTCGCACTGAGCTTTTTCCACATTGGCCATTTTCGAGGATTGACATCAATATCTTCTTCGTGCTGTTGCTCGTGGGATGACGCCTCGGGTTTACTGATGGCTGTCTCATCGGACTCGGATAGGCTGATTGGGGGTTTTTCTGTCAATTGTAGCACTGATCGAGCTGCTATTCTCCGTCGTTGAAGAAATGACTGCATTGTTGTTGTTATAACTCCACGGCGGCTATTGTTGTCTTAGAAGCCAGAGTATAGCGTGTACATTGTATTTCAGCATCGTGCAGGGTCAGCAGATAATATATATTGACTGAAGTTACCGAAGCTCGCGTATATAATGTAGGCATCTAACAGCCAATGACGTATTTAAAGAGAATATACAGAAACAAATGCCGGAAATGGCATGTAAATGCTTGAGAAGTTTCCCTCGTTAAACAGCCACCGGGCTCGCCGCGTTCCCTTCCTATTCACTAAGAGCCACGGAGAAGCTAGGCTTAGTAATATCTTGAGAATGAGCAATATGAAAGACAGCAGTGCGCTCGTTCCTGCCCAATGCAGTAAGTTTCAGCGAGATAATTACGCGGATACACATGATTCTACTGTTCCCAACGGGACAATTTCATCCGATTATATGAACCGAACGATGGAAATGATGCGTCGGACTGCAAGAAACAATTCAGCAATGCCTCCATTTGGCATAGTCGGGCGAAGATGTTGTCAGCACCTTACCTAAGTGAGTAAAGCTATAGAAGAGATCACCATGACTTTACCTTTTTTTATCTTAGTCGCGTAGGACTATGAGCTGCGATATCCTCGAGAGTTATTGTTGCTTTACAAGTCTAATTGCTGGCAGGTATTCAAGACATCTTTCAAGAGTTAGATGTGCCAATCAAGCCATTTTCCGATTTTTCAAAGTTTGCGGCGCATTCAAATAGTGAGTGAAGGTACATGTATATACGTGTAAATAAGTTGCAATAAAATTGCAATAGAATATCGAGCGAGCTTATGCTCAAATTGTATTCATTTAGTTGTTGGCAGTTATCAAACCTAAAAGCGAATTGTTTGGCAATCTCGGCATATAAGTGTTGATAGAAGTAACTATACGGACTACCAACAAGCAAAGATACTGAAAACCGAACGCAACTTGGTAGTTTGGCTGTGAGACGAACCAAGTAGACGTCTGATCCAGCGAGCGAAGACTAAGCCCTTTAACAGCTGGCCTATAGTGGCAACTAGAGTAACTTGTATGGCTCGGCAACTAGGAAGATCATAACCATCTTATATAAAAGATAGTCAGACTATTGCTCATTAGCTCAGCGGAGTTTTAGTTTCCCGAGGAGCGCAATACCAAATCAAAGCGGCAGTCATTGTATAGTACACGCATTCGCTGGCTCGGCCCGCTTTTCTGTGTCCTGGTCTTATGTCATGCTTCATACTATTCCTATGGAATCATTATTCTTTTGCTTCTTTCAGTGGAGGATATATGACGGATGAATTACTAATTTACAAGTCGTCTCGGTCGGTTCAGTCGGCTAGGCGTGTCTACGTAGGCGGTACAGGTTAGACTAAAGTCGTGCTACTCACAAGTGGTAAGCACTATGTTCGTATTTGGTATACGCTACTATGTTTCTATTCGGCATATGCCGCCTTGTGTAGCTCTAGTTTGATGAGCTGAAGATGTGCAAGTTTGGTTTACTCGTCGTACCAATTGTATTTTTAACACCAGATAATTCCAATGAAGATGACAAAGCTATTGGAACGAGAGTGACCAGCTATTATAACTATATATATCGTGGATGTGGAAGGTTCAAATCACCTTGTTGTCTATCTATCAGTAGACATTACGTTCCGACTCTTCTGCCATCAAGATGTCAGAGTTGGCATACCAAATACTCCCGGCCGTTAGCCAGATTGACGTCGGCAATTATTCCGTCTTTTATCGTGAAGCTGGGCCTCCTAATGCTCCGACTCTGCTATTGCTTCATGGCTTCCCATCATCTTCATTCCTCTTTCGACACATGATCCCAATTCTAGCATTGACCTACCATGTCATTGCTCCCGACTTCCCCGGATTTGGGTTCACAAAGAGTCCTGCGAAGTTCCCTCACACTTTTGACAACATTGCCGATGTTATGGAAGGGTTTCTAGATGCGCTCAAGATCCAAGAGTTTTCCGAATACATCATTGACTACGGTGCTCCTGTTGGGCTGCAACTTGCCGTGCGACGCCCACACGCTGTCAAGGCCATTGTATCTCAAAACGGGAACGCTTATGTGGAAGGCCTTGGGCCAGGGTTCGACGCAATAAGAACATATTGGGCGTCTGGAAGCCAATCGTGAGTTATCTTTCTGCGCGGAATTTCTGCGGCATCATATATTTTTGATGGCTAATAGCTAATCGTCTTAGTGACCGGGATGCTCTAAAACCATTCTTCACCCTTAACGTAACAGAGTCGCAGTATACCACCGGCACAAAGAACCCGGCATCTCTCGAGCCGGAATCGTGGTGGCTTGATTATGCACTCATGAACGACCAAGCGGGAAATATCGACATCCAGCTAGATTATCTCTATGACTACCGGACAAACGTTGCACAGTACCCACAGTGGCAGCAATACTTGCGCCAGTCTCAAGTACCCCTGCTTGCTGTATGGGGAGAAAATGACCAGTTGTAAGATGCTCTCCCGAATCATAAAGTACTATGCTATGTTGGCTGGCTGCTAATTATTATTTGGTCTCTAGCTTCATCCCGGCTGGTGCGCAAGCTTTCAAGCGAGACTTGCCGCATGCTGAGATTCATCTCATCGACGCTGGCCATTTTGCTCTGATTAGCAACCTAAAGGATATTGTGCATTACATGCTGCCATTTTTATACAAAAATTTGAAGCATCATTAATAGAAGTGCAGGGTACGAGTCAGGATTGGAAGTTCAACATCCGACTTGTTGATGTTGCTGATATAGAAATGATAGAGTATAGCTTGTTTCAACAAAGGCACAAACGGGGAATATGTGGACGAAATAGACTTCTAATAACATATTCGTATATGATTATCGTAACTCAATCACAGCTTATGATTAGCGTGTGATGGTGTGGTGAGCATACAATAAAATGGCGTGCGGAGTTTACATACGACGCAGCCCCACTTGCGGACGACAGGTTGCTTTTCCCCTTTACTCTAGGTGCATGTAATCCTGAACTCGACATCAAAGTCTGTAGCACTTTTTGGCTCTTTTCCAAGTATATCGAACACAATATAAAATGGCGCCGCAGCAACCAAGCCTCGATCGCACGTTTGTGAATCTGACGCACGATCCCGCAGCGGGACGAGGCGCAAGGCGCACGTATATCCGGCGGGCGGTGATGAAAAGCTACCACGAGCGCCGAAACCAGAAGAAGAGAGCCTCGAAGTTGGAGGCTGAGGTCGCTGAAAATAGAGCTGGAAGAAGGTTAGCACTAATGGCATCTATCGACAGACAAATGGCTCCACAGTCCTCTGCGCTGGTTAGTATTCATTGATCAATAGGTCTTTCTCTTATCTCCGGTGGGCATCATCTTACTATATCAAAGATACCCAAGTTCATTCTTTTTGAACGAAAACAATTCTCCGAGCCACCAATGCTACACATGAGTTGCTTTATACTACGGTATCTTTGTGGCCAAGTATCAAAGGCCTCACGAGACTTGTCTTTTGTGGGATTCATTCACAATACCTTTTCTAGTCATGAGCCCCAAGGTGGCTCCGATCATATGGCTATGAATCTCAATTCTCTCAAAACAAGCTTGAACCTATGGCAAGCATACGGTACTCCTAGTAACGACTCTATCAGTGTTACTGCAGACAATGAATCATTATGGGAATTAATACACCAGCATCAAGAATGGATATACTCCAAGGTAAGAAGCAAGCTTCGTACGTCTTGGCACAATTGTGTTGTGTACTTGGCTGCTTGGAGCTAACTTGCTATCAAGATAACTACTTTCAACCAATGGGAGTTGCTCTCTGCCGCGCAAGCGACAACCATTTACCTTCTCCTACGAGTGAAGCAGGGGAGTAATAGCGCAGCATTCCCAAACGGGGACATTGCGCTCCTCTTTACGCTTGGGGTGAGCCGCTTCGCCAATGAACGAATCCTTCCCGCCTGATTCAATGGAGCTTTCAAATGGGAAACTAATAAAAAATGCAGGCTATCTTTAGGCATCTCCATAGCACCGCTTTATTGGACAGCCGCCCACGACAGGACTGGAGACAATGGGTGTTTTTCGAATCCTTCATGCGCATTGCCTGTATATACTTTACTCTGAGCGCCGTAGTATCCACGCACTTTGGATTGCCGTGCCACAACCCCAAAGACTGGAGCTTTCACTCCTTGCCGGTGCCAGCCACAAAAGCTTCATGGGCCGCTGCAAACGCTTCAGACTGGGCGAGTGCTTTGCCACCGGAAAAAGAACTCACGTGGAAGGATTTGACCTCCGCAGCATCTTTGAATGACTCGCCTGTGGACTTGTGGAGAGAGAGCTCTGATGAACTTGGCATGGTTGTTATGATGACGATGACCTTGATATCCCAGCAGCCAAACTATTCGATGCCGTCTCCTCCTGAGTAACTTGGCTGGCTGAAGTTAGCCAGTAATTGTCAATTACTTCTTTTAAAGTCGTGTGGGGTATTGACTGGTATTAAAAGAAATTATTTGATGAAGTACACGAATATTCGATTATATGGCTACGAGACTTCATGAAAGCGGTGGTCTCAACTAAGCGGCAATAGCACGACACAAGTTCTTGATTCTTTCAATAGTGGAAAAGCAAGTCCATTTGTGATATATTTTTGTGTGAGAGAATAAATTGATTGAAGCTATCGAATCGCGGCGTCTGCACCTGGTGTCTATGAGTGGCCTTTGTAGGTATATTCAAGCGGCGTGTGCCAAGGGTTCTGGCTAGTTCCCTTGGCGACAACCCAGGCAGCATCAAGAGCCTTGACTACCTCCTCTGGCAAGGGGCCCTTCTCCAGGTCCGCGATATTCTGGCGTAGCTGCTCTATCTTACTGACTCCGAAAATGACTCCGTCGTTTCCACCATCCTTGACGAATCGCAAAGCAGAGTGGTGCACGACCCAGCGCAACGCAACCTCTGGCATAGTCAAGCTGTGCCTTTCAGCGGCTTGTCGAAGAATATCGAGCGCTTTGAATAGGGCATCGTTGAAATACAGTTGCCGGAAAATAGGCCCCAGGAACGAGCTATTGCTAAAACGACCACTTTGCTCTTCGTCGTCGGCAGACTTGTAGCGCCCAGTCAACAGGCCTCCACCGAGCGGCGTAAAGATGACAATCTCCAATCCAAAACGGCGGCAAGCAGGAATCACTTCAGTCTCAAGATTACGAGCTTGGTGGTAACAGTCAGTCTCTCGTCAATTTCCCGCATCAGAGGGATCGGATGGGGAAGGTTTCTTACTGATGGCATTGTAAACTCCCTGGTAAATGGTTGGCTTAACCCAACCTCGAGCTTGGCACAGCATGACAACTTCCGCGACTTCATAAGCAGAGAAGTTGCTAACGCCAAGCTGCTTGAACTTGCCCTCCTTGTACAACTCATTTGCGGCTTCAAGCGTCTCCGTAAAAGGGGTAGTACGATCAGCTGAGTGAAGATAGAAAATGTCCACACAATCAGTTCCAAGCTCCGCTAGAGAAGTTTCCAGATCATTGCGGAGATTAGCAGCTGAATGAGCTCCCGGAACGCGGGGGTAGCTCTTGGTAGCAATCTTGAAGCCGCTTTCTTTCCATCCTGCTTGTGCGGTAAAGGCTTCTTGCTTCCCCATGGAGTATATGCGAGCTGTATCAAGCTCATTGTATCCGCTCTTTTGAAACGCATTGAGATGTTGCTGGAATTCTTCAACTGTTGTTACACGGTTGTCTGGCGAAGCTTCGCGAGGGCCGTAAGTCATGAGACCGAGGATAACTCTAGGCTTTGGGGGTGCCATTGTGCTTGTGATGCTAGGTTTCGATTGTGTAGATGTTGTTTGATGATTTTGAGAGTAAAGATTGTATATTAAATTAGAGACTACGAGCTCATTTTATACCTATTTGGTGCCATCTGTTCAATTCCCAACAACGCATACAAGGAGGCGTGTAAAGCCTATCCAGGCCTATGATATGCCGTTTTGGGCATGACATGTACGCGCTAACCCCAATTTGGCATGACAGAGGCTTGACAGCGGATATTTCAATGAAGAAGAAAAAAGCAAAGTCCGCCAAAGGGCGTTGCAAATACAGAATGGAAATACAGAGAGCAGTCCCGCTCATAACCCGGGCATCATTGTTAATTCCGGACGCCAAGCTGCGGAGGAAAATGATGCTTTCGGCGCAACCTGCTTCAAATTCGGCCTTAAGAGCCTGGTTATAAGTAGGCTAATGTAAATGATGAACGGCCAGCGGACTGAATTAGCAGGAGAAGAATCTCATGATCGGATTCAGATCAGATCATAGCTCTTATCATGAGGTAATGAAGACAGCGGGGGGCTAATATTGCAACAGTAAAGAGTGTTACCTAAAACATCGAGCAAGAGCTGCTAATATTGGAGATGGGTCTGGCGACGAGCAATGTGCTTTGAGCTGTGCGTGAAATTTGCATTCAAGCAAAGAGAAATGACAAAGACAGTGCTGATAAAACACTGGATATGGTTGGAGGCAAATCCACAAATCAATGATATTCGTAGCTTCTATAGTTACTATATATGTATCATCTATTCAGCGCGGAAAGTAACAGAGGATGTTGAACTAGGAATGAGACGAATCAAAGATATAAGCTAATATAACGTGGTTAAAGATGATATTTAAAGTCTGTGGCTCTATCACCATCTTTGACCTTTCGCGTATCCTCCTTTTCTCCACTCTCAATCTTCTTCTTCTCGCTATTGAGGTGTCTCAAGTAAAGCCAGTTCGTAGTGATAATCAGCTGCACCACGCCCAAAGCTCCGACAGAAAAGGCATTCCCCAGGACATATGGCGCTGTCCTATAGATTTGGCCAGCAACAATGCCAGCCGTGTTTCCGATACTCTGCTGCACGCCAATTGCCGTCGCGCGTCGGTAATGCGGCGCGAAATTGACATTGAGCCACGTCATGTTCAGTCCGGGGCCGTTGTACACGGCAATGGCGCAGAGAAACGTGCCAAAGAACTTGACGCCGTTGGGCGTAGGGCAGAGTATGAGGATGTAGCCCACGATGCCTGGGACGTTGGCGAGGAAGAGAAGCGGTCCTCGAACGCAAGTGCGGTCAGATACGTACGCGAAGGCTATGAAGCAGATTCCGCCAAAGATGTATACCGGGATACTGAGGTATTGTGCCTGGATAGAAGAATATCCCATGTTGACTAGAATCGAAGGCAGGAAGGTGGAGAAGCCGTATAGGAGGATGTCCTGGCAGAATTGTATGGCACCACTGCAAGCCAAGAGTGAGCATGAATCCATCGACATTCCACATTTGTTTCTTGGATGATGATCTTACCTGAGGTACAACTTTGGGTCCTTTAGAGCAATTCGAATCTCCTTTGCGTCAAATTCTTCGCTGCCCATATAATGCGCCCGCTGCGCCTCACGAACCTTCATCATCGCCTTCTCTTCTTCCGTGAGGAACCAAGCTTCGGTCGGGTTATTCGGCAAGGCAAACCAAATGACCGGCGCAATGAGAAAGCTGCAAATGCCTTCAATGATGAATACCCACCTCCAACCCGCAAAGCCGCCGATGCCGTCCATCTTGAGGATACAGTACGCAAGCAAGCCTCCGAATGCGCCAGAGATTGCCGTGCATACAAAGAGGTATGATACTCTCATTCCCTGCTCGTGACGCTTGTATACCATTGTGAGATACAAGTTGAGCGCAGGGAACAGTCCAGCTTCGCAGCCGCCCAGGATAAGCCGCACGGCAAACAGACCTCCCACGTTATGGATAAAGCCCGAGAATATCGTTGCCAGGGACCAAACGGTGCAAAGGCCGGTGAGCAGAACTCGCGGCGTTATCCGCTTCATCAAAATACTCCACGGGGCCTCAAAAACCACATAAGTCGCATAAAAGATGGAAACCGCCGTCGAGAACTCTTTTGGGCTGGCGCCGATATCTTCAGGCATGCCGGCGACCTTGACGTTTCCGATGTTGCTGCGGTCGAGGAAGCATGTCAAATAGACCAGCATGATGATGGGGACGAAGTAAGTGTCCAGCTTCAGCAATAGACGCTTTTCGGCATTTGGATCGAGGATCGGGATGGACATGGCCGACTCGTCAATGTCATGTTGGGAGACATTGCGAGAAGATGGGCGCTTCTCGTCATCGTCGAAACCGACGTTGGCCTGTTCTGTGGCCATGCTGTGTAGAGTGTACTCAACAGTCTTCTAAGGCGCCTTTACTTGAAGCAAGGAAAAGAGTTGAAAAAAAAAGAAAGATGCACGAAGCAAGAATGCCGATTCTATGAACCCCACGTTAAGTAATGGAAATGAGAACCCCATGGGGAACCTGGCTTGAATGCAAATGTAACTCCCCTGTGGATCGGCGTGGGCATCACGATCCATTTAAACAAAAAAACGGCTCTACTAAAGACGGAAGGGCAAATGCGCCAACTCGCAGAAAAGTGCCATATCATCTCCCAGTATCTCATAGCCCTTGAGACGAAAAAATCTCTTATCGTTTATTGCCGATTACCGACCTCTTTTCACCGGCAAACACTCGGCTGAGAGATAGCAAACGTTGGCGATGGCCTATGGATGGTGGAGTTTGCGGGGCAGGTCGGAGACCCTCACCGACCCCTGGGAGGCGCTATTTGGGCTGAAGAAGAGGGATGGCATCGTGCGGGGAAGCTGGAGATGGCTGATGGTCAAGATTGTTGAGACGGTATCGGCGATGGCTGACGTCGTGAGCAGCCATGTGGAGATATGATGAAAATGCCGTTGCATTGCGTCCTCGTCACATTACGGAATGGACATGCTCTGTAGTTTGCCCCGTTTGCTTGATTAGATACTGATAGATAGATAGGTGACCCTGGCAGATGGAGATAGGAGGGGAGCCTAGCATGAGATTGAGAGCAGATAAGGTGTTGCGCGATAATACTTGTATTCGCCTCTAATTTCTACTCGAACAGTATCTCAGGCAGCATTGCCCTGGCCCATGAAATCAAACATCCACTCTCGGATATCAGGCCCGCCAGCTCCCCCAATCGTCGATGTGCGCTGCGCCAAATCCACATCGAGGTCCATTGTCGGATACGCAAAACCCTCTTCCCAAAGCCCAAAATCCATGCCCGTACTCACGCTATCGTCATAAAACGGCTCGTTCAATGCGTTGCTATCTACAACCGGGAAAGTAAGAGGCATATTCGCAGTGCTTGTGCTACTGTCATACGCGTTTACAGGGTATGGCGGTGCCATTGATATCCGCGGAGGGACGACACCCTTGCCTTGTATGGAGGCTTCCAAAGCTTGAGAGCTGGGCGACATCATGGCAAGCTGTTGGCTATGAGCGGCAAGAGGCGTAATGCTTGAGCCAGAGTATATGCTCAGCAGCAATTCATAGCGAGCACCCATGTGGCTGTTGCCTCTCTCGCCCATGTTCCTCAGCAGGCCAAGCCCAGCCGTCATCGCGAGCGTATTGGCAGTGTTGTCAGGAAATGCCGTGCACACCATGACGAGCACAATTGTAGCTGAGAAGATGTGCTCGCCATCCATATAACCATACGTTGCTGAAGCGATAGATTAGTGACTTGAGACTACATTGGTGGAACGCGGGCATCATCGTTCAGCAACTTACCAACCATGTCTCTCTGGGCTACAATGGCCATCATATTGATCACATCTTGTGCCGCTCCAATACACATATCAATGACCCTCACAGTCGTTTGAGAGAGCCCTTCTTTCCAGTCGCGCTCCTTCTCTGCCGCACCGCCTCCGCCTCGAATAGCCTGTAGACGCTTCTGTACAACATGGAAAAGCAGCGGCCTCACCGTCATGTTGATGCATTGATAGTAGTGCGCAAGCGCCCCGACGCTCTCACGGCTAAAGGAAAGCTGCGCGGGGTCGAAGCGCAGGTCCTCTGGCACCTCGCGATTCCATTTGGAAAGCGAGAAGATGATGCTTTGCACAGACGCCATCAGGCTCTTGCCGGATTTTGGCGCCGATTTGTTCGATCGCCGATATATCGTCATGTGAATCCGGCCGAGGATGCGAGAAAGCTCGGTGTAGTGTCGCAGCACCACGGCAGGACAGTACTCGGGGTCTCCCGGCAGCGGCGACGGCATGTCTACTCCTATGTCCTCATCCTGGATGGTGATGGGGTTGCCAGATTTGACGCACAAGATCCTATCAAGACTATAGATGGACCACCAGACACGCCGACGATGCTCTCTGGCCGTCTTATCCAACTCCGGGCCTTGTTGTGAGTAGTAATGCGGGCTGACTTCCTGGTGCAAGCCAAGCGAAATCGCCATACGCAAAGCCTTGCCGATAAATTGAAACGCCGCATCTCTGCGATTCATATTCTGCATAAAGTATCCTGCGAGAGCCAAAGTCTCCACACAGAGCATAGATCCTTCTTCGTGTGTCTCTGGAAGAAGATTTACTGCATCTCGAAAATAGTCGAAGCCCGGAGGACCTCGGAAATCCACCCATTGATTGACCGAGTATAACTGTCCGAAGGCTAGTACGAGGAGCACCTTTGCATATTCTAGGCACTCCGTCTTGTCAGAAGGATCAGGCGGCCCACTATAGGCCTGGAGAAGCAAGCGCTCAAATGAATCTCTAGGATCGGTAAAGGCGAAAATCGTGCCAATGAACATGTACTGCGCTGAAAAGAGCCTTCGTGCCATATCAATGGGGGGCAATCGCGAGCGAATGCTAAACACAGCTTGTCGCCTAGAAGGTAAAGCGCCAGGCTCATAGAAGTTGGAGGGCAAATCGAGGCTCCCATCATCGCCTTGGAAGCCTGAGAGCTTCCTCACATTGCGAAGGAAGTTGTCGGATGAAGCAGCGCCTTGAAAGCCTAAAAAAAGAAAAGATACAATGTCAGAGTAGTTCATAAATACAGTACCGATGCTGCTTACTCGTAGAAGGCTTATCTAAACTGAGTTGAGTGAACGGCTCAAGCAAGGGCTGCTCGTCTTCAAAGTCGTCGTCTTCATCGTTGGTGCTGTGGTGGCCATGAGTAGCAAATGAGCCTCCAGGCTGCATGCCTGCATCAAACGTGTTAGTAGCTTAAATCACACTCTTCCAAGATGGCGAAAGGATTCCTACTTACTGTCTAGAATCTTTGCTTTTGCTTCCAGTTCTCGTAAATAACTGTGTCCGATCAAATTAGGTCCTGTTCAATTGTAAACGCAACACGGACACAATCTACACTTACGGCTCATTCACCAATATTTTCCTGGTGCCCTCATAAACACACTTTATCCGAGCATCACGACATCTCGAGCAGGCAGGCTTCTCTTTGGAACAGTAAGAACGTCGTTGGCGGCAGTTGAGACATCTATACGCACGCAATATAAGCACACAATCTTTCTCCGGCTTCACATGGAACGATAGGACACCACTTACGCAACAGGCCGCGAAGTGAATTGCTCCACAGCCTGTCCCGTCCCTGCAGCAGCATCATCGGGGGAAGCCATCCTACGCCAAGTCCAAGTCTACCGGTTGATGCTACTCTCTGCTTGAACTCTTGGAGCCGGGGAACCAGAACCCTGCGCGGTGGGGAAACGGCCCTGTCCTCCGGCAGTATTTGACTTTTCCAGAGCCACCTATTCGCATGCGCAAGAGCCTCAGCATAATTCCGGAACTCGCTGATCGTAACGTCTGCCGCGGGGGACTATTCCGATATGAAAAGTCAGCCTACACGAGCCTTTTCTTGCTCACAAGGCTTTCCAGCCGCAGCCTCAGACGCAGGAGTGGTAAAATCCCGATACGTGAAATCCCGATATCACGATTGACAGACGGTATCACTGACAGGGCTTCATCCCCGCGAGAGTGCTCTCCAGTTGCTCCTTTTGGCATCCAGCCTGGAGTCATCGCAGGCGTCGGGAATCGACTCCGACGCTTCTCCTCATCTGCAGCGGCGTTAACGCCCTTTTGGCCTAGCCTGGCTCCGACGCCAAATCCCGACCCACCGCATCGGTCTCGGGGACCCACACCGGCTTGGCGGGCGTAGCTGGTCCTCGCCTATTGCCGCTTTGGGGAGGCAAGATTTCCGAGCTGGAGTCAAGACTGCGACCCCGGAGATGGGGATCGTTGGATCGTGGAGCTTTCTGACTTTTCTCTTTTTCCGACACATCTTCAACTTTAAACTTTACCAAGAGAGCTTGATATAAAGTGCTAGCAGGTTGCTGTTCAGTCATACTCATGAAAACCTCAAGTCAAACCCCATCTCTATCCTAATAATGGCCATTAAATCACTCCGTATCCGCGTCTCCATCGACAGAGGCGGGACCTTCACCGATGTCCACGCCTCAATCCCCGGCAGAGAAGACATCATCCTCAAGCTTCTATCCGTCGACCCCGCCAACTACCAAGATGCCCCGACTGAAGGCATCCGAAGAATCCTGGAGCTGGTGACGGGCCAGCAGCTCCCTCGAGGCCAGCCCCTCGACCTCTTCCACTTTGAATCCATCCGCATGGGCACCACAGTCGCCACAAATGCCCTCTTGGAGCGCAAAGGCGAAAAGGTCGCTCTGGTGACGACCAGGGGCTTCCGCGATCTCTTGGCCATCGGAAACCAGTCGCGGCCACAGATTTTTGATCTATCAGTGTCACGGCCAGAAGTCCTCTACGATTACGTAGTCGAGGTGGATGAGCGTGTGACTATGGAAGATTACACAGAAGACCCAGAATGCAACAAGACCATCCCTACAGGACAAGATTCACAGCTCGTCACGGCAGTCACTGGCGAGACTATCCGGGTTTTGCAAGAGCCCAACCTCAGCGCGGTTCACAAACAGCTTGAAGACGTCTGGAGTCAGGGCTTCCGTTCCGTTGCCATAGTATTCATCCACTCATACGCCTACCCCAATCACGAGCTTCTTGTTGGGAAAATGGCTCTGGAGATGGGCTTCTCCGTCACATTATCATCAGAGCTCCAGCCCATGATCAACGTGGTGCCCAGAGGAACATCGGCCATTGCAGACGCCTACCTCACTCCCATTATCAGAAATTACATCAGCTCCATCGAGGCGAATTTCCGCGGGGGCTTCTCATCAGCAGACACACGAATCGAATTCATGCAATCAGACGGAGGTCTCGCAGACTACCGCAAATTCAGCGGCCTCAAGGCCATCCTCTCCGGCCCGGCAGGCGGTGTTGTTGGCTATGCCCAGACGTCGTGGGATGAAGAGGAGAAGAAGCCCATCATTGGCTTTGACATGGGCGGCACATCGACAGACGTATCTCGATATGCGGGCGTCTATGATCACGTCTTCGAAACCACCACGGCAGGCATCTCCATCCAGTCGCCACAGCTCGACATCCACACCGTTGCCGCCGGCGGTGGCTCCATCCTGTCATGGAGAAACGGGCTATTCAACGTGGGACCAGAGTCGGCCTCTGCTCATCCAGGCCCAGCGTGCTACCGCAAGGGCGGCCCATTAACCATCACAGACGCCAATCTGTTCCTTGGCAGAATCCTACCAGAGTACTTCCCCAAAGTGTTTGGCCCCAAGGAAAACGAGCCGCTGAACCGGGAAATTGTCGAGACCAAGTTTGCAGAGCTGACAGACGAAATCAACAAGGACAGAAAAGCCTCGGGACTTTCACTCTTCACGCCCGAGGAAGTTGCCCTTGGATTCTTAAAGGTTGCCAACGAGGGCATGGCTGGACCAATCCGAGCTCTCACAGAAGCCCGTGGCTACGACGCTGCCGACCACCATCTTGCTTGCTTCGGCGGTGCAGGCGGCCAGCACGCTTGCGCAGTAGCCAACGTCCTGGGCATTTCCCGCATCATCTTGCACAAATACTCCTCCATCCTGTCTGCCTACGGCATTTCATTAGCAGACGTCGTTCATGAGACTCAGCGGCCTGCCGCCATCGTCTACAGCCCAGAAACAGAGGGTGAAATCCGATTGCAGCTTGAAAGCTTGGCCCAGCAAGCAACAAAGGCTCTCTTGAAGCAAGGATTCGCCGTCAACCACATTTCTCACAATTCGTACCTCAGCATGAGATATGCCGGCTCAAACAGCTCGCTCATGATTCTCAAAGGCCAAGACTGGGACTTTAAGCGCGAGTTTGAAGACGCCCACAAGCGGAGTTTCGGATTTCACTTCCCAGAAAAGGACATTATTGTAGATGATATCCGTATTCGGGCTATTGGAGGGACGGGCACGAAGGAGATCAAACCCCCCTTTGCCCAGCTCAGAAAGATCCAGGGTACGAGCGTCCCTTCGCCCAGCGCAAATGGAACCAATTCAGTCTACTTTGAAGGCTCCGGACACGTAAATACTCCCATTTACGAGCTCCAGAAGCTTCCCGAGGCATCGCAGGTCGCAGGTCCGGCCCTCATCATCGACAACACCCAGACAATTGTCGTCGCTCCGGGAACAACAGCCACCATCCTAGACAGCTACGTCGTCATTGACGGCGCACTCAACACCAAAACACAATCAAAGTCAAGAGACGGACAGGAAGAAGAGTTCAGCCCCATCCAGCTCACAGTCTTTGGCCACCGATTCATGGGCATCGCCGAACAAATGGGCCGCACACTGCGCCGAACCGCCGTATCGACCAACATCAAGGAGCGCCTCGACTTCTCATGCGCAATCTTCAGCCCCGACGGCGGCCTCGTCGCCAACGCGCCACACGTGCCAGTCCACCTGGGCTCCATGCAATTCGCCGTCCAATATCAGCATCGCCTGTGGGAGGGAAAACTCCGTGATGGCGACGTCCTCATGTCGAACCACCCTTCATGCGGCGGCACGCATCTGCCCGACATCACAGTCATCACCCCTGTATTTGACGGAGACGAGCTCGCCTTCTACGTTGCCTCTCGCGGCCATCACGCCGACATTGGCGGCATTCTTCCGGGCTCCATGCCCCCAACCTCCACCGCGCTATGGCAAGAAGGTGCCGCCATTCAGTCCACCAAGCTCGTCAGCCAAGGCCGCTTCGACGAGGCAGAAGTCGTCAGGCTATTGCTGGAAGAGCCGGCCCAGTACGATGGCTGCTCAGGCACCCGCAGACTACAAGACAACATCTCCGATCTCAAGGCGCAAATCGCCGCCAACGCAAAGGGCATTGCTCTCATCAAGGGCCTCATTGAAGAATACGGCCTGGCCTGCGTCCATAGATACATGTACGCCATTCAGCACACGGCAGAAGCTGCTGTTCGAGCCCTCTTGAAGAAGACTCTCGCCACATACGGCTCAGAACCCCTCACGGCCACGGACTACATGGACGACGGAACACCCATTACTCTCTCCATCAGCATTTCCCCCGATGGCTCTGCCGTCTTTGACTTCACCGGCACAGGCCCGCACGTACTAGGCAACACAAATGCCCCCATCGCCATCACCCACTCCGCCATCATCTACTGTCTCCGCTGCCTCGTATCATCGTCCATCCCCCTCAACCAAGGCTGTCTCACGCCCATCGAGATTGTAATCCCACAAGGCACCATCCTAACCCCCGGCGACGGCCTCGCAGTTGTAGGCGGCAACGTCCTCACCTCGCAACGCGTAACAGACGTCGTCCTCCGCGCATTCAACGCCTGCGCCGCCAGCCAAGGCTGCTGCAACAACCTCACCTTTGGCACCGGCGGCAAGGACCCCATTACGGGGGAGCACAAGGAGGGCTTCGGCTACTACGAAACCATTGCAGGCGGATCTGGCGCTGGGCCCGACTGGACCGGCCAGAGCGGCGTTCACACACACATGACCAACACGAGAATCACAGACCCGGAGGTCTTTGAGAAGAGATATCCGTGCATCCTGCGCCGCTTCGAGCTCCGCAAGGGCTCGGGTGGAAAGGGACGCAACAGAGGCGGCGATGGAACAGTCCGAGAGATTGAGTTCCGCGTCCCTGTGCAGTGCTCGATTCTCAGTGAGCGAAGATCTCGACGTCCATACGGCATGGAGGGCGGAGGCGACGGCGAGGCTGGTCTGAACTGCGTCAAGGTTACAGATGCGGCAACGGGGCTGAAGAGGGTGATTAATCTGGGTGCAAAGGCCACTACAAGGCTGGGCCCTGGAGAGAGCGTTGTGATTCAGTCTCCTGGAGGAGGAGCTTGGGGAGTGATTGAGGCATAGAATAGATGTAGCAATACCAACGTTGAATAACTGGCATGGCAGTGATTGGAAGCCTAATACAGTATTTGTTTTCTTTTTCTTCTTGTAGATTTTTCTAAACTACTTATAGGCATTGTGACTTCGATTTACAACAAGTCGTTCATATAAGCTATGGAAACGTTTTCATCGTTCTGCAAACACTCCTAACAGAAACAGCAGCCATCAAATCAACACGTTTGGAGCCTATAGACCCCAGCAGCTCGAAGATTCTTCTTTTTCTCTTCTCTTCCCGTTTTAGAATCTGCTCGGCCGCTCTGTGGCACAAACGCCGCTCCTTGTTCCTGGGACGTGCTCCATGCTATTGACAGTCCAGCCGACGCTATTTTCACGCGAGATCTCGGAGCTGGGGCCCGACCGCCGCTATAACGCCGCTAGAGCGCAGAATGCTGCTGCTTTACGCGAAGAGGCCCCGTGCCTGGTCGAGAGCTGAGTTTCAAGGGATGTGGTGCGACAATATGGCGCTGCCTGGATAAATGTTTGCACCGGCTGCTTGTCAGATCCAAAATGAGTAGATGCAAATATGGCTGAAAAAGCACGTGCTGAGATCAAACTCCGTCACAAAAAGGGCGCATCCAAGTCAGCGACTCGTCAAATAAGCTCGACTGATCAGACACAGGGAATCAGATCAACGCAGACCAAATCAAATCGAGCTCGACTCTACTGCCCTTTTGGGCGCCTCGAAGCAATTTTAGCCTTCGCTAAAGGCGCTGCGCTAAAAAGCCAGCAGCTGGCTAGTGCCTGTAACTTTCCGCTAAAGCAGTCAAGTGCCAGGCACCGATGCAGGAACGGAGACCATCGCCGCCAATCAGCAGCCGCCAGGAAATGAGAAGCATTCAAAGGCGGACGCCAACGCACCAAGGGGGACCGACGTCGTTTGTGCATGCCCGTGTACTTGGCCAGCGCTGCTTGCATGCGCAGGTACAAGAGTTTAATTGCACGGCGTCTAGCATTGTCTTTTTGGCCAGGTAGGCCCAAGGCATGAATCGCCACGAGGTCAGGCGATGCCCTTTCAGGTCCGTCGGGTCAGGGTCCCTCAACCTGGCTTGGGCTTGTGTGGAGGAGGGGCTCGCTTTGGACCGTCGTCGAGCAGATCGGCCTCGTCTAGCTGGGAAAAGATCTGCCCTGTCAGCCCGTATTGGAAGAATTGCGAGGGCAATGTGACCAACAAGAGGCGAGTTGCAGCGGCTGGGGCGTGATGGTGACGGTTTGGGGGTTTTCGGTGCGACATGCCTGGGCATTGGTGCATGCTAGATGACGAGCGTTCAAGAGGACAAGAGGACAAGACGGACAATAAAGAAGAAACATCAAGGAAATAAAGCAAAAAGACTGGAGCTAAACCAGGAGGCCACGGCATAAGCTGCCAGCCACTGAAACCGCACATCGACCAGATGCATTGACTTTGCGTCTGCGACAAGCCCGGAGGTCGCGAGAAATTTAGAGCCTGGCCTTGTACCTAAATGACACACTTTAATTTCGTCCCCGTCAATGCGCGGCCAGAGCCCAAGTCCCGTCTACCCCGTGCTGCAGCCAATCTCCCTTGGCCGATGGTGTCGCGTCTACCTGCACGGCGCTCGGCACCCGCCCCGCATTTGTTTGGGGGGCACTTGTGGGCGCTATTGGCTCTGGCCGTGGTTCAGTCGCCCTCCAAGCCAGTCCGCCCTGCGATGGCGCCTTTGCTGGGCTCTTGGTCCCGTCGAGCGTGTTTCGTCTCTTCTTTTTCTACTCGCCTCCTCCCTCACCATCTGCTCTGGCGTTTCTTCCCGTTTCACGACCTCACGCAAACAAACCAAAAAAGACTTCGTTGGCAAAGTCTTGTCCGCTCATTCAGCTCAACGCTTCTTGGATATCGATTGTCCAGTATTATATACAATACACACTCACTCATTTCTGCCTCGCGCAACAAACAACAAATCACGTCTCACAGCACTCGCAGAAAGGTAAGCGCAGCAACCCGCTGGCCTGATCAATCACTGGAGACGGGAGAATGCAACTTGCTAACCCGTTCTACAGCATTCAAAACTTCCAGTGTATCATCGCAGATCTCCGTCGTCTTGCCTGATTTCACTGTTATAACACTTGCACTTCACACCTTCACCCATTCCTCACGCGCCGCTTAGATAGCTTGTGCGCAATCTTCACCACCCCAAATCTCAACCATCAAAAACTCGAAGAATTCAAGATGAAGTTCTCTCTGTTCGCCGCCGCCGCTCTCCCGGCCCTTGCTCTCTCTCAGTCCACCACCACTCAGACGTCGACCACCGTCCTGACCAAGACTGTCACTCTCGCCAGACTTCACACCGTCACTTCCATTGTCTCCTCTCACAACGCCACCACCACTGCTGCCTCTGCCACCTCGGCCCCCTACCAATCAATCGGCACTGCTGTCAGCACCGGCGTCGGCTCGACTGCCTTCAAGCCTACAGTCGTTCCCTCCACCGGTGCTCCCATCGCTTCTGCCACCAAGGGCCCCCACAGCGCTGGTGTTGCTCTTGAGGCCAGCAAGGTTGCCTTGGTCGGTGTCGCCGGCATGATGTTTTTCGCCATGATGTAAATCTTTGCGAAATGACAGCATACTTTGGAGTGTGGACAGTTGAGGGATGAAGTGGACCCTTTCTTCCTCCGCGGACAGCAACCATTTTGTCTTGTTCGCTCATATATCAAACATTTTCTTTTGTCATCTTGAAAAAATAAAACCCATTCTTCTGTATGACGATCTACGATCATTTACGACTCGCCGACGATTTGACAACGTGCTTCTGTTGAAAAGGGATGGGCCCTTTTCGTCCACAAAGGCCTGGCGGTCTACTTCTTTCTTCTTCATCTTCTTCTTGATTCCCCCAATTTTATTCGTCTGTGCTCAAGCGCGCCCATGGCGCTGCTGAGCGCATGTTCCCCATTGATACTTTTTTTTCTTGGGTGATCCTGTCATGCTCGTGGTTCCTGTCGCTAAAATGATGACTACTGGCCACGGTTTGCAATCCACCAACCGCCCATTCTTTCATCGATTATCATATGCTTGAACTTGAGCATTGTCTATTCTCACTCGTGGGAATCGACTGAATCTTGAAAGCCACTATAATGAAAGCACAGTTATATCCTTTAATATGACCAGAGACAGCACGCATTGAATGTGTGAGCGAGCGGGCTGGCTGGATCTTAATTTCAATTCAATTATATTCTTTTTACGCCTCCTGTTTCTATCATAACCCCTACACTTGGCAACTCTTCAAAACATCTTTGGATCTGATACCATGGATGTACATCCAGCGTGCTGGTGTACTTCTATTTTGCGGGTGACGGGTACTTATTCTCTTCTATTGGTGATACCCCCTTTTTATATATTGGAGACGATATAGTTGGGACTGGATTGTATTAGATGTGCTCTCCAAGTATTCCTTGAGTGGCGCGTGTTCAACTACATCTTGTCCCTGACTCAAAGGCTTGTGGTTTTGGCGTTGTGCCCTTTGGGGTTTTATTCAGATACTGGAGTTTGGACAGAGGTTCGGTGTTATGGAGGGAAAACAGGCGGTGATCGACCCTAGTGTTTGTCTTGTTGGAACTAGGCAGTACAATAATCACAATCATCGTATCATTATTTTACTACTTCATGACGTGATTCCTCTATTTATGATGTCTTCAAACCTTGCATGGCGTCATATTGTATTTCCACGTTGATCGTAGTATTGAGCATACATGCGTGGGAGCTGTGTCTACTCAAGTGAGTGAGCCGCTTACACGACCGGTGCGATATTATCCACTTGTATTTCACAGGACAAGAGTTGCATGAAAGGAAAGTAAGCACTGATAATACATTGTCCATTATAACGAGGTTAAAAGATCATCCGTTTTCATAAACTGCTGGCTGTCAAAATGGCTGATTAATAAAGACAACTCCCTATTGGCGCACCCAACCAAGTCTCCGGCTTGCGGCGCTATGATGCGGGTCCCATCGGCTCCCCAACTTTTCTTCGGGAGCTCTTCGACCCAAAATCAATCTTCATCACCAACAACCCACCTCCAGACGGGATTCTCGGAAGGGCATCCATCACAGCGTCCGGTCTCTCACACATACCACGATGGCCTCAATAGCCCCATCAATTCAGCGAGCCCAGGCGCCCATGCGAAGGGCTCTGGCTGCCTCTCCCGCCGCCCTCAGATCCTTCGCCACCGTCCCGCCGCATCCCACCGACGCCAGCCAAGCTTCCGCAAAGCCAGCATCGCGGCCTACGACGTATTTCAAGGACAAATCGGTGGGCTCGCTCTCAGACTTCATTGCGACGTCGTCTCCCGTGCAGTCCCTGTCGCCCAGCGATGCATACGAACTGAAGACGGCCGAAGTCGGCCCTGCCGGCAAGAAGAGGACCATCACGCGACTGCCCGAGTGGCTCAAGACGTCCATCCCCGCGGGCAACGACAACTACAAGAAGATCAAGAGCGATTTGCGCGGCCTGGGCCTGCACACCGTCTGTGAGGAGGCGCGGTGTCCCAACATCTCTGAGTGCTGGGGCGGTTCCGACAAGAATGCTGCCACGGCCACCATCATGCTCATGGGCGACACATGTACTCGCGGATGCCGCTTCTGCAGCGTCAAGACGAACAGAGCGCCTGCTCCTCTGGATCCCCATGAGCCGGAACACACCGCTGAGGCACTGGCACGATGGGGCCTTGGCTACGTTGTGCTGACGAGCGTGGACCGCGATGATTTGGCCGACGGCGGTGCCCGACACTTTGCAGAGACGATCAGCAAGATTAAGCAGAAGAAGCCGACATTGCTCGTCGAGGCCCTGACGGGAGACTTTCGTGGCGACCTGGACATGGTCAGGATTGTGGCCGAGAGTGGATTGGATGTGTATGCGCACAACGTTGAGACTGTGGAGGCCCTCACTCCGTACGTGCGCGATCGCAGGGCGACATTTCGCCAGAGCTTGAAGGTGTTGAACCACGTCAAGGAGGTCAAGGGCAAGGAGGGCATCATCACAAAGACTAGCATCATGCTTGGTCTGGGAGAACAAGAGCACGAGGTCATGGATGCTCTAAGAGGTACGTTCCCTCCATCACCAAGCCACAGAGGAAAAAAAAAAAGATTTCTAACAGACTGATTATAGAGCTGCGAAAGGCCAACGTCGACGTCGTCACTTTCGGACAGTACATGCGCCCGACCAAGCGACACCTCAAGGTCGAGAAGTACGTCACCCCCGACGAGTTCGAGATGTGGCGCCTGCGGGCTCTGGACATGGGCTTCCTCTACTGCGCAAGTGGACCCCTCGTGCGCTCGTCCTACAAGGCCGGCGAGGCATTCATTGAGAATGTCCTGAGGAAGAGGGCCGGCGATAAGGCTGCGGCAGTGGCGAGCGAGGGTTTGGGCAAGACGGTCGCGCTTGATGCTACCAACTCGCAGTAAAGAAGACGGATAAATGTACAAGAGAAAGAGGACTTGATAAATTCTGGTTATTAATTAGGCGTTATCTGCGAGACTAGAAGCTTTTCTAGAAAACTCATGATTCAACGATGGAAAAGGGTGAGAGTCTTCAACAATGGCTCTTATAGATTGCTATACAGCCACCAAAGCACGTGGAGAACAGGTTATAATACAAGCACGTCCTCCCTCTACGAACACATGAATACCTGTCAAATGTGTAACATTACATATACATATACTAAAAGATATAGAGGGGGTATCAACTCTATTCAAAACTTTTTACTCATTGTCCCAAATCCGCTTCAACACCGTCAGCGCAATATACATTGCTTCCTCCGTTCGAATCGTCCTGCTGCCCTGGTTCGGCAGCACATCGACCCAGTGATCAAACAGCTCTCTTGTCTTGCCGCCCTGAATGCCCATCCCGCCAAGTTCCTCGTCATTCATAGCCGCATATTCAATGCCTCGCGGTCCACCGAATACGATGAGCACATGGTTGAACTGTACACGCTTCGAGGACGGGAATTCTTTGGACGCGGGAGATCCTCGCTCAGACGTGCCGATGCTCAGGTCATATCCATTCTCATAGGGAGACTCTGTGAAGACGGCCGAGAGGGACGCTGCCTTGCGTACGGTGTAGCCCCAGTAGAAGCCAGCTTCCGTGCGAGGCGCATGAGGGTGCACGCACTCGCATGGCTCAGATTCGTCTTCCGAAAGCTTGAGCGTGACTCTCGTCTTGGGAGGAATGTCCTCTTTGATCTCGACAGGCTTTTCCTGGCCAATATCGACCAACGTGCCATTGCCAGACTTTGTCATTCCCACAATCGTGACACCTTCCCTGTAGGGCATTGATTCTTTGGGATGTGGGTGGTGAGCCGTATCAAGACCCGGCAGCGAGGACGTGAGTCGCAGATTTGGGTGCAGCGGGAAGAGTGCCTTTCGCATAAATGGCGGGGTTTCCATATACGACAGCACGTGTGTGAGGAAGTGGACCGGGTCGGTGTCTCCGGTATAGACGGACGTGTCGGTCCTGTGCGGGCGAGAAGACGCAGGCGAGTCGTCGTAGACAATGACTTCGTCGACGGAGAAGATGGCGAGGGCGCGGGCAACGCGGCTGGGAACAGCCATTCGTTGTTCAGCAGTGGGCAATCTATAGTGAACAATGTAAGCTTTTCTGATTCTACAAGGCAAAGACAAAGATGCGTACGTTGCGATTGTGCTGCTGGGGAATGCTACAGAGACGGTCCAGTCCCGTCCTTCTTGGGCCGGCACATTGACGGCATGGAACGCTTGCTGTTGAGCATTGCCGCCGCTGCTGGCAAGCTTTCTCTTCTATATTGCCTGTTTAGCATTCAATCTCACACGTTGGATCGGAATTGGGAATGCAATACCTTTGCTTCACGCTCTTGGTACGACATTGTGAATTATCTTGTCACTGAATTCCAAAGTCATGAACCAGGCGTCGCCTTTTTGGCGGTAGCTCGTCTCAAAATTATTTACATAGTTCTGGCAGAATAGTGGATCCCGGCGTTTACCGCCTGCTTGTTTCGCCAAGTGCGACAGCTCTGATTACGCCATGGTCGTGCTCCGTTTTGGCTGCACGGGCTATTTATCAGCCATGAATGATTAAGACAGTCGCATGCGCCAAGCTGGCCACGTTTAATCCCTTTGAACCAACAACAGCAACTGTCGCGACTACAAAAATAGTATACGATATTCATTCCCTAGAACCTACATTCGCGTCTTCAGTCTTCACAATGAGCGGCCCCGTCCATATCGCATCTGATGGCGAGTGGGAGTCACTGCTCTCCGGCACCAGCGTGGTTGTCGCAGACTGTACGGCGTCCACCCTTTGATCTTGTTGCGCCAAACAAGCAAATGGACATCAACTAACACGAGCATCGCAGTCTACGCCGACTGGTGCGGACCATGCAAGATGATCGCGCCGCACTTTGAGCGCCTCGCCAAGGAGCACTCGTCGCCGAAAAAGGTCGCCTTCGCAAAGGTCAACGTCGACAACCAAGCCAACATTGCCCGCACCAACGGCGTCACCGCCATGCCCACCTTCAAGATCTTCCACAACGGCACAGCCATCGAGACCATCCGGGGCGCCAACCCGTCGGCCCTGACCGAGGCCGTCAACAAGGCCGTTTCGCTCAGCGGCAGCAGTGGCAAGAAGGCCGAGGCCGTATTCAAGACCCCCGGCAGGACCCTCGGCGGCGGTGCAGCTGCTCAGGGCCAGGGCCGCCCTTGGAACGTGTCTGGGCTGTTAAACATCGTCATGATGCTCGTCGGACTGTACTTGACGTCTTTATTTTCGGCACGTAACAAGGAGGCGTAAGGAAGCTCAAGGGAGGACAAGTCTGCTAACTAGCGAGCCAGATTGATGCTTTCAAGGCTGCGGAACAGTCCATGTTTAACCCAAACAGACAGCCAGCGCCGCAGCCGAAGCCAACGGCGGCCAAAGGGCCTGTGCCCGCAGGCAGCGCCCGCGTGCAGCAGCAACAGCAAAAGCCAGCGTTTAGGACCCTAGCCGATTTGTGATTGTTATCCTACTGCCGAGGCCGTTGTGGTTGTGGACGATTAGTTGTTGTTTGTGTGTGAGCGTTCTTGCACTATCCAAGCCACGTTGGCATATTGAATTCTTTTCGCTACATGGATAAGTGGAGCTTAGAACTTGTACCTTTTTTTCCAAACAGATAAAGAAACAAACGAAATAAAAAAAAGTTGGAAAAATGAACAGCTTTCTTCTAAAATTTGGTTCAATGGAGCTATATTCCTGCAGTGGACCTAAACCTTTCGTAGCTGACCTCTCATATGCCAGCTATGTCCAATCATGGCGGATCAAAGCAATCACGTGACCATGAGAACTGGAAAAAGTTCATAAATCTTCAACACAGAGACGCTGCTTTTGTGGCCAATTCAGGCGCAAGGGGAGAAGATGTTGTCATTAAATGGAATCAAAAATGCTTGCCCAAAGTGCAGTTATGCATATCTCTTCACAGCACAGCGGCAATTTGCTCATTCGATTTCCACAGCTTCATCAGTGCGAAGATCAACGGCCCCACGCATACAACAAATTCAGCGAGGCTCGTATCAATTAAACAGACAATGTTTTTCCAGCTCTAGTATTGCTTTTCAGGAATCCCATGATGCATCAAGGGGCCAATCCCTAGAGGATATCGAAAAGGTTGTTCGAGAAGCAAAGCAGCGCTTTCGAGACACACTTCCAAAGGGCTATCTCAACGAAGAAGAGTATGCTCTTTATGAACGGCTTTATGGTCCACCACTTCGAGAGACTGCACCAGAAGATGTCGGCATTCCAACTCACGCTGACATGGGAGGTCAAGTCCCACGACCGACTGATGAGGGGACATTACTGCGACAGTCCGAAGAGGGAGGTTTTGAGGAAGTGACTTACAGAATTCCCCCACGACAGGGCGACGAGCAAGAGCTAGAGTCTGAGTTTGAACAGCCCTTGGAGTCTGAATCTGCGGTGGAAACGGTTCAAGAGCCTTCAGATTATGTTGACGCTGTTGCCAGAAATCCAAGGGAGCGTGAAGCGCTGCAAAGGCTCATGCAAGATTTCAAAACGGCGCAACAGAAGCAGCTGGAGGATGAAGTTGCAGCTGCGAGAGAAGAAGCCGAGGCCGAGCAGGAGGCATATGAAGTGGAGGAAGAAGAGTTATTCCCAGAATCAGAAGAGATTGCTGCCGATGCAGAGCCGGAAATGGGCCTTGGCGAGTCACGGCGATTCCACCCTTATACCTTGGACGGCAGATTTCATGCAAGTCCCGTCGAAATCTCGCTGCCCCAAAGCGCTCTTGTTACACCCATACGTGATCTCCTGGACCGGACTCATTTAGGCCATGTCAAGACTGCCGCCGAAGCAGCTTTTGGTGGGCAAGGCCTGCCGACGTCTCCATTCACGCCGGAAGGGAGGAAAAACGGGCAAATGGGCGGAGTCGGCCTGCCTCCCGATCAGCGACACATGACGGAGATTGAGGCAGATGCGTTTCTAGCCGGATATTTACCTCCTTCGTATGCTTCTGTGGTGTCAGTCTTGCGGGAGGTACGAAGACGACTGGGCAGTGACTGGATCAGGCAACGCCTTCAAAAGGACGGCTCTGCAGGACTGAGCGTTCTGGACGCCGGCGCTGGCGGTGCTGGTTTAGTTGCTTGGGATCAAGTCCTCCAGGCAGAGTGGGATTTGTTGAGAGAGCAGGGCGTGGTGAAGGGCTCACAGCCTCCCGGGAGGAAAACCGTCATCACCGGATCGGATCGACTACGGCATCGATTGAAGAGTTTCCTGCACAACACTACGTTTTTGCCCCGGTTGCCAGATTACGAACACTCGGGAGAAATGCAAGGTGAGCGTCTGGATGCCGGTGATACGCCACAGGCACGAAAAAGCTATGATCTCATCATCGCTTCGCATCTGTTTCTCAAAGAGAAGCAGGACCATTACCGCCAGGCCGTCTTGAATAACCTCTGGACGCTACTTAACAAGGACGGCGGTGTGCTTATTGTAATTGAAAAAGCACATCCCCGTGGGTTTGAAGCAGTCGCCCACGTGAGGGATACGCTTCTGAAACAATTCATTTTGCCTCAGAATGGCGAGTCCAGTGCTCCAACTGAAGAATTGAACCCGGCATATCATAAAGAACGAGAGCCCGGCCACATCATCGCACCATGCACAAACCACGGAACGTGTCCCATGTATAAGGAAGTGGGAAAGAGCAAGGGCCGTAAAGATTACTGCTACTTCAACCAACGATTCACACGGCCCGGATTCTATACCAAGATGCTGGGCAACAGCACAAACAACCAGGGCGACGTGGAGTTTAGCTACGTGGCGATTCAACGTGGCCGCTCAAAGGCAGACCAGCTCCCAGGATGGAAATCCACCGAGCAGGCCTTTGCAGGATACGAAAACTCCCCCAACCCACCAGACATGCAAACCCTCCCCCGGATGGTGCTCCCACCGCTGAAGCGCAAAGGCCACGTCACGCTCGACGTATGCACGCCCCAAGGCAAGATTGAGCGATGGACCGTCCCCAAGAGCTACAGCAAGCTCGCATACCACGACGCGAGAAAATCGCACTGGGGCGATCTCTGGGCTCTGGGCGCCAAGACCAGGGTGACTCGCAGCGTCCGAGTCGGCAGCGGGGTAGACGACGGAGGCAAGCGAGCGGAAGGCGGCAAGAAGCCTCGCAAGGTCGAGATCACAATGGATGGCGGGCGACTATCTGCGAATGAGAAGAATGCGCGAAAGGAACGCAGGACCAAGGGCAAGCGGGATCGACAGACTGATTTGATCAAGGAGATTCTGGAGGCTGAGGATATTGAGGAGCTGGAGATTGAGAGGGAGATGGACGCGGAGGTGCAAGAGGAGTTTGAGTTGGAGGATGAGAAGGGTAGAGGGAGGCGATAAATGTAAGTGAATGGATGTGAAAATGTACCATATGAGTTGGAAAGTTGCATGTACAATAGTCTAAGAACTCTTTGCAGGGCTTATGAGTTGTCTATCAAAAGAAATCATTATTTTTATTCTCTCTTCACTTTATGAATAAAGCCATACCTTTTCTTCTCTCTACGAAACGAAAAAACTTACTTTGTAGAATTTACTGCTCATATGCAGCATACTCGTATATATCCAAATTCATGCATGCCCGCCTCTTTCGGCGCTTAGCGGGGGGCGTCTTCACCTCAAACGCCGCCTCGGCCAAATTAAGGAAATAAGGTGCAAATTAAGCATATTCGGCAGCGCCAGAAAGGAACCAGGTGGGCGCTGCGCCGTTTCGAAACCATCATAAAAGCACCGAAGCAAATAAAACTTTGGAAACCATCTGGCTTGAGTCTGATCAAGTTTCTTTCATCATGGACCCTTGATCTTTGAATTCAAAACTTCCGATACGAAGTTACATTCCCAGTCTTAAATACGAGCGTTGTGGAATTAAAACGCAACAACTCCTAGCGGGTCTTTTGCCCGCAAAAGCTCTAAAATAGAACACTCCACTAGCGAGCAGCAGCAGCGTTTTAGGCTAGGGCACGCGATGCCAAATTCCATCCCTTGGAAATTGATTTTCCCCATCTGGAAGCTCCTTGGTTCATCAGGGGAGGGGGAGAAGAGACAAGAGGAGGGGGGAGAAGAGACAAGAGGAGGGGGGAGAAAGAAAAAAAGGTCCGGTCTAGAATCTGGAGATTGCTTGTATGGACTAATCCTGCTATTGTTAGCGTCGGAATCCGGACAGATTGTTTGAATCTCATCTCTATTTTAGGCTGTTGATGTGGCTTCTGCTTACTTTTATTCTGCAAACTTACCGTGAGATAAGGTGGTGCTGGTTGCGATCTGTTTTGTCTCTCCTTCAGTTCGTTTTATGTCTCGTTTTTTTGGTTTTTTTGTTATTCACCAATTGCAATTTCTTCTTCTTCTGCTTGGGATAAGGCCGTGTTGTCTAGTCTCCCTTCATCGTGGCAAAGGGCGTCGCGACTCCATTCGACTTCTATAGAGGGATACAACAATGTTTGCAAGCCGCCCGCGTTTCGTACGCAATGGCATCATCTTCACAATAGTCATCTTCATCTTATGGCGCTTCCAGGCCTCATCGTCACCCCCATCGCCATCAACCACAGAATGGAAGCTACTAAAACACCGCATGAACGACGGCGCGTCGCAGATCCAGTATCCCGAGTCAAAGTCCAGCTTCGACTGGGGCGCCGTGAAGCTTCGCTATCTCCCCAGCAACACCACAGAACTTCCCAAGAAGAGTTCGCGGCCTCTTCCACGGATCCAGCACCCATTTGGACCCGAACCATCAGCTGCGGCGCGGGAGCGGAGAGCGAGACTGAAGGAGGTGAAAAAGGTCGCTTTGCGGGCATGGAGGGGGTACAAAAAGCATGCCTGGATGCAAGACGCCCTGTTGCCGATTTCTGGAGGCGGAAGAGAGCAGTTCTCAGGCTGGGCGGCCACGCTGGTTGATTCACTCGACACGCTTTGGATCATGGGACTGCGGGAGGAATTTGACGAGGCAGTGGCTGCAGTGGCGGACATTGACTTTGGAAATTCGACGAGCAACCGGATCAACATCTTTGAAACGAATATCCGTTATCTCGGCGGTCTGCTAGCAGCGTATGATTTAAGCGGTAGGGAACTTCTGCTAAAGAAGGCAGTGGAGCTGGGAGATCTCATCTATGGCGGATTCAACACCGAAAACGGCATGCCCGTCGACTTCATCAACTTCCGTGCCGCCAAAGAAGGAGGAGGACTGCAAGTCGAAAGCGGCGTCGTGTCAGCCTCTCCAGGAACGCTGTCTCTCGAGCTGGCGCACTTGTCCCAGGTCACCGGGGACATGAAATACTACAGCGCCGTGGCGCAACTGATGGATGTGTTTTACCAGGGCCAGAACCAGACGAGGGTGCCGGGAGTCTGGCCGATGAACATCAACATGAACGCCAAAGACGTGGTCCAGGGGAGCACCTTTACGCTTGGCGGCTGCGCCGACTCTCTATACGAGTATCTGCCCAAGATGCATCAGCTGCTCGGAGGCGGCGAGCCCAAGTATGACATCATGTCCAGGACGTTTCTCAAGACGGCGGACCGACACTTTTTGTTCCGACCAATGCTGCCCGACGAGGACGACATTCTGATATCCGGCAACGTCAACATCAACGCAAAAGGCCAGCCGGTGCTCGATCCCGAAACGGAGCATCTGGCCTGCTTTGTCGGCGGCATGTTTGGCCTGGCAGGGCGGCTCTTCAGCAACGAAGACGACGTCGAGCGAGGCATCAAGCTGACCAACGGCTGCGTCTTTGCATACCGCGCCTTTCCCACGGGCATGATGCCAGAAAGGCTCGATTTCGCGCCGTGCAAGGACCGCGCCCACTGCCCCTGGGACGAGGAGTACTGGATGCTGGAGCGAGATAGGCGCAACGAGTGGAAAGAGCACCTGCCAAAGGGCTTCACCACCGCCAAAGACCCGAGATATCTGCTGAGACCCGAGGCCATTGAGAGCGTCTTTTACGCGTACCGACTCACAGGACGGAAAGAATTCCAGGACGCCGGGTGGGACATGTTTACGGCCATTGCAAAGGGCACCAAGACGGAGTATGCGAATGCCGCGGTGCTGGATGTGACGACGTTTGCGGAGAAGCCGCCTCAGGAGGACTATATGGAGGTGAGTATTGAGGCCCTCTTGATGACATCTGGTCCGGTATGCTGACAATGCTTTTTCAGAGTTTCTGGCTTGCCGAGACGCTCAAGTACTTTTACCTCCTCTTCACAACGCCAGACATTATCAGCTTGGATGACTATGTGTTGAACACCGAGGCCCATCCTTTCAAACTTATAAATTAAATGTCAGCTTGGATGACTGTGTTGTTGAGCACCGGGATCACCCCTTTGGGCTTATGAAATGATAGTTAACGCAGCGCAATTGTAATATAGTATACCAACGTTCAACAAGAGAGTTTTCTCATGTTTCCTTCGTGTTGAAAACCCAGAGACCGGAGCAGAGGGTCCGACTAGAATCGAAGAGGCTTCCGCAGAGGTATCAAAGCTCAACTTCTTTCAAGCTCACTCCTTTAGGAAACAAACAATCGCCATGCACTGCCCCACGAAGAAATAGAAAGTTTCAAGTTTTCTAGCGCCCACGATCAAATGCCGCTGACCACTGATTGGAGCTCGGATAGGCTTCCGTGCGAATAGATATCGGTAACGAGCGGACAACGCGTCTCCACGGCTGCTTGGGCATCATCATACTGTGTCTTTGTCGGATCAGTACAGTTGCCACCGGCTGTGCACAAGCCAACAGCTTCCGCGCTCGCCTCTTGTCAGCCAGAATGGCGTAGCGATCGGCAGCAAAGGCAAAGATGCTCTCCAGCTCCTCCAGGGCAGCATGTCATGTCGCAGGCGTCCTTTGTAAGCAGCCGGCAGCAGCAAATGCCCCAAGCACAATTCTCCGGCTATCCACTAAAGCTGCCATTTCAACGGCTCAATTCCAGCGGGAACAGGCATGGGGGCCTTGGCCGGCCTCTGAGTGGACAATTGCCATCAGCGTTCGTTCGATGCCGCCACTCCTTGACGTCAAGGCTGGAATCCCCCTGTTCAATGAGAGCCGGCCAGTATCAGACATCATTGGCGGCCAAAGTTTCATTGGCCGGAGCAAGTGGTCCGATGCGCTCATGCTGGACGGGTCATTGCCTGATCCAGCCACTCATGGCGGGGTTCACAAGCCTCACGAGCCACACTAGCCACGAGTGCGCGCCACACATGGCTGATCTGGGCTATTCGGCCTGCACATCACTCTGGGCTCTGGCCTGCGTGTCCAAGCTCGCAAACTCAAAAAATCCAATCTAGCTGTCTCTGCTTAGTGGATGCAAATCACGGTGGCGAAGACCCCTGCTGCTCTAACAGTCGTGATATCGACAATCTTGGCATGGGAGTCCCGCATCCCGCCAGATCCAGGTAGATGCTGAGATGCATGCCTGACGTGAGGGTTTGACATCTGATCAATTGGGGAAAGCAACTCTGGCATGTTTGAGAGCGTGAAGCAGTGCAGCTCAGGGTGCTTCCAAAACCAGAAACCATGCCTTCGGTACGGCCTGGTCGTGCCCCGTAGCATATCACGGTACTTGCCCCAGAGCCACAGAACAGAACTGGGCACATGTAGCACCAGATAGGTGCCCACCCAGCCAAGCCGTTCCTGGCCGGCTACGCAAGGCTAGAGAGGAGATATTTGGGGAAAAAAACAGGAAGTAAAGGAAGAAAGAACCGAGCCCCAGTTTGCCGGGCTCCGTTCTCCAGTGGTGACGAAGACGATGATGAAATGGGCCCCTCCAATGGGAAATAACCAACTTTTCCATCACATTCCCCAAAATGCCGTATATAAAGATCGCCACCAACTGCCTGTTGCTCCTCCAAGCCGTGTAAACCACTTTTATTTTTATTAAAAACCCATACTTGCAAATATTGCTGAACACGGGACAATACACGTGTCCGAGTGTGGATAAGTTCTGTTAATGGTAACCAGCTCAAATCCGTAAGCTACCCTTGCAACTACATTTGACAACCTACATTATACACCAGAATCTCTTTTGCTACCTATAATTTCATTTAATATAACAATTGCGCTCTTTTGCACTTCTTTGCTCTCGTTTGTGCCGTTATAATTACTTGCAACCCTCTCTCTTTTGGTTTAACATCGCCATTCTTCGCGACTGGGACGGCAGCTTACACCACAAAAAGAATCCAGCTATAAACCAAGCTCCTCACCCTGGGGCGCCTGCCTACCACTACTACTCTTCACCACCAAACCATCTACTTCAGCCGCCAACAGCGGTCTCAATCATCGCATTCTCACCACAGCGCTACCTCCACACCTTCCCCATGTATATGCGCAACATGAATCTCGAAAGCGCCATGCCGGAAGCCGCCATCGACCCACAGCTGCAGCTGCTTACGGGCAATCCAACAACAGAGACAATGCCATTTCCCTACTCTTCAACATCTTTCGAGTCGTGGAATTCCATGTTTGAGGCAATGGACAACTTTCCGCAAGCTACACAAGATCCCGGCATGATGGACTCGGATCCGTATAGCGACACGGCTTCGTCTTTCTCCTTGGGGAACGATCAAAACGCCCAGTTTCTCATGTCTCCCATACAAGGCGCATCTCTCAACCCAGATGATTCACCCAGCAACACCTCCATTGCCTCCACCTTGGAGTCTGGACCCAGCTCAAAACCCGAAACCTCGACCAACACCAACATCAATATCAATGCGAGCAACCCCAGCACCAAATCGAACACTTCAAACGCCACAAAGACCAAAAAGGGTCATCGGCGAGCTCGCAGCGCCTCGGATAAGAAGGAGCAGGTGAAGCAGCGCAACAGAGTGGCCGCATCCAAGTGTCGGCAGAAGAAGAAGGTCAAAGTAGACGAGCTCAAGGAAATGCTGGCCCGCCTGGAAGCGCAGAACAACGACCTGCGCAAGGAGTTCCAGAATCTCCGCGAGGAGGTTGGCAAGGTGAAGAGCGATCTGATCAACCACACCGAGTGCCACGACCCCAACATCAACCGCTGGGTCGAGAATGAGGCCAAGGGCTTTGTGAAGAAGCTCGTGGCAAACGAGGAGCGGCAACGCATGGAGAGCATCAGCAGCATAGATGGGAATGCCATGGCCGCGATGCAGATGCAGCCGCTCGAGGGAGTCTCCAACATGCCGCTTGGCGATCCCTACATGGGGCTGGATTAAAAAATCGACAGTCGACTCAATCACAACCTCCATCCCCGCCTCTATTTCTCGCTCTTCATCGGATGACCAACAAGGCTCGAGGGTTTCCAGCCACAAAATGCCTTTTCTCCATGCACATACTTCAACCACGGAATTTTTCTATTTTTCAGGTCTTCCTATATCAATCACACCATCTATTCACCAAACCGTCACTAGACTGCAAACAGGAGCTTTGCAATTGTTTCTAATTTTCTTTTTTTTTTTTTTTTCTTTTTTTTTTGGCCCCTCTTATTCTTTTGTCCATTTGTTCACGACAGCCCCAAGGATTGAGAAAAGAGACACTCAGAATACATATTGAGTCTTGTCTCCTTTTCTTCTAACCCTTGAGAAACGCGGATGAAAAAAGAAAAATTACGGACGCGGTATCTAAGCATATAATGTCATAGCACTGAACGGTTCACGATGCCTTTTTTCATTTCTTACCTCTTCCCTTGACCATGCATGGTGGAAGTATATAAACACTCGACACTTCACGACTTGCCCAACTCTTACATAGTACTGAGGGCCATGAAGATTCTTCAGGTTCATCTTCTTCTCCCCTTTATTTTCCCCTTCTCTCCGTTTCCTTTCCTTTCCTTTCTTTTTTTTTTTCTTTCCTTTTTTTTTTTTCTTTCCTTTTTTTTTTTTGTTCTCATGTCTTTCCTTTCCTTTTTATTTCCTTTTATTTCCTTTCTTTTATTTTTAGCGCGGCGCAACGTCCTTTTCACTCCTTTTATACGGAGAGGTGATTTTCAGCAAGGGAGGTTGGAGTTGCACCGCTTTTGAAAAAACTGAATAGGCGTCATGAGATACCCACGGTCACGGGCGAAACTAATGGAGTTTTAGGATTCGATATGCAGCGTTTACGTTTTCCTTTTACTGTACTGCGGCGAAAGCCAGCTTTTGTTTTACCTATCAATGTAAAATAGTGTCTCTCCAATTCCCCAGATTTTTTTGTCCCACAGACAGAAAAAGATACAACAAAACGGAGCTAAATAAAAATCTTACCAAAACTGCCGCACAAAATAGCCCCAAAGTGATTCGTCCGATAGCGGCCCCACATCGCCAAAATGGCGTCAACTTGGTGGCAGATTGTTCATTTTTCTGCGCGGCAGCTTTTGCGGCCTACAAAGCGGCGTTTTTTCGAATCGCGCAAAGCTTGGGATTCCCAAGCAAATGCTTTACTCCCCCCCAGTTCAAATCCATGCTAGATTGAAAATCACCCATCGGGTCTTCGGCGCTGGGGTCGTCGGCCTGTCGGGAGACATGATGAGTGGTGAGTTTGGGTCAAGGGTGGATATTTCGTAGCTGTTGATAAGAATGAGGGAAGTTCTCTCGAGACTATTTAGAAAAAAGCTTGTTTCCTCGGAGTGTTGTTCCTCGGAGACCTCTCATTCACTTCTTATCACAAAAAGATCCCTTCTCACTTCACTTGGTGATAAGGACCTCAGTCTCATCTTGTCATATCGCATCTATACCTTCATCTCATATATAGCCCAGCATAAGAATAAGAACAGCCCGTCAACCCCAGCATATCGGATCTCGGTCCCTCCCCGACGTCCCGCCCAAAAAATAATGGCTGCAGCACAAGCTCCCAGCAGCAACTACATGCTCGCCGGCCTCAACTGCGCCAACAATGTCCATCTCATCATCGGCACAAACCCCCTCGCCGCAGCACGATGCTCCCAGTCTCTCGGCGCCGGCGCGCATCCCGTGCTGATTGCGCCGGAAACAGCAGAGCTGCATTATAGCCTGCAGCGCAGAGTCGACGACGGCAGCGTCAAGTGGGTGCGCGCGGCGTTTAGGGACGAGCATCTCTTTGAGCTGGGCAGGGAAGAGGTGGGAAGAGTCGTCGATGCCGTCTTTGTGACGTCGGGGTCGAGGGAAGGGCTTGGTAAATACACTTCTATAAATAATACTATACATGACATGTAATCCTCACTAAAACACCATCCAGGCTCTCACGTCGCCTCGCTCTGCAAGGCCAGCCGCATCCCCGTCAACGTCGTCGACGCCCCCCATCTCTGCACCTTCTCCCTGCTCTCCACCCACAGCGACGGCCCCCTCCAGATCGGCGTCACCACAAACGGCCGCGGCTGCAAGCTCGCCTCTCGCATCCGCCGCGAAATCGCCTCCTCGCTGCCGCCCAACCTGGGCGCCGCATGCGATCGCTTCGGCGAGGCACGGCGGCGCATCCAGCAGTACGACAGAGCAAACGGCCTGTCCAGCTCCGCGACGCTTGGAGAGCTCGACGACTCGGTTGACCAGAGCGCGCTGTTCAACAGGCTCGTCACCGAGGAAGATGCGCGCAACAGGCGCATCCGCTGGCTCAGCCAGGTCTGCGAGTACTGGCCCCTGAAGAAGCTCGCCTCCGTCAGCGACGACGACGTCCACCGCCTGCTCGAGGCCTACGCCGTCACCGCAGAGGAAGACGTCGCAAAGCGCATCCGGGGCGGCGACGGCGACGGCGACGGCAGCCCATCTCGGCCGCTTGGCAAGATCATCCTCGCCGGCAGCGGGCCCGGCCACCCAGACCTGCTGACGCGCGCAACCTACAACGCCATCCAGGCCGCCGACCTCATCCTGGCCGACAAGCTCGTGCCCTCGGGCGTGCTGGATCTGATCCCGCGCCGCACGCCCGTCGAGATTGCCCGCAAGTTCCCCGGCAACGCCGAGCAGGCCCAGGAGGAGCTGCTGGCCGCCGCCCTCGCCGCCGCAAAGGCCGGCAAGACGGTCCTCCGCCTCAAGCAGGGCGACCCCTTCATCTACGGCCGCGGCGGCGAGGAGCTGGCCTACTTCCGCCAAAACGGCTTCTCCGCCGCCGGCGCCGTCACCGTCCTGCCGGGCGTCACCAGCGCCCTGAGCGCGCCCCTATTCGCCGCCATCCCCGCCACCCAGCGCGACGTCGCCGACCAGGTCCTCGTCTGCACCGGCACCGGCAAGAAGGGCAAGGCCCCCGAGCCGCCGGAATACGTCCCCTCGCGCACCGTCGTCTTCCTCATGGCCCTCCACCGCATCGTCGGCCTGGTCGCAGAACTCACCACGCCCGTCGAAAACGACCACTCGTCAGAAACCACCGCCCCTTCAACAAGACCCCTCTGGCCCCTTTCCACCCCCTGCGCCGTCATCGAACGCGCCAGCTGCCCCGACCAGCGCGTCATCCGCACCACTCTCGCCCACGTCGCCGAGGCCATCGAGACAGAGGGCAGTCGCCCGCCCGGCCTCCTCGTCGTGGGCCGCTCATGCGAGTTTTTGCACCCCAGGGAGAAGGGCAGGGCGTGGACCGTCGAGGAAGGCTTCAGGGGGTTGGAAGACGTAGGGATTGCTACGCAGTTGACGGGGCTGGGCTTAGCTGTTGGAGAAGCATAAAGTTTCTCGAGAAGGTGGTATGATATGAAAAGAGAGAGAAAGACAAAGAGGAGGAAACGTTGATATGGGGAAATTATGAGACTGGAATGGTTTGAAGGAGGGTTGAAGGCGCAACTGCCAAGATCGATCTGCATGACGGCGTTTCGTTGATTTTTGTGTGTGGTGCATAAAGACTGACAATCACACCACAGGCTGGCTGTTTGGTTTAGCTGTTTTGATTTAGAAGCGGGACATGGCAGGGCACTATTTTTGTATATTTCAAGGAATATCTGATACAAATAAATATTCATCGCAAGAGAAACAAGTAACATGAAGCATTTCTAGTCCATCTACATGGCAAATAATAGCTGATGTTTCATCTTTTACAAGTTTATAGTCAAGGAATGTTGAATCACGACAAGTTAAATCAAGTAAATGCATCACTATTGGAGAATAAAGTAGGAACAAAAAAAAAAGAAATGTCAGACCATTTTCTCCGAGATGCTATGCTATAGAAACAAGATATAAAAACACAACCATTTGCGCCGGTTCATGGTTTAAAAAGTGTAAAGAAGAATGGTGGAGGAGTATGCAAATTCTATATAACGTCTGATACGTCCCTCTGTAAATGGTATAAACCCCCGCTTGGCGGCAGATCGCAGATCAAATATATACAAGTCGAATGGTATGAGAAAAGAACAGTCACCTCTTCGCCGGCAAACTCCTCGGTTCCACATCTAGGATAGGGAAAAAAATGCCATTTCATAGCGCCCAGATAGTAGTATATGCATACACGTAAATTACCAAGTGAAACTTTCTTCAATGAAATCAATCACCGTGTGGCCTTGCACTGACCGAACAGCGCCTCGTACATCGTCTGCCAAGGCACCGGGCCCGCACACGCTAACCACCATGGCACCAGTCTGTTCCTGGACTTCCTTGGCCAGCAGTAACGGGACGTTGGGTCGTCCGGGGAACATCTTGACGGTCGAGCTGGTGCTGGCAATATCGCGAGGGTTTTGAGGCCGTGTGACAAACACTTGGATGCGGAGGATGTCTTTGCGGTTGGGAATTCGCAGGATCTGGTCCATGAATGGGCGCACCCACTCTAGGGATTCATACTCCCGGATAATCCAGACAAGCGTAACTCGCCGCGTCGCAACTGTGCCGTCGTTGTAGCCGTTGAGCAGGTGTCGAATGTAGGAGATCTGATGGGTGATGCCTGTAGAGCCGGCAAATAGAACTGCGTGGCCGTAGGAGTCGAGGCTGTGGTGTCCAGCGTACGGACCTTCCAGCGCCGCCTTCATTCGAATCCCTTGCTCTGAGGCTCTGACTGTGTTGAAGAGCTTTCGTGTCATACCAGTCTGGGCGCCGATGAGGAATGATACCAAAGTGTAGGCACTGTTGCGGTCCATCGCGGTGAGAGGCTCTTTCTCGGACGCAGGCAGGGAGTGTTGGACCTCGTGCTCGACCCAAGCGATGGAAAAGGGGTGGCTCTCCCATGCGTTGACGCCCCAGAAGCGAAGATAGGCGTGGGTTCCTGGCTTGATGTCAACATATCGCGGCAGGCGGAAAGTGACTCTCGTAACGTCGCCAGGCATGGGTTCACACAAAGCATCTGCAAAGCCCTTGTCGGACCAGTTGACCCACGCAAGGCGGGCAATTCGAGCAAGTCGGTCAGCTACCCAGAGTGACACAATGGTAATGATCCAAGACAGCTGAGGAAGGCCACCTGGGATGCTGGCGGTAGCGCAGTGGATCCATGTACAGGCGAATGTCACGGCGGCAAGGAGGATGTGAAGGTTGAGAAACGTCTCGTAAAAGGCGTGTCGGAGAGGCGAGACGGCCTGGATGAACATCAGCAACAGAACCAAAGTGCCAAGGCCTCCGGATCCGAGAAACGGGCTGTGGGTCACGGATTTCCAGGCACCGGCCCATCCGCTGTTAGCAACGCTCGGGATGGCCCAGGCAATGGTGTGGATGAGGATCTCGATAACAACAATGCGGCCCATCCATCGATGCAGGAGGTTGTATGTGTCGAAGCTGATTTGCAACAGCTTGATCAGAGGGTTGTTTCGCCCCGCCATGATGATCAGGGGAACCATGTTGACAAGGCCCAAAGTGCCGGCTCGGCCTCGCAATTCGGCGCAAAAGGAAAAGTAGTTTGCTTGAGTCCAATCCAGGATGAACATGTACGCAATGTTACTGGCGAGGTACAAGATGAGGAGAGTAGCATGAAGCCGTGACGGCAGGGTGCCAACGTTGATGGCAGATGAGAAGCGGAACTCTCGGTTGTGGCGTTTGCCAAACAGGGGAGCATATATCATATGCTTCTTCATGCCCGGCATCCAGCTCCATTGGGATATCTTCCAGTAGCCCTGCTTCTCCCGCGGCACTGACATGGCCGATACCTGGCGTAGCTTGGCCCATGCCAGCTCTGCTAATCTAATGAGTAAGATGATGACACCAACGGCTCCCAGACTGATCCAAAGTAAGTCTCTAAATAGGTTGTTCTGCGTCTGGTTGACACCATTTAGTGCTGTGGTATAGGGTGCGATTGTTGGGTTGGGTTGTACCTCTGAGCTGTCCGACGACCTGACCTGCAGCACTGATGTAGGTACCAGGGACTCGATGCCACCAGCGAACCGGCGCGGATGGTAGTCCATGCTGCTTTTTCTGGTCTTTTTTTTTGTTTTTCAACGAGGCTTAGTTTTCGTCGGAGGAGGCAGGGAGGCAGGATCAAGAAGTGCAAAAGGCTGAAAGTAGACAAGCCGTAAAAGAGTGAACGAGCTGTCAACCAAAAAAGATGCTCTTTGGCAATAAAAAAAAAGAGTGTGTCGGCCGTGTTCCAAATGGCGCCACCCAGTAGCGAGATGGAGGCACGGACGGTCGGAAGAAAGGACAAAAAAATCGATTGTGTCACACTCCAATGTTGAAAAGCATCCTGTGCGTACAACGATGAAGGTGGGAAAGGAAGAAGAAGGTTTGAAGGGGATGAAAACTGGTTCAACGTCGAGGGTGAACAGAAGCGATCAGTGGTGCAGGGGTCCCAGAAATCACCCGTCGCTGAGTGCGGGCAATTTTGTGGCTCGCTCTACTCCGCAGCGGTAGCCAAAAATTGCTTCCAGAACGGCCACTCGGCTTCGGGTTAATTCAGCCAAATGAACCGGTCCAAAAATTGCGATTGTTTGCTTGCGAGATTCGTTTCGTCTCGGGGGGTGCTGACGCGCGGTTGTGGACCCGTGGATATTGAATAGTGCAGGAGATGGGGACCCAGGCAAGGACCAGGAAGAACCAGGAACTCGAAAAAAAGGAAAAGCAGTAAAATGGAGAGGCGACCCAGGCCGCTATGCTTTTTGGTATGTGCGTGTCTTCTCCTTTGGTTGTGTTTGTTTATGCAGTTTCGTTCACTCGGGCGATCAGATGCTGGTATGCGCGTGGCTGTTACGGCAATAGCGGCCACAATAGTTGAAACGCCAGAGTCGCAGTAGTCGAGCCGATCCCGCGCCAGGGGTGTGTGATTGTGACGAGTGAAAAGAAACAAAATAGATTGCAAGCAGCTCTTCTGAGTGTTTCGAAGAGATGGTCGATGACGCCGACAGTCACTGGGGTAGTGGAAATGGGTGCAAAGATCAAAGATCAAAGGTCAAAGATCACAGGCCTCTCTGAGGAATGATGCAAAGGAAGGTGGCTGATTAAATTGCTTTTTGCTTCCCTGGAGAAGGGAAAAAAGGACGAGCGAGCAGGTGAATCAGACGAAACGCAAGACAAGAATGAATGGACGGGGGCGAGCCAACCACGCCGGAAGGGAAAGACAAGAAACGATGATGAAGACAAGAGTTGGGCGAGGGGAGCAGGGAGAGTAAAAGGATCAATGGTTCGCCCTGGACTGCGCACATTCCCCCTGATGGCCTCGAGATGGCATGTCCAGTGTCTGTACAGCGATCAATGGCTGCCCGACGTTGAGGTTGCGGGCTGGTCCAGGGCGCCGGGGTGCTAGGCTGTTAGCGCCCCCCCTGCCGAGCGTGGGTCCTGAACGGGTCGATGACAGCGCCCCTGCAGCCTGTGGCCCCGCCCAGAGAGGGCCTAGAGAGGGGTTCCTCGGCTGGCTGCCAGTGGCTGGCGGCCACTAAAAACGCCAGCTGGCTTTGTTTCCTGGCGCGGGATGCAGGAACCAAGCAGGGCAACGACGCCACTGCGAGCGCTGAATCTGCATGCTGGAGGTAGGTATTGTGGAGGAGTCTGCAAAGATATCAAGTAAGAAAATGCAGCGACGCCATGAGTTTGGGTTTACGCTTAATTCTGACGATCTTTTCCTCTAAACCGTTTTCCCTTTCATCCTATCGCCAGAGCACAGCATAGCACGATCAATGTTGATTATCGTCTTGTTTCACAGGTACTCGGTATCTCTTATCGAGTGGCTGCCAACACACGTGCCCGATGCATCTCCTACCTTGAGCCCAAATCAGGCTCTCTCTCTCCATCGCTGACCAAAAAAACTGCCTAAGTACCTGACTGCATCATTTTCTCCCTCTTCCAGCCTCGGGCAGTTACTTGATCCAACCACTGATAGGCCATCAACGCCCGTCCCTCACGCTCTCGACTCGAATGGTGGACTGCTCGGGGCTGCTCGGGAGCGCTATGCAGGGATTCGCTAGACGCAGAGAAGCGTGCTGCATGTCCAAGCAACCACCAACACGGAAAAGCTCCATCTCAACGCCTTTCCGGGCGCCGTGGTTGGCTGCGACGCTACATTTCAGATGCTGGGGCTGGCCGGCCAGATACGCCATTTGACTGGCCCATCGTGTTTCTGAAACAAGCCACCCGGCGGGCCCTGCATGCCATAGCAGAGCCTAGTTCAGGGGGCTAGCAATTCTCGTCTTTTGTTTCTTTACGACGTTCTACTGGTGCCATTATTGAACACCGAGGGAGCAGCAACACGAGGGAGTGGCAAACTTGAAGGCTCTGCTGGCCACTGACTGACTCTCCATTCCGACCAGATGCGACGCGAGAGGTTGGGATGAGCAGCCAGTCAGAAGCTTCAGCCCGCCAATGGACATTCAGATCTGCGGAGCGCTATTACCGCCAAGGCATTTCTCAGCTTCAAGATCTACTTGTACGCCAGCATGCCAGGAGAGCCCAATAACTGCAAACGTTACACTGGGCGCTCAGATGGTGCTATTGATTGTTCCCCGCGCAAGTAATCTCTTGCTATCGCACATTACCACTTCCAACAGCACAGAATGGCATGAGCAGATACGCACATGGCATGATACTCGAGGGCATAAGGAGACATTTCTGTTCTAGAATGTCGTCATGTTGCCCCTTGCAATCTTTGGCCTGAACCTGAAAGGCAGCTAAAAGGCAACATCTCTCCAGGTCGGCCTGTTCAGTTGCTGGGAATAGATATTAAGATATATTGCGAAAGATTACTCTTAAGATTGCGCACGAGCATCCTCCCCACTCAGGCATGCCTTGCCAATACTGGACCGGAATTTCTATACGATAGTGGAATAGCAGGAGGGGAAGATGCAAAAAACGTGGGCGAGCAGAGTAAGCAAGATGCTAGTGGGAAAAAGAAGAAAAAATCATTCCATCATCGGGACCGGGCGCCTTTAGCTGTCACAGAAAGATGAAGCCAAGGCCATCTTCATCTACTGCCAGGGGTCAGAACTTGCTCGAAGCCCCACGGCTCTCTCGGCGAACTACCCGATGAAGCGACAGTGACCGTCACGAGCATCTTGGCTCAATCACAAATAAAGTAGTCTCAAAGTAACAATTGAATCTTGGTCAGCAGTGGCTCGACATTCAGGCTTCATGTCGTGATGACTGTCTCACTTCTGACGACAGAACACTCACAATCAAGTCCGCAATCTTACCTGCTCGACTCCGCCATTACGTGATCTGGACAGTGCAGAAACTGTTTGCAGTCGACCTGCAGTGAATAGATGCAGGCGGGTGTATGCGCGGTGCTGACATTCCACTTGTTAGCTCTTTGTGATGTGAATTCCACCTGCAGGTTGCTATTATTAGCTTGAACAATTGACGGCAATCGATCAAAGGTGAATTACATGCAGCTGGGACAAACACAGAGCCACATGGCCGATGCTTACGTAGCTCACCGAATGCTCAAAGTCATGTGACCTTGAACTTGCGATGATCAGCACCAGCCACATGGTTTGCGCCACCAGCCACACGTGCTCCTCAGGCAGAAAAATTTCCGGGCCGGCCGCCGTTCACAGTGACGCCAGCCGACTATGCCCGGAATTTTCCAAGCGTGGTATCACGAGCTCGCCCGTCCAATATTTGTCGCATCGCCATTGAGCTCGCCACCATGGGTGCCCAAGAGTCCAAACCCCAAGGTCATTCATGGAAGGTGTATGTTAATCCACTGATTTCTCTTATATGAAAAAATCCACCTCCCTGCGGCCGCATTGGTTAGCTGACGACGTAAAATTTTATATCAAAACAGCTCAGGACCTCCCAGCGTCTCTCTACCGGTCCTAGAGACGCTCCAAACCAGTCCTGAAGTACGCCCTCGATTCGATACTCTGTAAATTCACCGTATGCCAAAGATAAACTAACATGGCGATTAAATCCAAGACCGATGCGTCTCGCAGCAGACTAGTCGAGCAGCACATCCAGGCCCGCGTTGCCGAGGAGCTCAAGAAGCTGCACAAGAAAGAATCCGACGCCCTGAAACTCGCGCACGACAAACTCGCCGACCTTGCATCTTCAGACGCCGAAGACAAGGGCCCCTCACGCTATACCGTCGGCAAGGAGATCGAGGCGCTAAGCGGCAAACTCGAGCAGCGAAAGCAGGTGCGGGAACTGCCCGAGGGCGTGGAGATTGCACGAAACAACGTTATCCGATGCTTGAGAGAAAACGACAGGAAGCCACTAGTCTGCTACGACGAGGTTGAGGCGTTCAAGGCGGAAGTGAAGAAGCTGGAGAAGGAATGGATTAACAGGGTGACCGCATAAACCTGTTATAAAGAGATATGAAAGGGATTTTCAGGGTCAATTGCGGAATGGGAAGAAAAGAGAAGAAGAAAGCGGAAAGGACGGGCATATAGACTCATAATGGCCGTCAGTGGTTCAAGCACTGGCCAAACATTGGAGAGCGAGCGGGCTGGAACAGAGGCGTATATATGTGTATACTATGGCAAAATTGGCAGCGGTAAAAGCTGCATGCATGGGAGTTGCAATGTATGACCAAGAACAAAAAAGAAGCAAAATTCATTCTATTCAAAAGAAGCATCCATTTGCAAATCTACTATATCTGTATCTTGTGATGCTGATTCCTTCTTCCCAGCTTGAAGCGCTGCTTTCCTCTTCAGCCCTTCTGCTCGCAGCCTCTCGCGCCTAGCCGCAGCATCCTCCCACTCCTTGCCCTCGGGGTTTAATTTCTTCGGTGCGTTTGCCGAATTCGGTTCCAGTATGGCCTCTTTCAGCGCTGCTCGGAATCTCTCTATCCGCTTTGTGTTCTCTACGAAGCGCTCGTTGGAGATTTGCAAGAGCATCTTGAGATACTCCGGAGCAACTATCCGTCGACGCTGTCCTTTTGCATCTTCGTAGCCAATGAGTGATTCGAGGCTTAAACCCATGGAGCGGATGGCAACCATGGGCGTTGTCTGGTCGCCAGATGGAGATGTGATGTTGATGGCGCCAGATTCTCGGAATCCTGCTTGTAGGGCGCATCTTAACAGAAGCTGGGCATGGCCAAGTGAAGCAGTAAGAACATGAAGAATCTTTAACGCATTCGTCAGTCAGTTCTATTTACAGACGATATCCTTTCAGGTGATAGGAGGCCACTCACCATGGGCTCAAACTTGAAGTGTATGAGTCTCCTCTCATCGCCGGCGTCATGATACATCTCAAGCCCATCTGCTGCATCAGGCAATCCCAATTCCTTCATCCAATCCAGATATCCCTCGCCTCCATCGGCCTTGGGATCATGAGAGACGTACAGCCATGTTCCCCCCGCTCCCTTGCCCCCTACTCTTGCAACTTGCTCACTCTCGCCATTCTCTGCGTCGCCAGTTTTGGATTTTCGACCTTCAAGAAAGACACTTGCACGACCCGCACAGCTACTTGTCGTCACATATCCTTCAGCGGTGTTGATTTCGTCAATGAGATATCGGATGCCTTCGTCAACGGTGCCCTTTGGTGATGCATCAGAATATTCTGCGTCAGGAACAGCGAGCTGCTGGAGAATTTTTGCTTTTTTCTCACAGAACGCAGCAGAAGGCGCACCGAGGCTCTGCATTATAAGTAGATCAACCTGAATGATGAAAAGGAAGAAAAGAATGAAAGGAAAAATAAAACTCTATTATATGCCTGCTCTACTCGGAGTGCAAAAGCGTGTATATCGCATAGATTATCGAATTGACTGTACATACATTTTCACATTACCCTGGAGACGAGAAAAAATGCTGATAATGCTCTATCAGTATTTCGCTGCTAGTCCCGTGGACCGCTGTCAGACGCTTATCTACGGGGCGCCGCGCGGGGCACTCGGTGGCTCAAAAAAACGTGTTCTAGAAACTCCAACAGTGCTGACTCCAGCGACGATTTCTTTTTCAACTTCAGTCACAGTGGCAACGGCTTTTATCAATGAATTACTCTTTATTTGCTCCCGCTCTCTACAGCTAATACGGGCATGTGATGCCATCTTTTGTCAGCAAACCTGCTCGGTCGGGGAATTCTCGGGATAAGATGATTGAACGCGCAAAAACAGATAAAATCAAGCCAAACGCCTTTTCCATGAATGTGTATACTAGAGGTTGAAATCCCTCCGTCAAAAATGCTGGCCCCTCGATGCAACTCCTTTTGAAATACTCCAATCGCCAAAAAAAACCATTAAAGGTCGTCATGTCATAACGAAATTTATATCCTGAGCGTGCCTCGCCACAGAGGAGCACGACACGCTGCACTCAAGCCTCATGAGACAGGGGCAGTTTTGCTCTCCATTTGAGTGGCAATCTCAGAGTACTTGGACTTCTTGTTATGGATGCCGCACTCGGTCTTGCTCTGGCCCTTCCACCGGCCGGCGCGCTCATCCTCTCCCTCGCCAACGGGCACGGTTGAGTGCCAGTCACCGACGGACTTGTAGCCTTGGTCGAGCAGGGCGTTGTAGGGGACGTTGTTCTCCTTGATGTACTGGTTGACCTGGGCAAAGGACCAGGCAGCCAAGGGGTTGATCTTGACAATGTTTCTCTCCTCATCAATCTCGATGATGGGGATAGAGCCACGGGCGGCACCCTGGGATCGTCGACGGCCATTCAACACGGCAGCGACCTTGAGCTCATCGTATGCTCGCTGGAGAGGCTCGACCTTGACGATAAAGTCATACATGTCGCCGGCGTTGTGGTAAAACTTCTCTCCGTAAGTCTCCTCAAGCTGCTCAGCACTCTCCATGCCGTCGGGCTTGAAGATGTGGATGGGGACATTGGGATATCTCTCTCTAACGCGGTCGACCAGGTCATATGTCTCCTTGAAGTGATATAGAGTATCAAGGAAGATGAGGTCAACAGTCCGGGACTCTGGGTTTTCCTTCTGGATCTTCGACAGCATGTCCATGGTGGCGAGGCCGGTCAAGCCAAATGCCGTCGACTGGTAGAGGTTGGGGAACATGATCCTGCAGAACCGAAGGATGTCCATGGGGTGCATAGACTCCATCTGCTCGTTGAGGTACTCAATGTGAGACTTGCTGAGGGAAATAACAGGCTTCTCTGTTCGTGGTGACGGAGAGTAGTCGGACTGGCCGGATGCATATCCAGACTCGATGTCGTTGGGGTCAATCTTCTCGTGAGTGTATGAAGGCTGAGCCGCCGCTTGCTCCATGATGACGGACATGATGGCAAGAGAGTGTTGTGTCGATTGTGTGGAAAGTGGAAGACGGCCCTTGGATTGGGCAAAAGACGAAGCAATTGGGCGGATTTGCCTGACGACCAGTATGTATCCACAACTGCGATGCGATGAAGAGATGCAAGTGGCTGATACTTTCCAGGACTAATGAGAAGAGCGTGCGTCACTGAGCAGAAGACGGTTGCGGTATGAAGCAACTATGGAAGCAGAGAAAGAAAAGATGGCTTGTTTTATTATTACTGAAAATCCTGGGGGAGCACTCGTTTTGATATGAAAGGAGGGATTCCGGGGGAATCTGTGGCCTTTCTTTACCAAGCCCGCCCTGACTAATTCTCCTCCCGGGCGAAGAAACCAATGATGGCGAACGAAACAGGCCCCCGTCCAATCTACCAGGCCAGTCCCCTCGGACCATCGCTCACGGAAACAGCAGAAAACGAGCCAAATTGCATTGAGCACGCGCCTTGGAAGCTCCTTAGGCGTCTGGCGTTGAGTCTAGGAGCGATCACGACATCGACGCCAAAGCTTCCGCGATGTCGAGCCAAGGCCTCTGATTGGCTGAGAGCGGGGACCCCAGGCAAAAGATTTCAGTATCATGGACAAGGAATCTCACACAATTGCTCAGCACTTATTCGAGTAACTTCTACTTGCGAGGGCTCCATTATTGCAAATACTGGGGCTGCGAAGGGTTTTCCGGGGCTTTGTTGGCTTAGAAATGGAGGTGGCTGCCGGAGATGGAATCGCAAAGGAGGGAGGGAATGATCTCATCCGATATGACGAAAAGGATCTGGAAGATAATCGTCAAGGCTCGTCATGGACTGGGAAACACCAAAAAGGACTAGAAATGGGGGGGTATAAGAGCTGCTGGAGATATGGATCAAACAAAGACGACTCTGGCCAATTTTTTGCTGCAAATATGATGCCATCTCGGTGGGCAAGCGGCTCATTTTGTGCGCCTTCGGGCTGTCGGCGGCTCTGAGGGAGTCGGGACCCGACGGCCGTTGGATGATTAGATTTGCACCTTAACCCGATTTTATGGGTCTTGGTGTGGATCGTTGCGAGGACCCGAGTCGGCTCGTCGCTCGACGGCATCATTGGAGAGCTTGAATATTGGCTGAATTGGGAAGGATGTTTTGCTAGCGAAGGTATGCGTCAGCTCGCGAGACGAGTTGCTTTATTAATAACTGCGGAAGAAGCTATTGATTGCAGGCAATTACACACAGTCTGCAAGTGTGAGGGGCATGCTTCTGCTCTCTATGCGCTGTTTTACAGAGGACTAGCTACTCATTCCTGTGATGCAGGAAGAGCCGGGATTGGACGGGGTCGTGTCCCATTGCTGCGAGTTGCTGCGTCTTGCAGTACTTGTCACTGCCTGCCTGGCTTATGCCATGCATATGTACTCGTACCATCGTACGCAACCGCGGTAGGACACTAAGCCCTTTTGCCCATTTGCAATGACATGAGTGCAACTATACGCCGTGAACGCCGATCCGGAGATACTGCTCATCCTTTTCTATACGCTCTCTGAGCTGCCCGCTCTGGAGCTCCTCCACATCCCACGCCGACCAGATGAAGCGACCGTGCAAAAAGGCCGCCTCGTCTGAAGCTGCCCACACGGCAACCGAGGAGGGGAGACTGACTGTATGACAAAGATGGTTAGCCCACAAGTCATTTCAATGACGCAAAGAAGAGATTTTCGAAAGTGATGGGCAGGTGGGGATCCTGTCCAGAGATTTGGGTATACAACGTACTATCATCCCAGTTCAAAGAGCGCTCAGTGGCGCCATGGCTCTTCGCACCAGGGCTCAAGATGGCCCCCGGGTGAAAGTTGACGATTTGCATCTTGGAAACTGGAGTGTCCCGCGCAAGTTGCTGGAGCAGGAGCACGCCCGAATTCTTGGTGAGTCCATAGATCTTGGTCGTCTCCCCAGCGGGCCAGTCGTGGATCGCAGAAGTCGCCACGTTGACGAGGTATATCTGCGGTTGGCATGGTTGTCAGCGAACCGCATGTTCGAAAAGAAGTGAAGCTTGGATATACGCAGAAATCCCCACTATTTACCTTTTTATCGCTCTTTTGCTTCCAGAACCGTTCGCTATAGTGGTTGAGCGAACGCACATGGACAATGAACTGTTCCCAGATTGCCTCCCATCCGGCATTCCACATCGAAGATGTCGCTGCAGAGCCCGTAACAGCCGCATTCAAAACGAGGACATCCACGTGAACGCCCTCCGCCTCAAGAGAATCCCACAAACTGTCGATGCTCTCCGGCTTGTTTGGCAAAGCAGCTCTCCCTTCAAACTTTGTTTGTGATTCAGGGCCCGCCTCTTGAGCGAGCTTTGCAGCCGCCGCCTTTTGCTTGGCCTCTTCTCTGCCGACGATGATGACCTTGTCGGCTCCAGCTGTGGCAAAGGCGAGGGCGATGCCGTAGCCGATGCCCCCACTGCCGCCGGTGACGAGGACCGTCCGGCCGGCCTGGGAGAGGGCGGGGCGAGAGGGCGAAATGGCCGGGTAGGAGGATTTGTGGGTTTTGTCGGTGATGGAGATGACCCGGTAGGGGATTAGGAAGCCGTCGTTTGATGTGGCTGCCATTTTTCAGTTATTGCTGGGTTGCAAAGCTTGGTATTGTTGATTCAATGGTTCCTCTCAAGGCGTATACTGCTGAATTGTCCTTGCGATTTGAGAACGATTTAACTCTACAACATACGGACTTTATATACATCATCATCAAAAATCGTCTCCATTAGGTGCGTGCGGCTTTCCACAAATTCAGAAACACCTTCTAAACTTCTCCTTCACGCTGTCTCATAACATCTTCACCATCCTCCGTGAAGGCGTCGAGTCCCCAATATCCCCATATGCGGAAGACCCATGCGGAATTCCGCACTTTTGTGGGGCGCCGCCGACTTATCATGGAAGCCGATCAGCCTCTCCCGCTTAGAAGCCTTCAAACCTCCTTGACTCTCTTCCGCATCTCATTTTATTCTCTTGTCTTTTTTTGGGGGGCAATCTATTCATGCTGATCACGTTAGATACGGAAAAAACAGCTTTGTCATGCTGTCAACTCGTAAAAAGTCATGTGCCGCCTGCGTGGCTGGCAAACGGCGGTGCGATCTCGACTTGCCTACTTGCGCTCGGTGTAAAAGAGCGAAGAAGGAGTGCGTTTACCCCTGGATGGCAATTGGGAGTACGGATCAGGCGCTTGATCTGATTTCATCCCCAACGAGTGCACAAAATGGTATTGTCCAAGATGTGAATGGGGGCTGGACAGCGAGTGGCAGCAATAGCAGCAGCGATGATGGCAGCATGGATGCCGTATCAGGCTACCTATCACCGCATCCGTCTCTAACGGTGCCCGCTCCGCTGGTACCCGGCCTGCTGTCTCAGCTAGACGAGTACATTTCCCAAAGCCAGGACCAGGCCGTGCTGTCGTTGGGCCCGAGTCCCCGGCTGATCCATGCCCTGTCTTCGGGCCAACAGTCTCCCGCAGCGGCGGACTACTCCACCCCCGAGTTTATATACTTTGACATATCAGACACTCCTCCGACCATCGGTGCCGTGTTCCAGTCCAGAACGGAGTATGCGGCCGACCGTCTGGCCTCGCAGCCGCAGATGCTGGCCATGATGGGTTATAATTGTTTCATCCACCACACACAGGTGTCGTCGTCAGAAGTGCTGCAGGAGGCCCTCGCCGCAAGTGCCCTACATTGCATGAGGAACACGGCCAATGCGGCCCTCGTGCGAGGCGAGGTTGCCAAGCGAGTGGTTCGCCTCATTGGGTCCATCCGACACGCCATCACCTCCGCATCTGATGCTGCTGCTGCCAGCGGTGGTGTTGGCAGGGAACTCGACCTGCTCCCTGTGCTGCAAGCCCTGGTCGTCTATCAATGCATCCGCTACTTTGCAAGAGACGACATCGGCGAACGAATGCGCGCAGAACGGGACGAAGCCATTGTACAATCTCTTCTAGCAGCTTTATATCCGCGTCTCCGGTCCTTTTCCAAGAGCATCGACAGCTGGGACGCCTGGATCTACTACGAGAGCATGCGCCGCACCATCCTCACCGCCGAGATCCTCTCAGGGACCTATCTCTTCCTGAAGCAAGGCTGGGACCAAGTCGAGGGCCGCATGGTGCAGCTCCAGTTCACGGCGCAGGTGGCTCTCTGGACGGCCAAGTCGGCGGTGGAGTGGGAGGCGATGTGGACGCGAGGGCCCAAGCTTGAGGTGACGATGCGGTCGTGGAATGAAGATACCCGCGAGGCGCTGCCGGAGGACTTGGACGATTTGGGCCATGTGATTTGGGCGCTGCATCATGGGCTTGAGTTGATGAAGAATTGGCTGGGGAAGGCTGAGATGGGACGATGGGGGCTGCAGCCTGTGATGGGGAGTTGGAATTAAAGGTGGGAATATCTGGATGTTTGAGGGGCGAATGGATAATGGGATACTTGGATCTGGGAGCGTTGAATTTTTTGATATTTGTATTGGCGTTGCCGGAGGGAGCATTGATAGCTGGAGTGATGCCAATATTTGAAGATTGATTTTGGTGATAACATGGGCTTACATCCTCGGCTGTTTTCTTTTTCTATATTTCGTACCTGAGAGACTACACCAAGAATAATACCAAATACCATCTACTCTCGAAACGTTTACTTGCAAGGGATGATATAATTTCCAAAACTGACATTTCATCTAGTTTTACCCTAAAACGCCACACGCATTTCCGGCAACAATGTACAGGCACCAAGAGGCACCTACGCAATTGCACGTGGGACTGACAGGTGCGGGGCAAGCGGCTGTGGCATGCATTTCAGAAACTCCATCCATCTCCAGCGGGCGGGCATCATATTGCGCAAATCACACCATTTTTCTGCTGCACCGGTGCCCCCAGGCCCAATTTTGCTGTTTTTAGTGCCCTCGAGCCTGCTTTCGGAGCAATTTCTCCACGCCCCGGGCGATCAAACAAACAGGAGCGGGTAGCGGGCAGGCTGAGGTCGAACTCTGCGTGCGAGGCTGTAACTCTGCGGCTGTTGATTTGTCCATCCATCCATCCAGCCTTTTTTTTTTTCTTGTCCACCAGCCCCGGCGTTGATCCAGCTGTTGTGCCCCAGCTCTTGTTCTTTTTTTTATATTCCAAGTCGCCATCAATTCAAGTCACGAGTAAACAAACATGGCAGACGCGGCAAAACAGTCCTCGCGCCCGCAGCTCACCAGCAGCATGCGGAGCAGCTCGTACCTGAGCGACCACCAGCAGTACCGCCCGCCGCAGCACCGCATCCCCGAGGCGCATCACGGCATCGACACCGTCGTCGAGGACTCGTCGCCGTCCAAGTCGCCCAAGGCCGCGCTGCCCTTCAATGGCGTGCCGTCGCCCGAGCACCCGCCCATCATCGTCGACAGCGGCGTCACCCACAGCTACTCGCACCAGGACTGCGCGCCCCCCGCCGGCCAGAAGACGGACCGCCTGATCGCGACGCTCTTCTACAAGGGCTCAGACCGGAATGCGCCCGGCGCGAGGAGCACGTCGGGCGGCCTGAGCAGGTCGCGCTCGCCGGCCAAGAACGGGCTGGGCGACAGCACCGAGTCGCTGCCCCCGAACATGGCGCCGACGACCAGCATGGACGACTTCCCCCTGGAGCCTCCCACGCAGGAGTCGGAGCAGCTGGACCACCTCTACGGCTCCTACGTCTCGCCGCTGTGTGTCACGTCGTTCCTCCATCTCATGTCGACGTTTCCCCTGCCGGACGGCGCCGAGGAGCCGCACTCGTCGCATCGCTGCTTGGACAACCAGGAGGCCCCGCGCGTTGTCGAGCTGACCTTGACGCCCGCGCCGGCTCCCAGCTACCTCAGCCTGGACGACTTGCGCAAGCACGAGCTGATTTACCGATTCGAGCAGGAGTGGAACGTGGACGTGGCCCTGCAGAGAGACGTGTTGTGGAGGAAGCACCCCAGACTGGTCGTCTTTGACATGGACAGCACCCTCATCACGCAAGAGGTCATTGATCTCCTCGCCGAAACCGTCAAGGACCCGCCGGATCTTGCGGAGCGAGTCGCCAACATCACACACCGCGCCATGATGGGAGAGCTCAACTTTGAATCGTCATTCCGAGAGCGAGTCGCCCTTCTCAAGGGCCTGCCGGCAACGCTCTTTGAGGACCTCCGGCCGGTCCTCGACGTCACCAACGGAGTGCCAGAATTGATCAAGGCCCTGAAGCGCCTGGGCGTCAAGACGGCCGTCCTCTCCGGCGGTTTCCTGCCGCTGACGGGATGGCTGGCCAAGGAGCTGGGCATCGACCACGCGCACGCCAATGAAGTCGTCATTGAGAACGGCAAGCTCACCGGCGAGGTAAAGGGCGTCATTGTCGGAAAGGAGCGCAAGCGCGATCTCCTCGTCGAGATTGCCCAGAAGGAGGGCGTTGACCTGTCCCAAGTCATTGCCGTTGGTGACGGCGCCAACGATTTGCTGATGATGGACAAGGCTGGCCTGGGCGTGGCGTGGAACGCAAAGCCAACGGTGCAGATGGAGGCGGGCGCGCGGTTGAACGGGCAGAGCATGCTGGACCTGCTCTACCTGTTTGGATTTACGGGCGAGGAGATAGACATGCTTATTTCTTAGGATTAGCAAAAGGGTTACGGTGGAAGGGCGTTTGGTGAAAGGGAGGGAAACCCCGGGTATGATGAAGATGGCTTGAGAGAATAGGTTTTTCATGTGTAAGCTTTTTGCGATGTGAAAATTTCCCTTTCGTTTATGAGATGAGGTCACAATGACAATGGCGACGACCTACTTTGCTTTTCTTTTGCTTTGCCCAAGTGAGGTTGGTGTTTACCATTTGTAAAGAAAAGGAGACACACAAATCCTCAGACTGTCCTGGATATGATATCAATATATAAGAGAGTAATGCAGCGACTCACATTCAATAGATACGTAAAAAAATGTCTTCTTCTTCTCAAGCCCCTTTTCTCACGTCATTGTTTTGGTGCAAGACATGTATCATGTTTACGCCCCACCTCCACTCATATGTCTACACAGGCGAACCCGCCTCATTTAAATACAAAAAGGTATGCCTGCTCTGCCTCTGCCTCTCCCTTGACCTCCCCATCCGTGCAACCCATATTCCATCTCTTCAAGGGTAGCCCTCCTTGCCCCACTTGTTGTACTTGTCGTGGTACTCCTTGGGAGCGGTGACGTTGGGGATGATGACCACGTTGAGAGCGCTGGGGGCATCGCGGGGAGCAGCGTTGGGGTCGCCGCCGGGGTGGTAGGAGTACTTGCCTCCAGAGCTGCCCTCCCAGGCCATCTTGTCGACGTTGACGGGGGCCTCTGAGGTTGCTCCAGTGGGGGATCGGCCTGGGGAAGGAGTGTTAGCATTTGACCGTGGGATTCTCATGCTAGGGTTTAATGCTGCTAAAAGGAAAGGCGAAGTTATTGCACCATGGCACGCAGAGGACCATGTGCTTAACAATATACATACCAAAGTAGAAGCCAGCACCGCCCAGAGCGAGGGTCATGACACCACCGAGGATCTGTAAACCAAACAAACATGAACCATTAGCCATCAATTCCCTCCCCAAATCTGAACTGAAGCCTCGGCATCTCGCGGAGCCGAGCAGAAGAGCTTCGTTGTTTTTCAATTATGACGCACATAGATCTCGGGGTTTCGCTTGGACTCGGCCTGCAGCTCCTGCTTGGAGGAAGTCTGCAGACGACGGACAGTCGTGGAGAAGAAACGGCGGGTGATCATGGAAGCCATTGTGTCGGGTCGGATTGGCTGTTGAGGGGATGTTGCGGTTTTCTGGTACGAAGGTTGGATTTGCTGCCAAAAGCTTGCCGGAATAGTGGTGCTAAAAGCTGGGGGGTCGTATGATGAATTGCCCAAGCCCGAGATTCCGAGCCTGCCATTGGCCAATGCCAAAGGTGGGATGCTGCACGTGAAAAGTCACATGGCATTCGTCAGAAAAGCGAAATGGCTTAGGTAACCATGAGCTCACAGCACAGGCGTGGGAGATGAAAAAAATCCGGGTTAGGCATCGATCCGCCCAGGACACCAGCACGCGCTAAGACCTGTGACGGCAGCTGGGCAATTTCCACGAGCCAATGGCGGGCGCGGCGGATTGGGCGCATTGACAACAGCTCAAAGCAGGTATCCGGAGCTTGCTAGGAACCAGCCAGTGCCTGAATGCGAGCCTCTGAGCCCAAAGCTGGAGCCTGCCTGTCTCGTTTTTCTGTTACGAAGCATGCCTGTCGCAATCGTCTCCGTATTGTGCATCTGCATACAAAGGCTTTTGTAAGCACGTCCATGTCTTGCCTTGATCGGTAACACAGGCCGTTAATTGCGCCGTCATGCAATGCCCCCGGGCTGCAGCTCGATTCGCGCACCTTGGCTGCAATGTGCTCCGTGCAGCAGCATGGCTGGATGTACCGGCGTCGTTGCGCGCAGGTACCGGCTACGCACCTCCGGCGCCGCATCGCCCGCTAAAACGCTCGTAGCCAGTACCCCGTGCATGCTCTCCAGCTACCGCGTCTACCGCGCCGGCCGCAACCACCATCAAATTGCGTAGAGACAATCGCACCAATGGCCCAGCCCCTTTTGCGGGAAAGGAGGGTCTGCGCCGACGGCATGCCTGCAGCCTCGTTAGCAGTTGGCAGGGCATTGTCGGAAAAGTGGACGAACGGCAGAGACGCTCGTCGCGAGAGAAACGCACGTCGATGCAATTTAATGCTCGCCGCCTCTCTTCTCTCTCTCTCTTCTCCTCCGCTTTTGCCGGAGCGGGCGTCCTTCCGGCCTTGCCTCACTCACAGCGCCGAAACTGCCTCATCGCCTGGACTCTTTGTTTTTTCCTTGCCAACTTGAAGCATCCCCGCTTCCGACACTCCCTCATCCAGTTTTGCGCAGTCTTTTTTTTTCTTTTCTTTTTCTCTTTTTTTTTTTTTTTTCGATTCGTCTACGCTCTCTCTCCCTTGTTCTTCTTTTTATACAGCCCTTTCGCCACGCTCCTTTGACCGTTACGCCTGCTGTGGACTCTCGCGATCCGACCCACGACGACTCTGTTGCGCGACTCATCTTACAAAGCAGCTAACCTGAATAATCACGATTTGCACACGAACCAATTTTCCCAGCGACCAGAAGCCATTTCAGCCCTTTCCCCCCTATCTGCGCGTTCCCGGCAGCCGCCTGCTCTGTCTAACGTCGAGTCGATCTGTCACACGCTGTTTGCACGATCTCTACTTGCGCTCGAATTTTTTTTCTCTTTAGCGGAATCCTCGGTTCTGGTGCCTTCGAACAGCAGAAGCGAGAAAAAAAAGATAGCACCAAGTACATCACACAACGAAACGGGCTATGTTATAGGACCAGCTGCGATCAACACACATTCGGGACCATCACGATGGCGTCCCCGCATCCAGACGAGCCTGCTGCGCCGTCGGGCGACGAGCAGACGTTTTCAACTCCTGAAATTTCCAACAGGCCCGACGCGCAGCGCCCTGCCAGCGTTGTATCCTCTCACATGACGGACATTGCCAGCGAGGATGAAGCAGATGACGTTGCGTCGACATCGGCACCCAAGACGCATCGAACACGAGAATCGGGATCGGTAATCCGGCCAGAGTCATCCAGGACGGGGGTCTCGACCTCCAAAGTTTGGGCAGGCGGCAGGAAGAATTTGACCGGCGTGGGAAAGAGAGGAAGCGGCACAAGCACGACGAGCTCTGCGCTGGGACGATCGCCGAGTCTGACTTCGCGAAGTCATGTCCCGTCTCTGACGTCAAACGCCTTTTTCCACCCCATGAGCTCGCAGAAGCTGCAGGCCCAGAGAGCGGGAGCTGTGCGGCCCATTTCGACGAATCAGCCACCCGCTGCGCCCCAGCCACAGTATGGGGACCTTCCGGACAACGCAACCGATGTTGATGGAAGTGTTATCCACGACTTTGCACCCTTGGCCAGCCCTACATCGCCCGTCCAGTATGTCATGTATACCGAAGACCACAGGCATCTACCCTCTCGCGGAACCGACAACACCGAACACACTTTTGACCAAGGCACCGATGCGACCAGTCCCACTGGACATTATGCGGCCGGGAGCATGTCGGAAAGCGTCCGACCGCTGCGCAAGGCCTCGATTCCAGAGAAATCCCCTGCACATCTCGACCTCAGCAGAGATGGGAATATGAGGGGCTTCCCCAGCCCGATGCTGAAGACGCCAAGGTCTTTTGGATCGACATTCCTGCCTGGCATGGGTGACCGAGACCGCGATCAGAGCCAAAGCGGCCAGAACCGAAACACGGCCGGCGTAGAAAAGCTCGGCTCTACTGCGTCATCACCGCGATTAAACCCCGTTGATTCCCAACATCGGCCCAAGACTGAGAGTACTGCAGCATCTCACAAAATGCGCAAGCACCGCAACTATGAGTACTTTGAGGGCAACACCATGTTCTGGTTTGGAGGCCGATGGCAAAACACCAGGCAGCGTCCCATCAACATTGCCACTGGGGTTTTCATCGTCCTCCCCTGTGTTCTATTCTTCGTCTTTGAAGCGCCGTGGCTGTGGCACCATGTTTCTCCAGCCATCCCCATCATCTTTGCGTACCTTGCGTACATTTGCTTCTCATCTTTCCTCCATGCCTCCATATCAGATCCCGGGGTAAGTACTTCAGATGAAACGAGACATATCCACATGTCTCTAAATCCACATTCCTAAGAGTAGCTGGCCATCAGTGCTAACAGACACTAGATTCTCCCGCGAAATCTTCACCAATTTCCGCCGCTCGGCTCACTTGAAGATCCCCTCCGTGTCGATCCCCCGACAAATGACTGGACCCTGATAAAATCAGCGGAGCCAACAGCCGCCGCCATGGAGTTTCCCGTCAAGCACTGCCGGACCTGCAACATCTGGCGGCCGCCTCGTGCTCACCATTGCCGTTTGTGCGACAACTGCGTAGAGACGCACGACCACCACTGTGTGTGGCTCAACAACTGCGTTGGCAAGCGCAACTACCGATACTTCTTCACCTTTGTCTCATCCGCCACCTTCTTGTCTCTCTATTTGATTGGAGCCAGTCTTGCCCAGCTTATTGTTTACATGAACAATGAAAACATTTCATTTTCCAAATCCATCAACCACTTCCGCGTTTCTCTCGCTTTGATCATTCTAGGAGTCTTTGCGTTTCTATACCCCGCTGCCCTCATGGGATACCACATATTCTTGATGGCTCGCGGCGAAACGACGAGAGAATTCATGAACTCCCACAAATTCACAAAGGCTGAGCGGTATCGACCGTTTGACCAAGTCAGCTTCTGGAAGAACATCTTGGCTGTCTTGTGCAGGCCTCGCACGCCCTCTTACTATCAATTCAAGAAGGCATATGGCAACGGTGATCAGCGACTGGGCCTTCACCGAGACCAAAGACCGCGGCTCGATTCTCGAGGCCTTGAGATGGATGCAGTCAAGCCCACATCTGCAGGCTTCCAAGGCCCAGTTGCCCTACGAGGCGAGAGCCAGGGCGAACCTTGATGTTAATGACCTCTGCATATCGCGTTTCTTTTTCCAACTGCTATTTTTACCACCCATTTATCTGTTATTTTCTTTACGCAACCATGATTGCGATGCCCCATTTTCTATTCACTCATCTTTACAAAAATAATTCACGAAGGAAACACATATTGTTAGAGTGGACATACATGGAGCTGCAGTGTACGATTCTTGCAACGTGTTGGAATATAGCTAATGTATGTGTTTCTAATTATACCCTATGTTGGCGGTATATCTATACCTTTTGTGTATTTTCACCCCTCTTTTTTTTTTTTTTTATCTTTTCATCTTGTTGATGTCTTTTTCCTTCTTTTATCCTTTTTGGTTGGAGAGGCGTGGTGGCGTCAATGAGATGGACAAACATATGAAGCGTAGACTCGGTTCACGAATTACAAGTTAAAGCATGCTGGTCTTGATTGACAATGAGTTCGGTTTAAACACGAATACAAAATTCTATTCTTTTTTGCCTCTACCCTCACCTTTCTCTTTTTCTCGTGAATACTACCTATCGACTTTATACCCATTTATGTTTTACACAGTGTGAACAACTATATACGAAATATCGAATCAGCTGCAATTACCAAGCTGGCAAATACAAAAATGAGCTCCTTTTCATAACCGCGAGGCCTGTCACAGACTTATTTGTCAACTTTTCTGCCCGTCCAAAGATGACGCCCCCAATGACCCACGTGGAGTTGTAAGTGGTGATAACGTCAGCGAGCACATGCAAAGCTAAGGAGATAAGGGGCTGATAAGAGAATTTTTCAAAAAAAGAGAAAAAAATTTCGGGCTTGGGAAGCTAATTGATAAGGCAAAATGCTAAGGCTCTGGGGGGGCTCCAGCCAGTGCAGTGACCGCTAATGGTCACTAGAGGGGGGCGCCGGTTCAGCTGTCCCCGTATAATTCTTTCTTCCCTTTTTTCCCTTTGGACGACATCCGCCTCTTCTTCTTCTTTCTCCCCAGACGTTGCTTTTGCACAGCCTCTTCTTGCGTCCTGCGGCTGAGACTCTTTGCTCTGGGGAATTATTTCTCGTTTTTTTGTTTTTATTTTCCCCTTTTGTTCTCTTCATCTACAGAGTCAAATTCAGCAGGACGCTTAGAATCACCGCTATGCCTCACCCAGTCTCGCCGCCGTCGGGCCTCCCGACTGTGGTTTCGAAAGAGGCTCCTCCCCCGCCATCACAGGAAGATGTCGCCGCCTTTCTCAACACAATCTTCACTGCTCAGACATCCTCTGCGTCCATAGATGCCTGCTACGGCCTCTGCGAAGTCCTCCTCAACTCGGTCGGGTCTACCGGCCTGATCACATACGGCGTCCTGGCAGAGGTCAAGAAGGCGGCTGCTGATAAGAAGAGCGGGCTCCGGAGAGAGAGCAGCCAGAACCTGCTGGGCGCCATTTTTGAGCGCTTCCCCCCGAGGGAGTCCCTGAGCGAGGTTGTGCTGCTGGTCCAGGATGCCAGCACCGTGGCCTGTGCCCTGGATGCCCTGTCGGATAAGGGCTCTGTTGTCCGTGAGGCTGCCCAATATGGCCTTGATGCGCTCTTCGCCAACCTCAGCGCCGAGGCCCTGGTTGTTGGACTGCTGCCCGTGCTGACGCAGTATCTGGAGAAGAAGACGGGCAAATGGCAGGGCACCGTGGGAGCCTACCAGTTGCTGCAGAAGATGGCCGATAAGTCCCAGATGGCCGTCGGCATCACCAAGGAGGAGGCTGCTGAGAAGGATGTGCTCCGCGAGGCCATGGGTGCCAAGCTCGCCGCCTTGATTCCCATCGTCGAGGGCGGCATGCACGACTTGAAGACCGAGGTAGAGAAGCAGGCTGTGAAGACGATGAACTCGCTCACGACGCTCTTGTCCAACGACGATGTTGCTCCTCGGATTCCCCTGCTCGTCGATACTATGCAGCACCCTTCTCCTCAGACGCTCCAGAAGGCTATCCACGCCTTGTCAATGACTACATTTGTGGCCATTGTCACATCCCCCGTGTTGGCTCTGTTGACCCCTTTCCTCGAGCGATCCCTCAACACTCCCACCACGCCACAGGAGGTTCTCCGCCAGACGGTCGTCATTGTCGAGAACTTGACCAAGCTTGTCCACGATCCTATCGAGGCTCGATCTTTCCTTCCCAAGCTGACGCCTGGTGTCAAGGCTGTCTGCGACCGTGCATCTCTCCCAGAGGTTCGCGAGATTGCGGAGAGAGCCCTTGCCACTATGGAAAAGGCCATGGGTAACGACAAGGACATTATTGCGAAAACCACTGCCGACGACGTTGCCAAGATTCTCGATGAGGAGGTCAAGAAGCACAATGGGATTCTGTTGCAGTTTGAGATTTATCAGATTGCCAAGAACTACATCGGCGAGATGGTGGCCACTGATGTCAACTACCGCTTCGTTCAGCGCATCTCTGCCAAGATTGCCCCTTACCTGAAGAATCTGCTGCCACTTGCCGACGCCTATCAGCAAGTAGCCGATGTTATCCAGCAACACTACGTGGAGGAAGATGAACGCCGCTACGGTGTTCCTGAGAAGGAGGATGATGGCGAGGTCGAGATTGTCAATGCCGACTTCTCTTTGGCTTACGGTGGTATGCTGCTGCTTTCTCACACCAATCTGCGACTTCTCAAGGGTCACAGATATGGTCTTTGCGGCCGCAACGGTGCTGGAAAGTCTACTCTCATGAAGGCCATCGCCGGTGGTAAGCTGGAGGGTTTCCCTCCTCAGGATGTCCTCCGCACATACTACGTCGAGCACAACCAGGGCGAGGATGCCGACATTAGCATTCTTGAGTTTGTTGCCAAGGACCCTGAAATTGGTCCCCAGGGAAATGACCACATCTCCAAGGTTTTGCTGGAATTCGGCTTTACTGATGGCCCCGAGGGTCGTCAGTCTCAAGCCGTCGGCTCGCTCTCTGGTGGTTGGAAGATGAAGCTCGCTTTGGCCCGAGCTATGCTCAAGGGTGCCGATGTCCTCTTGTTGGACGAACCTACTAACCATCTTGATGTTGCAAACATTGCCTGGCTTGAGAACTATCTCAAGACACACCCCGACATTACCAGTTTGATCGTGTCCCACGACTCCGGCTTCCTGGACAACGTCACCACTGACATCTACCATTATGAGCCCAACAAGAAGCTCGCTTGCTACAAGGGCAACCTTGCTGCCTTTGTTGAACTTCGCCCCGAGGCCAAGAGCTACTACACCCTCTCGGCATCCAATGTCCAGTTCAAGTTCCCTCCTCCCGGTATTTTGACTGGTATTAAGTCTCAGACCCGTGCCATCATCCGTATGAGCAACGTCTCTTTCACCTATCCCAAGGCTCCCAAGCCTTCACTCTCAGATGTCTCTTGCTCTCTGTCTTTGTCCTCACGAGTAGCCATTATTGGACCCAATGGTGCCGGCAAGTCTACTTTGATCAAGCTGCTTACCGGTGAGACCATTCCCACCGTCGGTAAGGTCGAGAAGCACCCCAACCTTCGAATTGGTTACATCAAGCAGCACGCCCTGGAGCACGTTGAGATGCACCTTGAGAAGACTCCCAACCAGTATCTGCAGTGGCGATACCAGCACGGCGACGATCGTGAAGTTCACATGAAGCAGACTCGTGCTTTGTCGGATCAGGATCGTGAGCAGATGGATAAGTTTATCGACCTCAAGGACGGCAAGCCTGCCAAGCAAATTGAATCACTTGTTGGTCGTCAAAAGTACAAGAAGACGTTCCAATATGAAGTGTAAGTGCAGATTGAAAGAAACATGTTCTCCTCGGTCTGAATCAATTTATGCTGACTTTTCAAATAGTAAATGGCGTGCAACCCTGCCCAAGTACAACACTATGATCTCCCGTGAGACTCTTCTCGAGCTTGGTTTCGATAAGCTGGTCCAAGAGTTTGATGATCACGAGGCGTCTCGTGAGGGTCTTGGATATCGTGAGCTCCAGCCATCCGTCATCTCCAAGCACTTTGAGGATCTTGGCCTGGACCCTGAAATCGCCAACCACAATGAAATTGGTTCGCTGTCTGGTGGTCAGAAGGTCAAGGTTGTCATTGCCGGTGCCATGTGGAACAACCCTCACTTGCTGGTTCTGGACGAGCCTACCAACTTCTTGGACCGAGACTCTCTTGGAGGTCTGGCTGTGGCTATTCGAGAGTTCAAGGGAGGCGTCATCCTGATTTCCCACAACGAAGAATTCGTTGGAGCTCTTTGCTCTGAGCAGTGGCACGTCGACAATGGACGAGTCGCCCAGCGCGGAACTGCCGCCGTCGATCTTGGCCGTTTCGAAGACAGTCGTCCTGGAAGTGGTGTCACCAGCACCGCAGTCAGCACTGCAGCTAACTCCGTCGTGAGCAGTGCTGTCAACTCTGGCGTCGAGGACAACGGCGAACTCAAGTTCAAGGCTAGAAAGAAGAAGAAGATGACCAAGAAGGAGGTCAAGGAGCGAGAGGTCCGTCGCCGTCTGAGACACATTGAGTGGCTCAACAGCCCCAAGGGAACTCCCCACCCCCCTGACACAGATGATGATGAGTAAAAAAAAAAGTTGGCTTTTATCGGGTCATTTTTTTTTTGATATGGGAAGAAAAGTTTTTGTTCTTTGCTTTTGATATTCTAGAGGCACCTGCCATATGTGCACCTTGTGCCTTGCACCCTTTTACAAGTTGGGATATGCGATATACATGTTTCGTGTTAGCGGTTCTGGTAGAGAAGCTTGCGTGCGTGCGCGCGCCCTGTGAGGAGGAATTGGATAGATAGAATGAGATGGATAAATTGTGATATGGGTGGAAATCATTCACGACTTTTTCTTTTGGAAGTCCATTGGTAGAACGAAACGAACCGGCATAGAGGCGTTTTTTTTTCGGCATACAGATAGATTCTTTTTCTTTTTGGGAATACATATATGACTTTTCGTATAGACTTTTTTTTGTTTGAGATGTCTTTGAATGGATAAACTATACGAGTCTACTACCTATCTTGTTGATGTGGTGCCG